GGGTTGTTGTGAAATTAGCATGTTTCGAAGCTGTGTAGCTAGGAAAAGGCAAGTACAATTCTAAGCCGGTGATGGGATGTAGAAGAATAGGTTTCGATAAGTATCAATAAATATTTCGGATGATTAGACATAAGTTTAGCATTAAAGAACCTATTCGAGCTCCGTCAAATTGCGCTGCCGACGTGAAACGTCACTAGATTCATCCAGCGGCCCAATCTCGCCGAGCTCATCAACTTCATGTACTGTGTGGATCCGATTTCTCATAACAGTGACTACTGTTGCTGTTTGTTCTCTATTAGATACCTCTGTGCTACTCCCATCTTGAGAAGCAGAAATTGAGACCGAATTATCCGAGACTTGTTCATTGTGAAGGGGTCTTCCGGAGTCAGACGATCCAATTTCAGAAATATTGGATTCGTCACTTCGGTGTCCAGAACTTGGGTTACTAGCTTGTGGCATGTATCGCTGTGTATGTCTGGTTGTTGCCGTTTCGACTATTGGTCCAGTCGTTGGTAAAGGACCATCGGCACGACTGTGGGACATCATTTCGTCGATAGTCGGCGACACAAGCGGTGAAGATCCTTGAGGTTGAGACCAATGCATATCACCCCAATTTGGACCTTGGGTATTGGAACCCAGCTCGTAAATAGGCGTGCCCGGACCTGGGTGATTTAGTGGCGATAAATTCATCCAAATACACAAGATGACATACCTTCCATTTCGTGCAATCCCACACTTCCAGCTTCTGAAATATGGCGCTCGTGAGTCTTCGAAGACACTACCGTGGCCCCGTCGATGTCATCAGCGCCTATCTCCGTCTGGCCCTTTTCATCCTGGGGCGTCGTGCCATATAGCCATCGCAGCACAAATCCTTTGATCTTGCTTGAATTCGTTGGCGTTTCGCTCCCCCCTGCACCTCTGCCTGTTCTTCGCCGCCGCCAGAGCAAGAAGAATATCACTGCGGCGGCTATAACAATCAAACCAAGAACGACTCCCAGTACTGGCCCAACCCAAGCCGGAAGACCGCCACTATTATTGTGAATTGTGATAGTCGTTGGCTCAGGGGTTGAACTAGGCGTGCTAGTAACGTTGGGAGTCTGTAATGCATATGGATAGTACGTGGCGATAGTTTTCGTATATTCGGTTGCGAAGAGACTGCTCAACGATGACGGTGCCAAGACTGTAGCACTTCCATTGCCACTATCTCAAGGGGTAAGTAATCAAGTACTGTAAATATGTCAAGGAATATATGAATAAATGACAGGGGCGTCTCACTTCCCACCAATGTTTGCAGTAACAGCGTCCGGAACGACGTATTCGTTCCATACGCGTGGGTCGTATGAATCTTGAAATTCTAGATTGTTCAGATTAAAGACTTCAATGATACCACCATCTAGGCAAATAATCGGATTGCCCGCGTAGGCGCCACCTAATACCATCATTTGATCTGGATACACTCTGATGCACTCATGTCCGCTTCGGCCATGATTGCTCTGCCCAGTATAGGCATGTGTCCACACCATTTGTGGCACTGAAAGTATGTACACATCATCTGAAGGGATGCTAGACTGGTTAATACCATTGTACCCGCCATATATATAAATATTAAATGATGATCCATCTTGAGCAGGTGCAACCACGGAGCAGAACATAGTTAACTGAGGTGGAATATCTCCGGTTGTATTCTGCAGGTGCCATTCTTGGCTAGTAATGTCATATATGGAGACGGTTTCCATAAAAGTTGGACTGACTTGACTCTGCAGTTCCCTGTCAGTGGAGAAGAGAACGCAATGAGCATAAATTTTGACCTTACACTAGTGTTGGCCTGAGAATCATTTAACCCCTGAGCAGCAGTTAGAGATGCGGGATCAATTACTCCTCCTACCGCAACAAGCAACCCATTTTCGCCCACGGGGACCCATGCAAGTTCGGCATTTGCGCGAGCAGGAACGGAGGATGGTAATGTTTGATTGGACCAAGTTTCATCTCTCATAACGGTCATATTGACTGATATCAATGTACTTGCCAGCGTGTCTGCAGATCCCTCAATGTCGTAGTAAATCGGTCCCCAGTCTGCGGCACGCATTCCACTGAAATAATAACCCATATTTTCGCTTGGAGCAGATACGCCGGCACCGTTCGTAATGTATCGAGTTATGTTGGCAGGCAGTTCCTTGGCGATAAACCCCGGCGACCATGACTGGCGGGCGGGACCATATTCATAGGCTTCATAACCCAAGTCTGAGTCGGCTGCCGGCGGACTCGAACTGTTTGATAAGCTCATGAGGCCTCTGTTATTTCCCACCGTAGGTCAGCAGAGCAGGTACCTTACGGGGATACCAGGTAGGCTTACCCATAGGTAATCAGCTCATCGTCATTTGCAAACATAACACCGTCGACATAATTAGGCGCAATGTTGTTGCTCGCAAGACCGCCAGTCTTTGACAAGGTCTGAAACAAGCTCGTGAGGTTGGTCGTCTGGTTGAAAGGCTGGCCCAGGTTGAGGGTATATATCAGGCCGTCGAGATTGCCTGCTTAGAGAGGTCAGAATGGCTTTTCTGAAGTGCTGCGTGTAGGTGAAGAAAAGATAGAAAGAGAGAGAGAGACCGTCGTTGTCTTGGTTGTAACTGCCGTCGGAATAGCCCCTGTCATTGCTGCGTTAGGAAGGCGCGACTGGCCGCCGGGCCGTGACGGGACTGCGGACTCACACCTCCCACCACAACGCTCCTCCGTCCAAATAAATTGTGTCGCGGATGATATTTGCTGCTCACCTCTGGTCAGGCTGATTCAATTGCAGCGTGTTGCTTGCTCAACTTACCCCGGAACTGGGCCCAGCTGCACATCGACACATTCACCTCGTTTTGCCAGTCAAGACCACACGCGCAGTCGGAAATCACCCACGCGAGTATCGCCACTGTCCATAGAAGATGCATGGTTGAATTGAAGTCCAGGAAAAAAGGCCAAGAGAGCAGCCAGGCAGAAACATCTCCGAGAGGTATGCGTTTATCACCACACCGCGCCGCCTTGGTGTAGCAGTGAGACCGGCGGAGAGTTCCAAGGAGCGCTGGCCACAGCGACGAAAGTATTGTGATGGATGGAAGACAAGGCTCACAGAGGACCCCGCACGTTCCTTTCCAGTAGGCTGTGTTCCATCGACTTCGGGCTGTGGTTGCATGCCTTTGCAACACAAAGGACATGGTCAATCTTAGGCCGCCATCGAGAGATTTGTCAAGATATGAGTAACAACAGTCCTGATAGGTGCGATAATGCCGGGCCAGCCCAATACATCCTTGAGAAAACGTCGTACTTGAGCTCTAGGCTGTGTACTAAGCATGTCTTGCATAATTTTCCCTTCAGCTTGGCTAATGCCCGGCGTAACAGACGGGAAACACGGTCAGGTGTGAGGCTCATTCTGCGGCGATCAACCAATGAATGAAGAGAATTTAGGGAGAAATGCATCGTTCCGCATGCTCGCGAGCTACCCAGGTAAAGTGCAGGGAACACTGCATTGATAGTGCTATAACATACCTCGGACTGGACGCCACCGATGCCGGAAAATGCAAAGTCGCCGCCCGTGTTGGGCTTTGAAATTTGCTCTAAGCTTCACCTGAAAGAAACATCCCGGCGCTGACAACGCATTGCTACATTAGGGGCCTCGCAATGATACCACCCCACAGTCGAACATCCGACCTAAAAGACAGACCGAGTGGGCGGGGTTAGTTAGGTTGTCAATTCAACTGTACATTGATTCAAGGCACTAATCTAGGTGCATCAGCTAGTATCCCAGGCTACGCAGCCTTGCCCCGTGTGCACACATGCGCCGAAAACAAAGTTGATGTACCTAGGTAGTAGTAAATAAAATGGGAAATCTCCTTGGACCATGTACTACGACCCATGCGGAGCTCTTCTCTTCAACACCCCCCATTAGGTATGTAAGACCATGTTGCTGTCTTCCTCGTATGACTCAACATATCAACATTTCGAATTGAAACTAATCACGCTACGTAGACTGGCGTCTGCCGTTTGCGTCGGTGTTGTCTCTCGTTCATCTGAAGATTAGATTTTCAGCAGAAAAGTGTTCCAGCCATGAAAGCGACATGGCTGATCGTCAATCTCGTCCTGGTGCTAATACCAGGCGCCGCTTTAGGGAGCAATAATACATCCTACAGTAATAGCATTGATGTCTACGGGTACTCAAGTCCTACAGCAAATGGACTTGATATTTCATTAACGACTCCATCTACAACAACAGCAACTGTTACTGAGGTTCGTCCTAGCATTAAATCATTCTATACCCTGCTTTACTAAAGATTGATTAGGATGCTTCAATATGTTCTTCAGTACGACTGTCAAAGACATCGAGATTTGCTGAATACTGACATGAACTTAGGCCGTAACCGTAACAGTCACACAACCATGCTTGTGCTCGACAAGTACTTCGGCAACCACCATTGTTAGTGCATCGAAAACGACCGTCATCTTGCCTACGACCACTTCGAGTACGACGGAGATTACTACCATCATCTCTGCTTATCCAACAATAACGTCTACGAGCTGGTCCACTAGTACTTCTGCAAGCACGTCAACGAGCTTTTTCACAAGCTTTTCTACGAGTTTCTGGACGAGCTTTTCGACAAGTTTTTTTACGAGCTTTTCATCAAGCACGTCCACAAGCACAGAAACTATTAGTATCTACCCTACTACGACGTCAACGAGCTTTTCTACAAGCGTTTCGACTAGTTTTTCAACAAGCACTTCTACAAGCACGTCCACAAGCACTAGCACTCTCACTGTCTACCCTACCACGAGCACGTCAACTAGCACCTCCACCAGTACATCCACAAGTACTGATACTATCACGATCTACCCTACCACGAGCACTTCCACAACCACATACACTATCACAGAAACCGATTCGTGGAAGACTTCATCCAGCTCCCATTATCGTCCAAGTACTGAAACAGTGACGGCCACGGAAACGTATCTCACAACTTATACAACGACTTCCTTATCCACAGTCCCGATCACTATTTCGGATACAATTACTACAAGTACAAGCAAATACATTACCATCACTACCACAGCAACAATCTCGACTATCAGCACATTGCTCAGCACTTTTGCTACTACCGCCACTGTTAGCGATACAGTCATTGATTCAATGACAACTTCAATAACTGTGTCCGCTACACCCAAGACCATAACCACAACTATTACAGATACTGAGACGCTGTCCACTGCACCAACAACAGTCACTTATAGTGTTAGCGTTTCGGTTTGTCCCAGTCTAATCATCAACCCAACATATACAGCACCTGGACCTTTACCGACAGACTACACTTGGGGTTGTCCACCGGGTTTTCTATGTCATCCCAGAAATACGTCTCTCGGAGGGGGTGATTGTAATTTTGCAATGGGACCTCCTGCTGATTCATACTACTGCTCACCAGATGAGTGTATCCCTAGCCCTAAACTCATCAATGATACAAATGAAACATGGGGCAAGGGATATAAATCGGATAATGTCGGCGTATTCCCAGTGACTCCGGGATATTTCAACTTGAATCCGACGGAGTTTGGATTGAATTATAGCATATTCACATTTCCAGAAGGCGATGAGGTCAATTACTCATCTTTGTATTATCGCCGGGAAGTTTTGCTAGGAAATCGAGACTATAGTAGTGAAGAGAAATCAATCATTTCCCTCAACAAAAGGCAGGCCACTGGAGCAGAGGACGTTCCGGCGGTATGCTATAACGAATGCAATAATGCGCTCCTTGAAGCCGAGAACGAAGGCAAAACACCGGCACTTTGCCAGAGTTCGTCCATCTTTATGACCGAACTGACTGAATGCAATGAGTGTATTTCTTACCATGCAACTGGTCAAACAACGCTTGGGCCTCTTCCTGAATTCGAACAGTGGTTATTTTATTGCACCTCATTGGGTATCACTACGTCTTCTAGCACAACGAGTACGAGCCTTTCTAGATCGACCTCGAGCGTACCGTTGCTTCCAGATTCAACTACTGGCAGCACTACTCCTACCGTATCGAGTTTAAGTACCGCCTCAAGTTCAAGTATTATCTCAAGCTTCAGCACTACGTCGAGTTCAAGTACCACCTCAAGCTCTAGCTCCACCTCAAGCTCTAGTACTACCTCAAGCTCTAGTACTACCTCAATTACAAGCACCATCTCAGGTTCCAGTACTACCCCGAGCCTCACCACTATCTTAGGCTCAAGTACTACTTCTTCAGCATCTCAGACAACAGTGTTGACGACAGAATCGTCGTCGTTGTATCAAACAACGACTACTACAGGAACCTCATTCAGTCTATCAGCTAGTCAGACGACGCTAAGTACTGCTACGTCAACGTTTAGTACGGGCGTAACTGAAAGCACACCATCTACTACATCTAGTTCTAGTATTACTGAAACGTCTACTATACAACCTACAAGCTCATCGACCTCAAGTAACAGTCCCGCATCGAGCTTACTCTCATCTACAACCTCGGAAGCAAGCAGCGAGAGCGGTACTCTCTCTTCATATACGCCTGTCAGTATCAGTTCTGGGTTTGGCAGCAGTGAAGTTATCCCCATTACATCTCTCACTGGCGGCGACAGCAGTACCACTGCCTCCTCACCCACTTCCGCAACTGTCAGCCCTGTATATGGCAGCAGCACTGGCGTAACTCCTCCGATAACTACAGGTGTTAGTCGAACATTGCCTGTAGCGTCTACAACGAGTACATCTAGTGTGTACCAAGGTGCGGCACGACAGAACACTCAACCATTATCCGTATGGGTCGCTGTCATAATAAGTACAGGAATTTGGTTAATAGTCACTGCCCTCTAGATAGGTATCTCAAGAAATTATTATATGTGATAGTTTAGTTTTTTGCATGGCTATTGAAATCCATTCAATTAGCAAGGACTAAGATATGAGCAATGATAATCCCAATTGCTTTCCCTTTGTAAAAGAAAAGAGAAAACGAATATAAATTACCATGATCTCAACATAGTATATACTAACTTCTTGCCAGCAATCTAGTTTATTGAATTGATTCTTATACTACCTAGGTACGTAGACAATTATAATATAATATGTGCCACGTACATCCAAAATGTCTCGAGCTAAATCCAAATTAATTTTATCTTCTCAGAAAATTCCCGCAGATTCCAGAGGTAAAAAAGAAAAACATTAAGATGAAGTTGGCTTCAATCCAGCAAGCCACTCAGCCGATGAGGTGACTTCGGCTTGACGCGTAACGATCTTCTTCATCAAGAATTCATGGTTTTCCGGATCAGGGTCAATGCAAAGATCTTCCAACACGGTGACACGAAAATCGAGATCTGCTGCCTGACGAACAGTAGACAACACAACGCCTGAAGTGGAAATGCCTGTAAGGACGAGCTTCTGTGCGCCATAGGAACGCAGGATAAGGTCGAGATCAGTGCTGGTGAAGGCTGAGACTCGGTGTTTGCTGACAACCACATCTTGACTCGCAGGCGCAACTGCCGCGTGGATGCGAGAGGAAGAGTCATCCTCGCCGAACGCTTTCCACTGGAAGGCTTTGGCAGTCGAGGTGTTGTGCGGATGATGTTCTGGATAGCCTGGTCGGAAGCTGGTTTTGATATAGACAATCTTGAATCCGGCCTCTCGAGTTGCCTGGACCACAGGAGCTAGGCGTTCCAGATATGCCTCGCCATTCTGCACGCGTTCAATCACGCCGTTCTGGACGTCCATGACCAGGAATACTGTCTTGTCTGACATGGTGGCGAAGAATGCTTTGCTTCACCGTCGAACACCAATATATGGTACATACCTAAGGGTATCTGGTATATGGAGATCCTTTGACTTGGAGGCACAGGGAATTGCTCGGGGCATAAAACCAAGTCTTAGGGTTTGCTTCATGGTGTTAATAAAGCATTCAAAAGTGACCGGTCGACTGATGCCGGTACCGCCCCGGAACCGGCCACGCTCGACCGCTGATTGGAGAAAGACAACAAGCAATTGGTTATTTAAATGCGATGGATTCTCACTTTCGCTAATGATGATCATATCAATTACTCTCGGTGTTAAGACATTTCTTATCGCCTGTCCTCTTGCTTGTTCGGTGGCGATAACACTTCAAGGCTGCCCGGAGGCCTTATATATATACATCCACATCCCCCCTGCCTGTTTTACTCCCTAGTGTTGATCGATCCCCATACCCAAGACAAGTAAGCTCATTGAGCAAGACATATCATGGCTGAAAGAGATCGAGAAACTGCAACGGCTGAGCAAATCGCAAACAATGGCAATGATATCGAGAAATCATCGTCCAACGAGGAGGTGCCGGCATCAAACAACGGACCGCCGCCAGCTCACCAAGAACAATTCTCGGTCTTCACAGTCAATCAAAAAAGAGCCATTGTTTCGCTAGGGTCGCTGGCGGCTTTCTTTTCGCCGTTGTCCTCGAGCATCTACTTTCCTGCGTTAGATACGATTGCTAAAGCATTGGGCGTTTCCATCAGCCAGATTGACCTTACAGTTACCACATACTTGGTGCGTGATTGCTCCTTTATCGAGCCCTATACGACGAGCTTCCAAATTTGCACATATTCTCTCTAACGAGTTCACTCCGGGCATCAACAGATTATGCAAGGCATTGCGCCCACGCTCATAGCTGGTTTCTCGGACCGTGCAGGACGACGACCAGCGTATTTCATCTGCTTTACTATTTATATCGCAGCCAATCTTGGCCTGTCCCTCCAGAACAGCTATGCAGCTTTGATGGTCTTGCGGTGTCTTCAGAGCGGGGGTAGTAGTGGCACTGTCGCGCTGGCCAACGGTCTCGTAGGAGACATGATTACCTCTGCGGAACGAGGCAGTTATATTGCCTTTGCATCACTGGGCAGCATGTTAGGACCCTCGCTGTCTCCCATTATCGGCGGTATCCTCAGCCAATACCTAAACTGGCACTGGCTGTTCTGGTTTCTTCTCATCTTCAGCGGCACCTTCTTCATTGTCCTGCTGCTTTTCCTACCGGAGACATGTCGGAAGATTGTCGGCGATGGTTCTATTCCTCCTCCGCCATTAAACACTTCGTTAACGGATGTCATCCGGCATCGCCGACGAGAGAGACAAGGCATCCAAGTGGACCAAGAGAAGCTCGTAGAGCTTCGCAAAAACTACCGTTTTCGATTTCCATCGCCAGTTCCCACACTGCGTGTGATCATGGACCTTGAAACATCAGTCATACTACTTACAACGGGCTTGCTTTTTGCCGTGTTTTATGCCGTGATGACAGGCGCCACGAGCTCTTTCCAGAATATCTATGAATTCAACGACATTCAGACCGGTTTGATGTACCTTCCAATCGGTGCTGGCGGGGTTGTATCTGCCTTCACCACGGGGCGTATTGTAGACTGGAACTTCCGGCGCCACGCAAAGCGCGCAGGTCTCACCGTCGTCAAGAATGTGAGGCAAGATATTACCAATTTCAACATCGAACGTGTGAGACTGGAGGTCGCCCTGCCGCTCTATTATTTCAGTAACGTGATGGTACTGATATATGGCTGGCTGATGGAGCGCAAGGTCAATCTGGCAGCCCCAATCATCCTTCTCTTCTTCAACGGCTGGGCTCTTATGGCGACATCTCAGGTTCTGAATGCTTTGATGGTTGATCTCTGGCCTGGAAACTCTGCAGCTGCGACGGCTGCGAATAATCTTTTTCGTTGCGAGTTGGGTGCGGCCGCATCAGCAGCCATAACACCCATGACCAACGCGATGGGCACTGGCTGGGCTTATACAACCTTGACTCTGATCTCGGTTGCTGCATCGCCGTCGTTTCTGGTTATAATGAAACATGGAATTAAATGGCGACAGAACAGATGGCGCAAACAAAATGCTGCTAAAAATTGAATTCAAGTTGTGTTTTCGGCCACAAAAGAGCGATCGATGTATTTATATCTCAAGTCCAGCATAGCGTCTTCATTCCCCAACCTCTCCTTTGTTGCTTACTTCAAGATAGAACACTCAAAGTAGCTACTTTTCTTTCCCTCGTTTTATCACATTCGATAGATATTGTTCTTGATAGAAGAATTGACCGTGGAGCTTTTGACATCTATTTCCCAACCACACTACCTAGATATTCACCGTCACATCCATCAAAACCGTGGGAGCCTCTACAGGGTATGGCCGCACATGAACTCCTGATCATCGAGGAGGAGGCTTCGCTCGACTTTTAGATCATTTATCACATCCAGGTAAGCAATCACCTTCGCATACTCCATTCTTATATCGTCGAAATGCCTGAGTGATTCGCGAGTTGCCTTTGGTTTGCTGATTGGCATTTGCGTATAGTCCTTGGTTGAGGAAGGGAGGCACATTCGCCAATGCTTCTCCATCTTCTTGACTTTTTCAACTTGCTCTTGTGCTGCCTCGATAACCTCGCCTAAGTCGATGCGATTCTGCTTCAAACGGCATGTCGTCTCTGCAATATCATTTCGACAGAGGAGTGTGGCGAGATATTGGACAGCTACCGAATCAGTGGCTTTTCTTATTTTATAGGCAATCTCGAAGTCGGCGCGAGTATTCGTCGACGGGTCTTGTAACTGTGCTGCCGAGACTGAGAGGGAAGTGGGAGTGGCTGCAGACTCAGTGGCCACGACAGCATTTGTAGCATCACGATTGTTTGTTGGCGAATGATGAGGCGTCTTGTTGCCTGCAGGAGGTATCCAAAAGCGCACTTTTGCACAGCCTGACTTGGACTTGGCTGCTGCTAGGATGTATGATGGCTTCAGCATTGGAGATTCCAAAAATCGTCGTCGTCGCCGTCGTCATCCTGGGCGAGGAAACTGACCTTTTGGTTTGGACTTATGAGTGATCAGTGATGGGACTAGGGCAGTCATTATGAGAAGCGCGATTGACTCGGGCCGAATTGGAAGTTGTTGATGAATAATACTGTACGCGTCTTTTGAAGATTGAAAAGTGAAGGGTTATAAAGCCATGGAAGATGAGACTTCTGATGCAGATGGCTATAGGGACATGGCGAAGAACTTATTGGGAGTCCACTCAAACAGGAATAGCCCAATAGAAGACGCCAGTAGACAAATGAATGCTTTGGACGGTGATGTCCTTACAATTTATTGTCGCTTTATTGCCCTTTGACGTCAGTTGAGGGCATGGCCATTGTTTTGATATTGACACGTGATGACAGCCCAGGAGGCTGGGGCTTGCTTTCATTGTCTCGATCTGGAAGGCGTTGACAGATGCTAGCATGTTTCAGTTTCTTTAGAAAATATGTTTTACGGCATTGTAGATATTTCTATGGTTAGCCTACCTAAGCCGACAAACCATCAGCATGAGAATCCTTATACGAGTTGAGAGAAGAAAACAAAAATATAACATACTATAAATTATGACAATTCGCACTACAACGTCGCTAAAACGAACGTAAATAAAACCGGCTAAGATTCTGTAAAATGCATAAACCAATCGCAAGCACACTGTTGTCGTGATTATTCGAGATATCATATAAAGCATTATAAAACTGGCCACATAGCATTCACTTCATACCGTCTTCAGTCAATCACATTTTAGATGTACAAGAGGAAATAGCTTGGAAACGTAAGACAAGTATGATAAGGGTAGACAATCATGCTCATGGGCGATCCTTTCTCTTTGAAACCTTGGCCATAAAGTGCCATGGCTGAACGCAAAAAGCCCCGTTGATATCACCGTCAATCTTGTAATTTTTGTCCGCCAATTCCAAGTCTACTTCTCGCAAAATGGTAATGAGTGTAATCCAGCTCCACTGCCACGCAAACTTCGTTCCAAAACAACTTCTCTTGCCATTGCCAAATCCCTTTTTGACGCCTGAGGGAAGCTTGTCGTATGCCTCACCGAGCATGCGCTCAGGGCGAAATGCGTCTGGGTCGTCAAAAACTGCAGGGTCGCGGTTTACGGCACCAAGGACAGCAATGATAGCTTGCTTGTGAGACACTTGGTATGTGCCGCCGGCAAGTGAGACGTAAGGGCCTGGGTTCACGTCGGGACGAGGTTCAATATTGAATCCTGGCGCTACTGCAGATAAGCGCATAGCTTCACGTAGTATAGCATTATTGAACTGGAAATCTTGAAGTTTCTCGTAGGTGAGTTCCCCGTCAGCACCGAGAATAGAGTCGATCTCCTCACGGGCTTGGGTTATGTATTGTGGGTTCTTTAGTAGGTAGTATAGTGCGAAGGTGACAAAACATGGCGACGTCGCTGAACCAATAAAGATATTGATGATTTCATCAATAACTTGTTCATGGCTCAGGGATTCGCCTGTTTGGGGATCTTTTCCATTGAGCATTACATTCAGCATGTCCTCCCTTGGCTGCTGCTCACTCTTCCGCTTGGCAATGACATCAGCGCAGAAAGACCGCATCGTGCGGATATCCTTGTCGTAGCCACGTTGGTGAAAGAGCCAGTTCAGCAGTTTTGGGCGGGTGGGACGCTTGACAGCTTCCATGGTGGATTGATCTATGGCTGTAAGAAACTCTGGGAATGGTCCTGACATCCAGTCACCCTTCTGGTGAAAGAAACTCCAGACAACCACTTGCAAATTCAGCCGTTTGAGCCCATCTGCGACATTCACCACTTGACTAGGTTTGGATGTCCAATACGGCACAATGGCTGAAATTGTGTCACGCTGGTCAACAAAGGTAATTTGATTCGATTTGTCCGTCACCCAAGGAGACATGATGCGATGAGCGGGCCCCCAAACACTATCCATTTCGGAACTATACGCTGTGAACAACGAGGCGTGCACTGCCTGGCGGATCTCGACGATGGGACCGTTGACACATTTGCGGAAACGAGATTCGTCACAGATTTCTTCTAGAAGCGCAGCATTGCAGACAAAAACAATCTGTGTACCGAGGGCGCTGATTTTAAAGATGGGACCTTGCATGAAAATGTCAATGTCGTGTTTGTGTTTAGCAGAGTGCAGACCACGTACCCCATTTGGCAGCCAACTTGTTGAGAGAAGTCCAGGTATTGCTAGGGTCGACATCAAAGACATTTCCCAGCAAAGGTACACCGGGCGGCTGAGGGATCTTGCTCGTCATTTTTGTCAAATTCAAGATACTGTTGTGAGTATGTGTGATTCTAGAAGAATGGTGTAGGAAACAAAAGATGCAGACAGGAGACCAGCTTCTGAGCTAACAGGCAATGATTGCACGAAGCGGAAGCAGCTTCCTCCTTGTTTAGGTTGAGATTGAGCCCCAACTTCTTTACAGATCAACTCAGCCAGCCCCGCGGGCTCTGGTAGCCAAGCTAAAAACCTGGTTTGCCATAGCTCTGTTCTTCCAGCTATCTGATTTTCACCGCTAGAACGGAAGCTCGACCCAGTTTCGTTTCAATACGAGTACAAACAGCCAGTTAGAATGCTGGGTTCGTCATACTCCATTCTTTTTCCCCAATGGCAGAGCTTGCTTGATAGATGGCTGGCAAGCGGGATGCAAAGCGGTTCGTCGACGATCTTGACACCCAAGATTGGGTGGCCCGCTAGGCCTAACAAGTGCAAAATGGAACGGATCGTCCCGCGGTGATTTGGCGAGCAGCTGCAGAACTGAAGAAGAAGGGTCACCGAGGCCGCCAATAATCTCGGAGCCACTCGTCCAGGGCCCACCTCGCTGTGGCCTGTGGGCTCGCTAACTATCGGAGGTCGATTCACTAGTTCGACAGAGCTGTCACGACGTCTGTGCTATCACTGCCATGTAACACGGTAGTTACACGGACTGCGCACGTACGGAGTTCTCCGTAGTTGGATCGGAGTGACTAGCAGTCGAGTCGACTAATGGCTGAGAATCCGAGATGAGTGCCAAGAGAGTTCGTGGCCTGTGGACGCTGCCATTCGACGGGCCTTGCAAGGGGGTAGCCTCGCCGGCAAATAAGAACGACGACTCGTGTGAGCTGTACACAAGCCAGCGACACACACCGGGTGCGGCAGAAAGTTGATAAGTGAGAGGGTGAGAGAATACGGAGTAGATACACATGTCAAGATCGTCGCGGGGAAAGCAGAGAACCAAGCTAAACCCGACTGGGTGATATGCACTTGCAGGAAGGCGCTGTCTGCCTTGGAAAATCACGTGGCTGCATTTCTATGAACTTGACTCTCTGTAGGTGACTGTATCCTAATCATTTTTCCTGTGCCGATGTGGCAGTTTACGCAAAGCTGAGACTCCAGACATCTCCCAATCGATTATTTGCTTCTCCCAGGCCTCCCTGCACAACGATCGTGGCCTTGCCAGCAACACCGGCTCCAAACCAACCTCGTGCATCAGGAGCTTCATCCCCCTGGGTGTCAACATGATGCCAGGTCCGGCCAGCAGTTTCGAATGCCCACACATCGCCCAGCATTTTTCCTGCGCCCTGGTGACCCAGATTGCTAGGGTCGCTCTCGCCAAAAAGGGTGACAATATAACTTTTGCCGTGAACGTTTATTGGAAGTAGGGCGCTGACACTCCGTGGTGCTGGGCCGGCTTTATTGTCAGGGCTGTACGAGTGCGAATCCCAAGTGTCACTCTCAGGACTGTATATGTCGACACTCCCCCCTTGTTCGTGTTTTCCATCAAACCCATTCATGCGGTATAACTTCCCCTCGGCGAAAGCGATAGAAGTGCCTCCACGAGCTGGTCCTGGAGCAGGAGAGAGCTCTTTCCATTGTTGACTAGCCAAGCTAAACGACCACAAATCTGACAGACGCCCAGACTCAGGACAGCCGGCATGGATGTACAAGGTGTCCTGCCCGTCGCTGCAGATGCAGTGGTAGCTGCGTGGAATAGGGGAAATGCCCGAGTTAGATGGGGAAACGCATGTCCAGCTTCCAGACTTCGTATTGAATTTCCAGAGAGCCCCTTCCTCATCAATGGGCGCCATAGCAACACCACCGCGTCCAGAGAAAAGGTAGATGTTCTCTCCTATTGCCGCAGTCGCGGTTCCCACGCGAGGAGAAGGAGCTTGTGATGCCGGCTCTACGGCACGGAAGGCGGCTGCTAGACGGTCAGATTCCATCTATGTCACTGAAGTCGTAATCTTTTCTAGGAGAACTACTATCTACCTTCGTTGGCCAATGAAACAACATGGACAGCATTATCTCGTGGCTCTCGAGGTCGCAATTCTCCTCCGAATACGTAGACCTGTCCGTCGACTACAGAGAGTGTCTGTGACGAACGTTGCAGAATTTCTGCATCGAGGATTTTGTTCCATTTAGCGCTGAGCTCGGCCATGATAATGGTCTTGTTGCTGTTATTTGATGTTTTTCTTGCGAGTAATTCTCGTGCTTGTATAGTCGCAATTGTTTTGGCTACCAGTCATGAATGTCTGCGGGGCTTGTTTGTAACTTACGACAGAATACGGCCATGATTGGTGCCTCCGCGGTATGTTTCGGTAATCTAACAAAGATTACCGCACCTGACAAAGTTTTTGTCACGCCATTTCGGCATCCTGCCTTATCAAATCCCGGGCAGTGCAGTCTGTCTGTTCGCCAAATACAAAGACTCAGCCGCTTCATATCAGGATCATGATTTCCCCTGGTGTACAGGAGTCTCGGAAGCATAAAGAATGGCCAGCGCCGGATCTGAGGACGGACAGTCTGCGCTACTAGGAGATACCGAGACCGAACAACTTCTGCCATCAATCCCTGCCCATCTAGCTCGCCATTTATATGTATCTCACTTGCTTTCAACATGGAATTCGCGCCTTTTCGAATTTGGTTCAGTGCTTTTCCTAGCATCGATCTATCCCGAAACATTGCTACCAATGTCTATGTATGCACTGGTGCGTAGTGCAGCTGCCATCGTCTTTTCTCAGGCCATGGGCTTCTGGATCGACCGGGGGGAGCGGCTTCTTACTGTCCAGATATCTATTGTTGGCCAACGCCTTGCCGTTACTGCAAGTTGTGGTATATTCTGGGCTTTGCGGCTGCAACAACGGGGAGAGGTCAACGGCTACTTGAAAACCGGCCTTTTCGTGGCCACTGTTGTCCTAGCATGCGTGGAGAAATTGTGCTCGGTGGTGAACCTCGTGTCTATAGAGCGAGACTGGGTGAGTGGGATATCTGATGTTTTGTGCGCTGCCTACTAAACATTCAATGACAGATTGTTGTCATTACTGAAGGCAATGAATCCATTCGCCGAGGTTAGTATAGGTGACTATTTGCGCGATCATGTTTGCACTGCTGACTTTTTCCAGTGATGAATGCTACAATGCGTAGAATCGACCTTATCTGCAAGCTTCTGGGACCGTTGACCATCTCTTTGGTAGCTATGGCGTCAACACTGGTAGCGATTCAAGTCACCTTGGCCATGAGCGTGATCTCTGTTCTGGTTGAATATCTGTGTATTGCTCAGGTAAGTGATTGCTGCTCGTAAATTGCAGGCGTGTAGGTCACTCACTTTATTTCCAGGTGTATAAAAGGTTCCCATCTTTGCGGCGAAATGCGCCTCAAATGGAAAGCGTCGATTATGCTAGTGACCACCCTGTCCATACTACAACAACCACCATTTTCGATCTATTGAAATCTGGACTCTCTGGCATCTTCCCCAAGTCGTCCCTTCGTTTCTATTTCCAACATTCAGCGTTTGTACCGTCGTTTGCATTGTCACTCCTTTACCTGACGGTTTTGTCCTTGTCTGGGCAGATGATCACATATCTTGTTTCTGTTGGTTACAGCACTCTGCACGTCGGTATTGCACGAACGGTCAGTACTGCTCTTGAACTCAGTGCGACGTGGATAGCACCCCGGGTAATGAACCGGATTGGCATCGTTCGCGGGGGCATCTGGAGTCTTTGCTGGCAGATGGGGTGGCTCGCTGCCGGCGTCGGCTGGTTTCTTGCGGACATTAACAAAGAACACAGAGATGTTTTCGTTTCAGCGACTGGTCTTGTTGTAGGGGTTGCTTTGAGTAGAATTGGCCTGTGGGGTTACGATTTGTGTGCGCAGAATCTTATACAAGATGTGAGATGCTTCGTTCCTTTTCATAAAACTATGAAGACTCCGATTACGGCGAGTGATACTGATTTTATATCTGTAGGAAGTCGATGATGCCCATCGCGGCGAATTTTCCACGACCGAAACTGCCTTTCAGAATTTCTTTGAACTGCTCTCATATGCGTCGACTATTGTCTTCTCAAAACCGTCGCAATTCCAGTGGCCAGTGCTTATCAGCACTGCTGCAGTTTACCTCGCAGGTGGACTTTATGCGTACTTTGTGCGCCAGAGACGAGGCCATTTGTTCCATCCACCGGTCTGCGTGGCGCAGAAGAGAGTGCTTAGAGGGCCCGGTCGCACGACTGTGCGCCGAGATGAAACACACTGTGCATAATTAGCTAGACATTGTATTATAATGAAATATTTTATTTGTATCGAGAGTTTATTTGCGAGAGTAGCCATGGAAAAAGCAATGGAGCCCAAGGCTATAAAAGCCTGTACTAATGGCAGCCTAGCTCGATGTCGTTTAGTGAGCTCTCCAGGCTCAGGATCAGCAACGACGTGTCGTGTGCTTCGTTTCAGGCTGAAACTCTGTCAAAATATATTCGCAATGAATAAACCAAAATTCGCAAACACAACATGAGCGCAATGACGACTCGCAATACCAAATGGCTGGACGGCCTCCGGGGTATCGCGGCTGCCATCGTCGCTTTCGACCGGCTCTTCATGGGCGACCTCGACTTCCCCTTCCGCTCCTTCTGGGCCGACCCGCCAACGAAGAATCGCTTCTGGATCCAGCTGCCACCCTTCAGGATCATCTTCGGTGCTCGTGCGATGGTAACGCTGTTCTTCGTGGTTTCCGGCTATGCGATTTCCATCAATCTTGTGCGTGCGCGGCATCGCCGGCCGCAGGCATTTCTCAGCGAGGTTGCTTCGTCAACTACACGACGCTTATTCCGCCTCTACCTGCCCGTGCTGATGGTCGTATGCCTCTCGCAGTTCCTCTTTTTCATTGGCCTATATCATTCGACGACCTTTGTGCACAACGAGTACGTTGGGCAATCACACGCCAAACATAGCAGCAACAAACTGCAGCCCTGGTCCGCACCATGGGCCCATCTACAGTACCTGGTTCGGTACATGGTGGATATCGTGAACCCGTTTGTGGTTTTTGAATATAAAAATACCAGACATCTCGATTTGAATGAGCAATTATGGACGATGCCGATCGAGTTCCGGGGCTCGTGCTTGGTCTATTTTCTTGTGGTTGCTATGGCACCATGGAGGGCACAAAGAAGGTCACTGGCTCTCGCGGCTTTGTCGCTGTATTTCCTCTGGTATGGGATGTGGGATATTGCGACGTTCATCGCAGGCCTGTGGCTAGCCGAGCTCAAGGTCGCTGAAGAGGGCGAACAGCAACACTACTTGCAGACAGACGACGATTCAGATGAAGAGATTGGAAATTCGCTGCTGCAGCAACCATCTTCAAATTTGTCACCATTGCCATCTTTGCCGTCGTCGTCGTCGTCGTCTTCCTCGTCATCGGCATGGAGCGGAAATCTAAACGCTGACGGTAAAAAGACGCGATCAATAGTGTCACCTCTGTCTATCATAAATCTACTCGTCTTTGCTCTCGGTATTCATCTGCTCTGTCTAGGGGATGAGGGCATTTTGACGCGGGGCTACCGCGGTCTACTACTTATCCAACCCTCGAGCTGGGACAAGCGAGACGTGGTGCATTTCAGCTGGAAATCTGTCGGCGCCGTAATGACCGTTTACGCGATCAGCAGCTCGCCGAGACGGCTTTTGCAACGGCCGCTCGAATCATCGCGCGTGATTCAATACATGGGACGCATCTCATTCTCGTTGTATTTGGTTCAGCAGATCGTATACAACCTCTGGCGCGACCCCGTTAAGAATTGGATATGGAAGGATTTGGCCGGATATGCATATCCCGGCGGACATCTGGCAGACAGAGAACCGTTTGCTCGCGCGGTGATGTGGATTGGCTCGATAATGATCCTAGGGCCGGTGTTGGTGTTTTTGGCAGATGCCTTTATGAGATATGTCGATGTGCCTTGTATGGCGCTGGCGAGGAAGGTTGAACGGTGGCTGACGTGATTATTGTACTATATTATCAAGGGTATGGAGGGGAAAAAAAAAGGCACGCTCCTAAGTCATCTCAAGTATTTAATTTGTTTACATTGTATTCCGAAAAACAATACGATGTTTCCTAATCCGTCGCTTCTCGGAGCAAGCATGCAGATTGACCCTATTTTCAGCCTCGATCTCTGCCATGCCATATAACCAGAAAAGAATGTGAAACGCACCCCTACACGCGAAACAATATTTTGTCCACGCACATTTACACTATTGATCCAAATAGAAAAATCAAGCGAAGGCACCAACCGTGCATTTTCTACTACTAGTCTGTATAGTATGGAAGTCCAACCCTTTAGTCTCGTACCAGCACGCCTCACGCCAATCTCCTAGTGCTTCGGAAACTCTCGACTACGCCATACCGGCATACGCTTTGAAGAGCCGCCATCTCGATAGCTGAGACTAAGTATAACCCATAGGTTGAACTCGACCGTGCGCGCCATCTGGGTGCCAATCAGATGCTCTCCCTTGCAATGGACTATCGTCTAGTGCAATGCATGCAAGCGCTGAGAGTTCACCATTCATAGTTCGTGATTTGCACGGACCGGTGTTGTCCTGTAACATTTGTGGCACTGCGTAGTCTGGATGTTAACTCTATTAACGGATTTGTGCACTACAAGGAGCCTACGATAGATAAGCACATGCGAAAGCAACGACCTTAATCTGGATAAGAGGATGAGGGTCGATTATTGTGCTTAGCTAGGAGGACAGGTGTTAGGAGGCATGAACCGTTTGAGCTGTATTGACTGTATTGACTGTGATAGCTATAATAATTTATCAATCGGAATTGACATGATAGATTAGCCCAGGGCACGTTATATTTCCTAGTACAAGCAATTTCTAAAATAGAAGGACTTATGCCGTGTTACTGGTGTAATTTCATTTTCCACGTCCCCCCTGAATGCTGGGTACCTAGGTATCAGAAGCTAAAGCAAAGCCCATCAATATATCGACATCCATACCAAGAGTTAAGACATATTCGCGCTATACCTAGGTATTCGGTACATTCCTAGGGTAAGGGGCATCTAGATATGGTTTCAACACTAAAAACGCACGGATTGGAGCATAACTACAAAGACCCGACTACCACCATATTATATACACCGAGAGTACTACATATACATACATATAGCCTACTCCATGATAGGCTGCCTCCAGTTCGCTCCTGGCTCGTCGACGTCGTCGTCAACAATGACAACCATCCACACGCCAATTCCACCATTATGTGCTAACAGGGGCGTACAGTGTACCCATCTGCTTCGTCCATGACTATCGAAACGGTTAAGCCACTGGATTCGCGCTGTCACGCTGCGGCCATCTATAAATGACCGAAGTAATTCATCGCGCACTGCAGGCGAGCCGCCCACTTTCGAAAAGAATGAGGACTGTAGAATACCGGGGATACGTAGGGAAGGCGATGTGAAAAGGATGCGTAGCGAGGGGTATGGTCGGACGAGGAGATACTGGTTGTCAAATCAAACACGGCCCTGTAAGTAGGTGGACAATAACATAAAAAAAAGAATGCAATACACACATGATCATATACACCGGGCAAATTTGGTTGCTTGCCAATTTGACGGATCTTGTCATGAGACAGAGTTCTTGACTGTTTCAGCATAATCCTCGGCCGTAGATGGCCCATGTATGGTTTGTCACGACGAGGAACCACGGGTTCGAAAAGAGATCCTCCATGCTCTCGAATCATTGACAATTCTCCCGGGCTGAGCAGCTCGGCGAACTCCATTAGGTTATTGCGTGCCTCACCTGCTTTCTTCGGGGTTTCTAAGGATATCCGCTCTTTTATGTGATGGGAATTGTTGAGAGGCGTTTGGCCGTTAGTTTTTGCCGTCTCAAAATGTTGGCTATTTGGTGTAGATGTCTTTCTAGTGGCGAGTTCCTTCATTGAGTCCATGCGAGCATCGTCCATAATAAGGCCGCTGATGTCAATCTGGGCGCCAATAAAGTAGCGCACATTATTTCTGCTGTCACAAAGTGGTGCGCACATGAGGAGATTCATGAATGGAGAGCCGTCGCGACGGCTGCCGTCGTTATTAGAACAACTTCAAGTTGCCATATAGGTAGGGACGTTTAGGAGCTTCCTAGTTAAGAAAAATTTCTGAGACCTGTCGCCCTGCTTCAAGAGCCTCACGGATGCGACGCACACTATTCCTGTTTGTCTTCGGACCTTGCAAGAACCGACAGTTGCGTCCTAATACATAGTCCATCCCGTACTGAGTGGTGCGGTGAAATTCTGTTTGCATTGTCAGCTTTTCCGATAAACAATAAATTGCCTTGGAAGTATACCCTCTGATGCAAAGATAATAGGATTGTCCGGTCTAGAAGGATCTGTCAAACAAAAAACTTCGGCCAGGGCATCGGCTGTGCCCTGAAATTTTGGCGGCAGAGTACCCTTGATCCGTTCCTCGACAACATTAGAGACCAAAGAAACACAATTTGATGTGATAAAAGCAGGAATTTCGTCTTTAACCAGCGCTTGGAGTGCGTTTTGCGCTTGTTGTTCTAGTTTTGGATTTTGCGTATGTGGGATGTATTCGCTTGAGGCTTCGACTTCAGGAAGAGGCATTAACAACTGTGCAACGGCATTGGAGTAGTCAATTGCTTTCAAGGCCTTGCATGCGCTCAGATAGTACATCAACACTGGCAATGATCCAGGACGCTCGCTAGTGAGGAATTCTCGAAACTTAAAGAGATAGCGAGGGTTTGACAGGATTGTGAGCATATGCGCCGTCGAGAACATCAGCTCTGCTTGCTTTTCCAACGAATGAAGTGGTGCTGAGTCTGCTTGATATGGTGCAATAAGATCATAAGAACCATGTTGCGCTTCGCCCTCGCCATCATCGTTGATTGGATCCCAAGTTGCATCGTTGGTATTCTCATTTATCTGCTGCAATAGCGGCAATTCGTATTCCGCTAGCTTTCGGCGCAGATCCTCGATTGGCTCCGGTTGTTCAAAAGTAGAACCGGTAGCATTGTGGTATGATATGTTGTCTATTTCTACATCTCTCGTGGGATTGGGCGTATCTCTACCACTGGGCCGAGCTTGAGATGTTGCAGGAAGCGGGAAATCTTGAAGCGTGACCTCATCATGGCTGATGAAATTCCTTATTAGCTCGTCACAATAATTAGCCTGATTCAATATCTCCAGAAATTGGAATCTTTGAAACTCACCGAGACGGTGCGTTGCTGCGATCATAAAGCTCGTCGTACGCCCTAGTGCTGTGTCTACGCCGTCGTTCCGCAGGTAGTCGGTGGTCTGTCAAATTCACCGGTTGATATTATCGTCAACAAATGAATGCAGTGAAGTTGCATAGTGTAGTTTGGAGTAGACCTCGGCGTTTACAGTTCCTTCGAGAGCAGAGGGAAGCGGGATGTTGGCTGCATCCTCCATAGTAAACTGTTCACACATACTCCTGTCGACATTGCCATGACATGGGACAACGCTGGTATTAAATCATCTTTACGGAAAGGGGATCTTCGTAGTTTTCATGGAATATGCTAGATAAGTTCGAGCAAAGAAATTATTCCATGCGATTGCTCAAATTTTCGCAGAAAGAAAGTGACCGAAAAGAGTGTTCTCGAGTCGGACGTATCAAAAGATCGCTGATCCGGACAGACGAACTGTATTTCTAAAAAAACATGGAACGGATCGGAGCGTAGAGATTGGTTGTTAGCCACGTGTAGAGGTTACTTTGTTTGGGTGCCAGTGGATCATGAAGCTGAACCTGGTTATCTCACTGGTCACAAAGCGTGATGTCAGCGGGCAGAGTTAGTTAACTTAGTTAATTATGAGCCGGAGATGGTGACAGATCTCCATTGATTGTTCTCAATATTCCTTTTCTATTGGGGTTTCTATCTTCGTTTAATTCTCAGTCGTTGATGCTAAGAAGCTGTTTGAACGGCTGGCTGACGACGACGTGACTTGTAGCCCTAGCCCTAGCCCTAGCCCTAGCCCTTGCTTCATTGGGTAATATGTGGTCGGTGGTCACCAGAACTCAACGATCTGCATGGCCACCCCGCAGCATCTTCAACAAGGTAACAATACATCGAGCTACTCAGCCTTGAAAGAGCCAAAGTTGGAGGCAAACTTATTTATTTCGACGTTTTCCCCACAGTCAACCTCGATGTTGGAAACTTCCGAGAGAAATGTCTGCATATTCCACCATATGCATGCTCCGACTAGTACTTAGTATGCAATGGTCTTATATTCTTCTGGTTATAACACAAGGTAAATGGCATCTTTGTCTCAAGCTTTGTCATAACTGTAATCGAGAAGCACACTTGGGCCGCCTGTCAAGCGTGCTGTAGAGATCGGGAGCAAAAGGCACGACGCTTGCCGTACCTAGACGGGCCCATTGGTCATGCGAGATCAACCATAGTACTAGAAAAATCTTGGATTCGTCCGCTTAAACAGTGCCGCTAGTCACGATGCAGACGTGAGCTTCTGATCTGTGCTCGCTGCCGTCGCCAAAGAACTAATTGCCACCGTCCTAGTGATTCTTATGTTGCCTATCATTCGTCTGAAATATGTGAGAGAGCAATATCAATGCAGTTGTCCTATATAGCGAGCAGAGATGGAAATATATAGCATCTACCTATATGGATGTAACTATTGCAGTGCATCCCACCCAATATGTGGAGACCCCCACTCGGAAAGTGAGACAGACAAAACATTATTCGATTCAACTTCAACTCAACCCAACAACAACGATCCCAGTGTGTATTTTCACCTTGTTTGCCTCGGCCGAGCAAGCCGTCGATCGCTTTGATAAACTAAGCAGACAGCACTCTAGTCAAGCGACCATGGATATCTCACTGCAAACTCACCAGTCGTACATCGGCCAGCCGGTCAGCGCTCTCCCCACACCCGCCCTGGTGGTGAGCAAGCCTGTGCTCGAAAAGAACGTGAAAAGGCTGCACGGTGACGTCGAGGCGTTGGGCATCGACTTCCGACCTCATGTGAAGACTCTCAAGGTATTATTCTATTCCGTCTGACACTACTACGTATGCCATAAAGGTGCTAGTAGATAGAAGACAGGCTGACATGCGGTCTAGAGTATTGAGGCCACACGGATCATGCTGGCTCATGGTCGATATAAGAAGATCGTAGCGTCGACGTTAAGCGAGATCCGCGGATGTTTGCCTCTGGTCAAAGAAGGTATTCTGGAAGAGGTACCGCTTTCCATTCATACCCGGAAAGTGATTGAACTAACCTATATTTTTTTTTTCTCGCAAAGTGCTTATACGGGCTACCTATTCGACCCTCTGTGCTAACAGATCTGGATGCTTTCACAAGCCAACATGGGTTGAAGATAGTGCTCATGATTGACCATGCCGATCACATTCGCATTCTAGAAGAGTTCAACGCACGCACCAAGCGCAGCAACCCCTGGCCAGCATTCATCAAAGTCGACGTCGGTACGAACCGGGCGGGCATTTTGAACTCCTCTTCGCGATTAGACGAGGTTATCCAGGCAGCCAACTCATCTGCGGCGGTATCAGTTTATGGTTTCTATTGCCATGCAGGGCATTCTTACGCTGCCAAAACAGCCGAACAGGCTGTGAAGGTCCTGAATGATGAAATCAACGGTGTTGTAATAGCAGCGAGGAGGCTTCTCGACCCCAAGACGGAACTTGTCCTCTCTATCGGAGCTACACCCACGGCGCATGTGGTGTCCAACATCAAAGCCAAGCTTCCCGAGAACACGCGGCTGGAATTGCATGCCGGCAACTTCCCGGCCAACGACCTTCAGCAAGTGGCTACTGGTCTCGTATCGCTGTCAGACCAAGCTGTGCGGGTTGTCGCTGAGGTGTGCAGTGTCTACCCGGAGCGCAATGAAGCACTCATCAACGCTGGAGTGCTTGCACTTACCAAGGAAGTAAGCTCGTTTACGGGTCTAGCGAGGCTGACGGAGGAAGTGAACTGGGGGATTGTGCGCGTCAGCCAGGAACATGGGATATTCGGCTGGGTTGGGGACGAGGCACAGAGCGAAATGGCGGAAGACAGATTCAGGGTCGGACAGAAGGTGCTGTTATACACACAACACTCGTGCATTACGAGCGCTATGTATTATGCGTTCTATGTGGTAGATGAGCAGGACATTGTTCGTGAGACATGGATTCCGTGGAAAGGGTGGTAGGCATCTTTGGCATCGCACCTGAAGCGGTAGTCTACTCAATGCCAGGCAAGCCGTTGATGACAATCGATATCGGCTTTATAATCGGCCCTATGACCAAATAGGAATCCATAGATGTAGATGTACTCTGTAGATAAGTTAGTTAACTAGTTAAGGGCTAAGACCCTGCGTCTGATTTTGATTCGCTGGTTATAAATAGCCCCCGTGCACAGTGTCCAATCAGATAGCGTAGTGCATCATTCATGAAGCGCTCCAGCCAATCACAGACCGCAGACGGCTCGGAAGGCTGGCATTTCCGCCATCCGCCGGATCTTGCGCCCTTCCGCTCGGGCTCGCGGTAAAAATTAGGCCGCGGCGTCGGGATTGCCCCGTCTTACTCACGGATGAAAGTTACGCCTGCCTGTACTAAGCACGGCTCAGCCAATCAGCAGCTGAGAATTCGTTGTGTTGGTCCGAATGCAGGGAGTCGAAGCTCAAACGAAACAAAAAAGGCATGGGAAGGGATCTACTACTACGAAGTATAGGCCGAGCAGTGGGGAAAGTACGTAGGCAGCGACAATTTAGAACTACGTATATAATGACCCTGTGCGCCCATCTTATCAAAATTCTATTCTCACACCTTTGTGGACTCTTCAGCTTCGCGAGGATGGACTAAGACCACGATCATAAGTCGCCAGGGAAAACTTCTACGTCAACCATCATGTCTTCCGAGTCCGTCGACGAGAAGACACCGACCGAGAAACCAGACCACGAATGGCCCCTAAAGCACAAGGTCGTGGCAGTCAAGGATCGCGATGAGCGCTCTGGATTCAAAACGCGCGAGCTCGGCGTGACGTGGAATAACCTCAACGTCGATGTCATCAGTGCCGATTCCGCCGTCAACGAAAACATGGTCTCTCAGTTCAACATTCCCAAGAAGATTTCCGAGTCTCGACATGAAAAGCCATTGAGAAGGATTCTTAGTGACAGCCATGGCTGTGTCAAGCCAGGAGAAATGCTTCTGGTCCTGGGACGCCCCGGTTCCGGCTGCACGACACTACTGAATATGATCGCAAACCGCAGGATGGGATACGCATCTGTGTCGGGCGATGTCTGGTATGGCTCAATGACGCCAAAGGAGGCAGAGGGATATCGAGGACAGATCGTTATGAACACCGAAGAGGAGCTTTTCTTCCCGACCTTGACTGTTGGTCAAACAATGGACTTTGCAACCCGCCTCAAGATTCCGCATCACATACCGAATGACGTCGAGTCCCCGGAAGCCCTCAGGCAGGAAACAAAAGAGTTTCTGCTCGAGTCAGTGGGGATATCGCACACGAGCGACACCATGGTGGGAAATGAGTTTGTGCGCGGAGTGTCTGGTGGAGAGCGCAAACGAGTCTCCATCATCGAAACCCTGGCTACCCGAGGCTCAGTGTATTGCTGGGATAATAGTACCCGTGGTCTCGATGCCAGCACTGCTTTGAGTTACACAAAGGCCATTCGGGCCATGACAGACGTGCTCGGTCTAGCGTCGATCGTTACTTTGTACCAGGCTGGAAATGGTATCTATGAGTTATTCGACAAGGTTCTCGTCCTTGACGAAGGTAAAGAGATCTATTATGGACCCGTGAAAGAGGCTCAGCCTTACATGGAGAGCCTCGGGTTTGTTTGTAGGAAAGGCTCTAATGTTGCCGACTATCTAACCGGTGTCTCCGTGCCTACTGAGCGACTGATCCAGGAGGGTTATGAGCACATCTTCCCCCGGAATGCCGATGTACTGCTCGAAGAGTATAAGAAATCCGAGATCTACCCCAAGATGACCGCTGAATATGATTTTCCAATGACTCAAGAAACCCAAGAGCGTACTCAAACATTCAAGGAAGCCGTGGCCTATGACAAGGACCCTGGACTCCCGAAGTCCAGTCCATTGACGTCCAGTATTCCAACTCAGATGAAGGCTGCCATCATACGACAGTACGAAATCCTTTGGGGTGATAAGTCCACTTTTATAATCAAGCAAGTTTCAACCATCATTCAAGCTTTGATTGCTGGTTCCCTCTTCTACAACGCCCCAGACAATAGCGAGGGGCTGTTTGTCAAATCTGGAGCTCTTTTCTTCTCTATGCTCTATCCATCCTTGGTCGCCATGAGCGAGGTGACAGACTCGTTCACAGGACGTCCCGTGTTGATTAAGCACAAGGCGTTTGCCTTCTTCCATCCTGCCGCCTTCTGTGTCGCGCAGATAGCGGCTGATATCCCCATTCTTCTTGTCCAAACTACCACCTTCGGTTTAATCGTATACTTCATGGTTGGTTTGACCATGAGTGCAGGTACATTTTTCACATACTGGATTATGATTTTTGTTACGGCAATGGTGAGCCAAGCTTCCCCCGCGGTGTCGTTCCTTTGAATTGTTTTTCTAATAATCCTTGCCACAGTGTATGACCGCCATGTTCCGTGCAATGGGTGCTGCTTCTCAAACATTCGATGGCGCATCCAAAATATCTGGTCTCGTCATTACAGCAACCCTTATGTATACGGGCTACATGATTGAGAAGCCCCATATGCATCCTTGGTTTGTATGGATTTATTGGATCAACCCACTTTCGTACGGCTTTGAAGCGCTCCTCGGTAATGAATACAAAAATAAGATTATCCCCTGTGCTGGAGGCAATGTTATCCCTATCGGTCCCGAATATACAGATTCGGCCTACCAGTCCTGCGCAGGCGTCGGCGGGGCTCTTCCAGGAGCACTTTCGGTGACAGGCGAGCAGTACCTGCATTCCCTATCATACAGTTCGTCCCATGTCTGGCGCAATTTTGGAATCTTGTGGGCATGGTGGGCGTTGTATGTTGGAATTACAATATTTGCGACCTCGCGCTGGCGTCTCTCCTCGGAGAATGGCCCGTCGTTGCTCATTCCACGGGAAACTCTCAAAACTGTCCAGAGCAAGATGTCTTTTGATGAAGAAGCACAGCCGCATGGGAAACCTGTTACAAGCGGTGGGGATAGCTCAGCCAATACACTGACTGAGAAGACTGAAAAGGCTGATAACAAAGCCAACGAGTCGGATGTCGACAACAACTTGATTCGCAACACGTCTGTTTTCACCTGGAAAAATCTCTGTTACACGGTTAAGACGCCTTCTGGAGATCGTCTGCTACTCGACAACGTCCAAGGATGGGTCAAGCCAGGTATGCTAGGAGCGTTGATGGGTTCTTCAGGAGCCGGCAAAACAACATTACTCGACGTCCTAGCCCAACGCAAGACCCAGGGAACTATCAAAGGGTCCGTTTTGGTTGATGGCCGTCCACTGCCTGTCTCCTTCCAGCGCTCTGCCGGTTACTGTGAGCAACTTGATGTTCACGAACCGTTTGCCACAGTCCGCGAGGCTCTCGAATTCTCGGCTCTCCTACGCCAACCTGGAAACGTCCCACGAGAAGAAAAATTGAGTTACGTTAACGTCATCATCGATCTTTTGGAACTGCATGACATTGCCGATACGCTTATTGGAAGAGTCGGTTGTGGTCTATCGGTTGAGCAGAGGAAGCGAGTGACCATTGGCGTCGAATTGGTTGCAAAACCCAGCATCCTCATCTTCTTGGACGAACCGACTTCTGGACTGGATGGACAATCTGCTTTCAACACGGTACGGTTTTTGAGAAAGCTTGCGGACGTCGGTCAGGCAGTCTTGGTGACGATCCACCAGCCCTCGGCACAGCTGTTTGCTCAGTTCGATACCCTGCTGCTTCTTGCCAAGGGTGGCAAGACAGTGTACTTTGGTGATATTGGCGACAACGGTGCCACAGTAAAGGAATATTTCGGTCGCTACGGCGCACCATGCCCCCCGCAAGCCAATCCAGCAGAACACATGATCGACGTGGTCTCTGGAGATCTGTCGCAGGACCGTGACTGGAACAAGATCTGGTTGGAATCGCCGGAGTACGAGGCATCGACTCTAGAGCTCGACCGAATCGTGTCTGAAGCGGCTGCAAAGCCTCCTGGTACTTTGGATGATGGCAGAGAGTTTGCAACTTCTCTTTGGGAACAGACCAAGATCGTGACGCATCGTATGAACGTCGCACTGTTCAGAAACACGGATTACCTCAACAACAAAATTATCCTTCACATCGTCGCAGCATTATTCAATGGATTCTCGTTCTGGAAGATCGGAGACACTGTCGGTGATCTTCAAATGCGTCTGTTTACCATTTTCCAATTCATCTTCGTCGCTCCTGGTGTCATTGCCCAACTGCAACCCTTGTTCATTGACCGCCGCGATATCTACGAGACTCGCGAGAAGAAATCCAAGATGTACTCCTGGGTAGCCTTTGTCACTGGTCTTATTGTATCCGAGATTCCATACCTCTGCATTTGCGCCGTCTTGTACTTCGTATGCTGGTATTACACTGTTGGCTTTCCGGACGACTCTCACAAGGCCGGCGCAACCTTTTTCGTCATGCTCATGTACGAGTTTATCTATACCGGTATTGGCCAGTTCATCGCCGCATACGCCCCCAACGCCGTCTTTGCTGCTCTCACAAACCCCCTTGTCATTTCCATGCTGGTCTCTTTCTGTGGTGTCTTGGTACCCTACAGTGAGATCCAAGCTTTTTGGCGGTACTGGATGTACTATTTGAATCCGTTCAATTATTTGATGGGCAGTCTGCTCACATTCAGCGTCTGGGATGCCCCCGTTCATTGCGCTGAGAGCGAATTTGCCGTTTTCGATCCTCCTAATGGGACATGCCAGGACTATTTGGCCGCCTACCGGCAAGGTATGGGTGCAGCAACCTTCCTGGCAAATCCCGATGCTACTTCAGGCTGCAAGGTGTGCGAGTATAGAAAGGGCAGCGACTATCTTCAAACGCTCAACTTATTGGACTATTATTACGGATGGCGTGACGCTGGCATCACGGTCATTTTCGCCCTTTCGTCTTATGCTTTGGTATATGCGCTTATGAAGTTGAGAACGAAGGCGTCTAAGAAGGCCGAATAGACGGTGGAGATTATAAATTATATACTATTGCTTGCATGTTTGTTTTCACTCTCTGGTTCTTTCTTTTCCTTTGCGCATCTCACGCGTCAGCGTCGATAGAGGAGGATTTGATAGCACGCATGTCGGTGCCTCTGCGCATTTGCTCTTTTACTAGACATATAGACAGATCTCTAATTATATAGACTTGGGGTGGAGAAACAAATATTAGATTTACAATTCGTTGCATTCGACTATTTCTAAAATCGCACTTGAATATGTTTGGTAGACTAGACTAGGCAAGTTCTGCTGGAGACACCGTCCGCGAAGGGTAGATTTGGTCTCTTTATGAGTCACTAATCCTTCAAAGTAAACATGTTAGTAATTAAGAACATCAAAGAGCAATCGCTAGTGGTAAGGCGAGATTGTAGTTGTTTCAGTTTGAGGTAATAGATGCAAAGTATAATCAAAGTATTTTCATATGGGGTTGAAACATAGATAAAGCATCTTTCATCATTGTAACGAGGTGAAGAACGAAGATGTATCATAAAGATGAGGCACGTACCTGATGAATAGCTATGTCATGTAGTAATTGTGGCCGATGAGCTGATGTGAAGGAGATCAAAAGAATTTTGAGGTTTGGAAGCTTAAATTCTAGCTCGCCAAATTAGCGCTCCACGTGACCACGCCGGACTATCTTATTGCCGACCATCTGTCCAGATGTCTAAGCTGGCAATGATAGCCTTCTCTGGCCATAACAGACTTGTCAAAACAACGCTGGCTTTGCCCAATACTTGAGGTGTGAATGTTAAATAGACGCCAATTCTACTTGCAAGAATCGAGCTCTGACTTGGATTCGCAATGGCCTAGCATCGCCATTCTTCCTATAGCCGGTCATAGTCATAGCCTTGAACTATATCAAGGTCGAGCGCGGGGCCATGCCATTGCGTTTTGAATTGATCGCGAGTAATTAGTTGCGCGGGTCACGCACGCCTTATCAAGCCTTAGTATCACTCTTGTTCGTCCTTGAGCAGGTCCCAGAGCTGCCGTGCTTCTTCCACAGTTTTGCTATCGAATTCCACACTCTTAGCTTCATCCGATGACTCGAGCGAGATTGATTGTTGCGCATCCAGGCCCTCAGCTGTCAGCTGTTCGAGCAGCCTCTCAACGCGATTCTTGACATCATCCATTTCTTGGATTTGATTCCTGGTACTCTCGAGTTGTTCTTCCATCATCAATATCAGCGACTCTCTTGCTTGGTGTGGTCGGTAAAGGTTGAGGAGATGGTGTGCGTTTATGAATAGATTTCGTAAATCTTCCAATTTGGCCTCGAACTCTTCGGGAGCTATAGAGAGCACGCCCACAAACTCGAGGAAGTTAAGTAGCAATGACTTGCTGATTTTCAATAGATAGTAGGCATGATTCAATGGCTGACCCCCGTTCTGATCGTCCTTTGTGGCATCCGAGGTTGGGGGATCGGGATAGAGTTGTTCGATACCTTGTTCTTTTAGAGAAGGGAGGTTTGTCGAGAGCTACAAAAACTACAGTTTAGGCTCAATGGACATAGAAAATTAGGGAAAAAAAATTCACATACATTTTGTAGCTCCCCAAAGACGCTATACGAGCCCTCGATTGGTGCTTCAGGTGGGATCAAATACCTTAGCTCAGGCGGCACGTCCAAGGCCCGCAGCTCGCTAGGAAGCCATTTCTTTTCGAAAATATCACCCTGCTCACTTTGCTGGCTGGATTCTTTCTTTATCTTGTCCAGCTTGTCTATGTTGTCGGGTGTGAAGTGTTTCCAAAACGGCGGAGGCGGAGGAAAAGCTGCTGTGAGGGCGCGCTGGCCATCAGCCATGACGGAGAGATAGCCAGTGATTCGTAGTCGCACAGCCCGTAATTATGAAATCCACTGGCTGATTTTCGGGGGACAGACTTGGATGCTGAAGAGCGCTTTGGAATTGAAGAAAGAAGGCGGAGGTTGGGAGGAAGAAAGAGCTCTAGAGAAGTGGGGCTCACATGATCTAAGCTTCTTTGCTGCCAACCACCACATCAACAACATACTCCGTACATGAATCAAAAAATATATATATATATACGACGCCACACGCAATTAGATAGTGCTTTGGAACTCAGACTACATCTCTATTTTCAGACTTTTTCGTCTACTTGATCTCCTACCGACCAATCGAGAACTATCACCATACGCACGGTGACGGCGAGCTCAATATCTACATTCATAGTTAGAGCACGAAGCGGTTTCAAATATTTTTTAGAATGAGCCAACTTACGAGAAACCTTCTGCGTGGAACCACACCTCCTTAGCACTGATTTCACCTTTGATGATTTGCTGCTGAGCAGAAACCGCCGCCTCTCCGACATCGTAAGCCATCGACGACGGGCCACACACAATAAGGCCGGTTGTGATACACTCCTCGCGGGCCACGAACTGCTGCACAGAAAGGGGCATATTGGGCCGACCTCTGAAAAATGTAACATTGAACATTTTCGTTATGGAGCTGCTGTCTTCCCGGAGTTTATTGACTTGTTTGGCGTCGTCATGCTCGTTGTGAAGCTGAGATGTTGTCGAATTAAAAGCTTTTTCCACATCTAAATGTCTAGTTTCTACATCTCCCAGGCGATTATTCTGACCAGTCTCATGAATATCGATCGATAGCCCTGCAACGGCATTTTTGAGTCCTGAATACCGCGTTGAAATATTCCGCAAGGCTTCATTATACCACAGCCGCATGTCAAGTTCACGGGTGGCAATGATTACTTTCAGTCCCCTGTTTGCACCTCCTGTCGTCTCCTGATAACGGATATAGTGCTCAATGAAAGAAAGAGTAAATCCAGCACCAGCGCCGCCACCTACAACGAGACACTGATCGGAAACACTCAACCGTGCGCTAGAAATACCACCGTACGGGCCATCCATGAGAACAGGAACTTCAACGTCGGGCTACTTCGTCGCCTGTGCCATCAACGATTTTGTTAGGCCGCCTCGCGGTCGGATATAGAACACAAGGGTATTAGTAGCCCCCACTATTTCAGACTTGGGAATAGAGCAAATCGTGAACGGATGAGTGGCCAGCATGTGCAACACGCCGCCTGCTAGGAAACGAAGAAACACATGTTGGCCTACAGTCCAATGTGCCGTTGACGTGTTAATTGTAACTTTCAACATGTCATTTGTCTCACGTTGAAGTCGTGCCTTGTGGCTAACACCGTACTCGAAATATGTTCTGCATTGCGAGTAGCACCAGGACAAGCTGTATAGAACAGTGGTGGCAATGAAATAGTCCCATGATGATAGGCGAAAGTCACAGTGGAAGAAAAGGAAAATGATGAATACCAACGCGGCCAGGTGATGCATTGATTTGAAGAACTCATAGTACCGGTTTCTAAAACAGAAACAACATTAGCTCGATTATTTTCAGAAAAAATGTTTTGCAGTGAGGGAAACTAACCGAAGCCATGGGACAGATGCAAAAGTGAGCCACGCTTGTGCAAGCAATGCAACCACCCCCGTTACCCAGACACCTCCGTCGTTCCACTGCACGACCAAGTCTCCCTTCCAAGTGTGGTAGACGATGAAAGGAAAGGTGTGCACCAGGGCCAAAACAAACATCGCCCAAGCGACCCAATTGTGCCAGCTGGTCAACTTCTCGTGTGAGATTCCCGTTAATAAGGCTATTGGGTTCGCCTTGGCTGCCAATATACTGCTCTCGTCAGGGTCTATCACCGCTGGATAGAGAGCTTATCAAGAGATGCAACATACTAGATGAACGGCATGCATGCTAATGCCATGAACCCTGCACGGGTGGCAATTGGGGGGGAATTTCCGAAGCTCAATTCTTTTGTGTTGGGCCAATAGTAAGGATGAGGACCGAGAGTCATCGCTGGAAAGACTCGTTGGTAAGAAATACGTTTGGTCTAGCGCTGTTTCCTTTGTGTTCAAATTTCTGTAATCATTCCACTCACCTAGGAAAAACACCACACCTGCCGCCGCGAGCAAAAGGGCACCAATTGAATGCGTGCTGCGCGCCATAACCCACCATCGCTTATAAGATAGAATGCGAAATATCGCCATCACGCGCGGCCATCCTGATTTCTTTTTTGAGAACCGTGGAGCAAAGACACTAACCCAATGTCCCAGCGTGAAGAGAGCAATAGCAACAAGAAAGAATGCCACTGTTGGAAGACCATACCGATGATCTGCTTGATACCAGAAGACCCAGTATTGGCTTTTGTACGCACATTGTTCAGCGGTCATAGAGCATTCCCCCAAGTTTCGAGACGAGTGCAGCATAACTGGCTGAGTTAGCCATGGCACAATTGGCATATTGGCTGTCAGAGTATCTCTAGAGTCTGACGATACTTAGGGGATGCTTCGACTTGGAGCGCTATCTCAAGAATTTCTAACGGCGACCACCACTTAAAATTTCGGTGAAGCGAGGTACACTCAGGGTACAGCATAAACTGCCATACACCGCCACAAGAACATACCGTTTCCTAATCCCATCCCAAATCAGATGGATCTCAGCTAGTTAATTAGAGCAGATTATTAGTCATACTGCCAAGGCCAACAGTGGGTAGGTACTACAACTAGATTGTAGGTATCTGGGGCAATACAAGAAAGAAGCTTTGTTGTTATCTCTGAGTGAGGTGAAAAACATGAGATCAGGTGTTTGGGAGTGGTTTGACGAGAACTTTTCAGGGCAAATGGTCTCATGAGGATCCCATTGTCGATGTTACCCAGGCCCGAAACACGTGGATTTCAAAGCCCTAGAATAACCAGCGGGTACCCAGGAGCAAGTTTGAGCAAATTTGTCAATCTAGATTGTAAACCTTCTTGCCTCTAGTTCTTGTTTTTACTTACGAATAACCTTCGCCTTGGCCAAATCAGATATCATATACTGCGTCCTGGCAGTGAAATCCGCTATGGCCAACATTTCGTTACATTGGATGTTCATGAGCAGATTAAGCTAATTTGAGCATGTTACTAAAGCGACCTCAACATATGATAACAAAACTCCATATATATCCTCTCACCTAAAATCTTTGCGTTTACAGCCTCTTTTATAGACAAATTGCAACGTTAGGGGGCGGAATGCCTCAACTGAAAAATGGATATGAATATGGATACGAGCACAATGTCCATGGCCACAACCACCGCTTCAGTGGCCATGTCTATGACTAGTTCGGTGGTGTCAAGCACAGCATCTCCGTCGTCTGCCATGTCGGGCAGTATGGATATGGACGCTATGTCATCCATGGCCATGACATTCTTTACTTCCGCGCGAACTCCGCTGTATTCGACAACATGGACCCCGATCAACGACGGCCAGTACGCCGGTACTTGCATTTTTCTCATAGTGCTTGCTGCGATTCTTCGCTTTATCCTTGCGCTCAGGCCTATCCTAGAGGCTCATGTCTGGAACGACGGTGTTCGCAACAACAGTCACTTTTTACATGATCATGCCAGAATTGAACAACAACAAACTAGTGGTCCAGTCTCAAACTCGTTTTCCAATGTCAAAAATGATATTACCAGTCGTTGGTCAGAATGGCGGGTCAATCCTGCCGCTGGTCGTGCCACGTACGAGTTGGTCATTGCTGGTATTGCTTATTTACTGTAAGTCGTTCTTTCCTCTTCACTTCTTGTTTATATCCAAATTATAAATCCTGGAGCTAAAACTCATCGTGACTAGTATGTTAGCTGTTATGACAATGAATGTAGGATATTTCCTGTCTGTTCTTGCGGGGATTTGGCTGGGGACATTCATACTAGGAGGCGTTGCTGCGGATAATCAGTGGTCTCATTGTTAATCTTTTCTTAAAGTTACAGAACTCAGAACTTTTCTCTGTGAATGTACCTAAGCATTAGGATGTAGAGAGCTATATCACTCGTCTTTCATTTTCCATTAGGGACCTCCGTATTCTTTCAGTTGTTAGAGCTGTGAAGGCCGTCGAGTAAAGAGACAAGAGCGACTGGCCTGTACATAGCAAGACACTTGACTTTATAACTCTATAACACAAAGATTCAATTTATACCCACTTCACTAAGTTCCTGAACGTAAATGGTCCTAAGTAAAAGCCTAGAGGATCGATAGCGCCGAGAGCGCCGAGAGGTCCAGCAGGGGGCTCAAAGGTTACGGAAATTCTGTATATTGCAAGTCCCATCTATAAGATTTTAAGGAACTTGACCTGCGCCAAAATGAGATATTCAAACAAAGAGTAAAGTCCGTCGCCTCGTTTCAGATAAGACACCTGGCTACTCCGGAGTGGCTGGCTTTGGCTGGACGATCCCAAATGCGAAGGAGACTGCACCGCAATGCTATAAATTCACAAACCGTGGCTCAATGTTTGCATTTTCTGACGGCAAAGAAATTCTGAGTCAGCACGTTGGTGACGGCAGCATCAATACTTACACTTGGACGTTGCGGCCGGAGGACTAGCAAAGAACGCTGCGTATGATATCGAAAAACCCGAAGCCATAAAAAGGGCAATGATAGAAGAGTTCAGCACATGGCACCCATATCAGCTCAGACAGTATATACTATACGCCGAAGGCCCGGTAGCTCGACCATTATACATGCTTCCAGTCGGATGGAAATGGCAAAGTCGTCCAGGATTGACTTTGGTAGGCGATGCGGCACATGTTATGACTCCTTATGCCGGGGAGGGCGTAAACCTCGGGTTGCAGGATGCATTGAAGCTTTCTCAAGCTATTATCAAGGCAGCAGCACCAACGTCCATTGACGACTCAGCGCTAGAAAACGAGGTCAAAGGGTTTGAGGACGACATGTTTGTGCGGGAGAAGCGAACTGCAGAATGCACTCTGGATATTCCTAAATGGACCATGTTCACTGAGGGGTCACTTGGTACTGTCATAGAGCCAGTTGTGCTCCACATTTTGTCGTTCAATATGGGCCCTTTTGCCTCGCTGTTCCTCTATCCAATCTTTGTGGTGGTTGTGTGCTCTTTTGTATACTCAAGATCTTCCATTAACCAGTCTGCAAGACTTGCGTGAAGCCAGTACTGTGGATTTTGAGGTCTTCTATCTGTCATATAGCTTGGTAGCTATATTGTCTTTTTCTTGACAAGTCTTAAAGAGAATCGAAGATTCAAGTGTGCTAGCAGTACATGGCATCTTGCTTAAAGTTTCGAGGCTGGCGGTCGCCGATGTAATATTTTTTTTTGTGCAAGACTAAAGAGAAAGTACAGAAAACGAGCTGATAAAGCAGTCAGAGGCTCGGCTGCCTGGCACTGCTCACTAGGAGGTCTAGGAGTCGTGGTGGCCCAAATATGCCTAGGGCATCCCATGGCTGTCTTTATTGGGATAGAAATAAACCTTCCAAGTAAACCCTCGATGCATATCTTTAATAATTATATCACCAAAGAGATGTCCCCTTACGCGAAGAACTGCCACTAGAAGTGGCTGAAAGACGAAGTATGGTCCTGGTGACAGCGAAATAAAGGCAGAAAACACACATAACATGAACATCACCAGAAGCCCCATTAAGGGGGCCTTGCTTGGTGGGCATGGTCAATATTCCGTTGTTACCTGGCTAGTCTCATAATCACTCACTCATTCTGATGAGCCTAGTCCTGGCTTGTTATGCATACCGACAGTTTGACGAATACGTGCACCCTCGCTGTAAATACTTCTCCGCACATCAGCCTGCGCTATGCGTACCAACGATATGTGCAGACTAGCTAATCCCTCGCTGGTTCGATGTCCTCTCTGAACCTTTTGTTTAATAACGTGCATCTCCCGGCGATTCTTTACATCATTTCTTTTTCCGCATGTTTCTTGCAGGTGGTCGGAGTGTCCCATTTCACACGCCATGTCTTTTCTCTTGATTCTTTTTCTCTCTGTCCAGCAGGATTACTCAGTCAAGGACGTAGAATTCTGGCTGTTGGCCCGGTTCTTCCTTCATCCTTCTGTTATGAGATAACAGCTTCCAGCAGAACCTTCTCAGCCCCGGATAATCCTCAAATAAAAGCCTTATAGTTTTGATCTCGTGCTAAATTATTAGATCAGTTAATAATGTGATGCTATTTGATAGGTAGCGAGGCTAATTGCATACTAATTCTTCACAAGACGCATGCTAAATTGCTTTCGACTACGTCAGCCAGCACACCAGCCTGGCGGATTCCCGTTAATCTCGCTATATTTCGTAACTGCTCTATGGCAAAGCCACGAGTTTGGTAGTGATTGTGCTCATCTTGGCACACAACATACAGCGGTTGTACTAGAGAAATAATGCCTAGAAAAGGGCTTTGTTTAGTCATATAATTGTCCACCATCGTCATTCGTAAGAGAGGGAGTATCATACGTGGAGAGTCTGAAAAGCAGAAAACAGACAAGTTAATATCTGAAGAGAGCTGACGTATAACAGAAAGCGCACCACGTTCCGTTCTTGAATGACCACTTCGACCTGAGATAGAGACGTTTTGCACGATTATATGGTTGATTAATATCCGTAATATACGCCAATTATTCCAAATTTCTACAACCCAAACGCCGGGATACACATGGCTTTTTCCCTCAAACAGAGTTGAGTCGTGGATTGTTTTGTAATTCCAAGCAGTCGGCACCACTGCTCTCCAGTTTTCGAGATCGCTGTCAATTTCGAGAGCCAATTCACAAATGACGTCTGGGTCAGTGATCTCGTGATTTCGCAATACAGCACGGAAATTGGCTATTCGGAAAGATATTTCTGCGAGGGATCCAGGACTGGAGAATTTGCCTGTGCGCCATTGCTGTCCGATACGACTGTTCTCAAAGTCATAGGTAGCTTGTACTAGACCCGAGGGAACTGGTAGTTCCTGCTGCATACAAGCCAAAAGCTATAATAGCTACTTCAGTTTTTGTTTTGCCGTCACAAGCTAGAAATGGAGGCAAAGGCGGCTGTTGCTGAGAGCGATGGAACTTACTATTTGAGTTCGGCTTTGGATATAGAGCAGTACTCCGCGCTCCTTGTTGAACTGCTGCGCTCCGCGGAGTCCCAACAACGTCGTAGCTGCTTTGACATGAGATTTCCAGTCATTATATCGGTCCCAAGTCTCAAAAGTAACCATCTACATACACACTGTATGTGAGAAAATGTTTCCAATTATCACAGATGGTCTAGAATATAGGTACCTCGAATACTCCAAGTAGCAGGACTGCCATCAGTGTTGAATCACACATCACTTGAGATTTGTCATTTAGTGTACGTTTCAAGGCCGCTATTGCCTCGCCGTATTTCTGTTTGGATCTGTGTAGTACGTCTGGCGCACCTGAGGTATTGGATATACCTGCCATTCCTACGGCCTGTATTCCTGCTCGCATAGCACTACTGCCTCTTTTTTGATCATTGTACGATCGCGTTAACCATTCATGGAAGTCGAGTGAGTAGGGCGGCACGTTATACGTATACTTTGTGAAGAAAAAGTTGGCCCCAAGCTCTGTGATAGGTTGAGAAAGTGGGCGCGAGATGTTATTAAGCCCATTCTTCAATAAATCAGGAGTTCCTCTTTGGTCGTCAGTGAGCAGAATGCCTGCACGGCATGCAGAAGAAGCAAGGCAAGAATCCTGCCTAGCTTTCCGAATTATACGACAGTTCTCGTCGCGAAACAAGACCTCGTTTAGATCCCGGTATCCGGGACATGCCATATCCAGCCTTTCGCATTTCATGCAGCCTGGCTTCCGCTGGTCACACTGGAGAAAAGGAATTAGCTTCGAAAGTGGCTGTTGGCTTGATTATACACGGTGCAGGGACATGCCTTGACCTTCCGTCGCCGACAGCGTTCACACCCTTTGCTTAACACGCCGTGATATACCATGTTCGGAGGCTAGACTGTGGCCCGCGAGTATTTCCATGCTAGAGATGCAGATACATATTGACTTTCTTTTTAGATATTCGCCAGGTTCTACTTCCCAGAAAAATGTTTCCATCGTCAAGTTAAGCTTCCTATTCCAAATTAGCGTCGGAGCTCGCAGTCCTACACCGAAACAGGGTTAGCGTCATATAATTCTTGGGTGATAGGAGTAACGACGCTCTGCTACAACAGCTGCAGGAGATAAATACTTCGTCTCTCCCAGATACATTTACCTCTTGTCCTATGAAAAATCTTTGTTTATTTTTCCTCGGAGACTCGTATTCGTGCGTGCCGAAGCTTTCGACTTTCAACTTTTGTGTATTTCCTATTACGGATCATAAAATCCAGAGAGAGTGCATTTCCTCGTCCCCCATTATGTCTCAACAATTCCAGAGGGAAAAGACATTCAGCGCTTACAGCCAAAACCAAGGCAATGCGTACGCTCAGATCCGTCGCGATTACCACCCCAACGTGTATCAAACCATCATCGACCATCATACCTCAACTGGCGGCAGACTAGATACCCTTCTCGATGTGGGTTGTGGCCCGGGACTTGCTGCTCGTGCACTAGCCAAGCACTTTACACATGTCACTGGACTTGACCCTTCCGAGGGGATGCTAGCCACTGCTCGCTCCCTGGGTGGTACTTCAGCCTCCTCCGAGCCTATCCGTTACGAGGTCTCTACGGCCGAAGAGCTAGGCCAAGACCTGTCAAGGTCTTCCATTGAAGAGTCAAGTGTTGATCTCATAACTGCTGCAAATGCTGCCCATTGGTTCGACATGTCCCGTTTCTGGCTAAGGGCGGCCAAAGTACTGAGGCCCGGTGGAAGCGTTGCATTATGGAATAGCGGTGAGATGCGCGCTCATCCTTCCCTGCCCAATGCAGATGCTATACAAGCTGCAATAGATGAATATCAGGACCGTCAACTGAAGCCTTATCGTGAGGTTGGTAATATCATGGCACGGAATCGCTATACTGATCTTCTGCTGCCTTGGAATATGTCTCATCCCATGAGTGACTTCGATGAGGCAGCATTTTTCCGCAAAGACTGGAATCCAGAGGAAGATTTCTTTGTGGGCTTACCGGAAGCTGACTTGGGCACTTTCGAAAAGCTTCTGGCAACGCACAGCGCCTATACGCGCTGGGCCCAGGCGCATCCTGATATTGCCGGCACGGATAAGGATCAGCTGAAGATTCTCCGCAAAGAAATCGAGCGACTGTTACGCAAGGCGGGAGTGAAAGAAGGAAGCGAAAAGATGAAATGTACTGTACACGGCACAATACTGATAGTGAAGAAGATCTAAGAGACCGAAATAAGAAGATGAGGACGTATCATTTTGAGAAATTCGATGCCAAAAAAGAAAGGCCAAAATCGCTACTGTTCTTGTTTGTTTCAAATTCCCTCCAACGCATCCTGCCAAGCCAAGGAGATCTGTGGTACAATTGTACAGCCGTATCAAGGGCTGCCAACGGTTCTGATTCGAGGCCTGATTATTGATCAGGAAATTAACATATCAGTGCCTGACGGCTTTGGGCAAAATCCTGGGTGTATGTGACGGATGTAGAGTGATGCCTGCCGCATAGCAAATATAAACCAGCACACATGGCTATGAATATGGCAGTAGTTTACCTCGTCCTCAACATGTGCCCAGAAGTTACTCCCAACCAGCCTAGATTTCCCACTCCCATTGGATATTAAATGTCCTCTTGTTTGCAGGTTGAGATTATCATTTTTTTTTCCCACTTTACCTTTCACTGTTGAGCGCCGGACCAAGTTCTTTCTTAGGCGCATTCCGAGGTCTACGCCGTCGGATTGGCTCCTGCGGATATTCACAGGTTTGGTGTTGGCCTGAGCATGTCGACCAAGGGAAACCCCTATCGCACTTGATCTTACGCCGATGACACGATCGACAGGAGCGCTTGGATAACATTCTGGATTGGGCGTGCTACTACAAGACGTTGGTGACTTTTGACTCGGCGCACCGACCGGATCGCATGCAAACAGTACAAACACCTTTTGTAAGTGCTGATGCTGTGATATTCTCTTAGGATCTGAGCGTGCTTGAGTGTCAAATGAAAAGCTTCATAATCGGAAAGAAAACGAGGTAGATCGCAAGCTCGTCTGGAAGAATTTCGTTCACCTCCGGAGTATCGAACTGTATGCAGTCACAGAAGATATGCGTTTGAAGAGAGGCGTCTTGGTATGGAAGAAGGGATTAGTTTATATGATCTTTCATACTTACAAAGGTAGAAAAAGTCTCCAAAGTTGGTTCCTTTTCTGGCATGCTCTGAAGTAGACCCTTAATGGGCGCCTAGAATGTAGGCTAAAATTCTCCCACAGCCCCCAAAACGGGGCTGCTTCAGGGCGAAAATAATAACTATTATGGTTGAATAAATAAACACACAATTGGTGTGGATTATGTGATAGGCCGAGAAGGATCAATGTTTTCTGTGGCTGGCAAGCTGACATGCTTAGCTTCAGCCCCGAGTTGAAAGTTCCTCCTTTTCCCCGCCCCATAAAAGCGCCCGAAATCCCACCAGCGCACGCACTGTCCAGACTCGAAAGCTTCAAAGTTCAAGCTATCTTTCGACTGGTGCTGACTATGGTTTATAGAGGAAAGCCCGGTCTGGGCTGTGCGCTATGCCGGAAGAGACGATTGACTGTACGAGAGTGCCTCCAGAGATGAGCGACACAGACCAGCTAATACTTGATTGACCAGTGTGATCGTCTCGTCGTCGGCCATCGTGTTCTCAATGCCTGAGAGTGCACCAGGAATGCTCTGGCTATCGAGACCCCAACGCCCTGCGGATCTATGACCATAGCAAGGAGGTTGCTGCGAAGGCCCAAGCCCGACGTACCAAGTCAACTGCTGTGCAGCAGTCGACTTCCATAGCATCTTCACCTGCTGCTCCCCCTATCTCAGCAGACCAGCAAGCTCTATCTTATATCTTCACCTATTATGTCGGCACCATCCGAAACCAGGGCTTATTTCCGTAATTGCCGGACTTACTGAGCGCGGATCCCTCTGCTGCGCTGCAAGCAACTGTCAAGGCCGTAGGGCTGGCAAGCATTTCAAGAATGCCCGGGGTTGCTACTACCTTGAGGCAGTCGGCAGGGGAAGAATATTGCAGAGCTCTGCGTGCTACCAATGAGGTCTAAGAAACCCAGTTTCGGCAAAGTCCGACTCCACGCTGGGGGCTGTAGTATTACTGAGCACGTATGAGGTGGGATTTCTCTCTGTCTCTGACTGTCCACAGATGCATATTTGCTAACAAAATGCACCAGTTAATCACATGCCAGGCTTCAGATCTCATGCATGCATGGATGAATCATGTCCGAGGAGCGACAAAGCTTCTTGAGCTACGAGGCATAGATCAATTAGACTCGCACACAGGGCTGGAGTTGTTTACACTTGTGCGCTTGCAAAATGTAGGTTAATCTCTCTTTTTGTGGAAAGCTTCTTTTCTTGGTCTAACATGTTTTGTTTCTAACCTGTAGGCAATCAGTAGCGTATTTTTTAGATCCACGAGCCATAGATCCCCAAAGATAGCGGCATTGTCAAATATCGCCAGATCCAAACGGGATGAACATCACCAGCCGATCGAACATCTCTATAATATACTAATTGGGCTGAACGACCTGTCTCTCGAGGTTGATGATGCGCACTTACAACCCGATCCTGTCAGGAACCTGGAATCGCTGATCCAGACAGCCCTCCATCTTGATGCTGATCTAAGATCATGGACTATGTCGCTGGGTTCATCGTGGCGTTATACCGTCGTCGAAAATCCACATTCTTGCCTTCAAAATTCGCCCATTCATGTTGACAAATACCATGTTTATTCTGATGTCAACATCGCTTCAATGTGGAACCATTATCGCCAAACACGGATCGTTCTCAATGAGATGATCAAATCAATGTCCCTACGTCTGTGGGAGCTACAAAGATCACCGGAATGCGAGCAAACCCTATATCAGTCGAGTGCCATCATCGAGCAAGTGGTGGGTGATCTTTGTGCTAGCATTCCATATCATTTTACAACTGGAGAGGCGGGCTTTGGAGGCACAATCCGGCTGCTGTGGCCTTTATTCATTGCGGGTAATTGTACGGGCACAGACTCTGCCAGCAAAGAATGGAGTCTGCAAACTCTCGATATAATTGCGAGCGCTACGGGTGTCCAGCAAGCCGTTGGCATGGCACAGCTCCTCAGAAAGGGAGACGCTCTAGGCATCATTCCTAGGACATGAAACGAAGCAAGTTTGTTTAAGATGTTTGATTTGTCTAGTGAAGTTATAAGCAAGAAACACTTCTTACTTTTTAACTCAAGTCATAAATACACTCCGCCATCAATCCTTCGAAGTAAACCTGCTTAACAGTGGAGGATCAGCGAAGATGCACTTTATGCTGTACTGTCGGTATGTTTGGCTCTCACCTCAGTATACTTTCTGTCTAAGCCGGCCGCATTGGACTAACGCTGCCCATCTCGGTTTGGTGTGGCACAGATGCCTGGTCTTTCTTCCCAATCCCAATTACACTGGGCCGTGGTGTTTGTTCAGGAACTCCTTCCGAGGCTGCATGTTGAGCTAGCTTCTTTTTCATTGTGAATCCGAGAACCAGGCACATATTGACGCTTTGTCGAAAGGATGATGGTGTCCGATGGAATTTGCGGATGTACCCTGTGTACAGCGAGGGGAGACCTGGATAGGAGGTTCAAATGAAAGATGGATTGTCTGACTTGCCCGAGGCCTTGCGATTGTAGATATGGATGAGGGTATTTTGTGTGAAGCAGGGCATGTCGAGACTGGGTGCCCTCGAGGATTTATATATCAAGGACAACAGACCCCATGCTTGACTCGCTAGGACACAGTCACGCTGTTCCTGGCATTTACTACACAAATGAGAGCAGAGCTAAATTGGATATTGATACGAACACGCCCTTTTTCAACGTTCTTTTCTGAATTGAGGCTTAGCGGCACCGGCCTAATCGGGTAACCAGTGCGAATTACGCTGGTCGGGGAGATTCATCTCGCATGACATCCTGTGACGGGGGTTGCAAGAACGTAGCTAGGATTCGGCTTCGGCCCAGGGATAGATTCGAATATAGAACGTATATACACGTATGCTCAGCAGCTAATCGCTGCTTCACGAAGGCCTGAGGCCGCCCGCGGTTATAAGGCAATGCGTGCCAAGCCGCTAGTCCAATTAGCGGCGGGAAGCAGGGCGAGGTCACGTGCTCGCCGTACTTCGAAGCTATTCCCAACTCCATCCAGGATTCCGCCTTACACATCCCTTAAGCATGATGAGTGGCGTCAGAGGAAAATTGATTAAATTCGATAAGGAATGGGTAATTAAACATAATAAAAACAAACATGAGTGCTAATTGCGTCGTTCAAGAATCCCAAGCTCAGCCTCCGGAGTAGAATGAGCCCTAATCTAATAGGGTAGTGAAAAGAAGGATCAGTTCAGGTGAAAATTGTATAATAAATTTGTACACTTGAATATTTTCAACCATTTGTTGCAGTCTTACGCAAATAGGCTTAGCTTATATAAACTTTACTATGATTGGTCTGCGAGGCGCAGCATGACTTAGAGTCTTGGCAGGTTGCGAAGCGTCTGAGTTGTGTTGTTTATTTCCAATTCCATATCTCATGGTGTCTCCTTGTTCTGTGTTCTTCAGATGACCAGAGCAGCCATGTGCGAGCTCTAATACTACATAGAAACAATTATGCAAAGGGTCTTCCAAACAACATGCCTGTTGTGCGGCAGAATTGAGTAAACAAAGCAACACCGAAACAGAACGCCTTCACAATCATGCCTCCATTTCCTCCACCACGAAACAGCATGGCATTTTCAAACCAGCCTGGGCCCATAGGCGCGATAGCCCGGTTCTGGCTCCGATCCTATGCCGCCGACTATGTCGCTCTGGGATTCGTTGCAACGGCGTTTGTTCTGGTGAGTGTGGACTGAACCACCACCAACAGTGAACAGCACCATTGTTAACTCTGGCTCACCAGATTCAAATATTTGTCACCCCATTCCACCGAATGTTCTACCTGGATAATATGGCGATTCAATTTCCCTTCGCCAAAGTCGAACGAGTACCTATACGTACGGACTTGCCCTCATCTTGGTTCTTGATATTCCATCGCTTTGCGTCGCATCTTACTAATGTGTGTACATGGATCAACTACAGTATGGTCAATTATATATTCAGCCCTGTTCCCTGCCCTAGTGTTACTCCTATGGGGTCTCGTTACTCGACCACCCGCCTCCAAGTTCCATATCAGCCTTCTCGGCCTCATCGCTTCCTTGACTGTTACTCCATTCATAACAGATATCATCAAGAACGCCGTGGGACGTCCGCGGCCGGATCTGATAGATAGATGCCAGCCCGAAAGCGGTACTCCGCAACACAAACTCGTGACTTGGAACGTGTGCACACAGGCCAATGAGCATATACTGCAAGAGGGATGGCGCAGCTTTCCTAGTGGACACAGTAGTTTTGCATTTGCTGGCCTGGGATTTCTATCACTGTACGAATCTATCAATCTTTATGTATTAAATTCTTTTTTCTGGCACCTATTTATTGACTTGCTATCTTCTACTATAGGTTTTTGGCCGGTCAGCTACACGTATTTCGACCCCGCGCTGATTTAGGCCGCTGCCTTCTCGCCTTTACACCCACTCTGGGCGCCATCATGATCGCCATATCCCGGTGCGAGGACTACAGACATGATGTATGGGATGTCACGGCGGGAGCCGTGCTCGGGTCGAGCGTTGCCTATTTCACATATCGGCGATATTTCCCTTCTCTAGCAGACAAAAAATGCCATATGCCATACGACGGCACCGATGCACCATTCACCAGCGCAGATGGGTTTGTCAAACTTGTCGATGACGAGGAGAGGCTGTTGAGTGGTGTGGGAAATGGTGCGGGCGAGGCTGAACAGGAGCCGTCGCTTCAGGTGCGTATGGACAATGTACCAAGAGGGCAAGGTGGTCGATAAAGCGAAGCATTGTTATTTTCTTTTCTCTCCCTTTAGCATGTACATATGATCTTAGAGATGCATTTCGTAAATAATAAGCTCATGACCCACATTGTGCTCTAGCTGGCTCCTTCATTCAGGGAAAGTTAGAAGACGAACAGCGAAATAGATAATTCATACGTATCGAGTTTAGGTATTATATACATGTACAACAACTTTCACCGCAATTTTAAAGCTTGGCCTTTGTTTGGGCTTTCTTGAGGATAGGATCTAGCTTAGTCGCCTTCATCACGTTTCCCTTGATCTTGAGCTTTCCGCCCATGAACAGCCGTTGCGGATTAGCCTTGCCGGAGACGAGGTTGGCAAAGTCATCGTCGGAAAGAACGAGGGTGACTATATAACATGTGATGTTAATTTAAACATGCCTCTTTCCATTCAATGTAAAGGAAAAGGGCGAACTCGAACTCACCATCGGGCTTCTCGCCAGTACCCGTTCCAACTTTCCCTTCCTTCTTGAGATCAATGTGCCATGAAGCTTGCTTGCCGGAGGAGTTGGTCAGAGTGAAAGCGTAGAGACCGGCGCCCTTCTTGATAGCGTCCTTGCGCTCTGCTTCGTTGGCAGTCAGGGCCTGGTGAATAGCGTCGAAGGCGCCGGAGGAAGGGAAGGAGTCTGCACGTTGCGATTCATCATCAGAAAGAAGTCGATAGAAAACAAAGGCGAAACGACTGATACATACCGTCCTTGAAAGACATGTTTATTGGTTTTCGTGTGTATGTGTGTGTATGTGTGTGTATGCACGGAAAAAATAAGGGCTGGATCAGTCCTAGTCACAGCTGGGTAGGGACAGCTCTAAATAGGTGCTGCTTGAGCCTCGGCACAACAGCAAGATCTGCTGTGGAACGCACCTAGCTCTAGTTAGCTTGTAAATATGGAAAGATCCACCAAATCAAGTCTGTGAAGCTAGTTTGGCGAAGAGATTCCGTCTCTGGAGGAGGTTGGTCGTTCGGTCAGGATGGGTGTGGTGGTCAAAGGAGCGTGACGTCTGTCAGAATGCGCGGGCATGTGATCGTCCGCCCTACCGCCTTCAAGCTTGGCTGCCGAGGCTGGCTTTTGCTTACATTCAACTTTCGTCATATGATATATAAAGAGAACTATATATACTTTGAACACAGTATATACTTGAAGGATACATTTCTATAAGCGAAAGACGTCGAATTTGAATATCGCAGAGAATGAACTTCTGAGAGAGTGAACGAATATTAAGATAGACTTTATTAAGGCCCTGTTCAACAGTAACTCCCTTTCTCCACTTTCAAGTAAGCCCACCTTATTTCATCTGCGCATTATGACAATCTTGCTCGTTTTATTCGTAGGAAAACAAGACAATGGTATCAGGGAAAACGCTGACATTGTCTGAGTAGAGTGCGTCGCTGCTGCCATTGATGGTAATCATGTTTGTGGTACCAACGGTGTTGTAGCCGTAGATGTTCAAGTCGGAAACGTCGTCAGTGATGCGGAAGATCTCGCTCTGGCAGTCTTCGGATCCGCCACTGTCGGAGCAATTGGTGCTGTAGTTGTCAAAGAAACTGTAAAGGCCGACTCCGTACATGGCAATGCTAGAGCTACCGCCAGTAATGCTCAGACCAAGGGCATCGCAGTTGCCTTTGAGGCAAGTGCTGAAGTCAGGGTCGTTCCAGGTCGTGTTGGACGTGTAAGGGCCCGATGTGGCATCGGGGCTAGGCTGGTAGTAGGGCGTCTCAGTCTGGAAGAAGCCACCGACCACATCGGTGGCACCATCGAATTGGAATTGATAAAGTCCATGATGCTCAGATGAAACACCCCACCTTAGTAAGGAGAAGAGACAACATGTTAGTCTGGGAATAGTGGCACAATCTAAGGTTACTCACATCTCGACATTGCTACCCTCAACGAGCACACCACGACCAGTGTAAATAGACAGCTGCGTGTTATCCGCGCTGTCAATGTCATGATCGGCGGTCCAGAACCAGTTGTTCTCCAAATAGACATTTTCGGCATCTGAGGTGATGTAAACATCCAGGAAACCAGCCTCACAGGAGGACGACACAGAAGCAGTAGTTGGGCAATCCGCAACCTGGAGGTCAGAGCCTTCCCATCCACCAGTCATGGTATGGACGTCCCACATGCCTGAACCCTGGTCACCTTTCAGGTTCCATTCAATGAGAATTGCACCGGCAGTGCCACCGATGGTGCCGACACGCATGTCAGACCATTCGACAGTGCCTTTGTCACCGCTCTTGCCAACTTGAACCACTGGATAAGGGTTGCTGATATCAGAGAAAGCATCACCACTGGCGGCAATGACTGGATAACTTGCTCCAACGACCTTGGAGCCGGGAGGGACATAAATAGTGTCAGAAACCAGGTAAATACCATAGTCGAAGAACAAAATCGAACCATTGTTAGCAGCTTTGGTGAGAGCATCATTGATAGCATCTGTGTCATCGGTGGTTCCGTCACCTGCAGCACCGGCATTACGAACACTGACCACTTCACTGGTAGTGTAAGACTCATACTGGGGCTTGGGTTTGGTGTAGTAGTTGGTGCTGCCAGAAGCAGCAAGGCCTGTTGGTCTGCTAACAGGAGAATAGGTTCCGGATAGAGTACTTGGCCCGGTAGGAGTGTACTCGTGGCCCAAGCCCCAGCCTGCAATGGTAGTAGAACCGCCCTTTAGCTCCACGCCGTCAGGTCCGACAACAGCAGTGGGGACGGCATCCAAAACAATGTTTTCCAGGATCAAGCCGTTTGCACCGGCAGGAGTGGCAGTGGTACTCCAAGTGACGTTGACAAAGGTATCCACATCGGTAATGGTACTGTCAAGGATAGTGACTCCTCCGACCTCTGCATCGGTTTCGCTGCCTCCGAATACGAGGCCATTAGTACAGTTGTTAAGGGTAAGGCCGATGTAGGTCCAGCCCCAATCCCAGATTTGGCTGACACCGTTTACAGCGTTATTTACTGTAACGTTGCGGAAAGTGTACTGTTGGTTGCCAACGTTGAGACCATACAGACCACCATTGACAATAACATCACCGATGAATCCAGCAGATCCTAGACGAGCCTCTAGTTAGCTGGTTCTGGGTCTTGTAGAAAGACTATTCATATTGAAATGCATACCATTTTCAATGAAAAGGCCCTGGTGCTGCGTGCCAGATTCAGTGCTCAAGTGGATGACCACGTTCTGGATGCTGGTTGCCTGGGCTGTAGGCCAATGAATACCAGTAGCGGCAGTGGTGCCTGGAATGTTGGTCATGTCAATAACGAGGTTGCGGATTTGACGATAGAAGACGTTTGTTGAAGTCCAGCCTGTGTTACCGTCATTTTGGTAGGCATCACCGTCAATTAGACCAATTCCGGTGAAGTTGGAAGTAGCCTGGAGGATGGCTGGGCTGTTAGGGTTTCCAATAAGTTGAGTCCAGTAGTAGTCAATGATAGGCGATGAGATCACGTATGTGCCTGCAGGGAAATAGACAATGGCCGGTGTTTTGGTGCTTGTTTCTTCACTTGACGGGCTCTGGCGATCACCGTCGCTGATGGCAGCCTGAATTGCTGCGGTATCGTCGGTAGTGCCATCTCCTATAGCTTTCGTTAATCAACCAAAGACCTTTTTCGAGCGTCCAATTGGTACTTTGCATGCACTTACCGGTTGCACCATAGTCCTTGACGTTGCGGAAAACAGTGTAGCCGCTAGTGGCATAAGGAGCGACTCCCTGATGAGCGACATCGGCCAGCCAGTAGGGAGGATCAGATACGGTGGCAGCGGCGGCGGCGACAACAGCAGAAGAAGAAGAGACCGCTATAGAAGACGACGGAGTAGGTTTCTTGTGGTGGGAAGAGTGATGGGGTACCGCGCTCGCGCCAGCGACGAGCAGGGCGGAAAAAAGAGCGGAAGACCAGCGCATTCTCGCCGTATATCAAAGGAGTGTGAAGGCGATTTGCACAAGTGAAAACAAAAAGGAGTGTGGTTATGGTTGGTCAAACTCACTCGCCTCCGGGGGAGGGAGGAGAGAGGGATTTTTGTATGTCATTGTCTTCTTCTCTCTTCTCTTCAGAGAGCCATGGCGCTATCGAGATCCGCAGTAGGGTTGCTTTCAGTGCCACCAGATCCTAGGCTATATGTGGGAGGCTAGGGACATATGCCATTCGTAATTGAAGCAGATCAGCTGGCACTAGCGATGCGGTTGCATGGCGGTATTGGAGCTGTGGCTCAAGCCTTGGAGCGAAGCGTTCCGTACGCACGGGGAAACACGCAAGCCGCCGATGGGCTTTTGCATGAGCCGTTTGACGTTTCATTTGCAGCAGCTTCATCGTAGCGACGGGCTAACTGCATGGGTGCATGGTGCAGGCGAAGTTGTTCGTCCAGTTACACCCCCTAAAGTAGCCAAAATTCAATCCCGAAGAGATCGGCGGCCTCAGGCAGTCGGGGACGCTGTGTCAGGTGGCCGCCATGCCTGTTGCGGCTAGCGCCAGGGGCATTCACATGTGACTTTCTAAGCTTAGGACGTCTGCAACCTCACAGCAGATCCCAATAACGACTTGCTACTGACTTGATAGTGGTTGTGATACTTACGCGTTCTCGACAACAGCATGGTCGTGCACAGAAAAATACATAAGTTACGCATATGCATATTCTTACGGACTGCAGGAAATGCTTATAGTCGATCTGCAGCCATGCTGCCGGCCGATTTCAAAACGAAAGAACTAATGCTGTCGATCGCGGTCCGAATCGACCAAAGGATAAGAAGAATTGACCTGTTTCGTACAGATGGATACTCCGTGCGGTAGTCGAGTAGTAGTACTGACTACTCCGTGCCGACACGTATAATTGAAATGTGCAACGCTAACATGTTCAGCCTCTCTGGGCAGGACCTGGGACATAAAGGCTAATATGGGCTCAGTGAGTACGCAGACTCCAAAATAGAGGCCTGAGGCACTGGCCGAGCATGTTCTTGATTTCAGTATATGGGGCTCTGGATCTTTATCATTCTCAGCTTGACCGTGACCGTGGACAACACAAATGCTTCTCTTTCGTCGTCTAGTATATATGACTACGTAGGTACGAAGTATATGGAATAAGATTACACCAAGTAATTTTCATTGATTTTATCTGCTTGGTGGGTAAAAGCAAGTAGTACAGATTTATATATAGTTATTCATGCGCACACTCAAACCACGCCGGTGAAGTCTTGGAACCTCTCAGGGCTGAAGTGTATCAATAGCTTAGGTAATCATGATATATGTTATTAATATATAACTAACGTAACTGGTAAGCCACCCGGCCATGTAAGCGACCCAGCCACCTCCACCCAGAAACGCGTTCTATTTTGATCTTATAACTTCAACGCGTTAATATACTACTAATTTATAAGAAAAATCCTTCAAAATTAGCTAAATTAGAAGGAAAGATTTAATTAGCTATTTTTAATTTAAAAAATAGGAATATTCAAAGTATTTATAAAGTTATATAGATTTATATTATCTCTTATATAATTTTTTAAGACTAACTAAAGAGAACATAATATAAATATATAAAATATACTAATAGTTATAAATTCACTTAGTTTAAAGAGAAATTACTTATTAGATAGATATTAGATTTAAATAGATAAGAATTACCTCCCTAACTATCTATAGTATAAGAAATGGCTAATTATCTTCTTTCTTAATATAGAAATTAATAGGTTAAAGAAAAATAAGTTTATAATTTAATTTAATATCACTTAAAGCTTAAATTGCGATTTTCTTAAAAATATAATTATAAATATATTAAATATAAAGATCTAAAGATAATCTAAGAATATTTTGACTATATATAAGAGGTTATATTAGAATATAATATCTTATTAGAAGATATTTATAACTTTAATAAGACTAGCTTTACTATAGGACTTTATATAATTATAAAGATTATTATTAAAAGTAATTAATATATCTATTTAAAGCTATTATAACCTAATAATTAAGAATAAGTAACTTTAATTAAGACAGTTAATTCTACTAGATAGGCTTTATCTTTATATATAATTTTTAAAGTAATAAAATATATATAAAAAGACTGATTTAAGATTCTTTTAGATAATTAAAAAATTAATATTAATGATAATAGATAGATAATTAATAATATTAATATAAATTAATTTTAAAATCACTTTATTTCTCTTATAAATGATTATATAATAGGAAGATATTAAGTGTTAATTCTTAATAGTTATAAAAGTTATTTAACTATAGAATTTGATTATATATGTATTAAGAATAATATTATTTTAGTCTATATATTTTTATATTCCTTTTATCTCTTATAGCCTCTTAATATTAGCTATTTTGTAGTTATAAAATAGAAATATAGATAGCTTATTAAATAGCAGATAAGACTTAGATTTAATTATATTAATAAAATTAATTTTCTTACTGTATTTCTAGAGATTTATATAATAATATATAAAGCTAAGACTATTTAGAAGGGCTTTATAGCTATTAGATTAATATTATATAATCTAGATTAAATCTATTAATAGCTTATTATTTAACTTAAAACTTTTATATCTTTTTTAAGTTAATTAAATAATATTTAATTATTCTGCTTATAAACATCTTAAAATCTATATCAATTTAAATATTAATTAAGTATAATAAAGAGATATATAAGCCAGCATATAGGAAGTCTATTAAGTTTAGTTAATAAGACAATTAATTAGATATCTAAGATATATAAAATAATTATAAATAGCCTTATACTTCTAGAGAAAGAAGTTTATAATTTATAGGCTACATATAAGAAGAAGAAGTAAAAATATAGATAATCTAGGAAATAGATAAAATATGAGTAAAGAATTATTAGAGAGAAAGTTTAAGCACTTATATAAAATTAGATTAAAATATTTTAAAGTATTACTATTACTCTAGCTAAGTTTAAGCTGCTAATCTTATAAGTAATTATATACTGCCAATTTAAGTATAGTAAATATAGTATTCTTAGATATAAAAAGCCTCAATACCCTCATTGTACTAGTAATTAGTTTTTTTATATATAATTATTATTTTGGGTTGAAAATTGTGATTAGAAATTCATATAGAACGCGTTTCCGGGCGGAGGTGGCCGGGTCGCTTACATGGCCGGGTGGCTTACCGGTTACGTTATATACAAAAGTCGACGCGGGTATATATGATGTTTACGGTACAATCAACTAAACAATGTGCGCCGCAACCAATCGCTCTTAGCCTTCCTCGCCATCGTGGATAACTGCAGACACTGCATATTTTCTGTTTGATGTTAGCAGCCACTGATAAACAGGACACGGCGTCAATATTTATGGTGTTGAGAGTTCCAGGTATGTTTCTCAAACCGCCTTTCCCAACTACTTAGGGTTCTGCGAGATAAATCATCCGCGATATTATATTGATACTTTGGCTTCAGTCGAATTTTATTGGCAGTGGAGTCGCAGAGCCCTGCCCTGTGGCTACTTTTGCATCTCCACATAGCAATCATCAATGATGGACCATGATAAGTGACTGTACATAATCTTCTTTGATATTTGCTTATCTTTGAATGCTGTGTAGGATAGTACTTGATGGAAGGATGGACCAGGTAAAAGCGACAAGGTTCATACCTCGCGGGCTAGTACCTAAGTAGACTTTACTAAAAGGAGCATAAGCTGCTTACTACTTAGTAAAACCAGACCTTCGGACGAGCAACTGCTTATTTCAAATTATTCTTATTTGGAATTCTCGAACATTTGGCCCCCGGCGCATGCCTTAGGCCCCCACTCGGCCCAAATATCTGCTGCAACGGTACGAAACATGTTGAAACTTCTAACTCTTATTATCCTCAGCTCTGCGGAAATTAGAATAAATTCACGCTCTAGCTTTGCCCATCACGTCCATGCATGGCCTAGCTGAGCTTGGGGTCGGTGTGCTTGCAACGTTGTGGTTGTAGACTCGCAGATGACAGGGCCATCTAATCTGCTCAAAGCTTGAAAGATAATTTCTTCCTAACTGTAACTCAACAGCGTATCTTGTCCCCAGTCCAGCTTATCCAACCACGTCATAAACTCCATCCCATTAGTATCATCCATGAACCACCCCGGAATATCGGAAGGCGGCGCCCATCCGACAGACGCGGTAAAAGCCATATCGTCAGGTATACCTGTCGTCGCAAGTAAACGCTCATTTTCCAGACTTAAAGAAGTCGAAGCCGCAGGTCCGTCCTGGTTATCACCAGCAGCTTTATGGGCATCGTTGTTGCTATTATTATTAGGCCTAGAGAAATCATGGTCTCCGGAAAGCACATGATCAAGAACATTGCGAATCGCATGGAGGCCCTTCAATGCAATATCGTGGTTCCCATCGCGGTCATTCAACAAAGCATTTAGATGCGAGGCGAATACGCTTAGATTCTGAATGACCTCTGAACGAGGAAAGGGGGCGAGGTCGAAAGCCGAGGAAGAGGAAGACCGCGACTGCAATCGCCGGAGAAGCTCTTGAGCAAGGACGCCCGCACAAGGAAGACCTATAAAGCAGAGCTGAATGAAAATCAGTCAAGTGGAAATATAATCTCGTGAACGATCAAACTTACAATCCATATCGACTCATAACGAGAACGCAACATTGTTCGCGAGACAAGCGCCAGCAATGCAGTTAACATCTCTCGCGCTACCTTCAAAAGCTTGTCTTTGCCATCGCCTGTTTCCTTAACGAGGACTCGATGGAGCATAAAGTCGTTATTGAGAAATTCCAGGTGAAAATGTGCCAGAAATTCCTCTTCTGGGTCTGTCATTTGACATCCACCGCTAGGTGTCCATTTAAGTGCCTCTGGCATGGTTGACCGGAGTCGGTCGTGTTCGGCGCAAGTTTCTCTGTTTTTGGAAGAACTCAATTAGCTGAACTTCTCTCTCCTAACCCAAATGCTGCAGCGAAAACCTTACGATATCCTCCGAGCCATGTCATCTAGATGGGGAGACAGCACTAGAGCTAGAATTTTCTCTCGCATTATAGCAAAGATCAGGTATAGTCTCGCCTGAGAACCGGAATTAAACTGTCCGTCAACATTCCAGCCATCGGGACCAATCCTTTTCATCATATTGTCTTCGTCCTTTCCATCAGACGCCACAAAAATGTCTTCATAAGGCAGGTCCAAAGGCATCTGGGCATCACAATATTGCCAAGCAATTCGTGGTGGTCGACCAAGCAGTGTGGCGAGCTGCTTGTCCAACAGAAAAGCACCGGTCATCACGCGTCTTCGGATTTCTAGCAAAAACAATGGTGCGCTAGAATCGTTTGGTTTGGGTCGATGTAAACCCAAAGCGAAGATCACAGTAGATAGTTCCCCCAGTTTGCGCCATGGTCTGTAGTCTGAGAGCTGGCTATCAGTACGCAATAAAGCCACCGAAGTGCGAGAACGAAATGAAAGAAGGAAGAAAATGCATACGTACCGCTGTCACCGAATGTATCCAAAAGCAACACAGTGTGTTGGAGCAAGAGCCATGAAACGGGGTCACTCATAGTAGCAAGTTTGTCACAGAAGCCCAGGCAAGTTTCCGAAACCTCAATAGCAAGCGTCCTGAGCTCGTGCTTATCAACGGTTGCCCCATTTTCTAGTCGTAAACACTCATGGCCATCCGGAATCATCATCGTCGTAATACCGATCCATGCAAACATCAATCCGATGCTTTCCCATCTCGTGCTTGCAACAGAGAAATATTCGGATACTGTCATGTTTCGATGACTGCTCAAAGTACTCGCACTATTATTAAAGATATGTTTTGACCACGCTCGTAATCTGCTCTTTTGGTTCTTAGTATTTGCACCATGTGGCATCCAATGATTGTGTGAGGCAAGAAGTGTTTCTGAGACTTCTTTCGTCACCATTTCCCCAAAGATCCATGGCCGAGTATGTTCACTTCGGAATCGCAGCAAATTCTCGAACAAAGGCAGGTCATCCAACAAAGCCAAGATCCTTGCTCCAAATCCAATCTGCTCTAGATCCACGGTAGATGATTCCATGTCTTCTTCCGAGTTCACATGTGCATCTGTCTGTTCTGATGACGAAGCAGGTTTCGGAGCTAGAATGCGGCTGCTTTCTTCAGGCTCTTCGAACGTTGACCAATAACTAGACGGGCCCAGGAACCCAGTCGAAAAGGAAACAGGCCTCTTTGGTCGCTTCGCCCTGTGTTCATCTACACTTGAAGTACGTCTAGCCTCATTTTTTGACGGAGTAGTAGCAGTCGGTATTCGATACTGTTCAAGGAAGTTCGTCGAGCCCTTTTTCGTCAGGAGTGAGGGCTGGTGTTTCCTCTTCTTGGACAATAGTGAGCCCGAACCATCATTTACTAACAGCCGGGGTTGCGTCAAAGGTGCTGGGTGGTATATGCATCTATCACTTTGGCCCTTTTGCCTGCACCGTCCACAGACCGGGAGTACATGGTCGCAGCGGAGCTTTATTTTTCGGCATGGCTCGCACGAGGACAACTGGCCATTGCGTCTTCTAGTTGACATGATTGCGCAGAAGAAAAAAAAAAGATCTTTCGGAGTCTGTCGCGCTTCGGGATCGCATACAGCAGGGAGATTAGGCGTAGACGTGCTGGTCGAGAGGTAGTAGATATAAGGTCGGCGTTCGAGAAGGGATCGGAGTTCAGAATGAGGCTCGAAGCCGAACTTTGGAATTCGGAGTTGCAACCAGCACCCCATATGCTCACTAATCCTAACGCCGAATGCCGATATTAATCGAAAACGATACTCTCAAGTTTACTGAAAGTGTGGAACTGGATATAAATAGTGCGTATTTTTTAGATTTAAATGATTGACTAGTTAAAAATTTGAGCTATCTATCCACGACTGTGCTTGACTCGTAGAAAAACGAATGTAGATAGTTGGATTGCATCCAGCGAAGACTGAAGCTAATAACTATAGCGTCAGTCATCTTGGACGATATTAACATGTTAAGCGAGCGACTGTGGTGAGCGCAATAAACGCAACGATATAAAGTCCATTAATAGTCTTCTCCACGGCTGATAATTTCATTGCCAGAACCCTTGATCAGAATTGTCTGTTCCCCAGTGTCAGCGATTCCAGGTCTTGCTTCGAGTGATGGTAAGAAAAACGTACATGTTCAAACTGGGCAGTATAAGAACCAGAAACGTCATTAAGCGGAGAGTACATGTCGACAATTCCATGCGAAATCAGGCTATTCATCTGCACACGCACAAATATAAGTGAAATATTAGTAATGGCACAACTTCAATCGTGACTCGCGGATTGACTCACCCCAAGAAGATACTTGTCGAGCCCGAGACGGTCAAGGTAGCGGCGACAGAACACAATAGTGCCGAAGTTCTGATTAATTGTTTTCAGTAGTGAACGAGCTGAAGCAAGAGGGAGATGCACTGAAGGGGCATCTGGGTTTTTGCCGTAGCCGTATACACCAGGCTAGAAATGTAATTCATGGTTAGCAAAATACTTTTGAAAAAACTACGCAGAGATAACTCACACCGTCCCTAATATACCCTCTGCCAGTACTACCAAACGTTTCAATCGCAAACACCTCGCCCTCTTCCATCTTCGTGGGATCATCATTCTTGACAAAAGGGACTGATTTGCCTCCATGTATTCTGTATGGGAGGATATTGTGTCCCGTGATGTTGCGAATTGCTTTGACCGGATAGACTTTGCCATTGATCTCGACCTCGTAGCTTTCCATGGCCTCCTGAATCGAGGCTCCAATGTCGCTTACCCGAGCATCGACTCCAGAGCACTACCATAACAAATCAAGTCAGGAAATTTTATACCAACTAGACGCACAGAGTGAACTATGGGGCCACAAACCTTGAGGCCGGTATTGGTGGCATCTCTCACCGCATTTAGTAGGTTGTCGTAGACCGGATCAAAAGCCACGGTAAAAGCGCTGTCGACTATCCAACCGTTCACGTGTACGCCGTAGTCGATTTTCAATACATCCTCATGCTTCAGGACAATGTCCTTCTGTCCTGGATTGGGAGTATAATGAGCGGCGCAGTTGTTCAATGCCAACCCAGTCGGAAATCCCAGCCCGCCTTTGAGGCTGTCTCCCGGCTCTAGTCCTTGATGGCCAACCAATGCTCGCACTCCATCATCAATCTCATTGGCTATTTCGGTCAACGTCTTTCCAGGTTTGATCGAATCTCGAACCCAGTGACGGACTTGACGGTGAACTTCAGCCGCCTTGCGATAGTCATTGAGCACTTCGTCGTTTGCAATGAAACCACGCGTAAGGTAGCGGAGCTCTTCATCAGTGGTGCGGCGAAGATTGGCATCCTGACATTCAACAATCTGTCCTGGTGGGTACTTCCCTTCAGGAAAGAGCTGAGAGAGGGGCACACGAGGAGGAGAAGTCTGTTGATGAGCACCAGCGGCGGACTTCTTGTTCTTCTTTTTACCTCGCTTCTTCTTCTTTGATTTTTCTTTCTTGACTTTAGGTGTGGGGCTTGTAAGAAGAAAGAACCATTCTCATACTAATCGCACGAGGCTAGAAGACTTACCACCATCCCCGTTTACCATGGCCAAGGACGAATGCTGCCCATCGCCGTCCTCATCGTCATCGCTTCCAAAATCACCGTCTCCGTCTTCCAGCATGTTTGCTCCACGAGGCTTGCCCCCAACTGCATTCGATTTGGTCGAAACAGCGTTGGTGGCTGGTGAGAAAGTAGCGGTTAGCAACTAGACACCGAGATGACGTGGGTTTATGCCTCATGTCCGCTACTACAAAATACTTACCATCCTCGTGGTGATTGTCTCCCTCAAAAGTCTTGGATCCCATCGAGAAATCACGAGTTCGTTGTCGTTAGTTTAGACTATCCAATGTATCCATGGATGGATGCCACTCGGAACCTCCGGGATTTTTATGGCTCGCCAAGATGGAGCGCACGTGATTTCTATACGACGTGATTGATTGATTGCATCTAGAGAGCCAATGAGGGACGTACGAAAATAGTGGTAGTAGTAGTGCTTAGTAGTGTTATTTGCTATATCATGAAATATACATTGTCTAGTTGTGTGTACATATATATGACATGCTTTCTAGCGACACGCCTAGGAAGAAAGTCTAGTAATCTCCTGCTCTACCCCATTCATCAATGATTCCACAAAGGAAGCCTCAACAACGCTGTCCTGCCAGCTGAAAGTGAGAATCAGGCAGTTGTCGCCACCAGAAATCGTGCTTAAAACTATTGCAGCACCATCGACGCAAGTACTTTGAGAGAAGACCATCCGTTCGATGGATACCACCTCAGAACTATCCCTACTTTTCTCTGTCTTGAAAGCTCCAAGGTTGGAAATTTCAAAACTATCCCTGCGCGGCTTGTCGAACTGAGGCCTGAACACATCTTTCTCGAGGTCTGAAACCAATCTCAAAAGACCGACTCCTCTATTTTTGCCTTTTGAAGCCAGGCTGTCGATCAGAGACTTTTTGGCAGCTTTGGCTTGGTGCCACGGGAAGGCCTCCCCCTCTAAAGCGATGCGGCTATATCCTTCTGAATAGTCAAGGACCCAATCACCCATCAGATTTTCAATGGCAGGATTAGACATCCACCTCCGTGCGGACATGCTGCCCTGAAAGTTTATCTGCGTGAACTCGGGATCAACTTGCTTGAACAAGAGACGAGCAACCAGTATTTGTAGGAATGTCGTAATGGTTGTGTCATTGGCCGAGCAGGTCTTTCGCAGTTTGGTAGCGGTTGGCTCTGGAACGACCAGATGCTTTATCCTGTTGGCTAGGGTACCATGTACTGGTGCACCGGCCCACAACGAATGTTTGTGTGAAGAGAATTTGGATTTGTAGAGTTCTTTCACAAGAAACCAGGTAGAAAGAGGAAGATCCAGCTCATCCTCCAAGATCGGTAGTAGGGGATCATGAGATGGAGTCAAGATAGTTTTCACTTCCGAATGAGGTGGCGCCTTGAGAACCTGTTCCAAGGCCTGTGCGAAAGTGGCATGGAACACCTTTCCCGAGGTACCATCACCAATGGCGTGATGATAAATCAAAACTGCTGTGAACGTCTCGGGACTTGAAGGGTTCTCCAGTACGCAGAGTTTCCAGAGGGGCGCGCTTGAGTCAAAGTAGGTATTGTGATGCTTCTGAAGTAACTCGTCGAGTTCCAGATCCCCCGGGGACTCAGATAATGCAGTTTGGCGACATTGAAACAAAACGCATTTGTCCAGATCGATTTCGGGCAGACGAACAAAGTAGGGCTTGTTGGGGTCTTCGAAGACTACATTGGCCGACAGACTCGGATGTTGCTGGACGACGACCTCACAGGCGCGATAGATGTCATGCCGCAGAGACCTGCCATTGGCTGGTGGAAGACGGTATGTTGCAGTCAGCCCAATGGTGGTATACAAGCGCAACTTGTGTCGCGTCGCATGGTATCTCTCCAAGTTGCCTGCGATGCCACGTTAGACGGGCCACATAACAGGAATGTAGGCGGCTAAAAGAACGCACCTAGCGGGCGTAACTTTGTTGGTTGCGCACTCATGATGCCTATGCAGTTACAGTGATCATCCAAGCAGTTCAGTATCTCGTCGTGCGGTTTTGAATGTTGTAGCCTGGACACTGAAACATGCACGGGTCTCTGCCAGTAGCTCCGGGGCTAGCCCCAAAAGAGGCGCAACGATTAGATCAATTCTAACCAAACATGATAATACAGAGTCGCTGAGCCGATGAGATTTTGAGGTCAGGCGTCTAAATCAACGCAGGGAATTCCCCTACGCTGGCTGGTTCAGGCGATGCCTCGAACGTTAGCCAGCACAGGTTAGTGTGCACATTGGGATCGTAAGCAAGTTGCGTGAAATGAAGCGACAGATATGAATGAGTGGCTTCGCCTTCTCCGGCGACGCTCGCTGAGTATTCCTGTATGGAGGAAAAAGCCAAAAAAAAAAAAAAAAAAGAAAGAAAGAAAGCTGATTTGCAGGCGTTGTTTGCGTCGGCCAGTCAGAGCTGCTGCACGTGACTCGCCCTTGTGCGCCGCTCGAGTCGCGGGAGAAAAAAAAGTCACCCCGAAACCAATGCGTATAGAGAAAAGAAAGACTCTCTCTCTATTCTTTCGTCCAAGCAGCGCCTATTGCGACGATTGAAGACTGGGAGCAAAAGCCCATCAGATCGAAAATCCATTCCGCTTTTCTGAGTCTCTCTCGTCCCCGCGGCGTTAAGAGTACGTGAAGTGAAAGCTTTCACGTCCATCGCCACCAACAGCTCGACCGCGCCGCAGCCATCCATCCCCGGTCGATGTGTCCGCACTCCCTCGACAATCATATATAGTTGCCTTTTGTGTGATACGACTTTTCTGATAAATATTTTCGTGACTTGCCCGTTCCGCTTTGAGACGTGGTCTGCGTACTTTAACACTATATCTTTTAATGACAGCATAGCTCTTGCGACAGTCGTGTCTTCTCCATTGAACAATCTTTCGCGCGTGCATCGATTCGAAAAATTAGATTGCGATTTTATGATATATCGTGATATCTTGAGAATTGGAAACGGGGTTTTCACTAAAACCAAACTGCCTGTTATTTGAAACATTGCCCGGCGTCGCTTCTGCGCCAGGTTTGCGAAAAAAAAAAAAAGAATTGCCAGCTAGCTAGCACTGGAGGACTCTTGGTCGAAGTCTGGAAACACAAAGGCCTCGGAACTGCCTTGGTGATATCAAAGGGGCATCGTCCCTCGGTTTGCGGAGGAGCAAGGGAGATTCGGAGCAGGGAGAGTCTCTGTTGATGTCGAAACGCCTCCTTCCAGGCCCGCACGCTGACAGATTTGCGGGGGTTGATTTCAGCATGTCGAGCACTCCAAATGATACGCCTCAGCGGGCAACGGCCGCTCAGATGGCCAGCAGGAAGTAAGTGAATATATTGATGCCGCTTTTATTGTTGCTGTTTTGCCCCGTCCAAGCATCCTGAAACCTCTATTGTTCTGTTCCTATTCTCGCGTTCTATCGTCTCGTCAATGGACTTCGACAGCGAGATTAGGCTTATTTGTTGCTCACCGTCGTGCCTTGTCCTTTCGTCCTTTATAACCCATCCCAATCCTTCTTCTTTCTCTCTTCGCTTCCCCCTTTTCAACCAACATCTATCTTCAGACGAATCTGAGTCACCTGTTTTGCCCTCTTTGTTTTGCACAACAACCCTTTCATTCCTGTACTTCCCGTCAAAAGAACCCTTGAAAAACCCCCCTCATGCCTCGATTCTTACATTCGCCGTACAGGATCAAAGAACTCAACAGGCGTCGAACCAAGCCATCAACACCGTCTACTCCCCAAGCAGCATTCTCATTCGGTGAAAGCATCCCTGGCGTCGCGGCACCTTCCACAAATTCTACAGCTTCCAACGGCTTCAGCTTTGGTCAGTCTCAGAGCTTTCCTGGAGCAGCACCTTCGAGTGGCACTCAAAACGGGTCTTCGATCTCCTTTGGCTCTGGCGGTTCATCGAACTTCAATTTTGGCGGGTTTACTGCTTCGAACAACCCATTTGCCAACTTGAACGGCGCATCACAACCTCAAAATCAGACAACCAACTTGTTTGGTGGCCAGAGTTCAACTATGCCTTCACAGAATCCTAGCCCAGGTCTTTTTGGTCAGACCTCTGCCGCCCCCTCTGCTTCGCCGCCTATCTTTCAATCTCAGCCAGCAGGTTCTGGCTCTGGCTTGTTTGGTCAGTCGACTACCACAGCTCCTTCTGGCTCTGGTTTCCAGCCACAACCCGCTTCAAGCGGCTCAACCTTGTTTGGACAGTCTACAACTGCAAGCACTAGTGCCCCAAATCCCTTTGCGCAGTCGACGTCGATTGCTCCTTCAACAACTTCCCAGCCCGCCGCAGCAACCACCGCTCCTCCTTCGATGTTTGGTCAGTCATCTACTTCTGCTGCTCCAGCTTCTTCCATTTTCCAGCCAAAACCGGCGGCAACAACAACAGGATCGTCTCTTTTTGGACAAAATGCCCCAGCAACTACGACAGGCGGTACGAATCTGTTCGGTCAAACATCTGCGAAAGCACCATCTGATACTGGCACGACTGCCAACGGTCCCACTTCTTTGTTCAGCCAGTCATCTACCGCCAGTACTTCCGGTCCATCATTGTTCCAACCAAAAGCAGCTACCAGCGGTGCCGGAAATCTGTTTGGTCAAACCACGCCCTCTACTGGCATAATGGGTGGAACATCTCTATTTGGACAACCTACTGCGTCTAAAAATGAAGGTGCCTCAATTTTTGCCCCGTCTACACCAAACAAGTCCAGCGCTGCTGCAACTTCAGCTGCACCATCCAACATTTTCAGCTTTGGTCAGCCTGCTACTTCCACGACCCAAAAGCCTCTTTTCGGTCTAGCCAACGATGTTGATGACATGAGTACTTCCCCCGACGGTAAACAAAAAACAGGCGAACGGACGTCAGCTGCACCTTCACTTTTTGGCCAAAAAGCCGCGCAGACATCTGATTCATCTGCACCTGAGACCGCTCGTCCAACGCTTTCACTTTTTGGTTCCTCCACGCCCGCAACGGCTGCCAACCCTCCAGCAACAAGTTTGGGAAGCTCTACTAGTCTGTTTGGTCAACAAGAGCCGAAAAGCGCCACACCTAGCGGCGTTGCGGCTAGTTCTGTCTTTGCTCCCACTGCTGCTCCTGCTGCTGCTTCCTCTTCCTCCAATCCTTTCCAGTCTTTGTTTACAGGACCTTCTAAGCCGGCTACAACTACAACTCCGGCGCCATCATTATCCACAAGTACTTCCACTTCCTCCCAGTCATTATTTGCGGGGATTTCCAAGCCGGCTACAACTACAACTCCTACAACGTCGGTACCTATAACTACTTCTGGTTCCTCTCAGTCATTATTTACGGGGGCTGCTAAACAAGCTCAAACCAAAACTCCACCTTCGACTCAACAGACTCCTAGTCAGAGGCTGGGAGGCACCATCATGGATAAGGGTCCCGCTGCAACATCTACAGCGGCCTCGGTCCAAGCACCCTCGGGGTTGTCTTCTGGGGAAATTCTCGATGACAAGAAGAGGTCCCAGATTCGTGACCTAAATCGTGGTTTTAAAGAACTTGTGGCTTCGTATGATCCTGAAACACAGAGCTTGGACAGCGTCATTCTTCATTACGTTCGCCTTCGGAAAGCCATCAATGCGCCAGTTGGTTCACTTGCCAATAAACCAGGCAAACGCAAGCTCGATGATGCTCATGGAATTGAGTCTCCAGCTCAACGAACATTTGCCAAGAAATCAAAAGCCCAAGAACCTGAACCGGAGTTTCCATCTTATTCTCCCGTGACGTCCTCAACAAGCAAACGAAAGTCATCAGAAGATCTTGAAGATGGCTCGGCTGGTAAACGTAGAGCCCAAGCTCACGCGCGCCCTGCTACGACTGGACAAAACGCAGCTGGAAAATCCGAAACATCCAACATTTTTGCAAGTTCGTTCTCGTCTGGCTCAAAAGCCCCGACGGATGCTGTTCCGGAATTGAAGAAACCTGTCACCACGTCTGACAGCTCTCGTGTCTTCGGGTTGAAACCAAGTGCTCCCTCCGAAACGGAGACGCCTCGTCCAGCATCGCCCCAGAAGAAACTTCCCGAACCCGCCACCAAGCCAGCTTTCCAGGTCCCTAATTTTGGTAACCTTGCTGGCCAGAATTTCACTGGCCAATTCGGCCAGGGAAGCTTCAAGCAGTCTTCGACAGAGACACCTAAGGTTAACATCGAGGTTCCCAAATTCGGTGCTTCTGGTCAGAATTTCATGAGCCAATTTGTCAAGCAAGCTAAAGAAGACGATACAGACGAGGATAGCAGTGACTCTGATGCGGAACCTCAACCTGAGAAGCCTGTCGATAAAGTAGCTCCTCCTGTCCTGCCTCAGCCCAAGACTACTACTTCATCTTCCATTTTTGACAGCAAACCAGCAACGCCCTCGCTCGCAACAAACAACATTTTTGGCCATCTTACAAATTCCAATACAAACTCTGATGCTGGCGAGTCCTCTGATGATGATATCACAGGGCAATTAAAGAAGCGAGCCAAAAACAATCAGCCCGTCTCTGAGGCTGAGAATGCCTCCGAGTCCAAGTCAACTGCCAGTCTTTTCGGGCGTATTACGAAACCCGACGGAACGCCAGTCCACGTCAGCTCAGACGAGGACAAATCGGAGACTCCAAAGCCGAAACCTCTCTTTGGTCAGGGTGCTCCTACCAATCCTTTTGCTGCTTCAAACTCAAACGGCACGCCGTCATTGTTTAGCTCAGTATCTACACCAAAAACTTCGAACATCTTTGGAGGTAAGTCGAAAACAATTCATATTGCAAGATGACCAATCATTAACCTTGATTCGCATAGGTCCGCAACCGTCAACCTCAAACCCATTCAGCTCCATCAGCTCTAACGTGGCTGCCCACCTGCTTCCCAACCATGGAGGAACGACAACGACTAGTGTAACATCCGATTCGAATGCGGATGAAACCGATACTGAAACCTACAAGGATTCCCAGCTTAACTTGATGACCAATGCGGGAGAAGAGGATGAGGAAGTTCTCTACGAAGGCCGCTCCCGAGCCATGAAATTCGTGGAGAAGCAGTCCGAAGGCAAGACAGAAAAGACCTGGGAAGTGCAGGGTGTTGGTCAACTACGTTTGCTCGTGAATAAAGAAGCCAAGCGCGCTCGCATTGTCTTGCGTGCAGAGCCCAGTGGCCGAGCCGTCCTCAACACTGCAATCAATCGTGCCATCGACTACAAAGTGCAGCCCGGCAGTTGCCAATTCCTCGTCCCTCGTGCGGATGGCTCCGGTATGGATCTATGGGGCCTCCGCTTCAAGAAAGAAGTCACTGCAGAAGTTGAGAATGCTTTGAAGTCTGCCAAGGATTCTCTGTCCAACTAACAATCTAATGCCCCGATTATCAACCTCACCAATCAATGTGTATGAAACTTGTATCAATTATTAATTGCTTGCGCATTTTTCAGACAGAAAAAGCGAGTTATGTCTATTTTTCTTCCCTTTTTTTTTTTTTTTCTATTTCTCCAACTCCTTTCTCTCATTGGGATATCCCCAGTTCTCATGTATTTTAAGAAAGAATCATTGTTCATTGCATTAGTGGATGAAATGTTTTTTCTGTTTCTTCTTTCTGTCAATTACAAATTTCATCTGGACAACTATCTAGTCTAGCGGCAAATGCCATTTCTGTTTCGATGTCTTTTGTACTTTGTGGTTTGTAGTAATCAGGAAGCATTTAGCTAGCTATCTACCTTGCTTAGCTATGTACGGAATGAACGGATCACATCGTCCATTTGTCTACGTGGTACGGGGATAGATGGACATGGTGATTTTAGAATTTTTTGTGATTCTTGTTTCATTTTTTAATTTTTATCCCGGTCGTACTGTGTCCAAAAACCACCGGGTTCGTCCTCGCTTTGAGAAGAGAACTAGATATGCCTGGAAGAATCCATCGCAATTAAAATTTTTTCCTCTTTAAGTTTTGAAAAAGAGGTGGTATCCACGCCATGACTTCAAATACAGAACACCGTACGCATTTTCATTCATGAAAACAAAAGAGAAAACAGTACACATTGTTTAAGCGTCCTCGACAACAGTGGTGTTGAGTCCTTTCGGGTCCTTCACGTTGACGGCCTGGACGTAGCTGTACAGCTTCTCCTTGGCGCCCTCCTCGTCGTTACGCTTGCGGCTGATGCGGACACGGAGGCGGAATGGGACACCCTTGATACCGGCTTCCCAGACCTTCTTGTTCAACTGGGGGTCGAGGCGGACATCCTTGGTACCCTAATATGGAGATATCGTGTTAGAACTTATGTCTCTTTGAGAAAGACGAAATAGAAGGGAAGAGCAAAAAAGATTCAACTTACCATAGCCTGCTCGGCGAAAGCGCGGATCTCCTTGACAGCGCGGGGAGCACGCTTCTTGAAGGTGACACCGTGCACCTTTTAAAAAGAAAAATAATTAGTCTTCCGTCCAAAATGCCTATTTTCAATTTCTTTTTTTTTGCAAGTGAAAAAAAAAAATATTGGGATCTTGTGCCGCAATGCAGCCAGGCCATAGAGGTGGACTTCATCAAACTAATTTGCTGGATTGTTGTTGTGGATGTGATCTTTCTACTGGAAAGAGATCGATCGACTCTTTTTTTTCTTTTTTTGGCAACGTTGTTCTCTGTCCATCATCTCATATGAAATGTCTGAAATCTCCCTCCCTCCGGCTTCGCCCCAGTTGATCTATTCATTCAATGAAATTCGGCGAAGATGTGAAAACTCTTTTTGAAAACAAATCGAAAATCCAAAGCTTCGACGACTTCCACGAGCATGATCGGGGGGATGAGCGGACGGAGTAGACATATGCTGATCGATTTCAAACAAGGGAGAGTAAAAAACAACAGGGGGCGCTTGATCTCAACATACCCTCTTGTGCAGGTGGATGGTGTACTCGCGCGATACGACATCGGCGATGGCGGAGCGACCGCTCTTCTTTCCCTTGGTGTTGCTCGACATTTCTGGACAAAATTGATGCAAGTTAGTTCTGGCCAAGTAAGCGAAGGGAAAAAAAGGGTTATATACTGACTGGCTATGTAAACGGTGCCGGGTGTCGTTTCCTGGTGTCGTCGTCGGCCAGAAGAAATGCACTTGGGAACATCAAGAAGTTCGTCGATTTTGTGTGGGTTCGAGAGTAGTGCGGCCCGCCGTCGCTTAAGCCTACGCTGGATTTGATTGGCGGTTGAACTGTCACGTGATATGCTAGGTCCGGCGCACTCTATTCGTGATATGATTGGTGCGCATTTCAGGCGTATATTCTTTTTCTTTTTGGATACATGGAAAGAATACGCACGAGATGATTGAATCATGTAGTCGTTCGAAGTTCTATACATTTACTCTCCGATTACAACATTGCCTTCGCTAACATCGGGGTAGACGTCAAAACGACGTTGCGTATACACAGGAATACCCTTCCTGGAGGTCTCAATGGTCTCGTTATTCAAATCAGCATAGACGATGTCCTCCTTTTCATCCAACTCTCCGAGAATATCGGCATTCGGGCTAGCAACCAGGCTGTGACCGTAGGCATGATAGGTCGCTTTGATGTCTCTAGCAGGGCTGCACAAGGCTACGTAGACCTGATTGTCCACTGCTCGCGCACGTCCCAGTAGAGACCAGTGCATAGGCCCCGTAGTCGTGTTGAATGCACCGGGGTAAACAAGCAGAAAAGCGCCCTTGCGGGCAGCAACCATCGCTAACTCGGGGAAACGCACATCATAGCAGATTGCGAGTCCAATCTTCCCGTACTCTGGCAGATTTATAATGGTGATCTTGTTTCCGGGAGAGAGGACTTCGCTCTCCTTGAACGTAATCTTTCCTGGGATATCAATATCGAACAAATGGGTCTTGCGATGAGTGCCGATCAATGCCCCCGTAGGCGAGAATACAAGGGATGTGTTGTAGTACTTCTTACTCTCAGGCTCTAGTTCCGGAATGCTGCCTCCAACCAGATATGATTTCGCCTCAATGGCTAGCTCTGATAGGGTGTGATAAGAAGGAGACTGTTCCCTCGTAGGCGGCGACGGAAGCAGTGTTTCGGCATATTTGGAAAAGTATTGCGTGCCGTATGGCGAGTTAAAGCATTCGGGAAGAACAATGAGTGAGGCGCCGGCTTTGGCGGCTTCGAGGACTTTGGTACGGACATGACTTAGATTTGCAGTCTTGTCGGCCCCTTGAATTCATCTAATGCGTCAGTCTCTGTTGTCTTTGCGTAGAACGGGTGCACACATACCGGAAGCCAATTGGATGAGGGCTAGCTTCAGTGGTTTCTTGAGAAGAGTTGCCATGGCTCCGGTTTGATGTCTCTTTATAAACAGATTGAATCAATGTTGTGAAAGGCCGAATGGTAATGGGTGTTGGAGGCCGAATGCGCGCGGGGTTGGCTCCATCCGGCCTGTCTTCCCGGTTCCGGCATCGGCAGGAGGCCAGCCCACGTGGGTGCCTGTTTAATCGGGCAACCATACTCAAGCCTCAACGACCTATTGAACGACTCCGTGCCTAAAAATTTACTACTCCATATTCGGGGTTCCTACTCACGCTAGCGACCACACACACAGCCTATGACGAACGTCAGAGCTAGCGCCAGGGGGGAATGGAATAATCCCATCGCCGCGGAGACAGTCGTTTGTCCTGGGCTAATGCTGAGAGGAATCCTACAGATGGTTTCATTTGCCGTCCCTCTGGTATGATCTCCGTACATCGGCTCAAAACTCAGTAGCATTTATGTTCTGATGATCAAAGGCATTGCTTTAGTTAAGTAACCGTATCAACAAAAATTCAGCCGAGGCCCTGCATTAGCCAGTAGACATACGAAGTTGTAAAATGAAGCCAGGCTGAGCTAGGCAACGACTATTTAAACAGCCGCGTCAGAGTGAGTACTATTGAAGCTGTAAACCGCCCCAGAAGGAGACGTCGGTTCAGGGATGATTCTTTAGCTTCGATCCTTCGACATCGGACAAAGACTCTCGGAGAGTTTCCCCTGCAAACTTTTGCGTGGTACTCCCGTATGCTGCACTATGCTATGCGAAGTGGCGAAGGAGTCCTTAAAAGTCAGTCTTCCAGAAGCTGAAAAGAACAAAACGGGGCATTCTTAGTGGACGAGCTTGTTTGCTTAGCGCCGGATCTGTTTCCCTCGGCGGCGGTCTCTGATTGGCCCACCACACGGTCTGCCTCGGCGGCTCGGCGGGTGGCCAACTTTCGCTCAGGTGAAAAATGGCCTGAAAAGACAACGGCGTGCATATTTTCTCCTGAGTCTCTTTGCCATCGCCGGTTTTCTTTCTTCTTCCTGTTGCCGTTGTTTTGGACGTTAAGATTTGGCGATAGAAGGAGGTTGCGTCAGCTTAGCGGATGACTTAGATTCGCCCCGTTATAGTACCGTCATTTCCATCCTGCAGCCCCCAACATAAAATTGAGCATACTGCTCTGTGCTGTTCTGAGAGTCTCTAGCATCGGGAACACCGAACTTTCCACGGCAAACGGCGTATCCTGTCTATGTTTGAGCATTTCTCGTTTCCGTCCCCGTCCTCGACGGCGGAGGCGGACGATCGACTGATGCCCGACTGCGACAGTACGACCATCTCTCCGCTATCCTCTCGTTGTCCATCGCCTTCTCCCTATTTATCAAAGCGATCACGTCCACGATCCCCATATCTGCGCCGTCCTCAACCGCCTACATCCATGCCGAGCAACTTTGAGCAATCCCAGCGCCGAATCTCAGTCGGCACCCTGACCGAGAAACTGAATGCCCATACTTTGGACCACAGTGGCACAAGAGCGCATTCTGCCTATGAACCGCCACATTCGCCGCTATCTCCTACCTCTTTTTCCTTCTCAGTGACGAAGGACCCTAGCTCCTCTCGGGCAAGCATGCATACACTTCTAACGCCGCCAGGTGAATATGAAGACGAGGGATACGATGAACAGTTGAACCCCGCCTGGGAGTCATATCACCACGCGCCATCCCCAACCTCCATGCCCGTTGAACATGACAACCTTTATCTTCATCCTCCCGCAGAGGTGTCACATCGTTTTGCACGTCAGCCATCCCTACGTTCACAGCGTCAGCAAATGTCTCGAGCACAGTGCAACATTGATGTTCTGAAACTCGCCCTGTTGGCAGAGAACTTTACTCGTCGGACCTCCGAGTCACCAGTCCTCAGCGATGATGAATGCCATCCTAGCTCTCTGCCATTAGAGGCCTCACCCCACACCCTTCGACGATCTTCCATGAAACCCCGGGTAACTAGTGGCTCGTCTGCAACAGGCACCTTACGATGCCGCTCGCGGGCTCCGGCAGACGCTAGTATGATGCGCAGACGCAGCACTTCTTCGGCAGGAACTTTTGCCTCTTCTACACGCATTGCCAAGCCTCGGCCGCGTGATTTGCACACAAAAAGGAGCGAGCAGTCACTGAGACGAAAAAGTCTGGTTTGTGCAACACTAGCTTCGACATCAACAACAAGGTCTTCGTGAAACTCTTGTCCCTTCACCGTCATTTTGCCTCGATTTTATTTCTCTGTCAATATTTATCACTCTAATTTTGGCTTTGGCCTTTGGTTCTTTCTGTGTTCGTTGGTTTGGTTCCAACAGAGGTTTTCGGGCATAGCATCAAAACATTGGGAGGGAGTTCATATGCTATTCTGGGGGTTCAAATGAAGTGTACAAAAGTTAAAATTGTTGTCTGGGCGGATTCTCCTTTTTTCCGTATTTCGAAGCATGGCGATAGGCAGCGTAGTTAGGATTGAAAATTTCTAGGGTCACTTGTTTTTTCGGCGATTGTGTGAGGAGGGCAAAAGGAACTTGTTCCGACAAGTATTTTTTCTCTTTTTTTGAGTTTACTGCCCATCCATCTTAGAATACATCAATTATCATGGCATATCCGTTGATCAAAACACATCTGATTTATCCCGAATACATCAATTATCATGGCATATCCGTTGATCAAAACACATCTGATTTATCTATAGAGACAATCGATTTCGATGTAGGAGTGTGTATTTTCATCCAACGACGCGAACCCAAAAAATAGCCGACAACTGTCGTTTTTTGCAACAAAGTATTCTCAAAATCATATTTCTATTCCCCTTTCTTGACCGTAATTGCTCGCAAAACTGATCCAAGGAGCCAATATGGATGTTCCATCCTCGGCTTTCGGTTAGAACCCTTACAGACAAGGACAAGCGGACGCTGCATATGTCTCATGATAAGCTCGTTGTTTGTTTGATATAGAACTTCAAATAGTAGACATAGAACTCACCGTATCTCTTCTGTGGTTTCCTGGCTATGACGGTAGTCACCACCAGGGGTGGCGGAGAGGCCATCCTGGGGGGAGCGTTTCGGCAATTCACAAGGCGATGGTCCGGATGACGTGCAGGAATCTCTGGACTCCAGCTGATACTTGCTGGTTTGCAAGAAGTGGGAGATGCAGCGGCGGACGACAGTGAGGTCGAGATTAGGGGTATGTCGAGGTCTAGAGGGTTGGAGGACAGTGGACGAGCGCGGCGAGAGATGGTTCGGCGAACTGGGGTGATGGGCTAAAAGGAGCGAGTGCATGTCAGAGATGATCACATGATATACGTGGTGGTGAGGAAGGAAGGAAGGAAGGAAGGAAGGACCTACCGCAATTTCGTACACAAACTCCGATTCGATCCCGGCACTTCCGTCGTCGACATCTTCTTCCTTGTCGTCTTCTTCATCCCTTGCTACAGTAGAGTCTGAGGACGAGACGCTGCTGTTGTCCCCTCCTCCTGCCATGAATGCTGCGGCGCGCTCGACGTACGGACGAATCGAAGCACGGGTGCTGGGTGCATTCGTTGATAGATTGCTATCTGATGGTCGATTGCGTGGTACAAGCACTCGGGGAAGTTCATGCCAGGTGTCTGGCTGCCACGGACGCTCAACACCTTCTTCCTCCTCTTCTTTACTGCTGGATTCCTCTTCATTATCTCTGCCTGAGCTGATGTACTGCATGATATCCTCAAAGGTCAAGCCGTTGTTCTCGGTCTCCAGTTGTCGAAGAACATCTTGCATGGTTTGATGTCGATTTGACGAGTGAGGGCCGTGTGTTCGTCTGCGCAGAGCCTTGGTGTCATCCAATTCTTTCTGTGTGTGGCTCTGTATTTCCTCATAGCTAGCGCCCTCGTGCTCTAGCTTATGTACTGGCGTGAAAGGTTCCTCTTGCCAATAATGGGACGCTGTGCCGTACAAGTCGCCTTCCCTTTCATGATACCTGTCCTGGTGGTCGATCTCGTAGCGATTACTATCCCCTCGACCAAAAAGACGAGATACTTTCTGTCTCAATGTCTTGGCTGGGACTTTGGGTGATCGATGATGCACTGAAATCGGGGGCGACTCCTCCAAAGGAGGTAAAGCAGCAAATGAAACTTGATCCTGCGGCAACCCTGGCGACTGTGGTGGCGGGGAAAAGTTGGAGAGCACCGCACTTTCAGAGGCCGAGATGGGTCGCACCATGTCGTCTGGGATTGGACTTGACGCGAGTGAATGGCTCGGGGAGATGTCGGGACTGTCTCTCTCTCTGTCCATGGTGTCCTCAGAGTAAGCGGATAGTCGACACTGTGATATGCTGAGAAAGTGTGAAAGTGAAACTTTTGGGTTTAGGATTTCGAATTCTGTTCCGTTGTGGCTTATTTTTTGTGATGAGCCAACTGCAGTTGAAGGTGAGGTAAAGTGAGAGGAACTTCGACTATGGCTTTGAAAGAGCTCCCTCTGCTTCTTCAGTCGAGAAGAAAACGGGTCCTGGGGAGAGAATCAGTCATCCATGTCTAGACTAGGTAGGTATGTGCTTTGTATTCATTAGATAAAGAGAAAAGATTTGATATCAGGATAGGCAGTATTTGTGTGAGGAAACAGTGTTGAACAGATGATTGCCATCTAGCACTGCGGAGTGTGAAGGGAGAAACACGAGAGATGTCAACAAACAAAGAAAGATGCTGAGAAAAGGCACATTGGCAAAGACCTACAATTTGTCGTGTTACCAATGACTGAGATGACGATACAGGCTGAGTGAATAGCCTGGTCGTAGAAGTTGGGGATATTGGGGTTGATATATCGCCAGGTAAGCTGATGACTGACTGACTGAATGAAAGTGGCGGTGGACTAGATGGAGCCGAAGAGACAGGAGACTGCAGATTAAATGCATAGTCATGGCATTGTGCCTGGAAAAGATTCACAGCAGCTGGCTTTCTTTTAAGCTTGCGTGGTGGTGGTGGTGGCAGTTTGATATCATCTTCTTGAGAGAGAAATTTCCGATAGTCATGGAGCGACAATTGCCCTGTTGGAGATACAGGTTCAATGCTTAGTCCAGACATGACCTGTGCTTGAGCCATGCTTGCGAGTGCTTCTTCTCTATTATTCCTTTGAATCCTTCTTACTCGGTCACAGTTGTACAGCACCAGAACATATGACACTATGAATGTGCCAAACAACTTGCGAAGAACTCAGCCCATAACTTAATACTGTGGGCAGGGATGAACTTACTTTGACTGCAAGGTGCCAATTTCAATTGAGATATTGAGATCAACAATAGCAAAAAAAGAAAAAGAAAAAAAAAAAGAGAGAGAGAGAGACAGAAGGAGAAGCCCTGGGCGCCTATACTCTATAACAATTTCAACCCTTCCAAAACACCATCCAATGCAGATTATGATTTGTGAGACATGTGAGACTTGTAAAGATACAAGGGCTTGCCGGAATTAGCACCACACAATCATATACGACCACTCATGAGATCGACTGCCACGTCTCAAATAAACAGGAGCTCAATTGCACTTGATCCCGATAGAGACAGTGTTTGCCAATGTATTCAACACGCGTATATGGTTGCGAGAATTGCCAAACAATATACGCATATTCTGGAGAAAGCGAGGGCCTTATTTTCTTTTATATGAAACGAGAGTATGTTTTTCCATGCTTTCATCTGATTCAGAGAAGCATCATGCTTTGACCTTTGAGCACAAAGGAAATGAGCGACGGCGTCACAAGAAGAAAGAGAGAACAGGAACCTGAAATAAAGCAAGCAGGTCATAACTTACGCTCCGAAGGGCAAGCCTGCCAACAGCTTGGATGATGAAAATAATAATAACTAAAGCTGCTAGCACATCGTGTCTTCAGAATGGACCATCAGGCACATATTTTTTCCTACACGACAAATCAGACTCGACATTACGAAGAAGATGGTACCCAAACAAATCGGATCAGGTTATTCGCATATGGTTTGCTTTGGACCAAGATGGCCGCAAACCACTGGACGATCGCCTCTCCGCAGTGGCAGCCAATCAAGCCGCTGAACACCGCATTCATTTCGTTCTACATACCAGAGCCAGCCAGTAGGAATCCAGGATGGCCAAAGGACGTAAGATGGAAAATAGGACTAACTTCTCCAATGGTTTCAATTTAGTGCGAGTGACTAAAAAGGTCGATGGGCTGAAGAGGGGAACGCGCGGGAACGTGGCACGGTACGTTTGAGCTCATCATGCATAGACTATTTGCATCTATCTGCAAGGCACGGCCTTTTTTTTATTTCCCGTTTGTTCCTTAAATATGCTGGTCACTTTCAGTAACCGAATTGAGGGTTGCAAAGAATTTATTTCAATGACCACCATACCGGATGCTACTACTACCCATGCTTGACAGGCGAAGGGAAAAGAAGGGGCAGCGTGACCTGAAGTTGGGAGGCGACTTTGAATTTTGATTGGCGCAGCCCTCATTCCACAAGGATCCGAGAACATGGGTACGACCGAAGAAAGTGGCGGTGTCTGTTTATACAAACTCTCGATGTTGGATACTACGGGGCTATCCATATCCACTGAGATCCCCTAGATATATGCATCTACCCGTTCTGAAGAACGACAGGATCTCGACTCTGAGCACAGCTGAGCGCACTGCCCACTGGACAACAAATTCATCATTTAATATAACTATGTTCTGGTCACAAGGCATCTCAGTTCCAACGCCTGAATAACACCTGACATGACAATTAGTTACCTAAGTCTACAGGTACAAAGGATTCTGGTGCGAGCCCTGATATTCCGCTTTGGGAAATCCAGGCCAGACTATTTATTAGTTAACTCGGCAAATTCTTGGAAGTCGGACCGTCTGTTGATATCTTTTATTGCACTCCACCTGGCTGTCTCCAATTGAATGCATCAACAAGGGCAATTAGGTAACATGTTGCCACGGCCATGTACGGAAGAAATCTTCAGGGAACTTTGGTGGCGGGTCATCGGACAGTCTGCTTCTCACTTGAGATTTCTACAGTGTACGTGTTCATAGTTTTGTCGTCCGCTTAGTTCTTCTCATAACCGGTAAATTTCCTGTCGTAAAGTACTATTTCTAATGTCTCTTGTCTCAGGCCGTGGCATCTTTGACTTATTCGGATCAAATCGCTGAGATATAAACGAAAGAGTGCCTGGGAAAGGCATCTAATTCCATGTCATCTCAACCTCCGCAGCCTCTTTCATGTCGCCCCAGTCTAGGCTACTCCACCGTTGAGGTCTTGCCAATGCATCCGTAAAATGCTTCAATGCAAGCACGAATTGCGTAGCCCACCTTTCAGCACTCACCTTTCCGATACCAGTCGCCAGGGGAGTCGTCAAAATTCGATTGATCTTTTCGTCTGCTTTTATATCTCCAGGTTTATCATTGATACTGCCATTAAAGCGATCGATCTCACACAGGAGACTCCACACACACTCGTAAACTATCTCGCGGTCCCAGCGTGCATCGCTTGGCAATCTCATAGTCGGACACAGTGCTAGGTGCTTGCAATTCCATCGATTCGTCTTTTGCAGCTCTGTCGGCATTGTCACTAGCGTGCATGTACCAGGCGGTGCAAATCCGCGCCATTTCTGGTACAGTGTCTGTTGCGCAGCAATGGTCAAAGCTCTGTAATCGTGTTGGGGAAGACAAAAGGTGCGAGATATGGCATCGTCAAATGCACCATCAAGCAGTCCATACGAATTTGCGGGAGAGACTATCAGATCGAATTGGTTCTCATTTGGTACATTGCGCAGCTTCTCGTGGATCGTCTTTACGGTCAAGAATTCTGCATGACTCGGCCAGCGCTTGCGAAACGCTTCGTCGAGAGCATGAATATACTTGTCATCCATGCATAGGACGAGTATCTCTGGGAGGGTGCTTTGGGCCATGATGGCAAGAGGTTTGTTCTTGACTCAATTCGAATGGGAGTCAAATAGGTAGCATCAGGCAGCAACGTTAGATGACTTGGGGATAGGGTTAGCCCTATTCTTCTGTGCTGATGTCCGCTATTCCGAATACAGCATGTAATCCACTACCAACACGGTATTCTTCGGAGGTTCACAGGATATGTGTCTTAGTCGACCCCTATTCTGCTTATGATTATGGCCTCAAATGACCCTTTGAACAGTCTCTTTAGTTAGATATGCAAATTATATAGTATTCCTCATACTAGCTGATACAGCGTTCCGAATCCGTCGTTATGATGTTTTAACAAATCTTCTGGGTCAATCCCCTTAACTGCAGCCTGATTTCTCTCATCTAGTCAGTTTAAACGGCATTATCATTGAAGGAGGCGAGTGGCGCCTTCTGAAAGATGCCGCTCGACCTTGGCATACTTTCTGAAAGCTCTACATGTTATCAAAGTTTCTCTTGGGCATTTTTAGAGCTGAGGGTCGAGCTGTGCAAATTTTACATATAGCATCATTTCTCTTCCGTCTCATACATGTTATGGACGGAAAATTCGAAAACATAAAGGAATTACAGTAGATACAAGTTTTTCTGCAGAAATCCACAACGTGATATTCAAGGGCTCCTTGCGTTGCTAGAAGTGAGATATTCAATGAGAGACATGAGTAGTGCAATTGTTCCGGAATACGCCCATGAAAGGTCCTCGTATCAATATCTTCACACATTTGGTACCAGATCTTGGAGGCTATGAATGTTCTTCTGCAAATAAGTGCTTGTTACGTGTAGACAAGGTATAGCTATATTCTTGTTCATGTAGCGTCCCCCTACAAGTAGTAGGTTCAAGATGAAAGAGACGGTACCAGAATTGTACCCAAGACATTCATAGATGCTAATGAACTTCCCAGATTCGCCGGTATACCAAAACCGGTATTGCGAAGCGAGTCTCGCCCGCTTATTTAAAGACATTAATGAGAGTGAAAGGCCATCCCAATAAGTTCTAGACAAGTTTGAGTATTGGCACGTAATTCAAAATCCGCGTTCTCGAGTAGAAATTTGGCCCTCCCAGAAAAGGGTCGTGAACTCTAGCTCAGCCACCACTTGTGGTTCTTTATAGGAAATAGGGTTGAAATAACTAGCGATCGCTTTTGTTTGTCTTTATTTCATCAACATGTTTGATAAGCAACTCCACATCCTTGCCACGGCTCCTCCTAATCGCTAATGTGAGCGGATTCTCACCATTGATATCCTTTGCCTCTACATCGGCACCCTTCTCGAGCAATAGCTTAATCATCGGCACAGGACACTTTTCAGCTGCCCAAATGAGTGATGTCCGCTCATATGGGTCTTCTTTGGCTTCTATATCTGCACCGTTCTCAAGTAGTAGCTCCACCAATTCTGTCCGGTTATTCATAACTGCCCACAGAAGTGGTGTTCGGTTATCCTGGCTATCCTTTGCTTCTATGTCTGCGCCTCTCTCAAGTAGTAGCTTAGCTACTGCGTAGCGACCACTCATAGCTGCCCATGAGAGCAGTGTCCGGCCATATATACTGTCCTCTGCATGCGTATTCGCACCTTTCTTGAGTAGGATCTCGACTATGGCTTCGTGGCCATTCAAAGCCGCCATAGAGACCGGTGTTTGATTATATTGGCTATCCTTCACCTCTGTGTCAGCACCTTTTTCTAGCAATAGCTTAACAATCGCTTCATGACCATCGTGAACGGCCCATAGGAGTGGGGTTCGCCCATATTGGTTATCTTTCGCCTCTGTATTGGCACCTTTTTCGAGCAGTAGCCTAACCATGGCTATGTGGTTGTTGACAGTCGCCCATAAGAGTGGTGTTCGGCCATACTGGCTATCGTTTGTCTCCACATCGATATCCTTTTCAATCAACATCCTCATCACTGGATAATGACCTTTTTCTGCAGCTGAAAGCAGCAATCTCTTTCCGGCATGATGTTTTGACTGTAAATGGCTCTCATCGTTTGACAAAAGTTCGAGCAACCCAGGATGACTACTGAACCTGGCGTAAACAAGCGGTGTCCCGCCAATTGAATCCTCCACATGGATCGAAGCTTTGGCTTCAAGTAGCAGTTTCACCACTTCACCGTGACCATTTAAGATGGCCCACGAGAGTGGTGTTCTTCCAGCATTGTCTTGAGAATCCACACTGATTGACTTGCGAGACGTCTGTGTCAAAAGCTTGACAACATTTTCATGGCCATTTCCTGCCGCCCAGGATAATGCTGACCGTCCATGTACATTATCCTTCGCGTTTATATCAATATCCTCAAACTCCATCCAATAGTCGACCACGGGGGTGATTCCAAAATAGGATCCAATGAATATACTGTCAAAAGAAGGGGGGTCGTCGGAGGTTATCATGTTTTCCCAATAGACGTCGAACCAAACTGGGCGATTACCACAGACAGCAAGCAGCTCTTCTGTTCGGGCGTATATTTCTATATTTGATCCCAACAGGTGGTTGCTCCAGTACAAAGCAGAATAGTTGAAGAAGATACTATTAGTTTTGGAAGGATATTTGCGCGGAGATACCGAGCGCCTCGACTGAAAAGACAGTCGAGTCTCAATTGGACGCGGCATCATTGAAGTGTCCAGGCTTTTTATCTCGGGCTTTTTGAAGTCTGTGAAAAGTAGGTGCCAGATACAAATATTCGCAAGAATGGTATGTGAATATTCCACATTTAAAGAATGCTCCCACTTATTGATTTGGCTGCCGGCGGTTCGTTGTGGTGTTCTTGAGTCTTCTTGTAACTGGGAATCGATTTCTCTAGGAACATTCTCATCTACCAAGAATTCTCTCGCAGTTTGATGGATGAGGTAGACTTCACTGTTCACAATAGTAACAAAGAGCCCACATAGATCGCGTAAGTATTCCTCGAATCGATTATTTGGTGGCAAGTTCAGGTCAGCATATGACCGATGCTCCTTTTCAAGAGCCAAAGCAAAGCTCATTTCCTGAACTGTCAAAGGACGCATGGCCCCAACGATAATGTGAAGCAATTTGCTAGCTTCAGCTTGGTCGGTAGCCCTGGCCAATATTCGTTCATAAGCCTCATTCACTGTCTGAGGAAGATTCGTGGTAGCATTCAGCAGCGTTCTCCTATCAACTTTAATCATATTCTGAATTAAACTGAGTGTGAGAGACACCCAGATATATGTTCGGTTGGGAACAGATGTAAGTTTTGCCAGCAAGAAATCGCGCTCATCTTCACTTAGCCACAGTATATTTCTGAGTTCCTCGACTTTTGTCTCGATAAAGATATCAATTTCTTTAGCAATCTCATTGGCCACGGCATTATTCTCGCCACTAAGATGAATCATAGGTTGCCCTGGCATTTCTAAAGGTTGGAATGCGCGTCGAATAGTACCATATAAACGACTGGTAACCAAGAATTTCAGATTGCATTGTTTTCGACTTTCACTTTCAAAGAACCCGCGCAATGCCTCTGTAAATTGAGACTGTTCAAGTTGTTCACATTCATCAAAGCCGTCCAAGATGCAGATAATATGTGCAGACTTGTTCTCTTTTGCCACGCTGATCAGAACACCCCAAAGCTCACTGAATGAGCTGGTGATGATGTCGCTCGACTCAAATTCGTTCGATGATTTCTTCCCTGGCTAGGCCACGATTATTCTGGAATAGCTGGTGCAGTATACAGCATAGTGCGGTTGTTGCACTTCTCTGCCCCTCGAAGTCATCCTTGAAGAAGAAGTATGAAGACGTTCGAGAGGCATCGCTCGTAAGTACATGATCTGCAAGATATTTGGCAAGAACAGACTTTCCACATCCAGGACCTGCAGAAACCCACAGCATTTGGGACACTCGCGCTTCTTGCCAGGCTTTGAAGGTTGCATGTTTAGTAAACCATTCGCAAGTGCCTCGAGTTCGATCAGGGTTGCGGTTTTTCTGGTCTTGATACTTCAATTTGGCTAGACTTTTCAGGACAGCATTTTGTCTTTCTCTCATGTGAGACTCCACAGCACCGAAACTCACCGGTCCATAGAATCCAGAGCTAACAAATTGATTGCCCGACCCCGGGTTGTTGGACTGCAATCCACCAGGAGCGCTGAAAACATTATTATTGGAGGATAAGCGGTCTTCCGCCGAGTCAGCTTGTGCACGCTCATTTGTCGACATCTGAATAACAGTCGGGTGTGAATGATATGCCATGGCTGCAAGTATATCATGCAAAGTGAGATATGATAAGTGGGCGTGGCTCCGAACCTCCTCTGTGCATAGTACTCTATAGAGGTTGGTTGTCTCACTCCAGTAGATAACCGGCAAGGCTGAACCACGGAATGAATGACATTCTCGTTTTCTGCATGTCCCCAGGATTGGCGCTTGATCCTTTCCCAACTCGGTTGTAGATTGCTTGGTAACTATGCCCAATGCGAGTTCATACACGTCAGCTTAGCTTGGACACTACGCTAATGCGAAGAGTCTCTACGATAAGATGTAATAGGATAAGCATCCTACTTGGTTGGATCACATGTCAGATTCCAGGTTGCATCTGCATCTGCATGATGCATGAAGCATGGAGCATTGTTAGTTATACTAGATTCGGGCTACCTGTTAGGATCAAAAAGCTGAAAACAAATTTTACCATTTAGCTCTACATTCTACCCCCAGGATCATAGAAATCACGAAATCTAACATCACTTTAGCGCGAGTTTCTTGTTGCTATTGAAGTATGGAAGAGACAAAACTGCTGCTTTCCCACACGATTTCTATTCTCGTCCGTGCTCAAGAGCACTACACTTCTGTTGCGAATGATGATAAGGCCCTCATGCCGGCCTTGCTTGACGCAGGTGGAAAGATACCTCTTATTACAGAGGCTCTCCAAGACTTCGAAACTCATTTACATGGACTTGAAATTTCCGGAGTAGGCAGTTTAACTTCTACTCTACAAGCCTGCTATTCAAAGGCACAACTGTCCAAAGACATGCTCAGAAGACTTTCTCAGATAATGGGAACCCTGCAGAGAGTCGACTTTTACGAAACCGCGAATAGATCAGGTGGCAGAGGTGGTACACTGGGATCTCTAGTAATAGGGATGATGACTGATGTACGCTGCTTAATCGAAGACAGTGCGTTGGAGGAAACAATGAGGCCACAAGTCAAAGGGTTGAATGAGGCAATTGAATCTTCGTCAAGGATGGAGCCATCCGTACAAAAGGAGCAACAAGGGCATATATTTTCCAATAATGGTCCTAGTAACCAGTTCAATGCTCCTGGCGGTACTCAGAGTAACAACACGGGTGCTGGGAATCAATTTTCTGGGGCTACTTTTAGTGGATCTGTGACTTTTGGCAAGGCTTAGTCATGAATTCTTTTTATCAGCAATTGGAGAGTTTGGTGGGTATGAGAGTTATATGTACTAGTTATACTAATTATTATGTAGTGGAATAAGTCGATTTTATATCCGTCACAATCGATACTCTTCCAATAAATCTGCTTATGCCTAGACCTTGTTCTATCTGGACTATGAACTATTAAAACAAACAGATCCACTAAAGTTACCAAAGAACTGATTCCCCCTGCCCAAGTTGTTATTTTGGGAGCCCCCAGATACGTTGGACTGATTACCATTGCCGTGATTGTTAAATAATGAGACGGTCAAATTGTGATTCCACGGTTCTCGATTCCACTGGGATCCAAGTTTCTCCTCGATTCTCGCATGACTCATGTTGTTGTTGGGGGTAGGAACAGCATTTAAAAGGGCCTTAGCATAAGCAGCTGCACTAAGTGCCGAGTATGCTTGCCACTGTTTTTGCTTATGCGAATCAGAATAATCACAGATACCACGTATTACCAGGCAAGGAAGTTGGTTCATGAGTCCAGCAGCCTCTGTCTCAAAGCAGAGAATGTCATGTTGCTGTGCGATAGCATCGCGTGTCCTGGCATCTTTCATGACTTGATTCCCAGAGGCAACGATGCCGTAATGGATTTGTGGCTCATCCGTCTCTCTGGGTGGCCGATGTATAATTAAACTCTGGTCACATGCTGAACAATCTGTTTGTTGCATCTGATGATCGTATGTGGACGGAAATAAAAGGTCTTCAGATGGACGGCAAAACTTTTCTCTAATCTCGGGATACTTCTCCAGTGCGTCAAGCATGATCCCGTTCACAGATCTTGTTCCTATAATATGATTGCTGCTTATTTGAGATACGGCGGTCAATAAGATCTTAGGAGGCGAGTTGAGCGAGCCAGTGCGCTGGAAACGTCCATCTCGAACCGTCTTCCCACGGTCATACTGAATGACACCACCGCAAGTCCCATCTGGCACACTCACTACCACGTCTCCCAGTCGAATATCCACCTTGTTCTGCGGCACTCCACCTCCTATGCCGACCATAAGACCAAACCCAGACTTGACCGAGGGAAATGTTCTTAACAATTGTGCCAAGACTTCAGTTGCTGCTATTGTTCCGTAAACACCTTTGGGCAAGCAAGTAATCACCACATTGTGACCATGGATTTCGCCGAGAGTGTAAGTATTGTGGTCAATCTCCGGTTGAGGCAAATTTCCGTGAACTTCATCTAGCATGGCTCTCGCAGCGGCCGTTTCCAACGGCAATGCGCAGATCCACGCCACCGAATACTGGTCATGTCCCCGAACAAGCACGCGTTGAATTGTAGAAGGCATCGTGAAGACAATCTTATTTATAGACGAATTCAGGATGACGAGGCGATGTTGACAATATGGCTGCCTTCCATTGAACCTTGTTTCAAGTTGTTTGGGCCAAAAAGCCCAGGCGTGCGTGCGTCGAGGGTGGCCACGGGGATGCTTAATCGGGTAAAGCTCCCAGCCCTCTTACGGTACATATAGTATATATATATATATACTACTACATATCATTATTCGCACTCGGCATACAAATATCTAGGCACAAATATAAGGAGACAGCTAGACGTAAAACAGGCGAGGATGGAAGCAAATCGCCATGGGTGTGTGTAATATTCAATGAACTCTCAGCTTTTTTCATTTTTTCATCAGTCTCCCAGCCATAATCCATGGTGTTATTAATCCAATGCAATGCAGTTGACAGGTCTTCCCAAAGAAAGAAAAATCACGCTATAAATGATTCGCAGCAGATATATACTATAGTAAATATATATATTCAAAACAACAAATGAATAAAACATGTCAATTTGTCCAGAAGAGAGAGAGAGAGACAGAGAAAAAATAAAAAAGTGCAACTGGGGATATCTTGTGCGTGTCTGTGATCGTAAATTCGTCAACGCCTTATGCAAATGAAAACAAAAGAGAAGTGTCTATCCATCATGGTCGCATAACGAACTAAAATTGAAGACGAGCATTGCGGGTTTAGTGTCGTTTGTATTTCTAGAGACGGAAAACATAGATTGTTAGTCTTCAATGATGATAGTACGAATAATGAGGAAGGGTGGAAAGCTTACATCTTCTATTCTTCGTCGATTTGTCGGGTCCAACGTGTTTCCTGCCCCGAGTAAAGTCTGCCCAACGGCACGTGTAGCCCCAATGGCAGGTCGTAGGATGACAGTGGGTGCTCGTCGCCAGACTGCTTTTGCAGCTCCTGCCGCGCTGCTGCTTTCCATCACCTCACCGGGAACAGCGACAATAGCATCTCGTGTCATAAGTAAATCACGCTCTAGACTGCGGAACGCACCCCGAAGACCCTGGACGACGCCCACTGGTTGATCGGCATAGTGGGAGATTTGTTTCTTCTCGTCCTCGTCGCCCGAATCGCCGTCCCCTTCTAAATGTCCTGTCCCCGTAGATGGAGCATTGAGGAAGTCTTCCGCACTCTGGAGAACTGTCTGGGTTCCAATAGCTAGCTTGGCTCCCAGTTTGATCAGTTCATTTGTGGTGGTCTTTGCGAAAGAGAATGCTCCTTTTTGTATACTGCGTACTATTCGACCATCTTTTTTATATTCACGCATGGGAATGACGACCAGATCTTTGACCCCGCTGCCGACATTGACAAGTGATCGAATAGGCGCAAGACCCGCCAACACACCTGGTAATTGATTTCTCTTAATATCCGGCATCCAGATATCGTTGAGAGTCTGACCAAGCCTGTCAAAGCCCGAGACACCATAGATGATAACATGTCGCATTACCATGTCCGCCTCATCCAGGATGAAGAAATTCATGAATTCGGTCGTCCGCCCAGATCGCAAGCCAGCATAGTCGACTCGCTTGGGCTTAAAGTCTAGCTTCACTCGCACCGAATTGATCTCAACTCGCTGCAGGAACGGAGCATCGCCTGGAGTACTGGGAGCAGGGGCGGACTCATCCTTGAATTCGAAAAAACGACTAAGAAAGTCCAGCGCATCTTGATCAACGTGAAGACGTAGGGGCAAAATAGTAGCCTATTAACAAATGTTAGAATCGCCTTCGCTAATTATTGGATAGGCAAAAAGTACACACCTTAAGAACAATTTCTGATGCCGCCAACTCCGCCACCGGCTTGACATTCAATATTTCTAGATGCACCATGCTAGTCCCGCTTTCGCGTTCCCCAGCATCGTTCATATATGTCGCAAATTTCTTCCAAGTTGATGTCGGAATGTGATCAAAAATCTCTAGATCATTCACCCGCACGTCCATTGTACTCTGAGTTTCGCTAGAGTCTGGTGGGAAGACGACAAAATCGGCCGAAACACCCTTTAGCTCGAACGTCATTTTGTGATGCTTGCTGCGTGAGAGACGTAACCTCTTTCCGCGAACTGAAGGTGGCCGGTTTTGTCGATTTGCGGAGAGTCCGGTGACAGTCGTAGAGGTAATGTAGCTTCCTGTCTCACTAATCATGTCATCTATATCATGATTGATTGCTCGGGACAGCTCACGAGGGTCCTTGTTGGCAGGTATACCGATATAGATAGAGTTGAAGAGAAAATCGCCAATAACCGACTCTTCTTCATCATCTTCGGGGGATAGGCGACTCGTTGCTTTGGCGCGTCGTTCTGCAGCTTTCATTTCAACATCCTTGACGGCCCTTGAAATTGTATCCCTTGTGCGTTGCCAATCATATCCATCAAAAAGGTTCCAGATGAAATGCACATCTCGCACCCTGACTCTCAATGGGCTACCATGAAGTTTTACTTCATTTGCAAGGCCATAAGTATTGTGAGTAGAGTCCCATCGATGAGCCGTGCCTCCGACAGTTGATTTTCTAGCGAAATGATCATCCCGAAATTCAAGGCCTGTTATGCTAGTCGAAACATTATACTCCGAATGAAAGCTATCCATCAGACGTCTAGATCGAGACATATCGGCCATCGGATCCATCATCGTACTTGTACTCATCGGCTCTTCTGAATCAGGTCCCTTGGGATAAAAGTCGCTGACGTAGTCGAGTTCATCATCAAGAGCACCTTCAAAATTATCCTCCGACTCATGAACAGAAATTTCATCGGCGTTTGTCACTTGATCAGTCGTAAACGCTTCACCAGTAAATGAACTTAACATATCTTGCAACGGCATAACCTCAGTACGATACTTGAGTGTACTGCTCGGCAATGATGGGGGTGCAAGTCCGCTGAGAAGCCCAATGAGAGTTTGCGTGGAATCAGCACAAGTTTCCAGAATTAGCAAATCATCTCTCACTTCGACGTCAACAGACTTGTTGCCATCTGCATCAGGTGGTAGCATATTGACCGAAAACACCGCAGATGATATGTATGAAACTGGCACAAAGCCCACGTTGGCGAACCCCCGGAGTTGTTCATTCTGGCTGTCGACTATCGTTCGCTGACTGCTGCTAGTGTCCCCGGAGCCAACCATTGACACATCGTCTATAATCATGACTGTTGCCTTTTTGATCTCAAAATTGGCCTCAGAAGATCCATTCCCCGGGTCTGTGTATTTGAACTTCGAATATGTCAACACCATCAGACCTTTTGCAGGCATGTCGCGCGGATTCAATCCAACAACGCAATCTCGAAGAGACACGGCAAGCTTGAACGGTTTCGCATCAGGCTCCAGTACACCATATGCGCCAGAAGACATGCTCTGATTTCGAGAATTTCGAAGGTCTGTAAGATTGGCCACAGAGGCGGCCATCGTTGCTGCCAAATCCTCGGGTGTAGTATTGCTTTCGAGCCCAAGGAATGCAATGATCGAAGGCAGAGTATATTCAACTCTAAAACTATGAAATTTGATCTTCACTGTAGGGTCCATTTCATCTGCAATAAAACGAGCCATTATCATCGGCAACGAAGGTTGCGCGGCACTCACGTTTGCAGAGGTTTTCAGGGCCTCACCAACGAGCTCTTCTGTCTCGTTCCGCAATAGTGAAAGACTCTTCACTTGCGCCGCTATGAGAGATGGAAGGCTGATGTGAGCCATCTCTATATCTTGGGTCACTGCTCGCAAATCGCCAATCTTCTCATCGACATGAGTATTGCACTCGAAGTCGCGAATTAGTAGCAAAGTCATAATGCCTGGGCGATCATCCTCCGGCAGGTATTTAGTCACGCTTGACAACCTTGCAATTTCCAGTGGAAGATACGACAGAGGTCCCAACCCTTCTAAATCGGAAATCAACAGCTTTGCCGTTGTTACCGCCACACGGAGAACGCCTCCTTGTCTTCTTTGTCGGAAAAGCGTATCGAGCATGATATCATCATCCTCCTCATACTTATCCTTTGATGGCGTCAGCAAAGACAGGAGCCTGTCTAGATCAACCTCCTTCGGGGAATACAAGTATTCAGTTCGGATATTTCCCAAACTGAGCGTTGCCGGATATTCTCCATTATCGTCGGGGAAACATGGGCCAATAACCTTAGCCTTGTCAATCTGGATGCCAATGCCTTCATATCTACTAACTGCTTTGACTGCAGTAGTATTCAACTTGAGGGCACATGTTTCGCCCACAATGTCAAGCATGATGCCACCTAGTCGAGCATTAATCTTCCAAGGAGCAGATGTTGCGATAGAGGTAGGAGCCTCGGGGGTCGGCATTCCTTCGAAACGCACCCCTCGTGTAGGCTTCTTCGGGGTGTCTGGCTTATCTCCACGAACCGTTGAAATCGATGCCATGGAGCTTCCTAGTTCCATTAATGTACTGAGACCCCCCAGCCATCCTAAAATCTCCTCCAACCTCTGGATATTCAGGTTTAAATGGACTGGTAACGTAGTTATATTAATCCTGGCAGATGCTGGTGTTTTAGTGACGGTAAGGGAGATGTCGCGAGGGCTGGTTACTTGTATATCCCTGACGGAGTCCCGCATTCTAAGCTCCTTATTGAAGGATATGAGGGTCTCAGATGCGCATCCAAGAACGAACTTGGCCACTTCGAGTTGGAATTTCATAGTCTCCTCTGATATAAACAAGTCAGAGTTCACCGATGATAATTGTGCTTGAAGTATGATGTCATCTACTGCAGAAAAACTCGAACGAGGTAATTTAGTGGCCGTTGCCGTTTCTTGAGCTCGATACGGAACATCTGCCAGGTGTTCCAAGAACTTGATTGCGCAAGAATGAAGGTTAAGCCTAAAATGCTGGTATTTTGATGATGAGGCCTGGTGATTGTTGCTTGATGGCTTGGACTCGGGTGGTTCAACATTAAAAGCAGTGGCAAGTTTCTGGCTAGCCTTTACAAGCAGCCACCCAGTTGCTATGTCAAACAGAAATAGGACTTCATTGACGTCAACGGAAATGGCTCCAGGAGCATTTGTAAATGTGATGGGTTCGAAGACATCAGGTCCCTTGTGGCCCGATTGTTCAGCGTTATCAAAGGCGATGGATGAAGATATAGAACTTCTGCGCATTGACATCGAGTAGTCCACGTTAGAAGCTTCAAGAAGATCACCCCTCATTGATTGACTTCCAGAGCTTTTAGGCCTATCATGTTGCGAGATTGATTGTTGTTCCATGCCTGAACTGCCATATCCTTCCGGTATCCAAATCGTTATTCGACTTATGTCAATAATTTCGCGAGCGACATCTGGATCCACAGAGGACTCTGCAGCGGATGGGCATGGCTGAGGGTCCAAGGCTGCATTATGCGACTCTCCAGGCAAAATTTGTGGAGCATCCTCATCATTTGTCTGAGAGAGAGACGACACTGATTGGCTGCCAATCCTCGGCGTAGAGACATCTGCATCATCGCTAAAATCCTTCGCTGTATAAACGCCAATCTTACGTTCACGACCATGTGAATCTATATCTGATCCGAATCTTGTTGAGTCCCAACCACCGGGCATTACCGGCGCATCATGGTCTGAGGTGCCACTAATAGCGCTCATATACATGCTTGAAGCTTCTTCATGGCTGAAAAGTTTGGACTCCGATAGGTCATCGGGCAATGAGCCGGAATGAGAGCTACTGTTGCTTGATTGGATTGTAGAGTCGCCGTCAGCAGATATAGTAGAGTTGGACAGGTCGGCGGAGTATGAGGCAGGAGTCGGTTCAGGGGAGGGTGAACGAGAGGTTCCGATCGATTTTTGACTGCGGCTGAGAGATTCATGAAAGTAAGCATGCTCAGCGCTGTCATCGGTATGGGCTAAGGATCGAGGTTCGTCAAAATCATGCCATGTCTCTGGTGCGTGTGAGGAGTCAAGTTGTGGACTTCGTGGTCTTGGAGTACCGGTACTTTGGGGAGATTTAGGGTATATTTCAATGGATCTTTCTGGATCGTCAACAAATTGCGAGTGAAAAACATCATCAAGATAGGCAGGGCTATCAATAATGCCATCATAATGGCTACCTGAAACTGAGTAATCTTGACGTTGATATTCATCCCCAGGTTCACTTTCCGCATCTGAAAATCGACCATCTAGAGAATCTGTTGAACTCTCCATAAACTCTTCACCGGGCATTGTCGGATTTGAGTAGGGCACAGTCATTTGGGAACGATACAAAAGCGCAGATTCAGCCAGTTCAGGTTGCGACCCCGTAGAAGGTGATATTGGTTGTGATCGCGTGATTCCATGTACTGTGTCCGGGACATGTCCCACCTTTGATGTTGTAGTCGAAGGCGAGGGCGGAGCTTCTGCAAACCGTGCATAGTTGGAGAAAACAACAGGGTCGGATATAAGCAGAACACGGATTGAATCCAATGTCACCGTCCTGCCTGCTACCCTGGAGGAAGCACTTTGGTCTTCAGTCTCAGCAACACTACTTATCGATACCTCTTCAATAATCATAGATGCTGTTATTTGATCTGGTTTATCAACGGGGACTTTTTTGGTGGGACCATCTTGTGGAAGATCCATATCGACGCGGATATTGATATTGTTGATTTTGATTTGCAGCCTACTCAAGATACCTTGGAGGAAGCCGGAAATGAAAGTAGGAAGCGAGACTTCCTCATTTCCAAGACCAACTTCATCATCCTCGCTCAGTGATGCTGTTGAGCGTTGCAGGTATTGAGATTGTGACGAGATTGCCGCCTCGATTTCCGCCCTTTCTTCCCTGGGTTCTGATTGAATGAAGGATTGTGCTAGGTCGTCGGTTGTGGGCAGGACTGGTTGCTCGCTGGCACTACTTAAAATCGGTTTACCGCTTTTCGAGTCGTCGCCCGACAGCAGTTGGATATGTACGTCGACACCGTCAACCTCAAAAATAATTCCGCTGTTGTAGATATCGGCCGGTATGGTGACTCGTATGAGCGATGAGCGTGCTTTTAATAGTTTGCATGTTGACGGTAATTGTAGGATAGAAGCTAGTTTCTGTGCGAGGAGAGGAGGTCAGCCCAAAGTAACCTGTGTGGATGCTTTCCTACTTACCTCTAACCTCAGACCTATGTCCCGCAACTCAAAGGTACTCCTCTGGCCCCAGCGTATCCCTAAACTATCGAGATCTATGGCATCTGTATCGACCAACTCGAGTCTTGAAAGCGCGTAGCGTAGCAGGCGCTTCTGAACGAACGACGGCAGGAAGTAATCCATCGCGGCCTCTGGTTGAGACCCAAGCTGGGCACACGGTTTATCGTGTCAGCATTGAAAAAAACGAAGAGAGATGATTCAGTTGGTGCGTTTTGAACGGATAGCGTGGGAGCTGCGGTAACCAAGTCCAGATGGCTGGTTTCGTCTGAAATGTTGGGCGATTCTGGGAATCTGGAGGCGGAGACCGGAGAAATCGATAGGAGATAAGGGGCCCGATAACGCGCTCGCTGGCAGCCCCTCGTTGCGTTGGGTGGGATTATGCCAGCGATGATAAAATGGTCTCTGGACACTCTGCACGAGGAAAGTATACACTGAGACATGTGTTGGTCTTGTTGATCCTGCATGGAGCAGCGAAACAGGGTGCGTCACGTTGCCTCAGCACGCAGTCGGTCGGTGCCTCAGGTCCCACACCCAGGGTAGCCCGGCGCTAGGCAGTTTTGGGCCGCCTGCCATAGCGTCATCCGCCAAGCCCTTTGTCTATGAACTATGAATAAATCTACATGTCTATATGTTGATATATCTGTGTATTGCGTATGATCTATGTCTTTAATCCTCCAATTCACCGGCAAATTCCAGGACAACCCATTGACAGAACTTTTCAAAATCTTGATACCATTCCTGCAAATATTTGGCTTTCACACCCTGCCCGGCAATTCCTTGACGGATATCAGCCTGCCACTCGGCGGCTGTCTGGTCTTCAAAGCAGCTCCATCGGATCGAGTTCTCTGCCATAGTGGCTAGCCCGGACAAGCCTACATTTTCGAGGCCTTGGAGCGTTTGCCAGAAATCGTGCGTAAGTCCATTCTTGCCATGGCCCAGCACTGCAGGGTCGTCATTGTTGAGCGAGACAGCGACTCCCCGGGATAGCAGTGCCGGGAGAGAGTGATGTTTGATGGTGTTCGAGAGTCTCAGGATTTCGTTGGATATGGGACAGCATTCAATGAGGATTTTCTTTTCTTTGACCAAGTCGATCAATAAAGGGTGCTTGTACAGAGAATATCCGTGCCCAATTCGACGGGTACCTAGTAGAATTGCATCGTAAAGGTTCTTGTCAGTTTCATCACCATCTCCTAGACACTCGCCGGCATGGAAGAAAAATGGGATCTCCACCCCTTCCTCTGCGCAAACCTTTCGAAACCAGAAGAGCACAGGTACAAGGTCCGCAAGCGTCCTTCCCCTATCTTCTTGGCCAACAACATCGAAGCCACTGATCATTTCTGGGTACTCTTTCTTGGCAATTATACACTGCTCCATGCTGTCAACAATTTCCCTATTCGAGAAAGATCGAAGCGTGGTCCATATTATTCTGGCTCCATAGAAATCTTTCCCTTCGTCACTGGCCTTGAATTTCTCAACTTCTTCTTTGAAGACACGGAAAAACTCGACGTAGTCAGCCTCTGGAGTTTCAACTCCCGTTTTGCGCCATTCCCATCCAAAGTCGAGTCTGAAATCAACGTATCTAATGCCGTCTCTAGCCAATTGTGCAAGCAATCGTTGCAAGCATGACCGGAAAATAGGCTCGTAAGTTACAAGAGACTGTAAGACAGAGAACACGCGCCCAAAGATTTCCCATATGGCATCAACGCCATGATGATGATAGTAGGAATGTTCTGGAGTAATCATCATTCGACTCTTAAGCCACTTTCGAAAACCTTCTTGTCCCCCACGAGGATATGTGTCCACAGACTTTTGAACGTTAATTAGCGACGAAGGTTTGTACCCTTTGCTCCATACTGGCTCTAAGTTATCGGAAGCTTCAAGAGGTTTGTTGGAGTACTGGAAGGTAAATGGAGCTTTGTCAAAGTCGTCATCACTTAATAATGGGGCAGGAGCAGATATGTGCATGCCTGGCGTCTGGAGAGACTGATCAATCAAAAAGTCAAGGTCAAACATGGCGTCCATATGCGCGTGTAAAAGAGCGCCTTTGGGCATCCGCTCTAGAATTTTCCATAGTTTTGTCTGCTCCATGCGCTCACGAGCAGCAGTAAACATCATCCCTGGATAAAGAAGTTCTTCGTCGAGCCTTCCCTTTTCCTTGGTCCATACATCGCGCAGCTCTTTCTCTCGTATGGTGGACACAATCCTACAGGCCTCCTGGGCAACAATAGACATGGAGTTGCGAAAGGTAAAATCTGACAATTCATCAGTTACTCTCCGTATACCTCCACTTATGAAATAGTTACTGACCATGTCTTTGCTTGTGTTCCTGTTCTATGAGCGCCTCGCGGCCGTTGAGGTACTTTTGAATGAATGGATCTTCAACCTGCGGGATTCCTTCATCCAACTCCCATTGGATATCCTCTTTAGGGGCGACCATCGTGGGCATATATGAAAGTCAAGCGCGGCTTCCAGAAGAGGTCAAATTATCTCTTCACTGCAATGAGCAAGTGCGATATTCTAGTTCGACTACTCGTTTTTCGTTTTTGGCAGTCGTCGTTGCAATCGATCTGACTCAGCCAACGGTCGGACCAATCATAGACATTCTCTCTATCCTGCCCCACCATCCACATACAGTCGGGAGACGCGAGCGTTGATTGGCCCAGCGACATACTTGCCTAGATAGGCATTAATTGGAAAGTACAATAATCTTTGTACCTTTCTTCTGACCAAGCAGTGGCTAGACACAATCACCTACACAAACTTGGAAGGTTCAGGTCCTGGAAATACCCCTAACCTTGATCAAATTAAAAACTATTGAGTCATTGACTATTCCGAATCTACTGTTTCCCCTCTTAACTCCCTGATATTATACTCTTGCCTAACCATGGAGGGTCTATCTGTATACTACACCAATAATCTGCTTTATACGCAGGAAAGATTGTCGAAATATCGACCTGGCGGGTACCATCCCGTCCGCCTTGGCGGTGCCTTCAAAAACAACCGCTACGAAGTAAATCATAAACTAGGATGGGGAGGGTTTTCCACCGTCTGGCTTGCACATGACAGAGAGTACGCTGATAGAGATCATTGTATTCTTCTTCTTCGCCAACTTCTGGAAAACAAAATCGATGAGTTTCACTTAAAATCATGACAGCAGACAGCTCATCGGCATCTCGGGAACGTGACAATATACAGTGTCTGCAAAACCACCCCCAAGGGAATCTCTGTTCAATTACTTGACGACTTTACTCACCACGGTCCTAATGGAGCCCACCAGTGTCTTGTATTCGAATTATTTGGCCCTCCTGTGGATAAAGTTCTCCACGAGTACTACGAATCTCAAGAACGGCTAGAAACTGCCACCATCTTACGAATGTCAAAACAGCTTCCTGAGGGTGTTGAGTTTATCCATAGGTCCGGTATGGGCCACGGAGGTAAATTTTGTCCGTCTAGTAATCTGCTGCATCTTTAACTTATCTTGTGATAGATATAAGCGGTACGGACTTGTCGAATGCAACAAAAGAAGATCTTTTTGAAGTTCCTGGTACTCCGGAAGTTGAAAGCTGGCTCATATTGACGGCAGTCAACTCCCCAAGGGCTTACCAGAGACTCTAGTGGAAGCAACGGAATGGGATGAGTGGGTAGACGAAGATGAAGAAGACATTCGGATCATTGACTTTGGAGAGAGTTTTCTCAAAGGAAGAGAGCCTATGAAAATTGCTCAACCAGGGCCCTTACGTGCACCAGAAACGATTTTTGCAAAGCCCTTGGACTACAGCATCGACCTATGGCGTTCCGGCTGTATAGTAAGACACCCCCCTAATCTTATATCGGAATATTACTCAATAAACGACCTGTAGATCTATTCGTTTATATTTGGAACCCATCCCTTTCAATACCTAGGTGACGATGATGTCTTGGTGGCACAGATGATAGACTTTGTAGGCAACTTGCCGAAGGGTGGCAATCACAGTGGGAGTGGATGCAGAGAACGTCCAAATTTCAACTACAGCCAAAAGAAAGTAGGTGACTTGGCGAGTGACTGCGTTGCTGAAACATTTTTTCTAACTTTTGCCCAAGACTGTCAACCATCGAAGCTAGCACGAAAATTCAAGGAGAGAGTGCATGATCCGGAAATTGGATCCTTACAATGTGTTATTGAAGGGCTGATGAGATTTCTGCCGTCCAGCCGTATCGCAGCGTCAGTGGCCTTGGATTTAATGGAGTCGATCATGAGACAAAATTACAATTCTGACTATAAAGGTGCTGCGTACACGCCGATTAGGTAGTATGTTGCACTGGGGCGTAAATAATTATTTGCCGGATTTCCTATTGCTTACTATTTCCAAATCCGAGCACAAATTACATTCACTTTCTTTTGAAAAGCAACAATGTAACCGAATTCCCAACCTTGAATCTCGGGTTCTGCTCACCGATTGCTATTCTAATCTCATCCGCCATCTCCTTCACGCAATCCTTGTCTGTCCCCGCAAGATCAGTATGCGCTTCCCTCCAACGAGTCACCATGCTAGCTGTACCCAAGCTTGCCTCTAGACTATCCAGTGTTGTCTCGCCTTTAGAATCATCCTTATCAGCCAGGAAGAATTCTTGACCATTGCTTAGAATGCCATTGCGATCCCATTCCTGGCGTACAAAGTCTGACTCTGGAAATGCCGACGCGAGGCTATTCCCGTCATCGGCAAGATGCCATGGAAGAACGAGGTTGTCATACATATCGCGGGATAGACGATTGGGAGGAAGTTCGTATGGAGCTAAGACTTCTCGCTCCAAACGGAACAGAGCTTTTTGTACCGCAGCCGCGTTGGGGGTTGAAGGGTCTGATGTTTGTCAGTCACGGTGCAACTCGTCGTATGAGGATTTGAATGCTACTTACGACAGTATAGTGATGAACATGTCCATAGAGCAACGGTGCCTTGCGGCTTCACTAGTCGGGCTGCTTCGGCCCAGAAGTCAGGCATTGAGAACCAATGAGCCTAGTTCAAGCTCGCCTTATTAGCACGGATACATACGCACACTATGGAACAAGCAATATAAAAACGACAAGTGAATATCCGGGACTGCTTGAGACTTACCGCCATGGCAGCTGTCAGCAAATCAACGCTCTTTTCCCCAGTAACACTACTTCCAGACGCCGACAGAGCATCTATGACTCCTTGAGCGCATTTCTCAGCGCCGCAGACGGCAAAGACTACCGAACGGCCAGTGCGAGTCATATTATTGCTACCTTCGTCTAATTGGCTTGCATTAGACGCAGCATGAATCATTTCGGCGCCGGGGTCCAACCCTATGGCATAGTCGAATGCGGATGCCAAATCGCGTGTTGCGCGCCCGGGGCCACAGCCGATGTCCGCGAGGACATCTAGCTGGCCGCCGGTGCTGGTGTGGAAGTTGATAATTGTCTCATAAAGCTTCTTGGGATATGATAAACGGTTTTTTAGATAGCCTTGGGCTTGAGAGCGTGTGTAGTTGGTGAACGTTGGGTCAGATTGCGCAGTCGGCATGATGTCGGGCCGTTTGTAAGGGAACCTGGTTCGAGAAGAAGTATTGCGAGATGGTTTGGTTTAATTGCTAGCTGTCTATGGGATGAACTGCTCAATTGAAAATGCTGGGTAGATCTCAGCTTAGTTATCACACAAATCTAAAGGTTGTGACTCATTTTGTGACTCATTTCGCAGTTTGCTTCTCACGTTACATCGTTGCTTGTAGATGCGTTTTTCCATATCTTTTTTATTTCCCTCGGGTTTTAGCGCATTTCTTGGTTTCGGGCAACATAGCAATTTTGATATTCCTTTAAACTAACTTTGTGGTGGATTTCGAGGCATAGATGTAAGGGCTACGTGTGTCACATGACTCTGACTCGGACCGCGCGTCTGAGTAAACCGCGCAGTAATGCCCGAGAAATACGTTAACTTCCCAAGTTAATTATTAGTCTTGTCGACTGCTTTGAAATTAGTTAGTTAGAGATCTAGCGCGAGCTATGAACAACGTTAAAATGATGCAACTTCATGAAAGTAGTTCGGGTTCCAAATTAGTCATCATTGATTGACTGAGGTATCACAGCAGCTATGTATAAGAGAAGAATCACATCAAAGATAGCGAGAAGCAACATTAAATCAAGCGGAGAAGCCCCGAGCACAACTCCTGCAACGCAACGCAATGATGCTCGCTCGATAAATAGTTTTTTGTTTGTACCGCCATGCATCACGTCGAAGTGCATGAATGCCTGGAGAATGAGGGGGGTAATTCAAAAAGAAAAAAAGGTAAAAAGAAAACGCCGCTTTGACAAATGCAATCGACTTTGAATAATGAATTTCCGTCCTTCGTCGTAGCAAGTAAGCAAACGGTGCCAGATCAGACTCTTAATCGGGCTGAGGCTTCCTATGCCCCTCATTCATCATCTTCGATGTCCCGATGCCTGGCCAACACATGGCGCTTGAATTCTTCTGGATTGCTGTCCCATAGCTCCGCGGCTTGGCCGTTTAGGGGACTCGCACTGTGTATGGGTTTATGAGATTAGCCACATGGATCTCCGGCTCACAGACAACAGAGATAGACGTACTTATTTGGCTCGCCAAGAAGACTCTGCAGGCTGAGCAGAACACTCTGCACGTTGTACACGGCACTCCACTTATCCTTCAAGATATCCAGACAAATCCGACCTGAAAAGTCGACGTTGGGGTGGTAAATGGGGGTCTTGAAAAGCACTGTTGGTGGAGCATAAGGATAATTATTAGGAAATGCAAAGGAGAGTTTGAAGGTCAAGTTTTCGTAAGGCGTCTCCGTCGGCCCGTCGATGGTTGCTGTCCACGAGAGCAGGTTGCCATCAGCATTAGGGAAGGCCGAAATTCCAGGTGATGGCGAGAGCATAAGCTGCATCAGCTCTGACTGCAAGCTACAGTGCAAAAGTAAAGTGCGTTAGCCAGGAAGAAGTTGCAGCAAGTGACGTTGATTCTCACCGTTTGGTGACGCTCTGGATGTCGCCTCGTGGGGCGGAAGCACCGAGCTTGGATGCCTCGTGGGCTTGAGGAGCGGTGTTCTGAGTGTCTTCCATCGCGTAGTCCATGGCGTCAGGAGAATTAAAAAGCCAGATGGTCGGCGCTACGACTTATTCTTCCTTGAAGGGGGCTGCGGATCTGGGAACCGCAGCAAGAGATCTCTGGAATGTAGGGAATGTGGATGTGACCGAGGCGAGTGACGGATGCGGTAGTGGCCCACAACAGAGCTGCTCACAGGGACAGAGAGAGACGAGAAGGGGCAGATGCAGAAGGTACACGACGGAGGATCGCGTGTCTACCGGAGTGTCCGTACGCCGTGCGTGCGAGAGTCTTCCGTATGATTTCTTCTGAAGTTGTTGTTTACCGGCGAGCCTCCCACGGCAACGCCATGCTTAGTCAGCCGGGCGGGGAGCAACCACCGCCAACCCGCCAGCAGCAACACGCGACTGTCTGCAACGCCGCCTGGCTACGTTTTGTTTTGGTTATTTCTATTTGATCCAATTATTATACCGCTGCCCGCATGGCTAGGCACACCTGAGAGATGACTGCGCCAGGCTGTGGTCCCCGTTGCGTGCGTGAAACTAACCGGACAACCCAGATGGCGGGGTGGATTACTCGAAAGGGATAAATTGTTTTGTCGTCAACAACGCGACCCACCGCGACGCTCGCATCGCCAGAGACAGACACGTCGATGGTGAGAGTTATAGCCACTCCTCCACATCCTTTGCGTTGTCACCAGTGGGACGCGACGCCATGCAGCACTCTCAGCTCGCCCCGCTACCAACAGAGCTGCCCTTTCGCATTGTGTCCAAAACAATCGGCCAGGGCGCTTATGCATGGTCAGGCCCCTTCGGTGTTCTCTTGAAGCTTACCTACATACTAACTCGGGCTTTGTGCGTGTGTGCAGCATCAAGAAAGCATGTCCGCTCCAAGACAACCAGCCGGTCTTCGCTGTCAAATTCATACACAAGGAGTATGCCGCCCGGCATGGCAAGATCGGGGCTAGGCAGCTGCAGATGGAGGTGACGGTCCATAAGCATATTGGTGATCACAGAAACATCATATCCTTCTTCCATACCGGCGAAGACCCGACGTGGCGATGGATCGCAATGGAGCTAGCCGAGGGGGGTGACCTTTTTGACAAAATCGAAGCGGACGAAGGCGTTGGAGAGGATATTGCGCACCTCTATTTTACCCAACTCATCAGCGCCGTCAGCTATATGCACTCCAAGGGAGTTGGACATCGCGATCTCAAGCCGGAGAATGTGCTGTTGTCTGCGGACGGCAACTTGAAAATCGCCGATTTCGGCCTGGCAACTGTCTTCGAGTACAATGGCAAGATGAAGATGTGTACCACGCTCTGTGGGAGCCCTCCATATATCGCCCCCGAAGTGATATCATGTAGCACACGAGGTCAAACCAAGGGTGTAGGCTATCGAGCCGACTTTGCAGATATTTGGTCTTGCGGAGTCGTTCTCTTCGTGCTGCTTGCCGGCAACACGCCTTGGGATAGCCCAACTGAGAATAGCTTCGAATTCAGTGAATATCTAGAGAAAAACGCCAGGACATCTGACGAGCTTTGGCAGCGATTACCGACGGCGGTGCTGTCGCTTCTAAGAGGTATGATGAAGGTTGATGTGGACAGCAGATTTACAATGGAAGACGTGAGGAGACACCCGTGGTTTACTCGGCCGAATAGATATCTCTCTACAGAGGGCAAGTTAAGAGACCAGGTGAATCTCGCAACTAGCATGTTTGAGTCTTTACACATCGACTTCACGCAAGACCCACTCGCACAGTCACAGCGAAGTTCCCAGAGGGCTTCATCTTCTGCTATGGACATGGATGACTTGGAGGCGAGATTGTCATCCACCCAACCAGATATGCCCATGGGCAATGTGACTGTCGACTGGGATATGCCCCTCGTCAACACATTTTCCTCGACACAGCCAGCAGACCACCAGCCCATGTCTATTTCACAGGATTACCAACATGCCGATCGTTTAGAAGACGAACCTGCCATGTCCCAGTTTAGCCAGAACCCCTCGGTGCCGCTCAGCCGAACACAAAATGCGCAGAAATTCCACGACATCATACCATCACGGTCTTTAAATCGATTTTACTCGAGCTGGGCGTTGAAATTACTCGTCCCAGTGCTGAGCGAAGCTCTTCATCGACTAGGAGTTCCGGTGCCCCCTCAAATAGCTGGCATCGATTATGGTGGCCCGGTTGTCATCCGTGTCGCCACAAAAGATCAACGGCTTTGTCTATTGCAAGGAAATATTATTGTGGAATGTGTTTCGGAAGGCTTATTTGAGGTTGAGTTCATTAAGGTCAAGGGTGATCCTCTAGAATGGAGGCGCTTTTTTAAGAAAATTGCGGTTTTGTGCAAAGATGCAGTATATAAACCTGACTAACAGGATGTAATAATACCCATCGGGACATGTTGTTGAATGGATTTCTTTGTATTAATGAAGCACTTTTGCAGCCGTAGCAATGGGGATCTCCTAGCCTGTTTCAGACAACGCATCTAGCTAGGTTCCTCTGGGGCTTCATTCCTGTGTCCCACACGGGATCGATATTTGTGGCTGGCTGATGATGCAGAAATTGTTTACACAGGGTGACATCGGAATGGGGTTCATAAGTAATATTTGCCGAGGTGCACTTGAACGTTTGTCTCCACCGCGCCTGACAACTCACGCACTAGGTGACTAACATATAATGTCCTTGAGAAAAAAAAAACGACCGAGGACAACATGATCATGCACCCTCTTGAATGAGCATGATAGTGGACCTGTCGTCTTTATCAAGGGAATGAGTCCCATGCGGGGAATCGACAGACCGTATCATATCATCCTGTGACAGCCAGGATTCAAAAGAATAACCCTACTCTTGGGAGAGTGCAAGAAACCAAGATGACCGGAAAAAAATACGCTCTACCACGAGGATTATATCCGTCTGCAAGGTAGGCTTTACTTGTACTTGCTTCATATCCCCGGAAAAGTCACCATCACTGGCTACGTATCATCTATGCTGATCAGTTCTCTTCAGGCTGAACTTCCAGTTCTATTTATGGCAGGAAGCTCTTGGTTTCATCGTTCATCCTTCCGTTGATCTAGCAAAACCAGACTTGAAAGTGGCTGATGTGGCTACTGGCACGGGAATCTGGCTCAACGAGCTATCCAAGTATGTACCTTCGTCGGCGCAGTTGGACGGGTTTGATCTTTCTACAGACCAGTTTCCGCACATCTCATGCCTGCCGTCAAATGTCCGTCTTCAGATCTGGGATGCAACCCAAGAACCGCCCGAGTCCATGGTTGGTGTCTATGATGTTGTGCACATTCGGCTCATCGAGTTTGCTATTGAGGATAACGACCCATCCATTATCCTCCGTAATTGTCGAAAGCTGCTAAGTGAAAAGACTCCCAGAAGATGTTAACTGTCGAGGGGCGTCAAGGTTGCTGACTAGTCTCTAGAGCTAGGTGGCATCCTGCAGTGGGACGAAATAATTCTTCAGCAGATCCAGTCTTTTCGTCCACAAGCTGAGTTGCCCACGCCGTGTTTGGAGAAATTCTGCCAGATATTCTTGAATGTTAAGCCCATCGAGTGCGTCAATTCAATGGTTACTGGAGCGTAACATTACATTTTCTAACGGGCTGCATGATAGATGGATTCCCATCTTACACGAATTTTTCGAGAAATACAAGCTCCATGTGGTGGCAAACGAGGTACATCTGCAGAAAAAATGGCAGAGACAGGCTATTATGGAAAACTGGTGCCTGCTCGTAGACGAGCTTGCCCAGGAACTAGATAGGAACGGAGAACCAGACAAAGGAGATGAACTAAGAGGCGTTATAAACGGTGCTTATGAGGAAATCAAACGCGGTGGCTTCTATTCGCAACCAATGCAAATTGTGGTCGGGAGAGCTGTGGCGTAATACCTGATTTTTGTGCTGGTAAATAGAGACCTGCGTATACAATTTCCAGTCTCGTTTTACATGGTATGTATATAAATACAAGAAATGTGCATCGGTCTTAGGTCCACGCAGAATCACGGCGGAATGATTGGGCGGATATTAGCCCTAACATACATCGCTGGCTATTCGTGATTTCATCATGACAACAGGCAACCACCAGGCAGCTATGTCTGGCATCTTTCTGGGGTTTGAGAGTATTACTACACACGCATCACAGTAAACTGCGTGATGTGTTGCAAAAGTTCAGCTTCTAGCCTAGACTCAGCCCTTGTTAATGCCCGGTTGTCAAGATGAAGTTCTTTGAACGAATTGAAAGACACCTATACGAGCGTAACAGGTTTGATCAACTGAGCGCGCTTATGGATTTAGAACAGTTCTTTACCTTGTCCTCCAAGAAGAAAATTCAAACGGAATGGATTATAGGCCAAAGCCTGGAGCAGCGTCTAGGAACAATACTCTGCGAGCGCGAGATGTATCTCAAAGAGGAAATTGAGGCACTTGAAAAACAACAAAGCTTCAATCATTATCTGTTGGGGATACACAGGATCTAGAAGAATTCCGAGACGAGCTGCGGCGTCTGGATTTAGAATGGTGGCTTCATATCAGAGACAATGTTCGACACATGGAGGCAGAGCCCAAGGGGTCAATTGTACGGCGGTTTAAACTACTCTCGGAATTACGACCCGAACTACTTGCGCTGGACTGCAAATTAAGAGGATGTTGTTGTAACTATAACTGTGGATGTTGCCAAACTCCCAGAGAAAGCTCCAGAGGGATTCTCTTCGGTCATTGCTCGGCGGATTGGTGTGGATGCTGTATACGCCGGAGAGGGTTCGGCGAGATTCCTGACCGTAGGCCAGATACTTATCGTGTATGGAATACGTAAATAGAACCATGCATATTGCCGTTGATCAAGTCACAATATTACTTAGGCTATATGTAAGTGCATAATGAGTATTATATGCGTTAGGCACCCTTCCCTAGACAATATTTCCTAAAACGGAAGGAGTTTGCTTTTTCTCCTTTTTCCTCTTCTTTTCCCTCTTTTCTCCCTTCAGACTCACATAACAAACCTGAGATGTACATGTCAATACGTGTGGGTTCATCCTAGCGACGTTGAGGCTTGTGTTGATGTAAGCTAACAAAATTTGCCGAACTGCGTTGATATCACCGCTAGAGAGTGCGGGTTGGGCGGCTGTATGGTTACATAGTGGTTTAATCAACAGGCTATGGAGGGCAATGGTCTGTCCATGGCTGGTCTCAATGCACTATGCACTAAAGCAACGAAACATCTTAAAAATAAGGCTGCATAACACCTATCCATATCCCGGAGGCCGAAATGGGAGTCTAGACGTCTCCAACCGGCGCGTTTCCACAAGATTCTATCACTAACCACGCAAAAGCATTCCTTGTCATGCCCCCTGCTAGAGGGATTGCTATGGTTTCATGCAGCTTGCGGGAATTCTTTTTCCGAGTCATATTGACCGGCATGAGGCTGGACACTCAACCGTTCTGAGATATGCTCTTTATTCGGCTAGACCGATCCTCAATAACAGCCTAGAATGTGCTCTATCAGATGCATGTGACTATATTTGACCAAACATTCTTGGTTAACGTACAAATCATTATCGAATCGCCCTAGAAATTTAGTGCATGTAACTGTCTCATTACGCCATACATCCTTTGAAAGCCCATCGCTATTACTCATATAATTTTGCTAGCTAAAAATGGTGGATCTCCACTTACTTGACTCTGATGAAACGTTCTACTCAACCTATTTTGAAACAGGTAATTTTATTCTTGCAGACTCATGGACTAGTTGAGGTAGATACAAGCAATGAGAAAGAAACCCCTCTGGCTTAACACTGGAGATCGGCTGCATATAATGTAATGTAATTTCCCATGGATTCATAAATTCAGGTTTTCGGTCTTCACCCCATCCTTCCTTTTCCCTTTTACAGCATCAATGCCCTTGTTACAGGCTTAATAACTGCCGGGGTAGCAATACTTTACTCTTCGGCGCCGTCGAGAATAGGTGACATGAGTAATTTTAGAAGCTGGTCACAACAAGAGCATCTCATTAGCCTGATCCATTTGCGAAATGCACGACGAAAAGGGGAGACGACCACAAAAGCAATAAAACATAGAACTGACCCATTGTTCTAAGACTGCCTCGTTGTCTCTGAACTTCTCGAACTGCTTGTCCAGTTGTTCTACGTATGCGTCAGCTTGTTTTGTTTCCTTATCTCCCAACTTGGAGAGCTATCCTTATTAAAAGAGTGCAAGAGGCCACTCACCTGCAGTAACGTAGAGGACATCTTCGAGTCTCAGGTCGTCCCTTAGACCGTCCAAGAACTTCTGAGACTCGGAATCTGTGCCAATTTGGCTAATATGGAACCGCACCGCTATATGAAGACATCAGCAAATGCTAGATGGCAGTCGCTAGTATAATTGAAGTAAAAGAGACAGACCGGTAGGATCGTAACCAGCCTGCTTTAGCCGCTTTCCACACTCGATAATAGCGTCCCGGAAAGTATCTGTCTTCTCGGGGTAAGGAATGCCATCTGTAAGAACTGAAATGATTATGGGCCGTTTCAGCTTCTCGCCTCGGTCCAGGATGTTGTAGACCAATGGCTGCAAAATCTTCCTGGTCAAATTGGTGCCAATGTTGGTTGATCCGCTGACAGGAATGCTGGAAACGAGATCCTCGACCTCACCAGCATCCAAGACACCGTGGAATTCTTTGGTGTGATTGATGAATTGAAGTTCAATGCCTTCGCCATCAGGGACAAGTTGTGTGGTTATACGCGCAATGCGCTTCACGAGCTGTCTTTGTGAGTCGAGCCGACCATCCGTCTCCATCGAGAGGCTATCGTCTGAGATTTTGTTTTAGTGAGGGCTTTAATCTATGTGACATTGAATATCTCAACACTCACCACAGTATATAACTGGCTGGTAGAGAGCCAATCTGGTCAGATTCTTTATATCATCCGGCCGCTTGAGTGTTGTAGAAGGGTCAGTCTTGAGCTTCACGGCCTTTTTCGCTACCTGGTCCAAGAAGTCGTCGTCCTCTGCGAAGAAGTCATTCATCTGGGTCTCTTTGAGGAACTCGCTGATGTTTTCCTTGAAGTCCTGAACTGTCTGTGGGTTCTTTATTTTCATTTCCTGTTTAAGAGATGGACATCTGGTTAGCTCTAATAAAGAACCCTTCGTATCAATAAAATGGGGAAATGGGCGAACCTACGTCAACAACTTCAGGACGCTCTTCTCCGGTGATGTTATACAGCTGCTGAGCGACCCCCTTCACGAGGCCCGTGACAAGATCACTGTTCATCCAAGCCACGACGAAGAGCAGGAAGGACACAATCAACTGAACAAATGCTCCTGTGGTACCTCCCCGTTCGTCTTTAGGCAGTAGCGCCTCAATAACCTGGGGATCTTTTGTCTGATCTCCAAGCTGTTTCGCAGTTTTCTTAGCTGAATTCGGGATATTGACATTGGCACCACGGTCTACAAACAAGCTAATCACTTTCGGATCCCTGAACTCGACGATGACTTTCATCAGAGGAGTATTTCCATCGTCAGAGGGCTCATCAATCTCAGCGTCATGGTCCAGAAGGTAGGTGATGATATCAAACCGAGACTTGGTAGGCATCGTCCCGGATGCCGCATACCAGAGCGGAGTGCGGTTACCTCTCGACGCCTTGTTGACGTCGGCATGTTCTTCGACCAGAGCTTTTACTACATTGACATGGCCTTTTAGAGCAGCGCTCGCCAGAGCGGTACGGCCCCTGATATCGATTTCATCGATGTCGAAGGAGGATCCCTGAGATGCTCGATAGCGAGCAATTCTGATCTTGTTGAGAGTTCCTTTCAAAGCTTCGTCGTGAATAGTTGTCATATTTGAAGCTGTATGGCACCTAGGTATACGATAATTACAGTCAAGTGCTCATAGGCAAGACGTATACGAAGTGGATAACTTAGTTTTGTAGTCGAGAATCCGGGGTTGCGTCTGTTTCCCGGGAAATCACTTTTCGGGGTAATCTGCTTTTTTATCATTATATATCATGGGTATTAATGGAATTCATACGCTCCGGGCTTTCCGTGCTAAGAGTATGCAAATGTCCTATCAGAAGATCATGTTCTAAACGTGTTCATGAAATTTTGTCAACATCGGGGCATATCCTTGGGCTTGCATGTCTGAATATGAAAATCCACCAACCACTGTCTCTACGGCGCTATCAATGGGCACTTTAGTCAAGAAGTACGGGTGAGAGTCATAGTTAGAGAAATTGAGATGGTTCTTTTTCCTTGTGGTACCGTTACACTCAGAAGGCCTCGAACATCCCGGCCATCATGCAAAGCTGAGACAAGTTCGGAATGCATACGTTCTGCCAACAGATGCTTACGTCTTCAGCATGAGGCTGGGAAAGCTCTCAGCTTTTCAGGCCTTGAGTGTGATTTGACATGATATGATAGTCATGGATGATAGCAATTCGCCCGGGTGATCTATGCATGCAGCCATCATCACATTGACAATCTGCAATTACGCGTCTTACTGGGCATAGTAGCCAATGGACTGCTCGTTTAATTAGTTGAATGAAGAATTGAACTCTGATTTACTAAATTGACATCTTTCCACGGCCAGCGCTGGACACCCTTTTCTTACAATTATTAGTGTAACGTGCTGCTTCGACTTTTTTTTATGCAGTATACTACGCTCCGCGGTGATCCCATTCGTCTCGACATGCGTCATGCAAAGCACTCGCATAGCCTTCTAATAATTTCCGTCTCAAAACTTGTACAGAAATCCAGTCAGGATAAGATGTTTAGTATGGTGGTAGAAGAGGGAACAGAAGCAATCTGCGTGAGTGATATTTTGATTTGTCCCAACTGGGAGGTAACATTATAACCAGCTGACTTGCCTGAAAAGGTGAAATACTGGGGGCTGGGTTCATGCAAGTGAAATTCATTAGTAAACGAGGAGGGGCTTTGTGCTTAATGCACTCGTATTATTCGGACCCATGTGGAGAGACCTCCTAGAGTTGAAAGAAGAGTAAAAAGCACAATAGGCATATAATAGCTGACTTCTGCCATTATCATTGCAGCCTTGCTTACCTCCCCAGTGCAAACTTCCATCTACATTTCTTTGCCGGATGTTCTTTTGTACTACAAGATGAGTAGATATGAGGATCTCACGCGCCGATTCCTCGCCGCAGGCGACGTCGAGCATAGCAATGGCACACTAGATCTGTTCTATGAAAAAGACAATGAGTTGATCTTGAAACCTTGGACGGGTAAAGAATTCGGTGAAACTGAATTTGTCACAGACCAAGTGAGAGAGAAAACTCCCGTGGCAGCGTTGATATTGCCATCCGAGCCAGATCAAGTGAGTTGATTCTAAACTCCCCTAATGGTGGACCGGCAGTATTCTGACCATGGATCTTCTTTATCATCGCAATATAGCCTGTATATCGTATGCTCTTCTGCATCAGCCAGTCACACCTTCTCGAATGCTACGCCTATCATCCTGGCGAAGAGCGGTGGAAGGAAATCAAACTGGGCCCAGTGGGAGACGCAATCGTTCACCACAAAAGCAATCTCGGTGCTATATTGACACCAGAAGGCTTGATAGTTCTATATCAAGCCCCAGATAATACACTCCGTGGAATCATAAACAATGGTACTTCCTGGGAGCCACTTGGACAACCACTCTCAGCCCGGGCATTGCCAGGCACTCCAATTTCAATTACCTCGTCCGGTGGGAATCCAACGGTATTCTATGTGAATGAAGACAATGGTTTGCACTATCAATCCATACAGTCTGAAGGCAACGGTAGGACTCTTTCTCTCCTTTTCATCGTTCCTTATATCTATTTGAAACGAGAAGTTGTTAGGTTTCTAACCTAAAACTATCCTATAGACAATGCCCTGGAAAATTCCCGACTTACTTCACCTGTGACCCGCATTAAAGTGGTTCAAAATGAAGAAACAAAGCAGGTAGCTACGTATGTTCTGACGGAAGACGACCATATCTACCTTCTTGACCAGGACGGAAATGCCCCGACAGACGTTGGATACATCGAGAATGAGCAATTTGAAGCTACTAAGAGTGCGCAGGCTGTTCTTGTAAACTGGTGGTTCCCTCCTCCTGTGCCGGTTTGGCAGGACTGGGTGCCAGTTACAAACTGGGTTCCAAGGACATGGATAGGATGGTAAAATTGAACTTGGTGTAGTTGTCAGAGGAGGACTATCTCGGTAGCTTATACTATTACTACTTGTATGAAGCATGGGCATAGTATATAATCAAAGTATTTTTCACTTGAACAAATGTAACATAAGCTATATCAACCAAGGAGGAAATTCATCGTCGGATACGGAAATTGTGCCACTAAGAATATCTTCGAAACTGTAATAGCATCACGTAACATATTATGACCGATTTTGAATTTACATTGGGCAGCTTTGCTTCATTGGAAAATTTACGGTTTGGAACTTACATATAAAAGGCCTCCCAAGTCCCCCTGAAAGAGCAAACAAACCGCCTCCCGTCTCTGACAGTCAAAACCACCAAGTTTTCCAATCTTAAATCTTGCTCGAAATACCAGCTTATTTTAACAAGAGATACTCAAAATGGCACCAATGAAAATCCCTGCAGTTGCTGTTCATCCAACTCGCCAGAAGCCAAAAGACAAAGATATCGTTGAGGGGTTAGACAAAGCTCAGTTAGAGTTAGAAAAGATGGTGGTCCAGTTATCGTTTGATCAGGGTAGTATGTAAATTTCGTGTCTTCTTTCCTTGTTAATATTGACATCATTAAAACCAACTCTTTTACAATGTAACTGACACAGTTTTTTATAGAGGGTGAATTGAACGGCACTGGATTTTACGTCAATCTTCCCGGAGCCAAAGAAGACATTATCCTCACAGCAGCTCATAACCTCATCAGCGAAACAAAGCAACGATCTACTGCCCTCTGCGTTCTCGGATCAGCACCCATTGCCATTCCTGACGGTAAATTCGAAATCTGTTCCAAATACGAGAAGAACCCGGGCGAAAAGGAAGCTGTGAACGACTATGGCGCAATCTTCGTACCTCGAATAGCCAACAACCAGGCAAAACCGGGATTCGGTTATAGTCTAAAGCTTGGTATTGATGAGGACTTGAAAGGTAGAGTTCACGTTACTGGATACAAAGGAAGGGAGAAAAAGGCCACTCCTACCGTCCCTGCCGGGACTGCCTCTGATCTAGGAGAACTAGTAGAGAGCTCAGGAAGGTATGCCGGCGATGGAAGTCAGCTTTTATATGAGGCCGATACGGAACAGGGGATGAGTGGTTCACCGGTCTGGGTTGAATATAATGGATATCCCACTGTAGTGGGCATACAGTGAGTCTGAGTCTCTCCTTTCTTATACTTGCCTAAGGGAGGCTAAATGAACATTTCACGTACTTCATATACAGCAATCATAATTCGGAGAAGAAAAAGGGCAAAAATGCGGACCAAGACAAGAAGAAGAAAAGAAACCGAGGAACGCAGATCAATTTGAACGTGCTTCGTGACGTGTGTCGATGGGCCGGTATTGACCAATTTGATAAAAGACTAAGAGTAAAGCAGGATGGCGCTCGCCCGCAGGGAATCTATCTGAACTTTTCTATGGGGGTTTCCCTCGCTCGAGTTCGCGTTGGAGCAGAGGGAACCAGCACGTTTGATATTCTACCCGCGTATACCAAGACTACAGCCACGAATACAATGCCATTGTACGCATTTTTCTTCCATCAACCAACCGACTGGAAGCCCGAATATTATCAGGGACAGTGGGTGCGATGGCAGCCTCTAGCCTCGCAGAACAAGGTGGTTTTAACGAAGAGTTTCGAAGATGCGTGTCTGGTACGGATCACCCCTGGGCCCGGTGTTCCTCCTTTTCGGATTGCTCAGGACCAGACGGATAACGGCAAGGATGTGCGAGGCCTACGGGTTAATTCTGCAAATCTGAGCGATCAAGACGTAGAGAAGGGAATGGTTGACACTTCGGAAGTGTCATTTGGACCTGATATGAAGGGGCGGGTTGTCAAGGTAATTTATTCCCCTTTTCGAGACCCGCTCTATCATGAGATTATACTTAAACTAACGGCGGATCAATGGCAGTTCAACAATTTCTGCTTCGAGTAATATCAGGCTCTCTCAGCGGCATTAACTGTAGTTATGGGCCGACGTTATGTACTTTTTAGGGCTAGGGTTAAGGCATTGGAAACTTGGTTGTGCTTAGTAATATCCATTGTTCCCAACAAGGTAACTAGCGCTATCATCAATCACGCTATACTACATCTAGGATAGTGCTGTTTCTGGCTTGTCGCGGGGCGGGAGCGGCAATCCGGCCCGTCTGGATTTCTGGGAGAATCGCTCGCTCGTCTTGTCCAACTGCTCCCTCTCCCTCCCTCTCTCTCCATCTCTGACACCTGAGTCCTTCGTGTCAGGACGCCGCCGTCCCTCAGAAGCCCCCCATGCCGCTTGTCTCCTCGCTCCCCCATGGACAAACTTCCTGTAGAGATCCTAACCAAAATCATCGACTGTGAGCGCTTCCCCACGCCGGCTGAAACGCAACATGCCATGTTCACCAAGCTAATTTTTTCCGCTCTCCAGACCTCAACCCGCAAGAGCAGGTTAAATTACAGCTTGTCTCGCGTAGGCTCTTTGAGTTGTCGCGAGACAATCTTCTATGGAGACTCCATTGTTATGAGAGCTCTTGGAAAGCGGCCGAAAATGGGTTCTCGGTAGCTAATACGTCTGGCATACTGTCATTGTCTTCGTTAGCATCACTGGGGTCCTTGGGACAAGGCACACTTCGCAATCTGATACAGCCAGGCCCGCAACCCGCTGCTGAGGCTATCGATAGCTATGACGACGCCACTGCGCCGTCCATCGGACAAAGGAGCCGGGCTGCCGCCGACTGGGATCCTTCATATAGCACCGAAAGTATAGACTGGTATTCAGAATACATAGCTCGAAATGGGCCTATTTCTTTTAGTTGGCTACAGCGGCCTCTCATTGGTGACACTAATCGAGATGCGAAGGGCATGGGGTTGCTCAGGGATTGGAGCTCCGCACGAGAGGATAGAGTGGTCGCCCCTTTGGACGACGGGAGTGTTTGTATATGGGATCTCAACTATTCGCATTCTAGTTCTTCCCGCTCGCGCAAAGGGAAAATTGCCGGAATAAGTCACCCAGGCATACTGATTACTGATCTGTCCAAGCGAAGCGACAAGTCGCCTCCGCGAAATCCGCCGCTGGAATTTTTGAGCGTGGGAGAATGCGTAAATGTTGATTCAATGCGCAGAAGAGCTTATATCTCTGTGGGAAACGTACTTAATGAAGTCGATCTGGAAACTTTGCGTGTGGTCCACCAACAAAGATACGCATGGTCGATCTTCGCGTTATCGCAGGAGACAGATTACTCGGTGCCACTAACGCTAGCCACAACGCTCAGTCTTCAAATCTATGATGCGCGATTATCTTCACCAGAAGAAGAGGCTGAGATTAGTCTTCGATGCGAGAAGCATCCAGCACAATTTCTTCCTAGGTCGAATCTCTACAGTCATCCTGATACTCAGGTTCTACAATTACTTCCAAATGGACAGCCACCACAGCGTATCCGGAGCCCCGAGCCACAGGAAAAAGGAGCAGATTATGCTCCGCTATTCCAGCCTGGTCCTCTATCAATACTACACCCGCCTAGTCCCCATGTAAATACTATTCTTCTGGCCGGAAGATTCCCCAGCATTCTCTGCTACGACCGACGCACTTTTCCAAAGTTACAAGCTGCCGTACACTCCGGAGGTCGCTTATGCGGGCTAGCGTCAATCCCTCCTCCAAGTTTCCCCGTCTCTTATGACTCGAATTGGCAAAGCAAACACACCGTTGTGGCATGTGGTGAATACAACGGAAGAGGCTCCTTAGAGCTATACGATCTTGATTTCCACGGAACTGATCCGCAGGACAAAAACAGCGAGTCAAATCTGCAGTCCCCTCGTTATCAAAACCGACAGAGCGCATCAAGTTCCAAGGTATTGTCTGTTGCGTCACATGGAGCCCGTATTGTCTTTTCGGACTCGGGCGGTAACATCAACTGGGTTGAGCGGGATGGACGATCCGAGGTTCGACGCTGGAATATCAATTCGAGCAGACGGCAAGCGACAAATTCAAATAATCAACGCGAAAATACACCATCGGGCATGTTCTGGAGGGCGGCAGATTCCAGCACACGCAACGACGTGGCTCGCAAGATACTTCCTACAGACGCCAATCTGAACGGCGATGAACTCTTAGTATGGACAGAAGACCGTATAGGGCGTTTGAGGTTCTCCAATGATGAGAATGATGGCGGTGATGAGAGTGACGACGAAATAAATGATCGAATGTCCGAAGATGGCGACGAAATCATCGATCCAGCCCAGAGGCAAGCACGCCGAGAGTCCCGGGAGGCCATGCGGCGTCGCGAACAGGAATACAGCCGAGAAATGCGAAGGGCATTAGAGAGACAAGCGGACGAAGTAAGATGGATGGGTCGTTTGGGAATGGCATAACTGAATATATTCGCATGATGATATACAACTGTGGCTGCAACAATGTTTACAAGGCTTAATTTGTTGTCTTAGACCACGAAATATGTTTAGCGGAGATATTACATGAGCAATAACGAGACCATGATACACGAATTAACTATGCTTCTTTCAACGATTGCCCCCAGGTTCCCAGTTCGGCTTTCTTTCCAGAGTTCATTGCGCTGTGTACGGAGTAGTGACTCATCATATATATCCGAATCTACGGATAGCCCGAAGATGCGCCACGGCGAACCTTGGGTTCTGCCCCGCCAAAAGGTGGCTGTCGAATTGGTAAGCCATTATTCATCTTCTCTACAAAAGAATCCGTGATCATGCAATTATTGTTTTATCTTTACATTTATCTTCTGTCTCATCTATGAGTTATCTGCGCCGGCCCCGCATGTGAATATTTTCTTCTCTCATCACCAATCCGCTTCGACCTGAGTACAATCCCCCACTACCTGATTCCCTGTCCGGAGACACGCCAGAATCTTCAATTGAATTCCACGAAGACGCAAGACTGCGTCGCCGAGAGATTTCGAAGTGCGCGCATATATATGCGAATCAAAAAGTATCATCATGTCATCGTTAAGCGAGACCAATTTGACGTTCGATCCTGTGGAAGACGCGGTTGCTGCTTTTAGTGCGTCATACTCCCTCCCATTGTCTGCGAAATCGAGCAACAATAATAGCTGACCATGCCATTCGGAGAGCAATACAGAAAATGGCCAATTCGTGATTGTGCTCGACTCGCAAGACCGTGAGAATGAGGGCGATTTGATCATTGCCGCAGACGCTGTGACGGAGGCACAGATGGCATTTTTAGTGCGATATTCGAGGTATCTATACATGCGCCGCCCTGCCATAGCATAGCTTTGCGAAGAGAAAAGTAAGAAGCTCACAAACATATGTCGAAAAAAAAAAAGTGGCTACGTTTGCGCTCCAGTCCTCCCCTCCCATGCCGACAAACTCCTTCTACCACAGATGGTAATCAACAATGCAGACCCTCTCATCACAGCCTACACAATCTCTATAGACTCCAATGACCCCTCTGTGACTACTGGTATCTCTGCACACGACCGCGCCTTGACATGCAGGCAATTGGCAGACCCAAATAGCAAGGCCGAGAATTTCCGACGTCCAGGACACATCCTCCCGCTGCGCGCAAGGGAAGGCGGCGTGCGGGAGCGGCGAGGCCATACTGAGGCTGCGGTTGATCTATGTCGTTTGGCTGGCCGAAATCCTGCAGGTGTGATTGGCGAGCTCGTCGAGGAAGGCGAGGTCACTGAAGGCGTGGCTGAAGTTACCGGAAATAACGGTATGATGAGGAGAGATGCTTGTTTGAGATTCGGTAAGAGATTCGGATTGAAAGTCACTACTATTGAGGATATGGTTGCCTATCTTGAGAAGCTGGATCCAAATGGGACTTTTGATTTCACAAATGGTAAGTCTTGAGAGATTGTTATATAGTTTCTTCTGTACCTCGACAAAGGAAAACAAATCTTGGAAGGCATAGATGACGCTTCTCGTGTACAATAGCGCTATTTTCAATATAGATTTATCTTCTTTTCATATAGGTTGTTAAGATAGATTTGCAAAGAATAAGAAATTCGTCCATGCTAGGGTATCTTTTTGTTTGTTGTTCTTTTTTGACCCTCAATAGGGCCTTTTGTAGTACACAAGTAGCCCGGTATTCAAATGTTGTTCAGGTAAAGGCAAAATATATAAAAAGAATAGATCCGTAACTCAACGCCAACGCAATGCACGCTGTTTATCCCAATATATCACAAAAACGTTTATGTCTAGCGTTTCAGATGCGAATAGTCTCGTAAAATACCCATCATGTGGGTGTTGGTGGTTTTGCCGGTCCGACGTGGTTTTTTAGTCTTCTTTTGTTCAACCTTCGGGCGTGGTTTTACCACTTTATTCTTGTTCGTTGGAATCATGCCGGCCTTTTCAAGCTCCTCAATAACATGTTGTTGATCAGGTATCTTGGTCTTTTCCCAAATCTGTCGAAATTCATCGTCAAATTGATGCACGAGGGATGGATCGTTGGCCCACACCATTTTCGGATGATTGTCCTTTTTATTTCTCGTTACCAAAAGCTTTCCCTCTTGCTCGAGTTTATCAATGGTCTGTTCAACGCCTGGCCAACCCTCTTTCAAATCTTTAACCAGAATACCTGTCATGGTCGTCTGCGACTGAAGCTTTTGCAACAATTGTTCCTCCGAGCGAATATTGTGTGGCGGTCGGAAACTAAATGTTCCTTTTCCATCGGCACCTGATGGATCGTAATTTACTTTATCATGAACTTGAAGGATGCTTCGTAGAGCGTGAACATAGCCTTGATCATGCCGCCGTTCTTGCAATGATAAGTATCCGACAATATCCTCGAAAGTGAGCGGTGCATTTTTTTCTTTCATTTTTTGGATGGCGTAAAGCACGTTGGTCATTATATCCTTTCCCGTACCGGTATCGGCAGGCTGCGAATACACAATATTGGCGTCATGACGGCGCGCCGGTCCTGGGGTACCTGTTGCGGACGTAGGTTGTGAGGATGTTGACGAAATGGGTTGACTATTGCCGATAATGCGCTTTTGTTGCGGTAAACGCCCAGCCGATGAAACGACACTTGAATTGAAAATGTTAATCTGCTGCTGCAGGTAAGACATGATGCACAGAGGATCTCGAGAAACCTTCGAGCGCTGTGAAGGTAACAAAGAATTCTCGTTTCGAGGAGGGAGCTGAAATGAAAAGCTAGTTGACCAGAGAGAGTGCGATGCAAAGTTCCAGAGTCTCCCTTTTTTTTTTCTCCCTGAAAGAGTCTGTAATATCACGCCCAGGTAGTGAAAGCACACGAGAAGGGATTCTGATCCGGAGTGAGTCGAAGTCCCGCCGCAAGACATCATAGAGCAGCCATGGTCACGTGATGGAGCCAGCTTCAGCCGCGCTAAACTCTCTCCGACCTAACGAAGGTCTCACTCATTCTTCTCCAAACACGGCACATCGCTTTGTCGAAGGCCAAGCAGCTCACTCTCATTTGGTCTTTGCTTTTTCCTTTCTTCTACCCTTATTATTATTTGCTACGTTTAATGCGTGATATGTGTTGACTTGTCTCCATCGCGCGCGTTGTGCCCCGAATCAAAAACAGCACACTTGCGCGTCGAATTGTCGCTCACTTCAGCTTCCAATCTACCTCTCTAGGCTCTTTACATTGTGATTTCACCGCTACTGGATTGCTTTTGCATCCAATACTGCGAGCGGCCTGTTGAGCCATTGGGAACTCAACATGGCTTCAGCTACCATCGAGATCCCATTTCTCGCTTCCCACTACGGCGTCGCTGAAGCTACATTGACTAGCCTCCTGCAAGCTCCTACGGTCGCTCTCGTGAATCAACTGCTCGAAAGCATTTCGTCTAAAGCTCGCGAATCTGATGAGCTAAAGTCAGATAAGCTTCGTCTGGAAGTTGAGCTTGAGAATGCCGTCCGTGCTAGCGAGTCGAAGATCAAAGTCTTGAAGGGTTCCGTTGAGAAAGGGTTAAATGAAATATCCAGCCTGCGCACTCGCCTTCAAGAATCCGGTCAGTTCCTGTACGGTACGCCCTTGGACTATTTCTAACTTTACGCTAGAAAACGTGAGGTCGAACCTCGAATCCGAAATTACTACGTTGAAGTCGTCCACCACCTCCAATGAATCGGAAGTCAATGGTCTCAAATCCCGCATTTCGTCGCTCGAGAGTTCTAACCGCGACACTTTGGCTCTTCTAGAGTCTAAATCTTCAGCCTATGATAAATTATCCGAAGAACTTTCCTCAACGCACCAGAAGACCGTTGAGCTCAGACGTCAAGTTTCTACCGCTGAACAAAACCTGCAGTCGGCAAACTCAGCCTCTGCGAGTGCTCGCTTCCGGGAGCAGAGCCTTCAACAAGAACTTGAATTGACTAAAAAGAGCAACGAATATTTTGAGACCGAGCTCCAGGCAAAATCCGCCGAGTATCTAAAGTTCCGCAAAGAGAAAAATGCTCGGGTAGCCGAGCTTCAACGTGAAATCGAAGAGGCTAGTGGAACAATTGATCAACTTCGTCGGAGTGAGAATTCCTTGAAGAGCCGGTTAGATGACATTGAACACAAGTACGAAGAGTCGATTGCTGCCATGCAATCCCTCAAGGATGAATCTACATCGACGTCCGAATCGCTTCGAATCGAACTGGAAAGCGCCAATCGTTTAGCAGAGCTTCAGGGCAATGCAGCCGCAACCGCCAAGCAACGTGTACAAGAGTGTCAGATTGCACTGGAGAAAGCGCGCGATGACGCCGCTGAGGAAATCTCGCGACTTCGCGCTGAAATAGAGACCGAGCACTCTGACAAGGAGGCTGCGGAACGCAAAGTTACTGAATTAGAAGCTAGGCTGAACCAAGCTGAAACGCAGGGGCCTTTCAGCCCAAGTCCTATGAATGGAGGACCAGCTACGCCACTTCGCCCTTCAACCCCCATTGGCGCATTTTCGCCACGTACATCGAGATCCCGTGGTGGGTTGACTCTAACACAACTGTATTCCGAGTATGATCGAGTTAGAACCCAGCTTGTGGCCGAACAACGTAACAATGCCGAACTAAAAGCAACTCTCGACGAAATGGTTCAAGATCTCGAGTCAAGCAAACCTGAAATTGATGAACTCCGTGCGGACCATACAAGACTGGAAAACGCAGTAGTGGAAATGTCGGACATCCTCGAAACATCTGGAAAAGAACGCGATGAAGCGACACGTGAAGCTAGGAAATGGCGCGGCCAAGTTGAAGGACTTACGAAGGAAACCGAAATCCTCCGGCAACAACTTCGGGATCTGAGTACTCAAGTTAAAGTCTTGGTCCTCGAGATTGCCCTCTCCAAGGAAGGTCAGGAATACGACAGGGAGGAATTAGAGAAACTTGCTCGTAATGAGATTGACGAATCGATGACTTCTCTCAATGCGACAGGTCGTTTCATTACGCAAAACCTCACTACATTCAAAGACCTTACTGAGTTACAAGAACAAAATGTAACATTGCGTCGCATGCTCCGCGAACTGGGCGATCGAATGGAAAGCCAAGAAGCTAGGGAAAGAGAATCATCTTACCAGCAAGACCAAGAAGAGTTAAAAGAACTACGCATTCGCGTACAAACTTATAGAGACGAGATTGTGAATCTCACCGCCCAAACCAAGAGCTATGTGAAGGAGCGTGACACGTTTCGTAGTATGCTTATGCGACGAGGCCAAGGCGCTGGTGATAGTTCTTCGATATTCTCTCAGTCTGTTCCTCTTGGATCAGTACCGCCCACAGTTTCTCAACAAGCCTCTGATGGTACAGACTATGCGGATATGCTTCGGAAAGTCCAAGCTCATTTCGATACTTTCCGTCAAGAAACGGCTACAGATCATTCCGCACTCAAACAGCAGGTCAATGAGTTATCTCGGAAAAATAGTGAACTCATGAGTGAGGCTAGTCGACTGAACAGTCAGCTGAGCGCAGCGCAACAACGAACGGAATTACTACAAACTAATTTCAATATGCTCAAGAGTGAAAACGTGGAAGTACAGAAACGCTATTCAAACTTGCTGGAAAATGTCAATCGTCAGGATATCAAGACTCAACAAGCTGCTGAGGATTTGGTCGCAGCCAAAGGAATGATTGATAGTCTACAGCGCGAAAGTGCCAATCTCAAAGCCGAGAAAGATTTGTGGAAGAATATCGAAAAACGACTCATCGATGACAACGAATCACTCAGAAATGAAAGGAGCAGGCTGGACTCCTTGAACACTAACTTACAAAATATACTCAATGAACGCGAGCACACTGATGCGGAGAGTCGTCGCCGTTTACAACATAGTGTCGAGTCTCTTGAGTCCGAATTACAATCGACGAAGCGAAAGTTAAATGATGAGGTGGAAGATGCAAAGCGCGCAGCCCTTCGCCGCGAGTACGACCATGAACAGTCTCAGAAAAGGATCGATGACTTGGTCACAAGTCTAAGCTCCGTCCGTGAAGAGTTGATTGCTGTGAAGACAACACGCGACCACTTACAAACAAAGGTCGATGAACTCACCGTCGAGTTGAAGAGCGCTGAAGAACGTCTTCAAGTATTGCAGTCCAAGCCGAGCACGGCGCCTGTTTCTGTTATATCGACGACAGAAACGGAGCAGGTTCCAAGCAGCGGCTTGACGCGGGAGCAGGAACTGGCAATTGAGGTTTCTGAGCTTAAGCGCGATCTTGATCTCGCTAGAACAGATTTGCAACACGCAAAGGAACAAGTAGAAGATTACAAGGCAATCAGTCAGGCCACAGAAGAACGCTTACAGTCGGTCACGGAGACACAGGAGCAATATCGTGAGGAGACTGAGCGACTTGTGCAGGAGAAGGAGAACACGATTCAGGAACTTGAAAAACGTGTCGATGAAATTTCATCTGAGCTTTCCGCAACGAACAATGAGCTCTCCAAGTTGCGCGACGAGCAAGGTGAGGTGGCGAGACGGCTTGAAGAACAAAAAGCTAGCTACGAATCTGAGATCACACGCCTAAAAGATGAAGCCGAGAGACAACTTGAGAACGCACGAACCTATGAGCAAAGCGTGCAGGCACAGGCCGAAATCGCTCAGCAAGCTCAACAGAACTACGAGAGCGAGCTAGTGAAACACGCAGAGGCCGCCAAGCAATTACAGACTGTTCGCTCAGAAGCCAATCAACTGCGCCTGGAGATAGTGGACGTAAGGACTCAATCTGAAAATTCCAAGAAAGATCTTTCACAAAAGGAAGAGAGTTGGAACGAACAAAAGGATCGGTTTGAGAGAGAAGTATTGGATCTGCAGAAACGTCGTGAGGAAGTCTTGCACCAGAATACTCTGTTGCACAATCAACTTGAGAACATAACCAAGCAGATTTCAGCCTTACAAAGAGATCGCGCAAACATAGTATTGAATGAAGAGGAAGCCGATGGCACAAGCTCTAGCCTCGAATCACTTCAAGAAGTTATCAAGTATTTGCGGAGAGAAAAGGAGATTGTTGATGTTCAGTACCATCTATCGACCCAAGAAAGCAAACGGCTTCGCCAGCAATTAGACTACACTCAGTCTCAATTAGATGACACACGGCTCAAGTTGGAGCAGCAACGTCGTGCTGCGGCTGACAGTGACCACAATAACCTCAGCCACAACAAGCTTGTTGAAACCTTGAACGAACTCAATGTCTTCCGTGAGAGCAGCGTTACACTACGCAACCAAGCTAGACAAGCTGAAACGGCTCTCGCGGAGAAGACTGCTCGGGTGGATGAACTTGTTCAGCAAATTGAGCCTCTTCAAAACAAGATTCGAGAGCTAGAGAACCTTGTTGAAAGTAAGGATGAGGAAATGAAGCTGATACATGCTGACCGTGACCGTTGGCAACAGCGCACGGAAAATATATTGCAGAAGTACGACCGCGTTGACCCAACAGAGATGGAAGCTCTCAAAGAGAAGCTGTCAGCTTTGGAAAGGGAGCGTGATGAAGCTATTGAATTACGTGATGCCCTGCAACAACAGGTGGACGGTTTCCCAGAGCAACTGTCGAAGACTGCAGAAGACAGCAAGGCAGAGCTTCGTGCCAAACTGACGGAGCAATTTGTGAAACGATCAAAAGAACTAAGCGCCCGTATTAACGCCAAGCAAGCAGAACTCAATACCATACAACAAGAGAAGGAAGCGATTCAACAGGAGCTCACCAAAGCTCTCGAGGAGCTCAACCAACTCAAGTCTAAACCAGCAGAGCAACCAACTACTCCAATGGATACTGAGGCCACCACTGTGGCTCCTCCCATGCCACAACCAGTTACTCTAGCCACACCAGGGGACGAAGAGAAGATTAAACTCCTGGAAGAAAAGATCGCGCAATTAGAGGCTGCTTTGGCTGAAAAGGAGGCTCAGTTTGACGCTAAGCTTAAGGAAAGGTCTGACAAGATGAAAGAATCGTACAACAACAAATTAGCAGAGATTCGTAAGAATCACCAACAGGAGATGGAGGATCTCAAGACCCAAGTATCGCAAGAAACCACGCAAACTACGGATCTCACTGTCCCAGGGACTCCTGCGAAGACTGACGCTGGTGAGCTACCGGAGCTCACAGATAGTCAAGTTAAAGATCTTGTGGCCAAGAACGAAACAATCAAGGGCATGATTAAGCGAAATATCCAGGCCCAGATCAATAGATTGAAGCCGCAGTTACAACAAGAGGCTCAAAGCCAGGTTGCGGCGGCTGGTCCAGATCCCGAAGCTATAACAGAGCTCGAGAAAAAATTCGCCGAAGAACGAGAGCGCCTTAAGAAAGCATCGGACGAGGCAACTGACGAGAAGGTCAAATCAGCGATCGAATTGAATGACAAGAAAATTGCCGTCAAACTCAGCATGCTCGAAACGCGCGCTAAAGCCGCGATGGCCAAGCTCCAAATTGTTCAGAAAGCTGCTTCTGACACACCAGAGAAGCCTGTACGCGAGGTTTGGGAGGTTGCCAAGGATGCGAAAGCACCCCCAGCGACTCCAGCAAAACCACCTGCGCCAGCACCGGCATCCACGCCTGCAGCTCTACAGAAGCCAGCTGCGGAAGTCCAGGGACAGTCGGCACAAGCCAAGACACCTCCTCGTCCTGTTCCTAATGCTTCTACTGCACCAACTCCAACCCCTGCTCCTGCAGCTACCGGCACTACACCTATCTCTGGCGCTGCAGCTACTCAGACTCCAACTCAGCAGAAACCGGCACCTTCTCCATTTGCGGTGATCAAAGAAAATCAACAGACAACACAGCCAGCTGTTGCTACCCAAGCCCAACCAGGCCAACAAAATCAGCCAAGCTCATTACCTAACAAGGTCCCAACAGGAGGCGTTGGAAACCATGTTGGCGGCCCGGCCACACTTAGAGCTCTTCAATCCGGACTCCCAGTCGCGCGTGGGCGTGGTGGACGCGGTGGCCAAAATGTGGCGGGGGCTCAGGCAACTGATCAACAAACGCTGCAAGGCCAACCTCAGAGTCAACGTGGCTCTGGTGGGGCGCGAGGAAGAGGAGGACGTGGTCGCGGTGGCCAACACGCACAAGCCGCCAATGCTTCCCATAACGCGGCTCAAGGCCAGGAGAGCCCCAACAGCAACAGGGGTGCGCTCAATGCCGGGGCTCGTCAATTTATTCCACAAAGCAATAAACGTCCGCGCGAGGACGGTGGGGAGACTGGTGGTGGTGACACGGGGGTTGCAGGAAAAAGAATCAGAGGTGGTGGACAAAGCCGAGGTTCATGAGGAAAGACTCAGGCCCTCACAGAAGAAGTTTCCTTTGTTATATATTAAAACTTGATCTCTTGTATTGATGACCTATTACTGGCTACACAGAAATGGAGTGCGGGCGTTCTTTGCGGCTGGGCATTTACATGTATTTAGAAATCAACCAAGCTTGTCTCGATGGGAGAAAACGCGATTTTGTGAAGATCCAATGGCAGGTTGCATTTGCCATGACGCCTTGCGTTAGGGTTGACTTGATGCCAGATGGACAGGAGCAAACGATTCCCTACATGTTTTACCTGATTGTACAACTAGTTACGTGGAGCGGAATGATTGAAATTGAATTTATATAAAAACAAGAATTGCCTTCTGCTAAAGTATTCAGCTGCTAGCTAGCACCTATGGGTATATATAAAAACAGGTCGTAAGTCGTCAAGAACATCACTAGAATAACATATCACCGTCGCTTACTCCCACCACTGGTAGACATGCTAATCATTTTTGCAAGGCCCTCCCGTTCTCTATGCAAAACAAGCAGCCTAGCGTCTTCGACCAGTTTTGCGTCTGGCCGTTTCCCACGATTCTGCGGCTGTTCTTGCGCAGCAGGGCCGACAAATCGCCTACGCTTTCTCTGTCCAATGCCTTCCCCAGCGGCCCAGACGACGGTCCAATCTTGAACGGCAGTGCCCTCTGGCACTTCACACTTTGAGCACACCTTGCTATGCGAACCCACAGTCGCACTGCGATTGATAACAGCCACTGCATCGACAATGGCAGCGGAGCGAATATACGCTCCAGTACGAATTGTTGCCTGAGGCCCGATCAGTACTGACGAGGATATTCGGGTTGTTGTGCCGCCTTCTGTAGATGATTTGGTTTCTTCTCCTTCTGTTGTTGAGTTTCTCGCTAACGGTGCATTTGGCTTGTTGTCACCAATAATGGATTTCTCGCCAATGACGCAACCGTCGCCGATTTGTACGGGCCCTTCAAAAGAGTAGAATCGAGCGCGCGGATGGATGACCGTCCCCGATCCAATTGTTATTGGGTATATGCCGTGGAAAGTCGCTGTTTCGGAGACTATAGTGGTGGAATGAACGGAGACAGGGGCGCGTGGTGGCGGTGCTGGAGCTGATGCTGAGGTTGATGTTGACGATGGGACGCGTTGGCGATGAGTTGAGGACGGTGGTTTTAGGTATGCCGTACTAGAAGACATTTTGATTCTCCTGCTGGAGTTGAGACAGAACTGTGAGTAATCAGCGAAGACAAAGCTGTACCAGAAGTTGCAAATAATTATCACATGCGGTGTCGCAGTTTTTTTTGTTTTGATGTCGAGATAAACTTGGGGAGCTCGACGGAGTTGCGGCGGCGGAAGGCGCGCTCGGCCAATAAGAAGCAGCCATCTGCGGAGATCCGTTTTGGACTCCCTTTTGACTGTCACCCCAACGTGAACGACGACGACGGTTCAGGCAGTGCGTGTCTTACTCTGGCTATAACACCTGCGGAGAAATGGTGAACGTTGGAGGGCCGAGCAGAGGATGCCAGGAATGCAGGCGGCGTAAAGTCAAGGTAAAGACACCCCATGCGTTGATCTGGTGCTTACCTTTCTTGACGGTCTGTTCTAGTGTGACGAAGCAAAGCCAGAGTGTCTTCGCTGTATGAATGCTGGCAAGACATGCACAGGGTACCGGAGCGATTTTGATGCACGATTCATAAACGCAAGTGGTGTCGGCAAAAGGAAATATAAAAAGAAACATGCGGACGCTAGCAGGGACTCTTCCAGGAAAAGTACACCAACCGATCATTTTTCAACAGCTGAGTTGTTGATGAGAAATGATCCGTCTATGTTTGAAGCCGCCATGCTTCTCTTCGAGGGGTTCTATACAAGCTTATACAATCACAACCAATCGTTAGCGAGCTACATTGGGGCGTTCACTAAAATCATAATCGAATCGAATGATGGCTCCAGCGTCAGGTTGGCTGTGTCGGCTGTTATCCGTGGATTCTATTCCTTCATTTTACGAAGCCGTGAAATGGGGGCTCTCGCTGAAACGGACTTTACGACGGCTGTTTCGCTGGCACGAGTGGCCTTGGACGACCCAGAAGAGAGCAAGTCGGATGTCACACTTTTGACTATTCTCCTACTGTCTATGTTTGAAGTAAGATTTTATTAAACGGCTCTAATTCGGCAGTTATACTGACCTAACGTCCTTGCATTGAAGAATGTCGACTGCGTCAAAGAACATCGACCCCCTATTACCACACATCACATCGGTCTTATGCATTTGCTTCGACATCGAGGAACGGATGCTTTAAGAAATGGCGTGTCTCAATTCTGCCTTCGGCACTTCTACGAAAAATTGGTATTTTCCCCCTCTACGTCATAGCTTTGTAGTATCATAGACTAATCTGTTTTCAATTCTTTAGGCGGCAGCAGTGATGGGTGCAGATGTATCCATACTGACAGAGCTCCTCGAGGCATCATTGTTTCTCCCTCCACCCTCCAGCCATTATTTTTCTAGTTTCCCCATTACCTTCGTGGTTCCGATTGCTCAACTACGGCTACGGGTTGAAAAGACTAATATTTACTCCAAGTTCGACGTTAGCACGGCAGAGGACTTATTGTCATCTGCGACACAGCTCGACAAGGACCTCTCACAATGGCCAGACAAAATCACCCCCAGCTACCACCCTCGGAGGTCGTGGTCACTTCCATCTGACTTCGGGATTGGTTCATCTGAGGGCTATCCTGGCTGGGCAGACACATATCCATCACTGGCTTTGGCGCAGGATTGGAATTACTACCGTTATCTTCGGATTGTGCTTAATATCTTCATATCGAGATGTGCGGCATTATTGCGCAAGTACAGTCTTGCAGCATCTGCTGACCAGGTTTGTGAGCAGATGGTCGATGATGTATGTGCGTCAGTGCTTTTCTACACTGGCGCGCTGCAGAGGCATATTGAGTCATTTAAAAAGAACCGTCAATTTATGCCTGAGGATGTTGATCAAAAAGACTATGCATTTGCCGCAATAGGAGCAATGCAGCTGCTGCCCAGGCTGCGCTGGATCCTGCAATACAACCCATCGCTAAGAGAAAGGCAAGTAAAGTGGCTACAGCTACAAATCAGCAACATATCGCTCTTTCAACAAGTCCACCGCGCGGAAGATCAAAGCGAGTGAACCTCGGTAGATCAGCAGGTCTGTCGAGATCACTTTGGAACTGTATATGTTCCGCATTTACTTGTATCAGGATGAGTTATGTATCCTCCACATGTATTTACAGCGGGTATCATCATATCACAGCCAACTCTATACGAATGCATGGGGGTATACCCGTGGCCGATTCAAAATAAAGGGGGGTTGAACTACTCGTCAAACTGGCTCACCTCCCTCTCGTTCACCTCGGAGGGCTGATCGCCGGGCCGAATACCAAAATTCTTTCTCCATTCCCAAACGCCCCTATCTACTTCCTCCTTGGTCATACCGTCCCTAATCAGACAGAACGTGACTCCAAGATCAGTCTGCACATTTCGATTCCGCGCTTCGTCGTCAAAGAACAGCATCTGATCATAGGGGATATTGCTAGCTTGATGTATGCGAGCGAAATGCTGCGTCTTGGTGCCGGGGAAGATCTGGATGTAGTCGAAATAATCCAAAGCGCGAATGGAGCGTCGTGTATCGCGGGCTGCCGGGTTGTCGGAGAAAGTGGGGATAACGTGAAGGGCCTTGAGCATGTCGCGAGCCAGGTCTGGGGCGTGTGTTCGTGAGGCAATCCCCAGGGGGATATTGTGCGAACGAGCGGAGTAGAGGATCGAGGAGACGGCCGGGTAGAATGCGAATGATTCACCCCATCTGGTTGGATTCAGCGGTTGGGTATACATGCACAAATCGCGCGAGAGAAGACAAACTCACTTGTCCACACATCGCGAATTGTTGTCTTTGGGTTTCACGGGCGCGCTGACGTGGGTGTCAACCCAGAAGGGCCACAGGGTGTAGTCGAGATCGAAAACGATGAGCTTGGGGAGGGGGAGTCTGTCGTTGAAGGTGGAGGGGGCATTGGAGGCGTCCTCGGGAGGGAGCGAGTACGATGACTTTTGTCGCCGGAGCATGTTATACGTATGGACGGAGTTGCGAAGTACGTAGTGGAATAATGAGTAGTTATGGAGGCGGAAGAGATGCCTGGATTGTAAGGTTTGCTATCGAAGATTGACGCCTTATCGCCTTGCAGCCCCACCTCGATCCAGCATTTCGCGGGATCTGGCCAATCGGCATCGCCGTATCCCTTTCTCTCTCTCCCTCATTTGGTTTTTATTTTTTTTATTTTTATTTTTATTTTTTTTTCTTTTTGCCTTCTTAACTACAAGTTGCGCGTATGTCCTCCTCTCTGGCAAGACTGCTCTCTCGATCATAATATCCCTGATGCAAGGTGGCCACCTTGCCTGGACGTCATCATATTTCCAAGGTTGTTGGCCGATGATGGCGCCATGTGAGCGCCAGAAATTCCTGGGGCTACGTAAATACTGAACGAATATTAAAGAAATACTACTGATAAATACTGGACGAAGGAGTCTGGCCCACCGGGAGTCCCCGTTTTTCATTCGGCTTTTGCCTTGCTGAGTCCCGTGTACTATTCGTCCCTAATCTTGTGCTCCATGCTGGCGGAAGGGGAGAACTGGCTTGTGTGGGCAGCAAGGACATGAAAAAAGAAAACAAGAATACGGAGATTCGACCGCAATAATAACTGTACTGCTGCTGAGCACATCGACAGGGAACGGCGCCAAGCATTTCGCCTCCCTCCCAGTGTTGATTCTTGAACGGCCCCAAAATCAACCCAGCCCGTCCAAGGTCCACCCGCCGATTCCCACCTTCCGCCGCCGCTCCATTCAATCTATCTATCATTCTCGTCCTCGCCTCGCCTCGCCCACCACGTCTTCTAACAACCCAACTGCCATCAACCCAACGCCCTGCTCGGTCTTCTTTTCCCAGCATGACGCCTTTGGTCTTCTAGTGTGCGGTACCGGCCATAATATGCTGATAGGGCGTGTGTGGCCAGTGCCTCCTCGTGCAAGCAGCCGTCAATTCTCTGGTTGAAACAACTCGCCTTTCCATCCATCGCTCCTCGAGACTTGCTTGCAACTGATCCCATCGCCCTTTTCCACACTCCGTCGTGCCCTTGGAAGAAGAGAATGGAGGAGCCCGGCACACGGTCTCGGCCACGAGACGCGTCGTCAATACCAGATTCATCCGCCCATGCTTCTCGACAGCTATCCGCAAACCCAAGTCGCAGGCAAGAGGTAGACCAGCATGGCGAGTTTAGATCCACGGCTGGGCCATTGCCCAGTATCGGCCAGTTCTCCTTTGCCCCTGCCACCCGCACCACTGTTGTCACCACCACAACTACCACGACCACCAACTTTCCTCCACTGGTTCTGAACCCACCGCGGTCTGTTCGTGAACTGAATCCCAAACGCTATCCTCTTGCTGCTTATCCCACTCCCTCTGCCTTACGAAATTTTCAATTCGAACTTGATGGCCAGTTCGTGATCTTTAACGAACCGGAAGATACCGATGCTGCAGTGAAAGATGTTTGTGCTTGCCGATACCTTTTCCCTTCCCCTTCCTAGTTTTTTTTTTTTTTTTTTTTTGAATTCTTAAAATTCTTACAAGACTATAGTTGAACGAGCAGCAGGACGCGTTGGAATCATCAAACGGCGTGCTTACCTCCGTTAGAGCGTACGATGGCCTCGTTCAAAACACCAACCCTCTCGCTTCTATCTCACGTCCCTCTAGTGTATCTGCGTCGAAACGCCGAGCGGTCTCCCCATCTTCAATACCTCAAGCTTCTCGCAGAATCCGATCTTTAATGGTTCCATCTGAGGCACGTGGCACAACTTCGCAGCAAAGAAAGAGTCGCCTGGGTGGAGTTGCCCCCGCCACTAATTCGTCAGTGGCCGGCCTAGCCACCCCCGAGACTGAGTCAAGTCGTTTTCGTCTTGATCAACATGCGACTCTTAGAAAGCGCATTTATAGTGAGAGGGTGGGACAGAAGGCGAAAGCTGCTACTTCTTCACAGGGCGATGCCGATATTTCACAGACTTCAACCCCAAGACAACTATCTCCCACGAAGCCGAGCGTTCGACGCCAATACTCAAGCAATAGAGTTCCTGCACTTGAACGCCGGGCAAACTCCATGAAACCCGTTTCTACAATCTCCCAAGATTCTCTGTCTGCCCCTGAAGACGATGCATCTGCTGAAACCGTGGCCACAGAAAATGAGGCGAGCCAAGAATCCGAGGCCTATCAACCTTCTTCTGGGCCAACAAATTTGTCTGTTTATGATGGCGTTTTGAGTCAGGATATGTGTTTGCCTAGTCCAAGCTTGTCACCTGTCACTGCTATGAACACACATAATCCGGACTACTTTCTGGAGTTTCCCGAGGATCAAGGAACAGACACTGACTCAAGCCTGGATAATCAGGTTTCCATTCTGCCGGATTCTCTTCGTCAGAAAAACATCCGCAGTGTTTCCAGTCAGACATCATTTACGACTGAGAATCATGCCGTTCAGTCCCGACCTACTTCTTTAATGGATATTCCGGCTACGCTAGAATTCTTCGAAGCTATTCCAGACGAGATGAAGACTTATATGATGTATCAGCTTTTGAAGCGCTGTCCCAAGCCTACCCTTCAATTTGTGGCAGATGTTGTCAACCCTGCATTGAGTTGCGATTTCTTAGCGTTGTTGCCCGCTGAATTAACCCTGAATATAGTGAGGTATTTTGATTACAAGACAATGTGCCGGGCCTCCCAGGTGTCAAAGAAATGGCGTCACATTATCAACTCGGACGAACGAGCTTGGAAGGAGCTATTTGAAAGGGATGGCTTCAAGCTTCCACCGGGCGAACTGCAGCAGGCTATCAGAGAAGGGTGGGGTTGGCAGTTTCCTAATGGACGCGATGATTGGGAGAAAGATCTATCCGCACGTACTACTACGGCAACGAAGAGTGATTCCGATGTATTCGGCCAAGCTCTCCCTTATCCCCTTCCGTCAAATTCGGATTCGCTCACTCTCGATTCTGTCTCTCCGCGTCGATCAAAGAGAAAGGCAGCTAACAGAACGCCAAGTCGAAAGGTGGCTAGACGCAAATTGACATCATCGCATACGAACGATTCTCCGGTGTCGAGTCCCTCAGACTGGAACAATGAAGCTTCCATTCTTGAGGGTCCTGGTGCCGCTGCGAACGCTGCGGCTGCTGCCATCCCCTACCCAGACGTTGGATTGCCCTCACTTCGCAGTTTGCATGTCTACAAGTCACTTTACCAACGCCATTTTTCGATCCGAAATAGCTGGATGCGTCCCAACTTGAAGCCAAAGCATCTTGCTTTCCGCGCTCATGACCGTCATGTTGTCACGTGCCTTCAATTTGATTCTGACAAGATTCTCACTGGAAGTGATGATACCAAGATCCATGTATACGAAACAAAGACCGGCGCGCTGAAATCTATCCTCTCCGGTCACGAAGGAGGTGTGTGGGCTTTGGAATACTACGGCAATACGCTTGTTTCTGGTTCCACAGACAGATCAGTACGTGTATGGGATATTGAGAAAGCCAAGTGCACACAAATATTCCATGGTCACACTTCGACCGTGCGATGCTTGCAGATTCTACTCCCCACAGAAGTCGGCAAAAACCCCGATGGGTCCGCGAATATGATGCCTAAAGAGCCCCTCATTATTACCGGCTCACGTGACTCGAATCTCAGAGTCTGGAAGCTACCTAAACCAGACGACCCTTACTACCTAGATGCCGGCCCACATGCAGAGGACATTGACTGTCCATATTTCCTACGCGTTCTGTCTGGTCATCAATATTCGGTGCGTGCGATTGCAGCGCATGGTGACACCTTGGTATCAGGCAGTTACGACTGCACTGTGCGAGTATGGAAGATCTCTACAGGAGAAAGTCTACACAAGCTACAAGGTCATACGCTCAAGGTCTACAGTGTCGTTTTAGATGTGGAAAGGAATCGATGCATCAGTGGATCCATGGATCACATGGTCAAAGTGTGGTCGCTTGAGACCGGAACGTTACTCTACAACCTGGAGGGACATTCATCCCTGGTTGGTCTGTTAGATCTCAAGAGCAATCGTTTGGTGTCGGGAGCAGCTGATTCGACCCTGCGAATTTGGGATCCGGAAAGTGGACAATGTAAGAACATCTTGACTGCGCACACTGGGGCCATTACGTGTTTCCAGCACGACGGCGAGAAGATCATATCTGGATCAGATAGGACCTTGAAGATGTGGAATGTACGCACGGGAGAATGTGTGAAGGATCTCCTGAGGGATCTCAGTGGTGTATGGCAAGTCAGATTCGATAGTCGCACTTGTGTTGCGGCTGTTCAGCGGGATGGCCTAACCTACATTGAAGTGAGTGTTGTTTCCCACTACACTTTTAGTCTTATTAACAGCTAACGTTGATTCCTTAGGTCCTCGACTTCGGCGCTTTCCGAGATGGCCTTCCTGAACATCGGCTTGGAAAACGCACACTAGTTGACCGCTATGGGTTTGCGGTTGACGATGACGATGACGATGAAGATTATGACGCAACAGAATAAGGAAGACTCTTAACCGTCGACATCGGGTGAAGCTCTTCATTCACCCACTCAACCTCCACGAATGAGCATCCTGTTACTATTTCCTATTGATAGTGAGGTTAATTACCTAGGATTGCCTTGCACTTGATTTTGGCAGCAGGATATCAGTATACCATGATACCCCCGATTTCTCATGACTCTCGAATTTTCTTTTCATCTTCCGGGTTTGCATTATTGCATAGCGTGGGCGGTACTGCTCTCTCTTCGTACCGCATCTTGAATTCACAGGTGTTCTCGCTTGACAGAAGTTACGGTTGATACCGATATCCTTGACGTCTGGCTTCATTGGTTGATCACGGTTACCATCATTTTCTATCCTTTCATTTTCGAAACATTGTTGGGCATGCAAACGGGGGGCTCGGAGTCTCTACTTTTACATTCATGATATCTCTATTTGTATTCATCTGTGTTGTTTGTTCTTGTTATTATTGCATTTCTATTGTGTATTTGTGGCCTTCTGCAGTAAGCAGGCAGGGGTTGTTGATATTTGTATGAAATGTATTTGATGTATGCAATCCTATTCGAATTATGAATAAGTACTTTATTCTCTACAACTTTCTTGAGAGTATGGACCATGGGTTTGTGCATTTCCAGTTCTCTCTGTCTTGTCCATCCCTCACGCTACATACCGTCAAAATAACAGAAAGAAACGGGAATCTCCATCAAACTTGATTTGCTCAAGCTGGGTTGCCATAATACCTTTCAAATCTTGTGATAAAGCTGTCTATTCGCTAGAGTGAATAGACCAGGCAGGGCACACAAAGATCAAGGATTCTGACGTCGTCTCCCATCTCTCCCTCTCTCTCTCTCTCTTTGTCTCTTCCCTCCCTTTTCTCTGTTAACGTGTCTCTGTCCAATATCATCCTATTAGTGTTCAACGCACTGGAATTCTAAATATTGGGCTTATAACAGACTCTCACTTCCTTGATCTTTGAAAATCTGTGGTTCTGGTTTGTATTATTTTCTCCTCTGGGCTGCTTGTTAGCTGTTTTAGCTACTCATAACAAGATGATCATGATCTTTTGACAGTCTGCAAATTCTAGACCACGATTTCTTGCTCTCTGTCCTTTCATCTATTCCTGACAATTACTCGTCACCCCGCACAAGATGGTGAAGCTGAACTACACAGCTGTGAGTCACTTCCTCCACGACGACAGAATGTCTAACTGTGCCCTTATCTAACAACTTAGCAGAGAAAAATTAGCGGTATCAAAGCTGCCCAGGCTTTGAAGAAGGATCTCGTGCGTGTATTACTCTTTCTGTTATGTGGCATTAAGAAATTTTTGTGATCTGACTTCTTTCTTCTGATTCACTTAGAGCAAGAGAGTCCCCGTTTCCTCTACCTTCAGACTCAGAGACCCAGTGTTGGAGATCGACATCTCTGGAAAGCAACTCACGGATGACGAGTTCAAGGTGTTCATCCTCGATCTACGCTATGCACTAGAGTACAAGAGTTCTGAATACCCTCGGGGTGTCAACAAGTTGCAAGAATTACACCTTCAAGGGAACTCTCTTACCAGCGACTCGCTTGTGGAGCTTGCTAAAGCCATCTTCTTGAGCTCACAAGACCTCAAGGAGCTTGACATCTCCAGTAACAAAATCAATATAGTCACAACTTCTGACGTGCAGAAATGGCAATACTTTCTCCAGTCGTTCAGCCAGTGCTGCGTGCTGAAGAAAATCGATTTCAGTAACAATGCCCTTGGCTCTCAAGGCATTGAAGTCCTGGCTCGTGTCTATATTCGCAGCGAATTGGACTTTGTGGATACGGAACTTGCCACGGACGCGGAGATGGATACAGACGCAGTCAGCGACGCAATTACTCAACATGGTTCTCCATCGGTGAGCTTGGAAAATGGGCATCGTATGTCGGATGCTGGGCTGCTTGTTCCAAGTTATTCTGCGACTACCGGCGTCCATTCTCCCAGTCAAGGAATCAGGTCTTCCCAGAGAAGAGGTGAGCACTGTCATGAGGTCCAAGGGAGCATAGTAGTCTAATGAAAGTAATCCACCAGGGTCTCAATTAACGACTCCATCCAGCAAAGGCTACACCGACGCAGAACTCAGACATTTTGCATGCACACGCGGTTTACGCTCGGTTCCGTATCTAATCCTCCAGAATGTTGCCATGACCAACGGGGGAATTATCCACCTTGCTGAGATGTTCAAGCTACATCGAACTCCCGAACACCTCCTTTCGTTTCTACCATGCGGAAAGCCCCCGTCTCTGCCTGACTCAGAGAATGCTTTGAGGGGTATTCATTGGCTTCCAAACGAACATCTGAGTCCACTATCCGTCAAGCTTATGAAACTCATGAGCCAGCTGAAGCAGTCGTCCGCCGAAAGCGATTCTGAAGATGAGTTGCTCGAAGAGCTGCATGACCTGGCCTTGGACGAGGATACCTATGGTCTAGAACGTCGACAGAAACGCCAGAAGCTGAATTTGGAGCTCAACCGTGTTGTCAAACTGCAAAGAATCGACGTCTTGGGTTCCGAGGGACTGCTCAAGTCTGAGATTTGGCATAGTGCCTTCAGGATGCTGCTCGTTGCTCGGGCTATCTTATTGGACGACGAGAACCGGCCACCTTCTGTCGAGAAGGAGTTGCGGCTGTTATCATCATCAAGAAAATCGCGATCATCGGAGTCCAGAGAAAAGTCAACACCAGCCAGATCCCCACTACCTCTGCCGCAGCATGTTCAAACCAGCACGAATCAATGGAGCACGCCGCCTGGAGTCCTGATTTCCAGCTTCCGTTTTGATCCCGAGTCTTTGACATTTGACTTGATGTTTCCCGCAATGCATGCGCCCCCTGAACATCCCGTCTTGCAGGCCCATCCACCGCCGGTGGCAGCAGCCATGTCCGCGTATTCATCTCCAACCACACAAAGCCCACAGCAGCAGCAGATAACCATAGCAACCGGCGGACATTCTCCCCACGGCCGTGCGACGGGGGCGGCTGGAGATACTAGTACTTCTCCTAATCCCACTAGTGCCCCTCCTCCAAACAGACATCGCTTTGGCCTGCCACTGCATATCTGGGCAAAGATTATTTCCGAAGCACTGTCTGTCAAGCGACTCCTGCATCCAGATCAGCAGATGAGAATCTTAACCTATGCTGCAAGCTGGAATGCTCTGGCGGCCGAAGTCTCCATCAATGGGGCGCCTGAGCATCAGCAGTTGTGGAAAATCCTGGACAGTATTGATTGCTTCACGTACAAGCCGTTATCTTAAGATGATGTCAAGATGGCTAAATACGAGAGCTCGCTGTGCAATATCTTCCTTTCGTTTCTTTTCTTTGTTATTTTCTGTTCTTTGCCCACTCGTTCATCGTTTTATGTGGCGGAATATTTAGCTAGCCCTAACTTGCCCGCCTTCTTCAGCGGCTCAGCCAGAGTCGCTCTCTTTCCATGTTCTTCAAGTTTCTGTCTTTGTGAGAGTCATATTCTTTTATTCTCTGTCTGGGCCATGATCAAATAATTCAGACAGTTTTTATTAAGTGATAATTCTACCAGGAAGGCTTCTAAATCCAAAGTTGCTGGTATATTTTCCTTATCGCACTTTCTGTACTATCAAAATCGGCTATAATCGCTGAGACGAGAAAGAAGTATGAAAAGAAAGTACCAGCTTGCCTTCTCTGCTGCATTTCCACGCGTTATGTTCACTCTGTTTGCGGGTTGGTAGGACATCGAATTAAAAGTAGGGTAAGGGAATCACCTGACTCACTCAGTCCCCATTTTTTACCCAACTAAGATGCAGTTGCATTCGTATTTTTCTCTCTTTTCTCTCTACCTTGGCGAGCAATACCACCGTGTTTTGAAATCTGCTATCCCGTATACTATCCTGCTATCACTATTCGACCTTAGACAACTACAAGACAAACTATGTCAAACGAAACCGTAGTTCTTATCACGGGGGGGAATAGGGGCAAGTATCCCACATTTCCTCTATTCCACCCCCCCCCCCCTTGTCCCATTAGCTCGTTCATGCCTTACGAGCACGCACATCAGGATAGTATAAAGAGTATAAATTGACTTGCGTCTCTTCCAGGGTTGGGTCTTGGACTCGCGAAACTCTATCTCGAACAGCCCAACACTCGGGTCATCCTCACCACACGCAGCACTACCCCATCCGACATTCTCGATGCGCTATGCAAATCCGTCCCCGGTACTCTTGAGGGAATCTACAAGCTCGACAGCGCATCCACCGAAGACGCAATTGCTCTACGTGAATCGCTCATGGCCAACGAAAACATCAACAAGATTGATGTCCTGATCGCCAACGCCGGTGTGGGCGAGCCCTTCGACAGCGTGCTTGAGGCGCCCATCGATGCATTGGAGATGTTCTACCAGGTTAATACCCTGGGTCCTATCCGGCTTTACCAGCAACTGTGGAAGGATCTGCTGGAGAAATCGGATAATCCGAAGTTCGTCCTGGTAAGCTCCATCCTCGGAAGTCTGACCTATATCGATCCGACGCCCTGTGGTGGCTATGGAGCAGCGAAAGCAGCGGCAAATTATCTGGTGAAGAAGATGCATTTGGAGAGTGAGAAGTTGGTGGCTTTGTCATTGCATCCGGGGTACTTAAGTTTTATTTCATTTGCTATCTACCAAAGGTTGGATGGAAATGTCTAAATTGTTGCAGATGGGTCAAGACTGCAAATGGTCAGGCATATGCCGACGCTGTCAACGTTCCAGAGCCGCCAATGACAACAGAGGAATCAGTCAACGCAATCTTCAAGACGGTATGGTTATGTTTGTTGCCTCTTTCGTTTCTGGCTGATCAACTGACTATCCTGCATGAAGGTTTCGGAGGCTACAAAGGACAGCACGTCTGGAAAATTCATTGACGCTATGAGTGGAAAGGAGCTGCCTTGGTAGAAGCTGGGAGTCTTCGAGAAATACCGTGGGTTTGGAAACCTGGGATCTTTAAGAGAAGCTATATGTGTTATTAAGGTGATTATACACGGATAGGAGAGTTGTATTCAGGTATGTATACAGAATTTATTTGGTATAGCAACGAGGAGCCTTCCTTTTTATATGTTCTCATTCGAAGTATCGCCTTCAGCCTGCCTCGTTTTGTCACTTGGTAAAGTTCTTGGGCCTGTCATGAGTTCCATGAGCACCCGGTTCATCTTGGCCATTTTCCCCCTTTTTAATACTCTTCCACTCCAAGCCCAAAGAACTGAAGAATCCTGCCAGAGCTAGACCCATGGCTGCGTAGAAAATTTTTGTACATGCATAGTTGTATGCCTGCTTGACCACAATTATGTATTGGGGCGGCACGACAGACGTGAAATCCGTAGCGCCTTTGTCGATAATCAGAGCTGGGTCAAGGCCTGGGATGCCGCTCAGATGGGAGACAAGAATATCGTATAGTATCGTTTCGCCAACAGTAGCGAAAATGGCTCCCCCGAGTTGTTGGGTGAGGAATATGAGAGAGATACCGATGGATATATCTGACATTGGTAAGACTCTTTGTATGACGAGCCCTGCATTCTGCATTCCCATACCCAAGCCAAAGCCACATAGAAACTGGTAACCGATCCAATGCGATGAGCCGGTAGAGATTTCAAAAGTTGTCAACAATCCCGTTCCCACAGCAAGTAGACTTGGGCAGATGTACATTCCCGGAACGTAGTATCCGATTTTTTGGGTGACGAAGCCAGAGATAAAGCTTGCAGCAACCAGACTGAGAACTATAGGTAATGTGTAAATGCCTGAGTGGATTGCACTGACCAATTTGACGGTTTGAACTGTGTGAATAATTGTCAGAAGGGATGGGTTTTCAGCAACGGGTATATAGAAAGTCTTACACCATATAGGGAGATAGTATAATAGCATGGTCATTGCGCTTGACAAGGTAAACGTGTACAGGCATGTGCAAATAATACTTCTGCGAGTGACGATGCGGGCTGGGATGATGGCTGTGTCAGGCTTCCAGATCTGTGCGGCGGCAAAGATTAGAAGCAGAACACCAAAAAGCACAAAAAGGGCGATAATGCGACCATTGTTCCAAGCATATGTCGAGCCACCCCACTGAAAAGCGAGTAGTAGGCATATTATGGATGGCGCAAAGAGGGCCATGCCCAGGGGATCGAGACGTTTGATCTGTGCCATGATAGGGGCAGGCTCATATTTCTGCTTTGGCGGGTGCCAAACAAAAGCCATCAAGACTAGGCTGACTGCTCCAATAGGTAAGTTGATATAAAAGCACCATCTGAATTTTATGTCAACGGTCATCGAACTTTCAACTTCGGTATGTATGTCTGAGAGGACAGCTCACCTCCAAGTGGCACCGCTTGTAAACCCCCCGCCAATCAATGGACCCATCACGGACGCAATTCCAAATACAGCCCCATTTATTGCCTGGAATATAGGCCGCTTATGGAGTGGGACGAAGGGAATAACTATGAGCATGCACCCAGAGAAGATAGCAGATGCGGAAAACCCGGCAATGGCGCGTCCAGCTATGAAGGCGTTCGAATTGGGAGCAGCACCGCATATGGCTGAACCAACTTCGAAAATGACCACATTAGTCAAAAAGATCCATTTCATACTGTAGTATTTGTAGATGCGTCCAAAAAGGGGCTGAGATGTTGCGCTGGCAAGCATGTATGCTGATCCGTACCAGCCAATGTCGCCCAGGCTATTGAATTCATCGGTGATTTGAGGGATGGCCGTTGTAATTATGGTTCGATCGAGCGCGACGAGGAAAAGGGAAAGGAAGTTGCAAAACATAATCAACCAGAAATCGAATGTTCTTGGCCGGTACAAGCTGCCTGGAGGTCCTCCGCCTGGTCCTGCTGGCTGTCCTTGCTGGGGAGCTGCCTGCTGTTGCGGCTCAAGTTGCTTCTCGACGTCGACATCAAGCCCTTGGCCAGTTGGTGATGCTGGTTGTGCCATTATCTTTTCGTTTTCTTGCGGTCCGTTGGCGTGTAAACCCAGGGTAGAACGGGTAGCTGCCACGCGGTGTAATCGTGTTCGGATGTCCCTAGGATATTTCAACATCTTTTGTATAAATCATAGAGGAGCAGACAATGAAATATATCTATATCATACCATCACTATGCAGCGGCCAAGAAGATATGCCGGACCCGAAAGCCTTCGTTCCCGACTGACGTCGGCCCGGCGGTCATAAGAAACGAACGCACGGAAAGGACAATGCGCATGGGTCGACCAAGGGGAGAGTCCTGCTGCACCTGTACAGCTGAGTGATACAAATATAGCGAACTCGTTATAAAGCTGTGCCGGCCATAACATTGAGGTTTCTCGCGGTGTTGGCATGCTGCCGCGTTTGATTGGCCGGTTGCGTGGCAGATTTCTTCCCCAAAGGGAACCAAACCCTAAAGTTTGCCTTGATTAGGAAATCCTTGGCACGATCTTGAAGAGAATCAGTGGCTTGCTCAATACTCTCCATTCTTAATGCTATAATACGTATTTTCTTGTTCTTGACATATAGCATGGCCCATGTATATACTCTAATACTCAGCGCACGTGAGACACGGCTTGTTCAGCCCACGAACTGCGGAGAAGTATTCTGTTAGGATCATCCAAGTAACTTTGGAGGTGCCGGCTAGTTCGTGATAGATGGAACCACTTAAAAGTAAGATCTAGCATTCGTGCTATGCAGAGCAGAAGTCTTCGAAACAGCGCACGTCCAGTCAAAGGGTATAAGATCGGCCGTTATAGCTCGCTTGCAGCCAACTTTGGCGAGAGATTTCCCACAACACAGGGAGGGGGAGTCTTTATGCAGGCAATGCAATGATGTCTGGATTCAGACTGCCTCGTTTCAGCTCCTGCTACAGCACCATGTGGCCGGCTAGTTTGAAACAGAGCCTGCAGCCAATCAGCGTGCGCAGCGCCGTATAGTTGACTGATCACTGATGCCCAGTGCCTGACAAAGTGCCACAGTGCCAGTTGATCGCTTTCAGGGGATCTATCTATCTCTCGGATCGGCACAGTGAATGCGGCGCTATTTGCGAATCGCTCGTGGAACACCGCTATTGAGTAAGCTAGTGAACACGGCTGCTGTCCCTGCGTGGAACTGCATTTCCTTCTTTGGGGCTGCGCGGATCGATCTTGCATAGTCACTGGGAGGCCAAAAAGCCATTCCCCCATTTTTGCACCTGCTGGACCTTGGGAATGGTTCGATGATAATACTCCGTAGCGCGTTCGGCCGTGGGTCCGTTCTCCGCTTCTCGCGCAGCCTTCCCGTGTGTCTACCTATTTTATTTTAGTATTTCAGCATCGCTCCCGTGCCCGTCCTACATATACCCCGTGCGATGCTTCACGTCCATGCTCAGTGCTCGGTGCTCACCATCGCGCAAAAAAAAAAAAAAAAATAATTACAATAACAATAACAACATTAAATCTCGTCGTTCCTTCGACTGCAGACCTCCTAGCGGCCTTACGCCATTGGGCCCGCCGCCATGGGACGCCAGTCGCTGCGGAGTCCCTTTCCAATTGCCGTGCGGACATCAAGCATCAACGCAGAAACGGTCATGTACGACGAAAAGCCTCTGTCGAGAAACGCAATGAGGAACCAGATGGTACAGCAATCCGCTTCCCCCCAGGAATACTCCCTCCATGCTGACCACTTGCGTTTCTGACTCTAGCCCCAGCCAGACTCCTTTTCTCGAGAACTCCGCGTCCGAGCATCATCCCCGTTACTGGGACGGAGCTATCATTCCAGCCAACCCTCTGCACAACCTCCCTTTCGTACGCTGCCCGAGGCACCTCAGTTGCCCCAATTACACCAGTCGGGCTCGTTCGCCGACTTCGCCCACGACAAAGACTTTGAAAAGTATGCCTTGGATTCGCAATCGCAGCGTAATCTGGCGTTCGGCGTCGTCGAAGACATGCGAGGCATCGGCTTCCCCCATCTCGAACAAGGCTCCAACAGAGTCGCAGAAATGGTGGAAGAATCGATGAATGGTCCACCCAAGCGGAAACCCAGCAGACTCGACCTCTCTCTTCTCTTCCCCAAGCCAAAACCTGCTGCGGCTCCGTTGCTTTCGCCTCAGCGGTACACACATTCACCGTCTCCCGTCACTTCGGAACACTCGGTGAAGCCTGCGCCAACCAAGCTCTCGAAACCACGCTCCAAGGGGAATATGCGGATATCCTTCGTCAAGGAGATTCCAGAAGAGCGCCTTCCTCCGACACGACAGCGTGCCTCTCAAAAGCCAATGGATTGGTTTGACGTTCCTCTGGAAAAGATTATTCGCCTCGGGGATTCCCTCGACGTTGAAGACATGCAGGCAGGTGATCATGATGATGCCGATGATCAGGGAGATCAAGAAGTCGAACCCCCCGCTCATAAAATCAACACACAAACAACCAAGAAGGTCCATCAACCGCCAGCGATCGAATCCCGACCAAAGACCATTTCAACAAGAGCTTCTTCGGCTACAGGGTCGGAAAGGTCAACATTCACTTCATCCTCCATGTCCCGCCGCGTCTCACGTGATAATCGCTCAAGCCGTCATCATCCAAATCGTCAACAGATACCCTCTCAATCAGCGAGTCGAGTGCCAGGCTCACTGCAGACATGGCAATCTGAAGGCGACTTGCGTTCATCGCAGAAACGTGGCGGTCGTCTGTCCAAAAAGAAAAGCAGCAGTACATTCATGAGTTCAGATCTGACCAAAACCAGCGTTTTATCCTTGTCATCGTCCGAATCCGAGTCTGAAGATGAGAAATATACAAGTGAAGACGAGTATGAAGGCGAGCTGATTCTCAGTAGAGCTGCTCCATCCCGAACATCTCGAGACAGTTTTGCTACGAACGATTATTTAGACCCGGAAATATGTCGTGCTGAAGCGGTGGTCGCTACGAGGACCCATAGTGCCGCTCGCCTCGACCGAACGCACTCAAACGTCTCTAGTACCAGTTCCACATCGCGCAGTACAATGCGACGTCCCACTCGATCCCGGGCCGACTCCCTTTCTTCAGCCGGAAGGTCGTCTGTGTCGGGGAAGATGTTCGGGTCATCAGGCCATTTCAATGCCCCCTTGATCGAGGAACCGGAGGAACAGAAGGACGAAGCAAGCGGCACTGGGCGACCACAACAATGCGCACCGCGAACACGCAATGACATCCATTCTGCCAAGAGAAGAAGTCGAATCATCGCAGTTACGCGGCAGGAAGAGTCATTGTTAGAAGCGATGAGACTCCGAAATGGTCGGATCACTCCTAGTATATTCAACGACATTGAAAGCAATGCTCCTCATTCCGGCGTTGACTCGCGATCATCGTCAGTTCCACCACGAATTCGCTCCCCAGAGTCTATCCAGACCGAGTTCGATACTTCGTTCCTCCGACTGAGTACGGCTATGCGACTCCCCCCGGGTAGTCCACCGGCTGCAGGTGAAAATACCTCCTCCAGAGAACAAGACACATCTATATCGTTGGGCTCCGCGTCTGATAGCGAACAGAAGACCGATAGTACCAATTATACGTCGTCCCCAAGACTTAGCCTCGCGTATTCGGAAACGCCCTCGTCCACATCGACTATTGGACATATGTCGCCCGTCACTCCTCCTACTCTTTCTCTTCACCGTTTCTCTCCACGCGCGCCTCCCCCCTCACATGCGCCACCGCCAATTCCTCAGGACGTGGCACGACGCCATTCCCGCCGCAGGACTGATAGCAGCGAGGCAATCGTATTGGCCGATTCCGAATCAGACAAAACGTCAGATCCCCCGTATCCACTGTGGGCTGTGAAATGGGGTCGAGATCCCCACGATCTAACCTTTGTGCACTAGAAATTGAAGTAATCTCATCCACTCACTGTTTCTCTTTGTGTCCATATTCCCTCTTTACTTTTTTTTTTTTTTTTTTTCTTTTTTGGATTTTCTCGCATAAAATTCTGGATACCAACATAATACTGCACATTTCGGATTTCCTTTTGTTATTGTCAAGCGAGACTGGGTTGCATTTGGCGAAACGTGGTTACAAAAGTGACGTCGTTACAATTTTCTTTTCAGTCTTCTCCTGTGTTGCCGGCCAAACACAATACCTGTATACCTATTTCTTGTATGTATATTCTGCTCTGCTCATATGTCTGTTGTGCTTCAGTGTAATATATATCTCTGTATGTGATATATTGTCATAAGATTAATCAATTGAGGTTTCAAAAAGCAGCTTATACGTCAGGTTGCACGGGAGATATGCATGTCGGAGTCGGTGAGCATGCAATACTTTCGGAACCCGGTCTGCTTGTGCATGCTATATCCATAGTTCCATAGTAGTATACTATTCAGTATAACTATATCATCTCATATCATACATATAGTAGTTGAAGCCTGAAGGTGAAGATACCCGCGTCCGATTGGCCAGAGTACCGGCGATTCCAGACTCTGGTTACCCCAGACAGACTAAGCCTGATCAAGAACAACAAACAAAATCCCCTTTTGAAACTTGACATGCTTTGGGAACCCAAGTCTACCTCGCTAACCCTTGCTTCGCTCTCTTGCTGGCGACGTGCATCCTCTTCTTCACCGCGTCTCAGCGTCACTCTTTCACCTTTTTCTGTGCTTCTTGTCCGCCGATCCCATCGGCCAATCTGCCCCATCGTGTGCCAAGCTCGAAGACGTCACTGCATCCCTTTTCTTTTTCTTAAATAGCAACGACACCGCAAACACCCGCCGCACCAATCTTTCCAAGTCTTTGGGTATTCAGAGGTCAGGCATATGGAACGGAATACCTACCAGTATTATATTTGACTCCGAATTGGATCGATCCAATTTTGGGGGTGTTTGTTTGTTCCCATTCCATCGCGTGAGCTCTGATCGCGCACAGCGGGGAGGCGGAGAAGGACAGTTGGAAAGACACTGGACAGGGAAAGACAGGGTGGTCGGGTTGGCTTTGATTTGCTAATATGAGGTCAATCAAACAAAGCTCGTTGAATTCGAGCTCGGTTTATATTCGGAAACTCTCTGTGCTTCTGGTAAGAGACCCGCGGGGTTGTTATGTGTTATCGTGTTATCCTAACTCGTGCCGTTGATAGTTGGCCATACAATATGCTTCGTCGGTTGTGGTGAGTGTTCAACAACTTCTTTTTCCTCTGTGTGTTTGATCACAACTACGTACTAACATTCAATGCAACTAACTAGTTAATTCATTATTCTCGAATAATGCCTGCGGTCGCCGGGAAACGATATGTCACTTCCACAGCCGTCTTCCTCACCGAGGCCATTAAACTTGCCCTCTCGTTGACGGTGGCCCTATACGAAATATCCAAAAGAGCACCGGCATCCATGCCCGCGACGTCACTATTCTCTACATTATCCGATACCATTTTCTCGGGCGATAGCTGGAAGCTGGCTCTTCCAGCGCTGCTCTACACCGTAGCCAACTCTCTTCAGTACGTGGCTCTTTCCAATCTCGTACCGGCCACTTTCCAAATCACATATCAGGCAAAGCTGCTCTTTACGGCTATTTTCGGCCTGTTGATGTTACAGAAGTACACCCCGGCGCGCAACTGGGGATTGTTGCTCTTCCTCGCCATCGGCATTGTGCTTCTAAATGCCCCCGGCCATGGGTCGGGGCGCCTCGTGGCTAGAGATGGGTATGTGCATTTTCCGAGATCCATGGAAGAATGGAAGCAGGCAAAGGGTTACTCTCCAATGAACATTGTAAAGCGCTCTGCTAGCTACGAGGGCATCGAAGAGGATATATTGCTTGAGCACCCCCCTCTTGACGACCACTTAGGGTTGATTGCAACCCTCTTTGCTTGCGTCGCCTCTGCCCTTGCTGCGACGAGTTTTGAGAAAGTAATCATAGACAGTGTTGCGAAGACATCGATATGGATTCGTAATGTGCAGCTGGCTCTCTATTCCGTGGTCCCTGCCTTCTTCGTCGGTGTCATATTCCTTGACGGAGAGACTATTGCCAACCAGGGATTCTTTGCCGGCTATAGCTGGATAGTCTGGTTGATCATATTCATTCAGGCGATTGGCGGCATTGGTGCTGGCTTGACAATCGCATATGCAGACAGGACTGCGAAGACAACTGCAACGGGCCTCAGTCTCGTTGCAAGCATCTTGTCTAGTCTGTCTCTATTTGGTTTAAAATTGTCGGCAAATGTAAGCAAAGTCCCTCTCCAATCTACTTTAAACGGCAGCTAGGAAGACATACTCATTCTGTTAGTTCTGTATTGGCGCTGCCATAGTCCTGGTTGCGACTTTCTTATATGGCAGTTCTACGCCAAATACATCACCAATGACTAGAGTCAGGCCACCCCCAATTCGTATTGAGAGCTACGACACAGCTGAAGAAAAGAATAAACCGGCTCTCTCCCCTCTCAATGACTTTTCCATCAAACTTCCCACCACTCCCCTGCTCTCTGCCGCCGGCCTTTCAACGTCGCGTCCTGCGTCGCCGAGCCATTCAAGGGTAAAAACAAACCAGAATAACCCTGGTTATTTCCTCCACCCAGGCGAATAAGATGGATTCTTTGTATCGAATGAGAATATAAGTTTTAGAGATAAAGGGGGAGAGAAAGGATGTCTCCCTCTGATTGCCCTACATCGATGTTAACTACTCGGAACGAGTGCTTTTTTTGTTGTGCATGGGGCTTCTGCCATTTCTTGCTTAGCTAGATATTTGATATGACTTTATACAGGAATCCTCAAAGCCAGGAAAGATATGCCTAACATCTGGTGCTCGGTAGCCATGGATCCCGTGACTTCCAGGTAGGGTCCTTCCCTGCTTGATGCGCCGTCGCGATGAATCTCCGTCCCTCGCCGCACCTCACTCTATTGCTTTTTGTCTATCTGTATCAAAATACCATCCTCGTTCTGTGAAGCATTCAACTCCGGCCTCTCGTCGTCGTTAAAGATGTCTTTCAGTCACAGCAATCCAAACTTCATCGCAGCCGTAGAAGATGATGTTCCTTTTGACACATTTGGTGAGAGGGTCTTGTTTTACCGTCTCCAAGAATGAATGCTTTCTGACTAGGGTGACAGATCGCGAATTATTAGCTCAGCTTAGAGAGCAACAGGAGGACTCCCGGCCAGCAGCGAGACGAAACGGTTTCCAACACTCAGTGGGAAGTCTCTCAAATCAATTTACACAGGAGCGTCAGTGACGGAAATGTCTGTTCTATAGTTTGTTCATTGTGGCTCATGCAAAATCATTAGCACCTACTTGCCCTACATCGCCCGTCATAGGGCCGTACTCTAGTTCGCCAGACACAAGTTTCCAATCTAGTCCACTGCTGCGGTACTTCAGACCTAGTCAGCCTCAATTATACTCGACGCCGGCCTTTTCTGGAACACGGAACTGGACCACTATCATCGATGATAAGGCAGGGCATCAGTTGCCGGCTTCTCCTTCCTTGCCCCGTCAGATTTCCTTCAAACATGCGCCTCCCGTAGTCCAAGGCATTAACCTCATTGAAACCCAGGCTCTGCCGGACCGGTTTCGGGCCCTATTCCCTTACCCTCTATTCAATGCGGTGCAATCAAAATGTTTTACGCATGTTTACGAAAATGACTACAATGTTGTCGTGTCCGCTCCCACGGGAAGCGGCAAGACAGTCATCATGGAGCTCGCGATTTGCCGTCTAGTGAATATTCTGAAAGATGGATTATTCAAACTAGTGTATCAGGCTCCAACAAGAGCGTTGTGCTCTGAGAGATTCCGCGATTGGTCTACCAAGTTCACTTCCCTGGGCCTACAGTGTGCTGAGTTGACAGGAGATACGGATTATGCTCAGTCTAGACTGGTACAGACTGCCAGCATTATAATCACTACCCCTGAGAAATGGGACAGTATGACCAGAAGATGGAGAGATCACGCCAAGCTGATGCAGCTTATAAGGTTATTCTTGATTGACGAAGTCCATGTTCTTAATGAAACTCGCGGCGCAGCTCTTGAGGCCGTGATATCTCGGATGAAATCCGTCGGTTCCAACGTACGGTTCATCGCCCTGAGTGCTACGATACCGAACTCTGAGGACATTGCTACGTGGTTAGGCAAAAATGATACTCTGCAACATCTACCCGCCCACAAAGAACATTTTGGCGAAGATTTTCGTCCAACAAAACTTCAAAAATTTGTGTATGGCTATCCGTGCGCTGGAAACGACTTTGCTTTTGATAGGCTATGCGGATCGAAGTATGAAGATCTGTTCCGTTCTGTTCCAGTCCAACCAGTGTCGCTAACTTCTTGTTATTCTGTCAAATAGGCTCCCTGAGATTATTTCCAAACACTCAAACAGAAAGCCGATGATGATATTTTGCTGTACAAGAAACTCTGCTATTTCTACTGCAAAAGAACTCTCCAAACTATGGTCAAATACTATCCCCTACAAACGACTTTGGTCTGCTCCTGTAAAAATTCCAGTTGTCAAAAACGCTGATCTCAAAGGTGTGTCTCAATATTCTATTTTGAATCACTACTTACTCATCATGCTTTGGCATAGCACTTGTCAATGCGGGTGTGGCGTTCCATCATGCTGGTTTAGATAGCGAAGATCGTCATACTGTTGAAAAAGCATTTCTGGATGGCAAGCTGACTATCATATGCTGCACATCTACTCTCGCCGTGGGCGTTAATCTTCCTTGCTATCTTGTCATTGTCAAGAATACTGTCTGCTGGCAGGATGGTGGTTGCAAGGAATACACCGACTTGGAAATTATGCAGATGCTCGGCCGAGCTGGTCGGCCACAATTTGGCGGTAGTGCTGTCGCTGTTATATTAACCAAAAAAGAACGTGTTCCGTTCTATGAAAAAATGATATCGGGAACAGAACAACTGGAGAGCTGTCTACACTTGAACCTCATAGACCATTTGAATGCGGAGATTTCTCTAGGTACGATTTCGGACATTCAAAGTGCAATCAAATGGCTCGCCGGGACTTTTTTGTTTGTGAGACTCAGGAGAAACCCTACTCGTTACAAGTTGAAAGAGAATGCGGATCGAAGAGATGAAGATGAAGTGCTGCAACAAATTTGCGAGAAAGATGTGAAACTTCTCCAAGAGAGTGACCTCGTGTCTCAACAAGGTCCTATTAAATCTACTCCGTTCGGTGATGCTATGGCTAAGTACTACGTCAAGTTTGAGACCATGAAAACCATACTGTCATTGCCACCACGAGCAAAGATATCAGAAATTGTGAGTTTTTACTTGCCATATTATCATACCTATTAGACTAGGTGCTGAATTAATATGTTGTAGTTATCAGCGATATCTCAAGCAGAAGAATTCCATGAACTGCGGCTCAAGGCCTCGGAGCGCCCTTTCTACAGGGAACTCAATCGTGCTCATGGCATTAGATTCCCAATAAAAGTAGATGTGGCCCAGCATCCTCATAAGATATCACTTCTTATTCAGTCAGAGCTGGGTGCAGTTGATTTTCCCTCTGGCGAGCAGTTCCAGAAACATAAGCTCCAAGTTCAACAGGATAAAGCGATGGTGTTCAACCACATCAATCGTCTTATACATTGCATCATTGATTGTCAGATACACAATGAGGATGCCGTAGCTGTGAGAAACTCTTTAGAACTTGGTCGGAGCTTTGCCGGGCGGGTTTGGGAGAATTCTCCCCTTCAAATGAAACAAATCGAGCAAATCGGTGTCGTCGCCGTCAGGAAATTGGCCAGTGCAGGGATTACTACTATCCAGTCTTTGGAAGAAACAGAGGCGCACAGGATCGATACGATTTTGAGCAAGAACCCGCCATTCGGAATGAAAGTTCTTGCAAGACTTGCGGAATTTCCAAAACTACGTGTGACCATCAAAATGATAGGGAAAGTAAGTGGCGCGGTAACATTTATAGAGGGGCTGCTGATTGACCATTCTCCTTAGGCGAGTAAAGTCGGCAAATCGGTGAGAATCACCTTCAAGGTGGACACAGGTTTCTTGAATGAAAAGAAACCGACTTTCTTCCATAAACGCCCGGTATACGTCTGTTTTCTATCGGAGATCTCTGATGGTCGACTTGTTGACTTTCGGCGCATGAGGTAAGTAGTATTTAGTTATTATATACCCACACAGCATGCATATAATTGGCATTGAAAACTAGTGCGCAAAAGCTTCAAAACGACCATGAGATTCTACTGAATGCGGAGATTACAAATCCATTACAGCATATTACATGCTATGTTATGTGCGATGAAATTGGTATGTTTGCATGGACACTATGGGTTATGAAAATATAGCGCTGACTTAATCGACTAGGTGGAACGTGTCAATACGCAGAATTGAAGCCTAATGTTCCAGAATATTTCTTCTCTGGTGACTATTCTGACAAGATGCCCAAAACATCTGACAACTTTTCAATGAACACATCAAGGCGCAGAAATGGCGATATCCCGAAACCGACGAAGCTTTCGTCTCGCACTGAGAACTTCGATGATGATGATCTTCCAGATGACGCGTTTCTTGCTGCTAGTATGGGATTTCGTTTAGTTGCCCAAGTTTTATTTGTTCCTCAACTAACTGGTAATGTTAAAGGCTATGATATTGATAACAACCATTCCCAGCAGCAAACTCTCGCAGATCTAGCTCCTACTGAGTCTCGGGGAAGCGAGCGTGGTAAATGTGAGCATCCTCGCGACACGAATGGAGGACAGCCAGTTTTGCTTGATAATGGCAAATACAAGTGCAATCATAAGTGCAAAGACAAATCAACGTCCGTACTTCCTTACCCGTCCACACAGTGAGGCGAGTTTGGCTAACTAGGATACTAGGTGCAAACACTTCTGTTGTCGCGAAGGTCTTGACAAGCCTCCTAAACTCCATGATAAAACCACTTCCATGAAACCTCGTCAAGATGATCGGACAAAAAGCAGCCAGCTGGCGTTATCCGGTAACAAGCGAGGAAAGACGACGTCTAAGAAGAATACACATGAAGACAATGAGTTTTCATATGACGACGCAATTGACTACCTAGATCTTACTCAGCCAACCAGGCCGCAACTATCAAAATGTTACCTGACAAAGCAGCCGCAGAAGCAGAAAGCCTCTGACCGCGAAGCAATTGACTCGAAAGCAACACGGATGGCTAATTTAGACATCCTATCATCACAGACTGCTTTTTTAAAGAGCAGTCCTACGCTTGACAAATCCGAGAGAAATATTGCAGGTCGGAGGCACTCGCATGCTCATCGAAAGCATTCTTCAAGTGAATATGATGACAGCAGCTTGGATGAGCTTTTCTCTCCGGCGAGGCCTGTGGCACAGGAGATTTCAAAATCCGATTCTAGACCAAAAAAGCTAGGTGACGCTGTTGATCCGGACGGCAGTTTTGATCAGAATGAGTATTTGAGCAACCCACACATTGCAAGGACTGAGCAACATGCTCCGAGTATATTTCAGACATCAGTTACAGACGTATCCAAAATACTTTCGAAAAATGCGCCTAACTCAACGTCATTCGACACGGAGATTGTGCTGCCGCAAGTACTGCATGAAAAGGACATGGATCTTGATGCCGAACTGAAGGCCAAATCACTGAAACGGAGAGCTGAGCCATTGAATAATATCACAAGTAGCAGCAAGAACATATCTAAGCGCCCGAAGACTGAGACACAGTCAGTCTCTGCCGACCAGGATAATGAAGCACGCCGTCATCACTTGGTTTCGTCAAGTGAGTTGCAAGCTAGCTCAATGGATCAATCGCGAGCTCAAGATGAAGATATTGATCAATTGTTGCTGCAAGAATTTGGGGACATAGTCAATTTCTCCGGGATTTGACGTGTTCATCCTGCAGCCCATTCGTCATGGAAGGAAAAATTTGCTTGTGCACTTGAAAGAAATAAACTGCATAGGTAACTATCCTATATATGTAAGTAATCTCGCGACAGGAGCCTGCGAAGAAGCCATGAAAACATCTCGGGTATCTAACATTATAATGAGCTGTATCTCACCTAAATATATATTACAGGTTGTTTAGTAGTATACATATAATTTAACTTAACACAATTTGACAATGTTAAGCCTGGTTGACCTTTTTTTCAGAGCCAGATTGTGGTTCAGCATGCAATTAAAACCCTATATCTTCGATTCGCGGCGAGCACGCAAGCCCTTGAGGCGCAGTCGACCGGTCCTATGTTTTGACTCTGGCTCTGGCTCTGAGTCTGAGGGCAAAGATTCTGGTGCTTTAAGTCCAACTGGCTGGATAGTCCCATCAAACCCAGTGGCTTTCATAATAGACCACCGAACAGCATTAATACCAAGATAGCTCTTGTCAACAGCCGCATTTACTTTTCTTGTTGCGCAGCAGCTGAGAATCTCGCCCAGCGCGCCGGGGCCTTCCCCCATACTTGGATCAGGTTGAACAGTCGACCTGACATCTTCGAGTAATTTTTGGAGTCTTTCAAGTCTCACTCCGCTGACGGCTCGTTGGACATGGAAGTCTGTCAGTTTCTTCGATTTGCTGGAGAGAATACGGTCAACTTTGGAGATGATGATTTGATGCGAGATTCCATATTTGCGGAGTAAGGATAAGATTTGATTATCGGTGTCTTTGAAACCATGCAGCAGGTCGATGAGGACGTACGTTCGTCGGAGTCTGCAATATTCGCTGTCAATCAGGTGCTTTAAGCATGCTTGTCTGCAAGGGATGGGGCAAAGACGCACTGTTTACGTTTTTGCAAATATTTCATAATCTCCACACCTTGTGCACTTTGACTTGCCTTGCCGTATCCGGGCATGTCGAGCAAGACAATCTTCGATTCCCCCCCTTTTGTACCCCCAATTCCAAAGGCATTCATTATCTTCGTTCTACCCGGTGTTCCAGAAGCATAGCATATATCCTCGCCCAATATGGCATTAATGAGGGAGCTTTTTCCGACATTCGAGCGTCCCAAAAAGGCTACTTCGGGCTCCTTGGAATCTCCGGGGATGGTACGAAACTGCGCCGCTGAGAATAGCTTCACGGGTGAATGGCGCGAAGGGGCGAAGAAGCGCTGGGCTGCTTGAAGGTCTGATTGTAGGGGTGGTTCGGTGTCCCAATATGCTGCTAGGTCAGTTGGTTTGAGGTCGTCGAATATTATGCGTCCAGGTGCTTTCCTGTCGCTGGTTTGCGACTTGGTTGTTGTTGATTGAAGACATCGCTTTTGCTGTTGATGTTGCTGTTGCGATATTCGCGATCCTGTGCCGTAGAGTCTGTGTGCTGATAGCAAGGGTGGTTTCCTCATTGTTATGGAAGGTTCTAAGACTGAAATCACTAAGCTATCGGTTATATCAGAAATGCAGGACGGAGTTTGGAAGGTTTGGCAAAAAAAGCTCCGGCGCTAATACTGATCCGCCGCAGTAGTTCCCCGCTGCATCATCATCGACAATCTTGAACAGCTGAAGAATCAAATCTGTTGCGCATCTCTTATATATTGTTAAATTATCTTGATTGAACTCTGCCAGTCAAGATGATTAACGCTGTTCTGGTGTTTAATAACACGGGACAGCCACGTCTGACCAAGTTCTATACACAGCTTGTACGCTATCCTACTTCTGCTATGAACCTCGTGTCTAATGGCAAGCAGGCGCTTATGAAGAACTGACATGCCATATAGGATACTCAAATCCAGCAAAAGCTCATCAAACAAATATACGACCTCGTCTCTCAACGCCCTCCGTCGGCATGCAACTTCCTCCCTTTACCTCCTATCCTATCGCAAGGCGCAAGCTCCAAAGCAGCCAGCGGGCCCTCCGATGCACCAACACAAATCACATATCGTACATACGCTACTCTCTCATTTATCATGATCTCGACATCCACCGAATCACCGCTCGCGCTGATCGACCTTATCCAGGTCTTTGTCGAGGCGCTCGATAGACTGTTTCAGAACGTGTGCGAGTTGGATCTTATATTCGGATACGAGACACTGCACGCCACGCTGAGCGAAATGATAGTTGGTGGCGTCGTTATTGAGACGAATCTAGATAAGATCGTGGCAGGGGTTAAGGCTCAAGAGGGCTCACGAGGGAAAAAGACTGCGATTGATGCCGCTAGTTCGGTCGGGATACCGGGACTGGGGTCTTGGAGATGATGGGTTGTACTATATATGGGTTACGATCACTTTGCATTTCTAGCGACATGTAAATTTAATGCACTTTCAATGAATATGAGATACCAAGAGTCGGACTCATCTTGACGCAGGACATGGCGCACGTGAGAGATGCAGATAAGGGCTAGCCCTAATCTACCCTCCCTAATAAGGGATAGCCGCGTTGTGGATAGTCTGTCCATATTATTGGCTCAGTGGGCGCACAGACCAGACCCACTGGGTTCGCTTATTGTTCGCGCACGGAAACTTATAACTTCCTCGACAGCCGCTTGGATTATTTCTTCTCTTCTTCGTCCCCCTGTTAAGTCAACACAGTGCATATCCAGCACCCGACCATCGCCAATCGACAACATGGTAAGCTAGACACTTCACAATGACTCCGCAAGAGTCTTCCCATGAGCTCTCAGAGAGATCCAATTTCCTCTGCATTGAGATGCACGTCTCAATCGACCAAAGACGCCAAAAGTCTTTAGGCAAAGCAATTCCGCCAATGCTTGTCTACAGATGATGAGTGTTTTTTCTGCAAAGAAACATCCTCTTCACTGTGGACAGCTTGGTGATGATTTGGCTTGAGCCATGAGTTCGTTTTATGTGCAACGGCAGAAATGTCTTGCAGTATTGCGAATTCGTGTTGCTCTCTAGAGTTCAAAGAAGATTACAGCATGTGGTGGAACACGATTTGCTGATTTCTTCTTTTCTCAATGACAGCCTCCAAAGGGTAAGAAAGTTGCTCCCGCCCCCTTCCCTCAGGGCAAGGCCGGTGCCAGCAAGAAGACCAAGGTGAGTCCAAAAATTTTTTTTAGCCTCGTTCAATAAGTATACGTCGTTGCTAACAATACCTAGAACCCTCTTATCGAGTCCCGCTCCCGCAACTTCGGTATCGGCCAGGACATCCAGCCTAAGCGCAACTTGTCCCGCTTCGTCAAGTGGCCCGAGTACGTCCGTCTTCAGCGCCAGAAGAAGATCTTGAACCTCCGTCTCAAGGTCCCTCCTGCCATTGCCCAGTTCTCCAACACCCTCGACCGCAACACCGCCGCCCAGACCTTCAAGCTTCTCAACAAGTACCGCCCTGAGTCCAAGGCCGAGAAGAAGGAGCGTCTCCTCAAGGAGGCCACCGCCGTTGCCGAGGGCAAGAAGAAGGAGGATGTCTCCAAGAAGCCATACGCCGTCAAGTACGGTCTCAACCACGTTGTCGGTCTTGTTGAGAACAAGAAGGCTTCTCTTGTCCTGATTGCTCACGACGTTGACCCCATTGAGTTGGTTGTCTTCCTGCCCGCTCTTTGCCGCAAGATGGGTGTTCCTTACGCCATCATCAAGGGCAAGGCTCGTCTCGGAACGGTTGTCCACAAGAAGGTTTGTTCTGTCTTGTCCTTGTTAACTTGAGTGTACTGTTCTAACTCCTTTGTCAAGACCGCTGCTGTCGTTGCTCTGACCGAGGTCCGCTCCGAGGACAACTCCGAGTTCTCCAAGCTCGTCTCCGCCATTAAGGAGGGTTACTCTGACAAGTACGAGGAGAACCGCCGTCACTGGGGTGGTGGTATCATGGGTGCCAAGGCCAATGATCGCCAGGAGAAGAAGCGCAAGGCTGTCGAGGCCGCCATCAAGATTTAAACGAAGCCTTGATGAGTGAACGTCCAAAGAAAAAATGAAAAAGTTTTTCTTTTTGGCTGTGATTTAGCTTCGACAGGTTTATCTATCTGTTGGTCTATCATTGCCTTTTTTTTATAAACAAAAAAAGTTGCACCTTAAATGAAGAGATGACCTTCACATGTTTCTTTTCTATTTCCTTACAGATACCCCCTTCATACTACCGTTAAATGCCAATTTTTCCTTGATGCTTGGATCAAGGTTATGAAAGTCTCGCCTGTATGCAGTAAGGAATCAATGGATTAGTTAGGTTTGTCTTTGTTTCACAAAAGGGTTGTAAATGTCCAAGAAGCAGGCGAGTAAAGTATTTTGTGCGTGAAGGAATAACCGACTTATCCACTTTGTACACACGTTCAGCTTAGCTTTAGACTTACGCTACGCTCTATCTAAATCCAGCTGGCCAACGCCACACCTGCACCATGCATAAGGCATGACCATGAGTTATATAGACGCTTATTGAAATGAGACCAAAACTCCTCAATCTGTCTGGTGAACCAAATCCAGTAGCATGATTAAATAGATAAGATTAAAACTCGAGAAAAAAAAAAATAAGACAAGAAAAGCTGATATGTAGTCCAGTCCCGCCAATCAGCTCCAGAAAAGAAAAATATACACCGTCAGGAAAAGAAAAACCGCCCCATTCATTGCAAGTATGAGCGGGGAAAGGAACACGCCCTTCTGAGAAAGAGTAAAAGAAAAAGTTTCGGTCGTAGACAGTCATTGCATTGGGGTATCTTTTTCTTCCATACAGTTCTGATAAAGATTGATATACCTAATCTAATATTTTAATGGGCCGATGGCGGAGGCCGGGAGAGACCTTGTCGAGCCTGCTTGGTATATGTTGTTAGTTTGAAAGCCAGGCAAAAAGGGACGGGAAATAAGAAGCTAGCCTACCTTCATCTGTTCGATTCTAGCTTTTAATTGACTTGTTACTTCTGCTGCTCGTTTCCAGTTTTCGGCTGGTTCGGCGGATCGGGTCGTTATAGACGGTTGTTCCTCGCTATTATTGCTACTGGCTGATGCATAGCGAGCGGTAGGTCGGCTAGGGCTGCCTCTGCTTGAAAGACTCTGTCCGATGGGAGGACTGAATTTCCTGCGACCAAAGGTAGAATCCAGATTCGTTTCTGCGGTGGGTGAACCAAACCCGTTGTTTTCCTTGTCTTCGCTTGGGCTGGAGACGTAGCTTGGAGGTCGAGTGCTTTCTAATCGCGAACTCATATAATGTCCATGACGGGAGCCATTGCTGTTATAGGTACCGGTGTCGGGCGAATAGGGGCCATTGTCTGAGACCCCAGTGTTGAGACCATCCGAAAGGACAGTTGGGGGACTCATCGCTGAGGCGCGCACCGCCCTAGCCAGTTCACGCTTGAGACGTTCAATTTCACGTTGTTGTTTCTGGACTGTTTGTTCCGCCGTCTCTGCATCACTGCGTGCACGTACTAACTGCGTTTCTTTCGCTTTGATGCTCAACACATCTCTCGTATGATCCTCGATCAGTTGTGCATTCTGGTTTTGAAGCTCTGTGACTTGAGACGTAAGCTTCGTCTTGTCTGATTTTAGGTCGTCGTTCATCCTCGAGAGGCGGTCTCGCTCGAGGCGAAGCTCTTCTAATTCGGCACGCTCAACTGCTGCGAGACCAGACACGACAGGTGCGGGAGCGGGTGCCACCTCTGTTGACGCCGCCGCAGGCTTGCTGATTGGGCGACCTGCCAGGCCACGTCCTAAACCGAATTTTGGCTGTGCTGGCGCCGGCGTCGGCGGAGCGTCATCAAGAGGCGGAGAGGATACACGACGCTTAGGAGATCCTTGAGAAGCTGCTGCGGCACCGCCAACACCGGGAATACGTCGCTGCATCTTCAATCCAGAACCAGGAGTAGCCAGACCTGGCTTGGGAATACCACCCGGGCGTGCAAGTCCGGGCTTGGCCACAGCTTTTGGTTTCGGGGGTGGAGATGCCTCTTCGGGGGGGGGTGCAGCAACAGGGGCAGCCTTTTTCAACCCCAGAGCTGGTTTCCTTGCGCCTGGAGCGGCAGTCTTTTTTGCAACCGGCGCGGGTTTAGGAGGTGCGATGATCGGCTTGGGGCGATCCTTGGCCTTGACTTCGGCTGTCTCGAAATACTCTTTGATCTTAGACTTCCTAATCTCGTCTAAGCCATCAAGGTAAGGGTTCATCGCTCGTTCGCCCATGATTTTCATCAGCGTTCCTAGAATCTCTGCAGCACCCGATCGTGTAACTTCGCTCGACTCTGTAAGTAATCTGATGGCGGCTTCCGCTATTGACTTCACTTCAGGTTTCGCGGGCACATCGCGGGTCGTTCTTAGGCACCTAATTAGAAACTTCAGGGTTTCTTGTTTGACTTGCGGGTTCTTGTGTTTCAAGAATTCAAATATATCCTCCAGGCATTCAGATAGACTGGTAGAACCGAACACGGAATCCAATGCTTGGCCCAATGCGTCGGCAACGGACTGCTTCTTCTCTTTTAGACGCTCCATAATCGGTGCCATGATTGACGAGCGGTATTTTGCAAATGCAGAACGCAGTCCCTTCGCAAGCAAGTCGACGCAATTAGCAGCGACTGTAACGACTGCAACATTTGCATCCTTCATAGATTTCGCAAGTGCCTTCACAATCTCGTCGAATGGTCCATCCTGAATTCGAGGAACATTGAGGGCAGTATACAATTCATCCAATGATTCTTTCCTGTCCTTCCACTTTGTCGAGCTTAATTGTTCGTGCAGATTTTTTGGTACTTTCGGCATCACGTCGACAGGCTCTGCGAGGTCGAATTGGTCCATATCACCCCCGTCATCTTCTCCGTAATCTTCCTCAGCCTCACCGGCATCATCCCCACCGGCTGCGGGCGCTGCAGCCATTGACTCCTGTTGTGCCCTCGTTAATCGCTCTTGTTTTGGTGGAGCCTCTTCTTTAACCTTTTCGAATAGTTTGTCCAGATCCTGTTGTTGTACTGGTTTCAAATCGTTCCAGAAAACAGGCTTCATGGCCTCTTTAAGCCACCGGTAAAGCTCTACACTTAGATTCTGTGCTTCAGCACGGACATTCTTATCAGCATGCCCAAAGACTTTGGGTAGAATTTTCAGGACAGGTTTCGGGTCAACAAGCTTGCAGCCGTAATTATGATATATAGCTGTGATAGCAGCCAGGCCTGCGGCGACCACTTTTGGTTGCTTGGCTGATAAAACGGGGAGTAAATCTTCTATGACGGGATCGGATTTGTCGAGTTCTATGCACAGCAAGAGAGCCTCAAGCGCATTTGCCTTCGCAGCAGGACGTGTCGAAGGAAGACCCTTTTCAGCGATGGCCGGGACCGCAACACCTCGCGACCTAGTTTCGAGTAAGGGTTAGAGATATAGATGCTTACGTGTGTACAAGACGATGCGATGGATTACCTTGTGCAGGCCTGAACACCCCCATATTTCAAAAACGCGCAGTAGGCTGCTAAACCTTCTTGTTGGGCGGCAACGTTGGAGTCGGCAACAACGCCCTTCCACATGGAGGGATCTTGTAAGAATGGCGTGAATACGGGATCTGATTCATCTGGCGTCTTTTCAAACTGCTTGACTGCATCTTCATATCCTTCCTTCCTGACTTTCCAAACCTATAAGAATATCAACTCATACATCAGTTTTGCCGCCAGATAGCCCCACGGTAACAGGGCGGATTGACCTTGTGTGAAAAGCGATCTGCTAAGGGCAGAGACGAGAAATCCTCTTCGCCGTCAGCCATGTTTGCGGGTTGCAGGCAATAAAGGCGCTGCCAATATTTCTTTCCTGGAAGCCATTTACCCATCTTATTAGCACCTCATCGAAAGAGAACGCAGCAAAACGCATCAAATCAAGCCCTCTGTTTTCAGAGCGCCCTGGGGAGGGAGGGAAAGCGGTTGCGGGAAAAAAGAAGACGTCGGCGAAATCTGGTATTTACCTTAAAAACTTCTATAGCAGTGATTCGCGCAGTCTCTGCGAAACAGCTGGTGTCGGTCTTGCGACAACAGTCGGCGATTTGTCTAGTGTCAACGAGTCGAATCAACAAGTCGGGGCGGGGAGCGCCTTGAGTTTCGGGTCATGCGTTTGGCGGTCGAGGCAAGGGAGAGACAAAGGCGATGTTAGTATTTAGAAAGAAACAAAAAAGGACACAAGGACGCTCTCTCCCTGCATCAGTCGCTCTTTGTGTGTTTTGTGTTGTTGATGATGTCGGAGATGTCAACAAAAGTTCGTTTGGGTCCATCACCCAGGGGAACCAATGGCCGCCGGGCTTGGCGCCCGCGATGCTAACCCTAACCCTAGCAGCACTCGATTGTAACTTGTCACGACCATATCTATGGAGCTATTTGCATATATCAGTACATACTACGAACGTCTTGAGTAGTGGAGTGCTGGCTTATCGCTCGGCGAGGGCTTTTATTTCCACTCGGATCCGCAAGATCTAGCGGGGTAATTTGCGTTATTCCTCCTTTGCCCCTCCAACATCGATTTGTGAAGATATATCTCGCTACACTGCCTGGATATTATATACGCACATCATGTCAGATCCAGATCCTATAACTCAATTCTGCGAGGCTCTTGCTGAAAAAGCATCGCGAGATCCGGGGTTGCCAGTGCCCAACCCGACACCAGCATGTTGGCAAAGCGAGCCCCATGAACTCGCAAACCACCAGTCTGCAACGCTGCCAGCTGAGCTGGATGTTGCAATCATCGGCTCTGGAATAACCGGCATTAGCACAGCATACCATCTGCTGCAGCAACAGGCGAACCTCCGAGTCACCATCCTTGAAGCACGCAGTCTCACGTCAGGGGCTACGGGTCGAAATGGTGGACATTGTAAGGAGGATCCGTATGATGACTATATAGAGCTAAAAGAGCTCTTTGGCAAGGAAGGGGCCAAGAAGATCGTCAAGTTTCGGCTTGCTCAGCTGGATGCAATGGTGGAATTGGCCGGGAAACTGGGGTCGGATGCTGAGAAGTTGAGCCTACTAAGACGTGTGGACAGCTTGGATGTCTTTTATGATGAAGATTCTTTTGAGCGTGTCAAAGAGAAAGTTGCGGATTATCTTGAGGATTTTCCAGAGCAGAAAGACGTGTGGCTAGTCCACGAGGGAAGCGATATGAATGAGGTTTGTGTTACTTGAGAACTCTTGTTGCTTGTTGCCTGGCACTCATCATTCACAGAAATTCGGTACCATCAATGCTGCTGGATGCATCACAGGTCCAGCCGGTGCTCTCTGGCCATACAAGCTGGTCGGTGCTGTAACAACGCACATTTCAAACCGAGAGTTATACCCGAACGTGACAATTGAGACACACACCCCCGTTGAGAATATATCTACAACGGATCACACCGATTACCCATTCGTGCTCAAGACCTCTAGGGGTGACCTCAAGGCAACACATGTCATTCACTGCACAAATGGGTTTGCGGCCCATCTACTCCCAGGGCTTAGGGGGAAGCTATATCCCATTCGCGGGCAAATGACACGACAAGCTGCCGCACCGGCGTTTCCGCGATTGGGGGACCGTCGTTCATGGATATTGCATTATAATTTGGGTTATGATTACGTTACTCAGTCGCCTAATTCGACGGGCGATATCTACCTCGGCGGTGGCTTCCTGAAGGCCCTCGTTACAGGCCAAGTATCAGTTGAAGATGCCGATGTTGGTAGTATCAGAGACGACCTACAAAACGAAACAGCGCTTGCGACGATTGAAGTTGCAGTTCAAAAGCGACTACAGCATGGGAATGGGACGCGTGTCGTGGATAGGTGGACTGGCATTATGGGGTTCACAATAGACAACAACCCAATCGTCGGGAAGATTCCATATGAAATATCTGAGAGGAAACCAGCGTCGGGCAAAGGCAGGGAATGGATAGCCGCAGGGTTTTGTGGTAACGGTATGGTCAATTGCTGGCTCACGGGAAAGGCGATTGCAGAAATGCTTCTGAAGGGAGAGGATGCAGTGGAGGACTGGTTTCCCATCGAGGAGTACGCATGTTCCCCGGAGCGCCTGCAAAAGACGGCGTTGGTTGATAGATTTTTGTCGTTTGTCAGAGACGGTGTTGTGTGAGCTGTATATTTATAGATACGTGTATGCATCTAGACAGTGGACGAAATATCTCGTCAAGTCCACCTGGGTGAGAACCAATCTGCAAGTCTATTAACTTTTGAAGGAAAAAAGTAGATATCCATATGCCCGTGGGGGGAAAAAACGAAAGAAAAGCATAAAAAGAAGACATAACCATCCCGCATTATATACTATCTTTGGCCGCTGCTGCAACCGCCCTCTCTAATTGAAGATACTTCTCTTCAGCTCCTTTGATGCAAGCAATGTTTGCACCCAACTTATTCAAAGTCTCCACGTACTCATCGTATTCATCGGAGTCAAAGACTATACCTCCGCCCGCTTGTAAATATGCCACGCCGTCCTTGACAAGCATCGTTCGCAGTGCAATACAGGTGTCCATATCACCAGCGATCGTACATGATCCATCGGCACTGACCCTATCGTAGCCAAAATATCCGACTGCTCCTGCATAGACTCCACGTTTCTCGCCTTCCAGTTCACTGATCAGCTGCATGGCGCGCACTTTGGGGGCTCCAGAGACAGTTCCTGCAGGGAAGATGGAACGGAAAGCATCGAATCGGGTCTTGCCCGGTCGAAGTACACCGGATACTTGAGACACAAGGTGCTGGACATGCGAGAATTTCTCGACGACCATAAGCCGATCAACCTGAGTGGTCATGGGGTCGCATACTCGGTTGACGTCGTTTCGAGCTAGATCCACGAGCATCACGTGCTCGGCACGGTCTTTCAAACTTCCTCGCAGCTCAGCAGCAAGCGCTTCATCTTCCTCGGTGGTTTGGCCTCTTTTGACAGTTCCAGCAATTGGATGGGTGATGATGCGGCCTTTTTCCTCCCTGACCAGAAGCTCGGGGCTGGCACCTACAAGTTGGAAGTCGGTGCAGTCAATATAGAATAGATACGGAGACGGATTGACTGAGCGAAGGTGTCGGAAGAGGTTGAAAGGGTGGAGCGAGGTTGGGCGGGCTAATCTCTGTGAAGGGACAGCTTGGAATATGTCGCCAACGTTGATGTGCTCCTTAAGTTTCGTCACATGGCTCTCGTAGCCTGCCTGCCCAATGTTTGATGTGTATTCCTGGTTGGGGATAATGGGTTTCTGCAGAGGGAGAGGAATGTTTGGCTGTGAAAGGATGTCGATCTTCTCCTGCAAAATTCGCTGGCCTTTGCGATATTCCGCCTCCAGATCCGAATCGTTCTCGGGGATAGGGATATATGTTATGATTTTAACGACCTGGAAAAAGTGGTCAATGGCGACTATGGTGTCGAAAAGCATGAATAGAGACTCCGGGACACCGAGCACATCCTTCAGCGGCCGTGCTGTTGTCGGTTCGAAGTATCGGATACAGTCGTATCCTACGTAGCCAATAGCACCTCCGGTCAACGGAGGCAGTTTCAGGCCGGGTACCGTTGCACTGCGAAATTGGCTAAGCTCTTGTTCGAGAATTGGCAGAGGGTCGCATTCCGGGCCATGACCAAGGCCTGTTTTGATAACTTTCCTGGGGTCTAACATCACAGTCAATCAGCCAATCAATCAATCCATGGGTTCACCTAAACGCTTCAGTGTGGTGTATACCTGCTCCAACGAAACTGTATCGCCCTATTGTCTCCGTAGTAGCGGCACTTTCGTACAAGAATGATTGTTTCGAGCTGGTTTTGCGCATGTGTTAAAATGTGGAAGAGACCCAAGCAGCAGAGACGACGACTCAGACTCACTTGGCGGCAATTCTCAGATAAGCAAGTGTGGGAGTCAGGAGCTCGCCCGGAATGGATGTCGTCAATGGAAGAAGATTTGGAGGGTTTGCGGAGTTTCGTGCCTTAGCGATAACGTCGCGTGCGACCTCCAGGGAGGGCACTACGGTGGCCTGAACACGGCGTCAGTACGCATTGGCCGCGGCGATCTGAAAACGATGTGAAATGACTGACCGGTATAGACATAATGTGGCGTTCTATGTGTTCTTCCAAGGGTAAGGCTCGGTGGATAGCGACAAAAGGTCCTACCGACCAACACAAGGCATATTACCGCGAGACGAAGCCAATTGATTCTGTTGCTCGGTACGAGAGCAGTAGTCAATGCACTGATCTAAGGATCAAGAAGGGATTGTTTGAATAAAAAAACAATGTCGGTTGTCTGCCCCGGTGGTGAGTCAGAATCATGGCTATCTCAACCCGCAGAATATATTTAGGTATTCACTCACCGCCAACGGGCAGCCCCGCCCTGGGGATTTTCCATCTAGTAAGTACTTACATTGTAACTATCCAGTGTCCAAACACTGTGCAGAGTAGAAAAGACTTGTTTATCAGGAAATAAGCCCTCGATTACCATGGAGAGTTTGACTAGAAGGAGTATCTGATTACATTCTACGTTCATTGAGCACAGCCGGAAAAATAGCTCCCTTCAGCAGATATCTCAGAGGAGTGGATTTATCCTCAAATCCAACTGCCGAGTTGGCTAGCAGATATAGAGGCTGGCCGATTTGAAGCCTGATAGTAATATTCTATCTACTGTCGCTCGTTCCTAAAGGTAAATCCACCCTTGAAACATGGCGCTACTCCAAGTCCTAAACGTAGTGAGTATTGCGAGCTAGTAGAATCAAACTCACAGTTAGGGCCTAGACCAGTCGTTTACACCGTGCACTCTGAATTATAACTTAATAGTGCATCTAATTCTTGAGTGAAAGTAGAGACACGCCATAAAACTGCATATCATGGCGAATAGTTTTAATACCTCGGTTATGCAGATACTAATTGCAACCATCTGTAAGCTGTGTTGGCTAATCATAATAAGATTTTAGTGGTGGACCACTTTTGTTCAGCATCCAACATTTCAATCCCGGTCAGGCTCCTTATCACCATCCACCACTTATGCTGGTTCAAATAATGCCAACAATCAACTAGCTGAGCCCATCTTCTATTCTCCTTTTTGCCTCGCTTGGAAAGCACGGGCCAAGCGCAGTCCTACCAAAATGGCTGCTAATAATGAGGGTGCAAAGCCACTTATCGTCTTCGCCTGTCCGACAGCATACGGACATACAATGCCGCTTCTCCCACACGCTACCCACCTGGTCAAACAAGGATACAATGTATCTTTCGTGGGCGGCGCCGACTTTGAGGCTGTCATCAGGAAAACTGGTGCAGCCTTCTACCCGACAGAGAATCCCTACACGCCCGAAGCTTTCCAGCAATTCTTCAAGATCCCTGATGAACAGGAGGCCTTTTTCTGGAGCATCAAGGCGTTTTTCATTGACACTACCCCGGAGCGAATGAGGGCATTGACGGCGGTGCTGGAGGAGCTCCGGGAGAAGCATCCAGGCCAGGGCGTGGTTATTGTCCAGGAGATAGGATTCATGGGCACCTTGCCGTACGCATGTGGTGCACCACCCCCAAAGGGATACGACCGCTTTCCACCAGTCATTGGCTTCGGAACCGCGCCATTGGTTGTCTCAAGCATTGATACTGCGCCATTTGGACTCGGCATCCGGCCGGATTCAAGCGAAGCGGGTCGTGCTCGTAACGCTGCCATGTATGAGGCTATGAAGGCCAAGCAGGAGGAGCTGAGCGAGTATGCCACCTCTGTGTACGCAAAGCTTGGTGCTACCGACAAAGTGACAGAGCCACTCTTCGACCACTGGACCACAAGCTACGATATCTTTGTGCAGCCATGCAGCCCAAGCCTGGAGTACCCGCGCAGCGACCTATCGCCTAAGATAAACTTCATTGGCGGCACTCCACCCAAGGAGATCGACCCGTCAATGCCACTGCCTCTATGGTGGGACGAGCTCAAGACAAACAGGCAGGCTGCAAGCCCGAAAAAAGTTGTCTTCATAACCCAGGGCACTATTGCGGTGGACTACAACGCGCTATTGATCCCTACTCTCAAAGCGCTTGCAGACAGGGATGACCTCATTGTCATTGGTGTCCTAGGCGTGAAAGGCGCCAAACTGGACGGATTCAAGATACCCAGCAATGCAAAGGTTGTTGACTATCTGATGTACGAGGCGGTGCTACAGTACGCCGACGTGTTCGTCACCAACGCAGGATACGGTGGCTTCATCTCTGGCGTCATGCATGGTGTTCCCATGGTGTGGGCTGGAAGAGGCCGTGAGTTTATCATCATCTTCTTTGTAGGATATAGATTGCTTACCATTGTATTTCATCCAGAGGACAAAGCCGAGGTGTCGATGCGCGGCGAAATTGCTGGAATTGGCGTCAATCTGGAGACTGACCGGCCCAGTACTGAGGCCATTCGGGATGGTGTGGACAAGGTGTTGACGGACAACAGTTTCAAGACTCGCTGCTTAGAGGTTCAGCGCGAGAACCAGAAGCTCGACTGTATAGGCCAACTAGAAAGGATCATCAAGGAATTAAGCGCTGAGACGTGATTGTAATTGGCATATAGACTGCATCGGTATAGATTTCAGCAAGAGAAGAACGAAGAATGATAGATATGAGGTACTGGATGCCTGAGGCATTAAACTTGAACACATGTGACACCGCCGCTGTTTACATAAATTTGTTTACCTTCTCTACCTTCCTGAAGGAAAAAACAGCTGCAAGCTCTTCTCGCCAACAAGAATATTGCACAATAGCTGTCGCCCGTATTTTGGAAAGCGACATACAAATGGACGATCGGTACCGCTAAGCAGAGTCTGCTGTTTGTTGCTGTCGCAAAATGATGAATACCGCATCTCCGCATTCCCGAACGCATCGCCTATCGCCGTCATTCACCGACTCCGCCATTGACGTAGAACTGTCGGATTCTACACAGAGTGACGAAGACTCGATTCCCATTTTCCCTGCTGCGCAATTTTCGCTGGCCGAACGGCTATCTTACATTACTCATCTTGCTTCTGAAAACTCATTGCGAGGGTACACCGTCGACGAGCGCGCCGCAATCAACAAATGTCTGGGTGATTTGGAAACTTTACTACTCGATCCACGACCGGGGATCAGTCGCGTCATTGCCCTGAATCGACCGCCTAGTCCGAGCTCAGCAGGTCCGCCTTCAAGAAGTGCGACTCCCACTCCAATTCCTACTACAACGCCCACCGCAAATTCAGTGACCACCCGTCGCAAAGAGGCTGAAGATGTTGTTTCTCGGGAGAGAAACCAAACCATCACAGAGCAGACATCTGCCGGTTTGCAATCTGTTTTGGGTGCGCTTTCAAGCGTGAATGAAGAACTACAGCAACGATACCTTGAATCTCGGCATATCCACGATCTGTTTATTGTCAAATGCGAAGGGTTGGCGCAGCGAATTATAGAATTGGAGAATGAAGTGCATGAATTGTGAGTACTACTCATATATACACTTTTGTAATTGATTATATCTGTTGTATGACTTTCAGAAACTGACTTCAGGGATAATTTGCGAACTAGGAAATCTGATATTTTGGAAGACACGATTGAATTGGAAGGACTCCGGGGCACTATTCGCGGTCTCGAGAGTTGGGTTAACAGATGGCAGCGTCAGCGCGAGATTACCATCGCATCATCAAATCCTCCCTCACGCCGGCGGCAAAGGGGTTCCTCCTCCTCTTCTTCATGGAGATGGAAGAAGAAAAAACAATCTACGAACCATGGCCATGAGCAGGATGTCGCGGAGGAAGAAGAAGAAGATTTCGATGTGTTTCTGGATGGAGTCTTGGCTTGGATGAGAGGCTGGAATGACGTTGAAGAAGGGTTTCTTGTTCGCGCTCGAAGACGAAAGATGAGACGAGATCAAAAGTCATCCATTACCTAGCCATTGGTAGTTGCTAGGTATTCTGAGATCTGTAAATAAACTTGTTTCGTGGTACATATCATTTTAGTATTCTCCTGCGATAGTAAGAGCAACCCATCAGTTATATATATCTATCGAAATTTCTAATTCTATACCTTGGTAGAACCCCATCCCTATAAAAAAAAAAACTAAAATAAAGTAAATAAGCCTATCTAATTTATGCCTCGTATATAAAAACGTGTAAAAGGCCAATGCAATGCTGCAAACTCCCCAAACCGCCATTTCCGAAATATGAAACACCTTTCAGTATGCGAACACGACCAGCAACCAAAAATGGGGGGAAAAAGGGATTAAAAAAACAGTACCCGCCGTTATTTACATTATGACATTCAATAAATTATAAAAACAAGCTTTTTCTTTACTTTGCCTTCTTGGTTCATGATGCCTGCATGCCAAGGCTTGTAAGGCAAGACGTCCTCCTGAAAGAAAATGAATCAATGGATCAAGGAAGAAGAAGAGGGACAAGGGTATCAGCTGATTCGCACGACCTGTGCAAAACGATCTCTGTCGCAGATACAAAAATTCCGTCGATATTAAAAAGAATATCGTAGGCTGTCTGCTATGATGAAATGGCCGGAGCATCTATTATGTATTATTTCATCTTAAGCGATGTTATTTTGTATGCTCCGGCTCTTCAAGAGACGAGGATTTGGAATCGAGAGAAAGGGGTTTTTTCTCCTTGAATAGATTGGCAGCTATTCAAGGACGTTCACGCCCCTTCCTTGAAGGTTGACAATTGCCATCTGAAAGACAGTCTATTAATGTCCACTCTTTCTCTTTTCTTTCATATTCGTATTTGCTATGAAAATGAACTTACCTTTTTCCCATATCCCATTGCAAGCTTTTTCCCATCCGTATCCCACGCAAGACTGCGATAAGCCTCAACGGCTGCAGAACCATTCTCTCCATTCAGAGGCTTCTCTAACGCGTCTTGTGTAAATTCCGTCGTCGGGCATAACCATGTGGCAAGTGGTTCATTTCCGCGGTCCGTATTCCATATGAACAGTCTATCGGTACTAGCAGCCGAAACTGCGTATCCGTCTGGAGAGAAAGCTAACGCGAGTGCAGGAACTCCCGGAGACAGAAACAAGGTGTGAAGGCAACTGATCTTTTTCGATTCTAAATCCACGTTCCACACCTTGACAGTATCGTCGAGTGAAGCTGAAGCAAATGTGAATACAGTGCTAGTATCTGCGTCTTGGGCTTGGGGTTCAGGACGAAGCTCAATAGCTGTGATATCGGCACGATGTGCGTCCTCAACAACGATTCCATGTGTCGGAATCCAGAGACTAGCAGCGGAAGATGCAGCGGCGACGGCAACTGCGGCATCGCCAATTTTGGTACCCCGAACAAAGGACCATTCCGTGCTTGACTCCTGAGATTGGAAACGGTTCACAATATGTAATGTCGAGTCGATTTGACACTGCCACACCGAGCCCTCTCCAGAGACGAAGATGTGGTTGTCGCCTGCCCACGTGATGTCGTGAACGAGCCCGTCGATGGTTTGGTATGATGGAAATTCCTCAGGTTTGATGGAGTCGTCCCAGAGTGAAAGTTCTGAATTCTCGCCATTGGACGAAATCACAACCATATACGTCCCTTTGGGAGCCCAGTGCAGTCCGTTTATCATGCCAGGCGCAGTTGGTAGCAGGTCGACCACACTGCCGCTGCTATCGTACATTTGGATGGACGAGCGTCGGTCGTTGTAGGTGGCGGCAGCGAATTTGCGGCCCGAGGGCTCCCAGGCCAAGGCAGTGACCCAGCTGCCATCGCCTTTGCTGTCGTAGATTTTCTCGCAGCTCGCCGGCGATCCCGGCGCTGCCAGCTTCCACAGGCCACAGAAGGTGTCGCCGGCCGCGGCAAGTATTGACGAATCATAGGGTCGCCACGCCGTCCGCGTCACGTGATCGTCACGGGCCACCTCGATGTCGAGGATCGTGGTGTGGGAACTAAGGTCCGCGGCCTTGGCGGGGACATATTGCACGCCGACACTCCTTCCCGCCGTCAGCGTATCCTGCGCCGTCTCTAGTCTCTCGTCAGCTGCTGGACTGAGTTTCATTTCCAAGTCGCCCTCTGCATCTGCGACCGCGGTGGACGACGGAGATTTCACTGCCGGAGGACGGTCATGGCTTGCGCCGTTGGTATCAATGTCCATCGCGCTGTCGTCGCCGTTGGCAGCGACATCGATGCGATGCGTCTTGCGCCCTTTTTTTACGTTGAGGACTGGTAGCGCAGGCTCGATGGCGGCATGGCCGTTCGTTGTGGCCCTGCTGTCTTGAACTGGCTTGCTTGTTAGAGGCCCGGCTGGCGCTGTCTCTGTGCCGAGCTCCATTTGCGCTTTAATGCTCTTATCGCGCGCCTTGAGCGATTCGGTGTCGAGTGGTGTTGGCCCGAAAAATGATTTGGATGGTGTAAAGGGAATAGGATTTCCTTCCTGTAACAACGCGTAAGAAACCCGATGTGCTGGTCTTTGGCGACAGTCAAACCGTTACATACCTGGTCGAGTGATTGTTCGATCTCATGATATTGTAAACCTTTTTGTACCAGAGACACTAGGGCGTGTGCTTTTATATGAGGAGCAAAAGGTAGCGTTTGTGGATTAGCGAGCCATGCTCGTTGTAGCATGACAGCAGCTTCTCCATGGCCTGTGGTCTTGTTAGAAGATATCGCAATCAAATACTAAGAATAATCGAATGTGAAGAAAATCATCATCGATATTTTTTCCCCACTCGAGTCTAATCATTGCGCCGCAAAGACAGGGGCAATAATAACCAACCTGATTCTTGGAGATACCTATTAAGTGATGTTAAAAAAAAAATTCATACATGATGAACAATCCCAATTGCATCGAAAAACGTACCTCCATATTAGGTAATTTACGTGATGGGATGTCAGATCCATGATCACATCGGTGTCACTGGCTGTGCTTCGGATGAGAATTGTGCATGCCAGAACCCAATAAATACGGGTGGGCCGCACGGGCGCTACGTGCCTCTAGCAAATCCAAGAGACAGGCTGTAAAGCGCACGTTGTGCGCGTCAGACAGCAGCAGGATCGATGGGCTCGCACAGTTCGAGGTGCAGGTAGCAAAAAAATGGCAAGGGACAGACAGAACGACAACGGCTGCGCGGAGAAATGGCGCGAGCAGGAAGAGTGGAGTTTGCTGCGAGAGTTACTCACTCGCTGGTGCGAGCTTAAAGGCCAAAGAGGGACGATGACACGGCACGCACGGCAGTCAGTGAGGCGAAGCAGCGAGAGCTGGGATGGGATTGAAGATGATCGATGCAGGCCGCTGGAGAAAAGGAAGAAACATTCGACTGACTGCGACTAAGAATAATCGACGCCAGAGTGTGGCTTGAGATGCATGGGCTAAGGTTTCCCACTAAGCCGCATTCGAGCGAGCCTCTCCACGGTCCAGCCCAGCCAATGCGGATGCTTAGCTAGCTTACATAGCCCATGCTACATACCATGCGTAAACAATCCGATGCTGCATGGAATAGATATACATCGCTACACGCCGAAAGGAGACAGCAGCACCAGGCAAGCAGGACAACAACATCCATCGCCCTGGAGGATTCGCTGAGGCGCGGATCCGTAGGGTCACGTCGGGGACCCTCAGGCTACGTAGAGGGCTAGTCCGCATTGGTAAAAGTTCGCAAGTTGAAACTGCGGCCTCAGGCTGGCACGAACAGGGGGGGATTATTGTTCATCCGTCGCCGGGCCGAGACAAAACTTTGTTGGTCCCGTGATTGTGCATCAGCCGCCAACCAATAGCAGTCGCGTGCTTAGCAGTTATGAGGTTATGGGAACGGTAACTATGTGAAGGCTTCTCCCTGGGATGGCAATGAAGAAGCTCTCCATGATGTATCTCTAGAATTGCTTGGTTACGCTGTCAGTTCAAGCAAGGTTACGCCGAAGTTCGTAGATTAAAAACTCGCAAAACTGCCATGGTGAGCCTCAAGGTACTGTTTTCGCCTAAAGGCTAAGGCATCAACTAACGCTAACCGAAAAGGAAAAGCGGCCAAAACATCTAATCTAGACCAATGAAGCTTTCTGACACCTCCCTATAAGCTGAACACCTCGTTACTTGCGGGCGAACTCCAGGGAGTCGCATCGCAGCCACACGCTTTCACCCACCATGCCTCTCAGGGTCAATCTCCCCCCGGCGACGCGCATCCTCCTGATCAGTCAGTTAGCCCTCTCTTTTCTGTACAACGTCGCAAGATGGAGGCAACTCGGCGACGCTCCGCCTTCTGCACAGCATCCCAGCCCGATCGTTCCCTATCTCACTCTTGTTCCGTCGATGTTTTACTACTATCCATGGACTATCCTCACGGCAACCTTCGTGGAGCAGAATATTTTCACCGTATTGATCAACGGAGTTACGGTTTTCTACGGCGGGAAATACCTCGAGCGAGCATGGGGTTCTAGGGAATTTGGTAAATTCATTCTGGTCATCGCCCTCATTCCGAATGTCGCGATGCTTTTAATCTATATTTTCTGGGCTGCGGTCACTGGCAGCAGTCTCCGAGGGTACGCTTTTTGGATCTCCCCCGATGATGATTGTCTCTCTTCTTGCGCGGTGCCGTCTGATAACCCCATCATTCTCAGTCTGACCCAAATCTGCGGCGGCGTTGCGCTGCAGGCATCTTTCCTCGTCGCATTCAAGCAGCTCGTTCCTGAGCATACTGTTACGATTCTGAAGGGCATTGTCAAGATGCGGGTAAAGCACTTCCCTGCTATTTTCTTGCTTCTCAATACCTTCAGCGGAGTTGTCTTTGGCACCGATACGGCTGCGATCCTCGCTTGGCTCGGCCTTCTTGCTAGCTGGACATACCTGAGGTTTTACAAATATCAGCCCGATCTCACCGGCACCTCCACCAATGGCTTAGGTTTGAAGGGAGATGCAAGTGAGACCTTTACCTTTGCAACTTTCTTCCCCGATGTGGTACAGCCCCCGATTTCTTTTGTTGCCGATCAAATTTATGCCTTCCTTGTTGCATTGAAGGTCGTTACGCCATTCTCCGCCGAAGACATTGCCTCTAGCACCGAGAATGCTGTGGCCCGTGGTCAAGCCGGCCTTCCTTCGCTTTTGAGCAATGCTGGGGGCGGCATGAGAGGCATGGGCAAGCGGGAAGAAGCTGAACGCCGACGAGCACTTGCACTCAGAGCTCTTGACCAAAGACTTCAAGCTGCCACTGCCAGCAAGCCTCCCGCACTGTCTAGCCAATCCCCAGCCCCTTCGAATACCGCCGCGCCTACCGTATCTTCTGGGCAGAACATGCTTGGCGAAACTAGCTACACCCCCGATAATTCGTGAGTTATTATGTAGCGGAGTTTCGTACTTATCAGCCAGCGCTCCTTTTTTGGGAATTTATAATACGCCTGTGGCTTTCTATATATCTTTTCTACTTGAATGTGATACGATGTCTTTAAACATACTGTGTGATGCATAAGGGATTAAAATACGAGATGGCTGACGCAAAAGTAAACATAGCCCTGCACTTTTGCTTTCTACCTATTTTATTTTGCTCTATCATTCTTGGCCCCTTTACCAGGGCAGCATTTGGGGGCGTTTGTGGAGATACTATCTACTAGCGGGTACTGGAGTCTTCTATGCCATGTGTATTGAATGTATCTACTTTTTCTTGTGACCATCATTTCAACTCTTAGTGTTTTTGCTTTAATGGCAATACTTCAACTATGTATTCAAACACATCAAAGTTTCTAGGGACGGATTTGGTAACAGGGATACATTCTACAAGTTTTCAAAAGCTGGAGTCTGAAATTTTGCTTTATATATTCTAATGTACACCTGGAAGACTTGAAAGTCAAGACTCATTACAAAGAACAAGGGGGTATCAATCCCAAGGGAAAAGAGAAATGCATCTATAGCTGTCGAAGTTTCTCCACCTCTCCTCTGGCTTCTTGCAGCATACGCTCTTGATCTTTCTTCGCCTGCCTCAGGGCAGCCACGCGTACTCTGTCTGCTTCAGATTTGATATCCATCTTCCGGAAGTTCTCAAGATCTTCCTTGTCCTTGGCCGTAGCTACGATGTCGATAGCACCTGTAACATCTTTGACTTGATTCCAAATTTCTTCAAAATTATACTCCTTTATATTGAGCACTACCGTTTGCTCCGACTCGGAAGGCGCAGGCGCATGTTTATCTTCCAGGTCTGCATCGTGGTAAGCTTGCTTTTTGTTGGGTTGGCCCGTGAAAAAGATGGTGAGCGCCGCCGGTCCGTCCTGGTCATCGGTCTGTTTCACTGACATTTGTACAGCCGGATTATGGTATTTGAGTCGTGGGAGACAATTGCGCCAAAAGTGTCGTGCTCCGGCATGTCCGCCTTGTATGTATTTTGCGTAGGTCAGATGTATGCGGGTGACGGCTGGTAGGTCTTTTAAAGGGGAGCTGATGGAGGGAAGATTGGCTGCGCCTGTGCCGACGCGTACATTGAGAAGGCGCTGTATAGTATCTGCGTTAGTATATATATGGACCAAGTTAGGAGAAAACAAGAGGTTCATCATACCGTATTGAGTTTGCGCATTCGCTTGAATAGATTGACCATGTTGGCAGATTGCAAAAGATGACCTTTTTTGACGCAGAAAAGTGAAACCGCAGCAGAAAATGCAAATGCCAGAGATGAATCAACAAAATAATTAATACAAGAACGAAGAGAAAAAATATATTGATATTGTTAGGGATTCAACGGAACTGATGCCCTCGAGATGCTTTGTTTGTCCCTAGGTACTTTCTTCTAGGAAGGAAAATGCATCGGGACAATTTGAGGTCACGTGCAACAGGTAAATTCAATACAGACCATTACGCACTTTTCAAGGTGTATTACCAATATGTGAGACTTGTATTATACTGAAACGCGCTTGTCTATTCTCGGCTTAGCTTCAAGGGGTTCCCCTTACCGTTTACGTACTTAGTGCGGGAGATAATTATCGTAAGAGTCACGCCGGAGCAACCCCGCTATAAAAAAAGTCGAGTCATACATAAATTTATCCTGCCCAGGTAGACTAGGGATTGTCATCTTTTATATTTCCTTGGATTCTTCGCAGTATTTTCATTCCAACATGGCTGCTGCCGCCGCCGAGGCTGCGGCCCTCGATCCTAGCATTGGTTTGAAAAACACTCTCAAAATAGAGAATGTATGTATGCTATTTGCCTCGTTATTTCATGCTTTTGAATTTCTCACGCCCAACAAGGTCTATATATGTGATGGTCAACGCTAATAGTCCGTCTTTGAAATGCAGTTCGATAAGAGAAACGCGCTCGTAGCTATCGAAAAGAAATACCAGCAACAATGGAGGGACAATGGCGTGTTCGAGGTCGACGCACCTTCTCTCAAGGAGATACCCGCTGGAGCAATGTCTGCAAATGAACTTCGCACGAAATACCCAAAATTCTTCGGCACAATGGCGTATCCCTACATGAACGGAACTTTGCATGCAGGACATAGTTTCACTGCTAGTAAGATTGAGTTTATGACCAGTGTTGCTCGAATGCAAGGAAAGAGGGCTCTCTTCCCTCTGGGCTTTCACTGCACTGGTATGCCTATTCTCGCATGTGCCGATAAATTGAAGGATGAAATCAAGGCTTTTGGCAAAAACTTCGAGGGCTACCAGGCTGTGGAAGCCGTTCCTGAGCAGCCACCTGCCCCTACACAGGAAGTTGCGGTTGACCCGACAAAATTCTCGGGCAAAAAGAGTAAGGCTGCTGCTAAAACAGTTAAGGCGAAATACCAATTCCAGGTACGAGGAATAGTCGACATTATGTGAGCAATAGATTTGGTGCTGATAATATAATAACGAACAGATTATGTTGAGCATTGGTATTCCTCTGGATGAGATCTACAAATTTGCCGATGCCAGCTACTGGCTCGACCACTTCCCACCACTTGCTATTCGTGACTTGAACAGTATGGGTGCAAAGATTGACTGGCGACGACAGTTCGTGACCACTGATGCAAACCCCTACTACGATGCTTTCGTTCGCTGGCAGATGAATCGTTTGCACGAATTGGGAAAGATTATGTACGGTAACCGATATACGATCTATTCACCCAAGGATGGACAGCCCTGTATGGATCATGATCGGACGGAGGGTGAGGGCGTTGGACCGCAAGAGTATACCGCTTTGAAAGTCAAGGTCACGGAATGGTCGCAGTCAGCTGCCGAATTCCTGAAGGGAAAGATTGAAGACGATGCCAATGTGTTTTTCGTTCCTGCTACCCTTCGTCCAGAAACTATGTATGGACAAACTGCCGTCTTTCTGGGACCAAAGATCACATATGGAGTCTACAAAGTCAGGGAGAAAGAATATTATGTGGTGACTAAGAGGGCCGCTTGGAACATGGCTTTCCAAGGAATATTCTCTAGCGGTGAGGAATTCCCCAAGTCCCAGGACCAGTTGCCTTTTGTTGCCGAAGCTCCAGGTTCTACCTTTGTTGGTACTTCCGTATCGGCACCCTTGTCTGTTCATGAGACCATCAAGATCTTGCCAATGGAAACCGTATCCGCCACAAAAGGAACTGGTGTCGTGACCTCTGTTCCGTCTGATAGTCCCGATGACTACGCTACAATGACTGATCTCGCAAAGAAGGCCGATTACTATGGAATCAAGAAAGAATGGGCAGAGCTTGAAATCCTTCCCGTCATTGACACACCTACGTATGGAAACCTGACAGCGCCAACTTTGGTTAAGAAGCTCAAAATCAACTCCCCCAAGGATGCCAAGTTAGCCGAGGCCAAAGATCTGGCTTACAGCGAGGGATTCTACAAGGGTACAATGCTTGTTGGAGAATTCAAGGGCGAGACTGTCCAAAATGCCAAAGATAAGGTCCGTCAATCTCTCATCAAGAGTGGCTTGGCTTTTGCTTTCGCAGACCCATCAGGAAAGGTTGTTAGTCGAAGTGGTGACGACTGTGTTGTTGCCTATTTGGGCCAGTGGTTCTTGAATTACGGTGAGAACGATGCCAAATGGCAGAAGGACACTTTGGACTACGTTGTTAATGATTTGAACACCTATTCTGCGGAAACACGGAATGGACTCGAGGCAAACCTTAGCTGGTTGAACCGATGGGCTTGTGCAAGAACATATGGTCTTGGATCAAAACTTCCGTGGGATACGAAGTTCCTGGTTGAAAGTTTGAGTGATAGTACTGTTTATATGGCATACTACACCATTGCTCACTTGCTTCACGGAGATCGATTCGGAAAAACGACCGGTGTTTTGAACATTAAACCAGAGAGCATGATTGATGAGGTATGGGACTATGTCTTCACGAGACGCGAGATTGATGACAGCATCATCGAAAAGAGTGGCATTAGCAAGGAGAGCCTGCAAACCATGAGGAGAGAGTTCGAATACTTCTATCCGTTGGACGTTAGGGTCAGTGGCAAGGATTTGATTCAAAACCATCTTACATTCTTCCTTTACATTCACATCGCTCTTTTCCCTGCAGTGTACTGGCCACGGGGTATTCGAATCAATGGCCATCTGTTGCTCAACGGAGAAAAGATGAGTAAGAGCACAGGCAATTTCCTTACTCTCAAAGATTCTGTAGAGAAATTCGGAGCGGATGCCACTCGAATCGCTTTTGCTGATGCAGGAGATGGAATTGAAGACGCCAACTTTGATGAAACCGTTGCCAACAGCAACATTCTTCGTCTGTTTAAACTCAAGGAATGGACTGAGGAAGTTACCAAGGATGAACAGCTGCGCACTGGACCTGCAGATGCCTTCTGGGACAAATTATTCATCAATTCAATGAATGTGATTGTGAAAGAAGCTGTGGCTCATTATTCAGAGTAAGTCTTTCTTCCCCTTTTTCCCGTGCGTTTGCAAACCGAAAAAAGCGACGTTTTTGACACATCACAGGACCAACTTCAAGTTGGCTCTCAAGTCAGCACTCTATGACCTTGTCAGTGCCCGTGATATGTATCGCGAAGCTTCAACAACTGCCGGCGTCGGCATGCACCGAGATGTCGTTCTTCGCTATGTTGAACTGCAGGCTCTGATTATCTCTCCTATTGCTCCTCACTGGGCTGAATACGTTTGGCTAGAGGTTCTTAAGAAGGTAATTCAAATTGTGAATCTCGATGTTAAATATGGGATTACTAATTATAAGCAGCCTGAAACCATCCACAAACAAGTTTTCCCTACCGTACCGGAGGCAGACGTAGCGCTGTCTGCAGCCTCGACCTACGTTCAGACCAATTCATCCAACGTCGCGTCGGCGGAGGCAGCCTTTATTAAGAAAGCGGCCAAGGGTAAGAATGTCGGTTTTGACCCACGCAAGCCGAAGAAGGTGACTATCTGTGCAGCCACAAGTTTCCCAGCATGGCAAGAGAAATACATCGACCTTGTGCGCGAGTCTTTTGATGCGCTGAATTTGGCCATTGACGACAAGAGTCTAAACTCTAAGGTGGCCAAGTTTGGTGAAATGAAGAAAGCGATGCCTTTTGTGCAGGGCTTGAAGAGACGTCTGGTCACCAATAAAGAGGCTCCCGAGATCGTCTTTGACAGAAAGCTGCCGTTCGACGAAATCGCTGTACTCGGCGAGATGAGTACAGGACTGAAGAAGGTGACTGGTGCTAAGGAAGTGGAAATCGTCACACTTGACGATGGTGGGAAAACTGGCACTGTTGTTGGCACGGGCGAGAAGAGAGAGGACTTGCAAGCTGAGAATGCGGTGCCAGGCCAACCAGCCTTCTTTTTCGCCAACGTTGCGGAGTGAGCCACATAAAAAGCTGTTCAATAGAAGTTATGTTAATGTTACCCTTTATCTGTTTATGATAGCGCCGGTTCAAGAGGCGAAAGAACTTCGAATTGGCATGTTCGACATTCAAGAGTTTCCAAGTAGGTAGTTAATGAATAACTTAGGCTGCGTAGTAAAACCAGAAGTATTATCCACGCAAGAGAGCAAGTTTGATTAATGCAAATATCTTTCCCGATAGAAACCAAAATTACGTACGTCGATCAGTTCAGTCCAAACGTTGCTCCTTGTAAGACCTTCTTCCAAATACTCTCTGCTAGGGATGCGTCGCGATCCTTTCGTACTAGAAAGAGATTGAGCGACTGCCATCTCTTTGAATTGGGTATATGTAAGGCTGTAAGGCACCAACTACTGCGCCAAAATGAAGCCTGAGGAACAAGGCATCAAGTATTCACTTAGTCATCATATTTACGCTTAGTAATCATCCCGCGTCAGGAATCCAGACCAGACCCCATCCGGCTAGCACGTGACGGATGGGGACGGGACTCAGCCACAGCGAAGTGTCAAACTCGGTCGCAGGCAACCTCGCTCCCTCCCCATTACGTAGTGCCGCAACTGCAGCCCATCCCATCGCCATTTATCGATCTCCTTTGCTTCCTTTGGCTGTCGTTTCCCATTCTTTCCCAAACAAATACTACGAGCAGCTCGCTCTCGCTTTCGCGCTCGCTCTCGTTTATCCAGCCGGTTACTTACGCCACCCCCCGTCATCACCGTCTGGCGGCAGTTTGGCGCCGCCGTCTTATCCGTCGACTCACTGAGAGCTGGTCTCCACCAAGTTGCCAACATCGCATCTTGTTTGTAGAATTCATATCCACAGCCATCAGACAACATGTCGAGAGCGCTTCGAAGTGTGAAGAATGTCACCAAGGGCTATTCATCAGTCCAAGTCAAAGTACGCAATGGTGAGTTTTTGCGCCACTCGATGCCCGTCGCCCAACGCCCGCTTTCAGTCCAGTTATCTCGATGGAGGACAGGCGCCCTCGCTATGCTTGTTGATTCTCTATGCTTTTCTTCATTTCAGCACTTCGCCTTGTTCTCTTATATATTTTTAAATTTCTTACGGCTAATTATCATTCGCGCCTATAGCCACCAGTAATGACCCATGGGGCCCGACGGGCACGGAAATGAGCGAGATTGCTGCTCTGACCTTCAACAAGTATGTATTATCTGTTCACGTCATCGCGGTTTTCGATGATCATTAACAATTTGCTTTCCAAGCCCTAGTGATTTCTCTGAGATTGTGGACATGCTGGATAAGCGACTGAATGATAAAGGAAAGAATTGGCGCCATGTCTTGAAGTCGCTCAAGGTGCTAGACTATTGTCTTCACGAAGGCTCAGAACTTATCGTCACCTGGGCACGGAAGAATGTCTATATCATTAAGACTCTCCGCGAGTTTCAGTATATCGACGACGAGGGACGAGATGTTGGTCAAAACGGTTTGTCATACACGAACGCACACACAGACTCGCTTACATAAATTGATGTTAACTCATATGTCTTTCTAGTCCGAGTATCTGCCAAAGAGCTTACTGCCTTGATCCTTGACGAAGATCGTTTACGTAATGAGCGGTCTGATCGAAAACTCTGGAAGTCTCGCGTGAGCGGAATCGACGAAGGCATTCATGGATTTGGAGGATCAAGTGCAGGTGCTGGTGGCCGTCGCCCCGACCGAGACAGGCGCGAACGCAGAAACCGCGAAGAAGATGACACAGAATATCAATTAGCCATAGAGGCTAGCAAAGTTGAAGCAGAAGAGGACCGGAAGCGACGCGAAAGGGCAGCTAGGGATGGCGACGATGACGATCTTGCAAAGGCGATCAAGTTGAGTAAGGAGGAGGAGGAGCTGCGTAGGCGCGAATTGGAGGAAAGCAACGCTCAGTCATTGTTCGATGATACCCCTCCAGTCCAAGTCACCCAAGCACAACCGACGGGGTACAACCAGGGTTATCAGCAGCAGCCTGCGGTCGACTGGTTCGGCAATCCCATTGATACTCAGCAGCCTTTGACAACGGGTTATCTCAACAACCAGTATGCCCAACCTAATGGCTTTCAGGCCACAGGTCAGCAAAATGGATTCGCCAGTGGATTCCCGATGCAACCCACAGGATATGATCAGTTTGGACAACCGCAGAACCAATTTTTTCAAAACCAATCCCTTCAGCCCCAGCATACTGCATTCAATAACAACAACCCCTACGGAACCAATACTGTTTTCGGGCAGGCACAGCAGCCCCAGCAACAAGAAAACTACTTACAACCAGGCAGTCACAATCCATGGGCTACCCAGCAGCAAGGACTGGATTCCCTCAAACCAATGCCTACTGGATCGAACAATCCTTTTGCCTCGGGCATCACTCGGCCCGTCTCACAGCCGTCTAGGCCTGGTCCACCAACATTAAACACATTATCTGAAGAAAGAGCAACAACAGCTTTCAATACCATGCCGTCAGGACAAAATCCTATCACCAACTACCTGGCTCCTAGCCCATTACAGTCAACCGCGACTTCAGGCAGGCCCTCTCGGGCAGATGACGGGCAATATGCTAAACTCAATGCTCTTCTTGCAAGTGGCGAAGGCCAGGATACATTTGGCAATGTTGGTGACTTGCGTATTCCTGCTCATCATACCGCCCCTGGCACCTTTATAAACTCTGCGGGTCAAGGATTTGATCGGATTAACGCTACTCGGACTGGCAATCCTTTTTTTGGTCAACAATATACCGGTGTGCCTCAACAAACTGGTTTCACCCAGTCTAGCAATCCTTTTGGTGCTCATGGACAGCAGCATCAACAAGGCGGGAGCTTGATCGATCTATAAATACGAATCCCAGGTCGCTAGTTAATAGCCTATTATCTTTTGCCAATTATTCATTTACCTTTTTATGTTCTGACATGGATATATAAGCTGACAAGTGCTGAATGAAGGGTATTGCCACGGCTGTCAAACGGGCCTTTTTGCCCCATGCATCGAACTCATACTTCTTTCCATAGTAACGCAGTTGTCATATTTTTCTTTGCATACTTGTCTGTATAGAGACAACCCAATTTCTTATCCTCATTGTCACTATCACCCACCCATTCTCGATATCACCCATTCTTACAACTACAACACTGTCGCTCTTTAACGACTCTATACTCTTTACTGTTCTTCTTTTTCACTTTGTCCAGTTTTCTTCTGTTTACTTATTGGAGACACCCCTACCGTCTTTTTTATTCCTTTTTTCTCTCTTGTGTCAAGGTTTTGTTTGGTTCTTCATTTTTTGATGTTACTACATAGTATCTGTTTTTATATCCTTTCGTACTGGAAAGCAATGATATCATCATCGTTTGTTTAAAAGTCACCTATAGCCTTGGAACTCAATAGCATTATGCAGTAGCCATTCCTATGTTATGAAGCATTACATATGTAACACGGTAAGGCGGTCAATTGAACATCTGGAGATGGTGTACTTCCGTGGCATGTAACTATCACAAATGTCTGCTATAACTAAAAGAAGATAAATAAGTAATATACAGTTGTTATGGCTGAGAGGTAAGATGTGAAAGAAGAGCAAATGTTTGTTAGGCACCCTTCCCACCATGCATCGTCCTCTTCTTATGGCTAATATTGTTCCTCTTCGGACGATGAGACCCAGACATATAACGTCCTTTGCGTTTGTCAGCTTTGCGCTTGTCACGGATGAAATTCCAGGTTTCTAGAGGCGGTCTTGAGGCAACGTGTTTGCCGAGGGGTGTGAAAACTTCTACTTTTGGTAAGCCTTCTTCCTCTGTTTTTCCTTCTCCTTCTTCTTCATAAGGAGGAATTTCAGAGTCGGGTGTTTGACGATGTTGGTACTGTCTCTTCGTGCGGATTTGCGCTGTAAGTTCTATCCAGCCGCATCCCTCAATTAGTATGTCTGTGGAGTACACGCGATATGGCAATGAGTTTAGATTTGGTTTGATGTTCTGATCGTCCCATTTCTTTTTGATGATACTCGGCAAGTGGCTTAATGTGACATCCGTATCGAGCGTGAACGTGCCCGCATGTTGTATAACTGTGTGGTCGTCTAGAAGCTCGGGTTTGATAACGCTATTGCCACGATCGCCGCCGCCTGTGTTGTATTTTCGCACGCCTGTTTCAATTTCCACTGCTTTCTCGGTGCGCGTTACGTGCGCTTCAAGGGGCACAAAGCATGCTGCTAGCACGGTGCAGTTTTCGGGAACTATTGGAGTTATTCTGATCAATCCCCCTCCAATTAGAAGAGACTGGCTGCTGCGAATGCTGAGTTGCTCTGCCGGGTTGACACGTTTGGTCATTATCAGCTCTGATTTGTGTTCGTCCAACATGAATTCTTGCAATGTGCCGCGATCGAGACCGGGCAAATCAATCACCTCTCCACGTCCGCGCCCAAAAGGGATTCTGATAGGGCCTACTGTTGTCCCCGGAAGACTTGAGACGACAGGAAGTGTTGGCCAGAGCTCCTCGCGAGGCGCAGGGGGAAGAAGACCCTCAGGATCCAGTAATGGAGGGGAAGAAGAGTCAAAGTCGGAATCAGGAGTGCTTTTCGAATGATTCTGCAGCTTTCGGCTCTCCAGAAGTTCAGCAATCTTTTCCAAATTCTTCGAGTCTTTCGGAAAGCATGACTCGATGAAACTACTCTTCCCAACATTCGCCTTTCCGACGACCCAGATACCTCCGCCATGTTCACGAATTTCTTCTTTGACTCGGGTCGTCCACCAGCCGCGATGAGCGCTTATCATATGCACATTTCCCAATCGTATATCTCCCCGTCGCATCTTCATAGCCTTCAAGATGATCTCTCGCACCCGGTTCATGAGCGAATCGACCTGTTCTTTGGTGGCGGCCAAAAGGTCTGCGCGTGTGATCACGAAGCTCATTGTTGTCAATTTCTTGCCGTGCTTGTACTTCTCAGTCCTTGCTCTGCGGTTCTTCGACCTCGGGTCTTGGAGCTCTAAAGCTTCGTAGATATTCGAGATTAAAGACATGGGGAAATCGGCTGCGTCGACTATGTGATAAACGCGATTGGATTTGTGGGGGGACTCCTCAAGATAAGCCGCAATAGAGTCGATAGAAGGAGAAGGAGCAGATATTCCCTTGTTATGATGTAAAAGGTCATGGCAGCGGTCACATATCTGGGTGTGTTCTGCAGTGGACTGAATGTATTCCGTCGCGGCGGTCAAGTTACTTTCATCAACTAAATTATCTGAGCGAGATGTTAATTTGTGTTCAAAATTGAAGGAATAAACATTGAAAGACAAATCGCCCACCCATGGTATGTTCTGAAAGCTCTTCGCCCGCACCGGTCTCACCATCTACATCTTTTTCATCTCGAGTTAATTCGGTTTGCTTGTCCTTAGCAATCACTTGTTGTCTCTTATGCCACAGCTTCTTTGCTTTCTTTCGGGTTCGACCATAATAACCCGGTTCAGTTGGCTCAATTGTTTGTGCGTATGCACCGCATCCTGGACAGGAAACCGGCAAGGCGTCAGCGTGAAGGGAAACGGTTGTTGGAGGTGAAGGCGGAGTCGGGAATTCTTCATCATTTCGTTGAGTTTGTGAAGGACTCTCAAGCAGTATTCCAGGCGCATTAGAAGATACAGGAGGGCCTGTAGATGGCTGATCCGTACTTAGATACCGTTGCCTTGCGCATTTTAGGGCGTGTCTCTTCAAATTTGGACGTTGTAGACTTGTCGAAGATGTGGAAATATTCCGCGCTAATCGGGCTTGAAGCTGAGTTTGCACTGAACAGCGGTATGACTTTGATAAAACCGGTATCCTTCTCGACAAGTAACTCTGACAGAAGGACATCGTGTCGCAAACTCTATGCAGAATAGCAGTGTTAAGAGCATTCATCAAAGGGTTTGGGACAAAAGCATATATCGAGCACGGCGCATGTGGTGCTCGTGCGGAGCCGTAAATTTTTCCGTGACAAGTCCGCGATAAGATAACAGTCTCTCTACATTAGTAGAAATGCTATAGAAAATTAACCAGAATATAATCTAGGATCATGGGTTTTGGAAAGAGCATTCAAATAAAAATACTCGTAAGATACAATTCATAATTTGCTTGCTGCCCATGTGTACAACGCCTTATAAAATACATTTAACCATCATAAATCAAGCAGATTGTTTGCCCTTTCCCTTGCCATCTTCATTATCCTCATTATCCTCTTCGTCGCTGCTCATGAATTCGTCGTCCTCATCAAAACCAATATATCGCCGTGATGTAACAGCAGGCTTAGATGATGGCCCGGCAACAGCAGCTCCAGTGTCCTTCTCTTCATCATCGTCGTCGACACTCTCACTACTCTCACTCCCATCCTCCTCTTGACTAGAAGCGCCCTCGCTAGCACTTGTACTGGACCCTCCCATGAGTACATCGCGCAAATTGTCGTTCCACGTTCCATCCTTCATCGCGGCAAGGACAGCTTCGCGCGCCTTTTCATTCATTTCTTCCCTATCTTCCATCCACTGTCCATCCAAACGACTCTTGCCACCTCCATTCTTTATTTCGTCGGTGCGCTTTTCCGCCATCTCAACTATGGACTCCCACCTACGTCGGCGTTCTTCCTTTTCTTTCTTATCCATTTCAGGCTTCACGGCAAGGTATTCGGCGAGCGCCTTAGCTTCATTGACGGTGCGTAGACGGCGACCGTCGAGATTGCGGTTTGAGCCATTGTTTTCACCTTGATTGCGCTTGCGCTTGCTGGACATACGACCACCAGCAGCACGGAGCTGGGACCCGAAACCACCTTTGCCTCCCCTCAAGGGGACCGAGAGGCGTAGGGGGAGAATATTGTTCTCAAAACCTGATTCATGATGTGCTGAGAGAAAAGAAGACACTCGTGAAGTAGATTCGGGTAGTAGTTGTTTGTTGCCAATTGTGGTGATCGTGAGGTTGGCTGCGATCCGCTTTAACGACTCGGGCAGGTAATGTTCAATCCGTTCTGAGAGATCTGCGACTGTTGATGTAGCCGGGAGTGAGAATGTGAGGGTCGGGGGCAATGCCAGTCCAGGGAAGGACGACAGGAGAATGTTTACGGGTTGGGAAGCCATGATGATCTCTCGCTTTGTACAAACCAAAGGCAGGCAAGATGCTGTGATAAGCAGAGGTTGCGGTAGGCGGCGAGGCGGTGGCGGCTGGCGTGACGATGGATCGAGATCACGTGACGCCATACTAGCCCCTTTTTGGTCTAGGGTGCTCATTAGGGCATGCCCTCTAGCGCATCTCCAGTCGCACTTTTTATGGCACGGGAAATTCAAGGTGTGTTTGACGATCCAACCAACCACTCATTAACCAAAATCACCACCTAGCATCGTCAGAGCGATTCCCCGAAAAGCGCTAGGAACTCGCGACAATGTATGTCTTCCTATGATTGATCAATGAGAGGCCTAAAGTTTACTAATTCAATCCCAGGCTTATTCCCAAGGACGACCGCAAGAAGATCCACGAGTACCTCTTCCGTGGTATGTATTGGCTCCAGAACGATGCGACTTGATGTGTAGTTTCTGACTGGGTTTTTAGAGGGTGTTCTCGTGGCCAAGAAGGATTTCAACCTCCCCAAGCATGGCGAGATTGACACCAAGAACCTCTACGTACGTACTTGTCCGGATCCTACCCTAGGATAAACAAACCAATGCTCATTCTTTTGTGAATCGAATAGGTCATCAAGGCTTGCCAGTCCCTGACCTCCCGCGGCTACGTCAAGACCCGCTTCTCATGGCAATACTACTACTACACCCTCACTCCTGAGGGTCTCGACTACCTCCGTGAATGGCTCCACGTTCCCGCCGAGATCGTGCCTGCCACTCACATCAAGCAGCAGCGTTCCCACGCTCCCCCCCGCGGTATGCTCGGTGGTGAGGAGCGCGAGCGTCGCCCTGGTGGACGTGGTGGTCCTCGTGGTGACCGTGATGGCGGTTACCGTCGTCGTGAGGAGGGCAAGGAGGGTGGTGCTCCTGGCGAGTTTGCCCCTACTTTCCGCGGTGGTTTCGGCCGTGGCCGTGGTGCTGCTCCTCCTTCTTAAATTTCTCACACGGATGGGACTGTTTGAAGGACTTTCTTGCGGTGTCCGCTTTCATTCATCGAGAATCGGATTCTCGATGAGTGGTTAAAAAAAAACGAAATCCAAATAATGAAAAAATGGGTCTTGTGATGCCTTGATGTTTATAGTTCGATTATGAAGCTAGACTAATGGCAAACATTTCATGACCAATCAATATTATGCATGTCTTCACCGTAGAAGGCAACGTAAAACTTTGGACAGAGGAACTGTCAGCGTAACTCGCCAAGCCGTGCAGCAGACAAATACAGGTGCCAACTTCGAAGGAAGAATTATTACAAGGGAACAAGTCAACACGAGGCCAGCAACAAATGATATAGCTCAGAGTTAGATCAATTCATCATTCTATATTCATATATTGGAAGACAGCTCAAAAACCACCAGTAATGACCGGTTCCACAAGGCGCAGTTCGGTCAGCACGTTGTGCTCATATTCATCTTGACGGTATTAGGCATCATGAAAGTCCAGTTTCGCCCTGGTGCGAGCCTTTTACCTTTTATTTCTTATGTTTTTACATCAGATCCGGTAGTAATCCAGGTTAAACCGTTTCCCGTAATAACGTCAAATTGGCTCGCGGCCCCGCTCTTCTCCGCCGTCATCAATCATCAAAGATTCAAACAACCCATAGCACGCATTCGACCCCATCAGAGCGCTCTTTTTTTACTACCAAGTTACTGAAGAGACCGTGCAACACGATGTCGTCTGCAGCCTGCATCTTCTGCAAGATCATCAAGGGTTCGTTCCGTATCCATAAAGCCTCCTACCTCGGGGACTTGCTCGGCCTCCACCTGGGATCCCCGCGTTCCCTGAAGAGAGACACCATCAGACATCAAAAGACCAATGGATCGATTGACTGATTGATTCTGTCAATGCCACAGGTGATATTCCTTCATTTAAGCTATTCGAAAATGACAAGGTGTTTGCCTTTCTCGATATCCAGCCCTTGAGTCGGGGACACGCTGTATGTCGTGCGACCTATCTTCTTATTCTTTCTCCCACTCTGCGAGGAGAGTTGTGGGTTTCTTTATACATGGCTAATCAAGATTTCTAATCGAAATCGGAAATAAATAGCTTGTTATCCCTAAGTTCCATGGTGCTAAGCTCACTGATATTCCTGATGAGGATTTGTCTGAAGTCTTGGTACGTATTATGCGTTTGTGTCTCTAATCTTAGAGCAAGTAGTGCATTTTATATGCTCGGGAGATATATGACAGGCTGAGAACGACTTTATATGAAATATAATCGAGGACCTTGGAGGGCCATTATCTCCGGGCCTTAGGACCTTTTGGAACATCGTACTGACCGTATCGCCAATACTATAGCCCGTCGCAAAGAAAATCGCCCAAGCATCTGGTGCTACCGATTTCAATGTTCTTCAGAACAATGGCCGCATCGCTCATCAGGTCGTTGATCATGTTCGTTCCCTTTTCTTGTCCGCATTGAGGGTATATTACATCTGGCTAACTGTCTGACTTTCCAGGTCCATTTCCACATGGTATGATTGATGTCTTACTGTTACTGGTTTTCGAATACTGACGTGAGCACAACAGATCCCCAAGCCAAATGAGAAAGAAGGTCTGGGCATTTCGTGGCCTGCGCAGGCAACCGATATGGACAAACTGAAGGCGTTGTTCGAGGAGATCAAGGGTAAGATCTAACCAATTGTTGCAGTTAGCCTGGGTCAAATTGCATAAGAATGCAAAATTATTGTCAACATGGATCAAGATTAACTACAATGAATGTCAATGGCCATTGCGTAATTCTAATTTTGGGGCTATTCACGTTCTCGTATTTGGTAGTCTAACCATCTCAATATCTCCGCTAAGTGTGTATGAAAGCTGAATCGTATAAGTATCTATACATGACCCTGAAAATCGGGAGAGTTGTTTCTCCCGCTACATATGTCAAAACACTTCCCAGAACAAACAAGAACATGTACACAAGTTAATGACATCGGTGGCAAATAAAAGTAGAAAGTCAACTGTGAAAATATCTTTCTATAGCAAGGAAGGTGTCTAGTGAGATGGAATGAAGGGACAACACCAAGTCTCAAACTCGAAAAGTTGAAGCTAAATGGACAAAAAGAAAGAGACGCTCAATTAGCGGACGCAGTAACAGCTACGTTTGTTTCCGGTGCTGTTGGTTCTGCAACTTTCTCTTCTTCTAGGGCAGGAGTAGCAGTTTCACTGGGCCCAGATGAATTGTTGTCCTTTGTCGTTTTCTCTGCATCCTTATTGGGATAGAACAAGATCTTTCCGTCACCCTGAATTACCCCATTGCGGTCGTATAAGGATCGAGCACGGATATACGGGTCAAGTTCCCAATATCCTTGGGCATATTTTGCAGCAAGTTCTTCTCGCTTGGCTTTCGATGACTTGACAGTTTCTCGGTCATTCTTCTTGGCGGCCTCAATCCATGATTTAGTGGCACCCTGTATTTCTTCCGCAATGGCCTTGTTCTTGGCGATGATCTCGTCACGTTTCACAGTGTCTTTCATCAGATCGTTCTCGCCCGGTTGGACTTCGATATATTCAAAACCGCCGTCTTCATCGCCGCCGAGTTCTTTCAGGATACGGCTACGGTCGATAAAGGCCTCTAGATCTTCGACGGAATTGGTGAAGTGGACTTTGGATGCAACAACGGGGTCGAGCCAGCCCTTGATGATCTTCCAAATGCCTGTAGCCGAATCAGATTACCCACATAATCAAAGCAAGAGATGGAAGTAGGTTGTATGCAGACCTGAGAATAGCCATGGTGCTTGATGGATGAGCACGGCACCGAGAGACTCTGGGTAGTTGGCTTCGAAACACTTGATGATGAATTTGACGGGGGAATAGTCCTGTGTGCAGTCAGCAGAATGATAAATCAAATGGACAACTCGTTCAGACGTACCATGTTGGCTAGGGTGAAGCCACTCATATCAAATACAATCACAGCAGTCTCGACCGGGCGAAGAAGCATCAATCGAGCAGTCTCGATCATGTGGACTGTATATCTTTCGGTACTCTTATCGATTTGTTGGCCGATTTTATGCAATCGCACGCGAATAAAGCACATTGGACGCCCTTTCTTATCTACCCCATGAATGAAGCTCTTACCCATGCGCGTCTGTGCCATGAAATCGGTACCCAATCTCTTGGTGTCAGGATCAGAACTCTTCGACATTTCTATTGCCTTTGCTTCACCTCCGCTCATGATATCGTCGTCGACATGCATTTCTACGAGACGCCATCGGATGGTGGAAATAAGCATAACAACGGCGCGGTCGACATCCCACTTTCGAGCGCGCAGAAATCTCAACAGAAGAGCGTCTGGGTGATCAGCCTTAATCATAGTCCAGAGACTTTCACGCAATTGGTCAGGCGTTAGATCCGCAATGGCCTGTTTAAATTCTTTATTTTGTCCATACTTGTCATCAGTATCTGACAATGACAGGTTTTGTATGCTGGTAGTAGAGCTCTCTGTGGAAGGCGCCTCCTCCTTTTTGCTACCACCCAACCCAAAGAAGCTGCGCTTTGACTTTTTCTTTCCGTCTGCTGTACTCTCTGGTGCATTGCTGGTCGACGTGGCTGACTTTTGCAGTGGGCCTGCTTCAAGCTTAATGCCAAATAACTTGAACAACACTGTCCACATTTCTAGGAGCTTGGCTTCCTGCTCCTCTGTGAGGTTGCCCAAATGGCCAGGTTTGATGTTTTGGGATGACATCTTGAGTGAATCGAGTACTCCCGTATAATTATGATGATCCTGACTGTACTGCTGATAGAAATCGTCTTGGGCAACGGTCGGTTTTTCAGGCGTGGACTTGGTCAATTGTATCGCTGCAGCGCCACCAACAATGCAAGCCACTAGCACTACACCCCAGGCGGAGGATGCTTGCCTCGGCTGATTAAAACGAACTGCGGAGCCCGACCTGACGCTATAGTGGAGGGAAAGCCTTCGAGAGGGCCAGGGCGCTGGGGTAATTTGCGGGGGAGCAAACGACGCTGATCTTCCCAAGCCTTGAGATAAGCGTGGTTTTGCAAGGAGACGAGGTTCACTGCCAGAAAAAGCCGAGTGACAGACTCGTACTGCACGCATGTGCTTCCGACTGTAGCCCGAGTTGCAGAGGAGCGGTGGCGGATTGGGATGGCCTGTTCTATACGTACATGTCCCACGAACCAAAACTGTGTGCTCAAATTGTTGCTTTGGAGAACGCACTTCTGCAATCAGGAAATGAACCCAACGGTGAAACCTGGGCAGTTGAGCCACGTAGGTAACGGCGATGATAAGGATAATGATATATACGGGGTATGAGGCTCGTAGCAGGAGGCGACGTTGAGGAAGATCGAGCGGCTGCTGGCGGCAATGTAGGTTGGGGAAATTGAAGAAGGTGCTTGTTGACTGACTAATTTGCGTCACTGGAGGCAGGGTATCTGTCATTACGGGTAATACGCTAAGGGCGTGGTGCTTATTGGCCAGAGCCGGTGAGTTATTACGCAGCACGGTATTTGTTTGTATACTATACGGTCCCCTCGCGTTCATTCAAAACAACACCAGAGCAACAATTTCAAGAACGACTGAACTGTGCATTCCCATGTGTGTCGAACTAGTTCTCTACAGGCCGGAGCTCATCTACCACCGAGAAACCATCTCGCGTAGCGCCATCATAGCCCTCGCGTCCCTGCTTCCAGTGGCCGAGCCATTCGAGCCCCTCTTCGGATTGACATACTATTGATATTGATCGCACGACACCATGGACGCCGGCGCTCCCAGATCCGCTTCCCGCCCACGGCCGGCATCAAGACCAACCACACCGCTACGTCCCAGTTCCAGATCGTCCATTCGCAATTCCCACGGTTTTGGTAGCAGTCTCAATGCCGCTGGGTACGAGGAGCCTGCGATTCATGCGTTGGAGCCGCAGTTTGCAGAACTGGCGGACTCTATGGCCGACCTCGAAGCCAATTTCATGCATCTCCAATTGATGCATGAGAGTTTATCTCGATTCAGTGAAAGCTTTGCTAGCTTCCTCTACGGGCTGAATATGAACGCGTTTTGTGTCGACTTTCCCGAGGTAGCTACAACAATCCTTGATACAGCATTGGTGTATGGCTTGCTAAGAGTTCTTAGGCTCCTATTCCGGAATCTTTCAAGCGGGCACAAGAAGCAAAAGATCATCAAGGTAGCACCACATTACTCTCAGGCTTTCACCAAGGCTTCGTTCACTGACGTTTATTATGCGCTCTAGATGCAATGTCATCCCAGAAGACAGGCCAGGATACCGATGCGACTTTCTTGTAGGAGAAAACACAACACAGAACGCTCTGGGGTATAAAGAAGCTAATATCGTTCCTCTAGAACAACCGATACCTCGTTCATTGACAATCCCCCAGCCACAGTTCCGTCCAAAGCTACGCCGAAAAAGAGTACTCTGTCAAGCCGGGGAGGGCGTGGAGGCAACTCCACTCGAGGCACCACGGGTAGTCGTTATGGAACAAGAGGGGGAACAGCTAGGAGTCGACCGAGTGGGTTACCGCGAGGTAGAGGGAATCGCTGAAATGGATATGAATATGAATATGGTATATTATACGGCTTGCTGCTTCAGAAGTCCTGTAATCAGTACGATCCAAATAGCCGCTACCTGCAATGGTCTAGGGAAGATGGCATCAGGAGAACGACAGTGCAGGAAATCGCATGCCCGAATATCTGGGAATGGGAAGTACGGCTTGATCATTTCCAAGGACTGAGAAAGACAAATGCCGGAAGACATGTGATATCAGATTACGACATGAACGGGGCATTGGTGTTTAGGTCTCACGAACCTAACGAAATGATGTTTTTCCAAGGATCATTAGATTCAAAAACAAACTTTCTATCAGAGAAACTTGGCCTTGCTTGTAATCAGTATGGTTATCACGAGAAATAATCAGTGTGTCAGATAGATCATAACTAGATGCCTCTGCAGGGCGGCGGGTATTGCCGCGCTCTAGTCCGCATGGGTACAAGGCTCCTTTTTGCCGCCAGGGCGGCATTGCTTAATCCATGCTTGTCCATCAAAATCTCCTCGGCTCATCCATGCGCTCCGGGCCTTTTCTCTGCCCTCGACACTCATTACCGGCTGAGCTTGCTGTGATTGTCTTTGCCACCATAGCTTGAAAGCGAACTCCGGCTTTTATAGGGGTCGGCTCTGCTTAACGTTGCTTGTGGGGACGCCCGACGGACGAGCGTGCATGACAGTATTCAATCAGACGAACACGAACGAACGCTCAGCGTGTTGAAGTTCTTTTGTCAAAAGTCCTTTCTTGCGCATTGGTTTGACTTGTGGTTTTTTGAAACATTTCATTTTGGTTACATATCATGGTCAGCTTGGTTACCAGCATCTCTAGGAGTTTGTTCTGACCCGGTCATATTGCCCCGTCTTTAGTCAGTTGCACTTGTATCTTTTCATTTCATTTTCTTGTTTTTTTGTTTCTTTTTTCACTTTAAAGTTCAGCTGGTCTGATATATACTACACTATTTGTCCATCATGGCCGCTGCTTCAAACTCAAGTCTTGCAACTATGGTGCATGTCAATGTGCAATCGGAGGCCGAATACGGCTGTGGTATGTTGTTGCATCCTGCGCAAAGTGGTACACCCGGAGACTAACGAGGGAAAGAACATCTTTCTGCAATGTTGAAAGACAGCGAAGGGCGTGGTGCGGATTTCGTCATTGCATTTATGAAACAAGCTGCTATGAGAATACCCAAGATTGGGGAGCCCCAATCGCGGAAACACGAGGGTGCAAACGGGATTAAATCATCAGCAACGGGATCCCAGCGACTCTCTCTAAAGCCGATGTACATCTGTGTGAATTGCTCTGAGAAGCACAGCAATGGCGACCGACAGGTTCATAGTGACATGACGAATCATCTATTCTGTGAGAATGAAACTTTGAGCAAGAGTCCGCTTTTAGTTGACCGACAGACTAACACGCTTCTACAGATATCGATAGCCGCACAGGTGCCCTCTTTTGCCAGGGATGTCGTGATTTCGTGTATGATCATGAGCTAGAAAAAATTGAGAGTCGGACAGCGGGGCTATGGTCCCGGCATTCAGATCAGGACAGCCAGGATGGATCGCACGTCACAAGCTCAATAGAGTCTACAGTACGGAATGCGTATACACAGGCTAAGCAGGCAGATGTTATAGCCCTGACACACGAAGTGGGCCTATCGAAGCCTAGCAAGTATATTTTGGACATTCTCGGGAAGATGAGCAGCAAATCAAGCAAGAAGCGAAAGGCCAGCGAGATTTCGATTGAGGAAAGTAACGAAGATTATAAACCGATCAACGGTTTGGCGGACACCCGCATCGGGATCGAAGTGCCCGAGGCTGATGAGACATATGTCAAGGCGAATGCCACCAAACGGACATGCCAAAGCGAAGGCGTCAGGGGCCTGTTTAACCTGGGACAAACCTGCTACATGAATGTGGTGCTACAGACCCTGTTGCATGAGCCATTGCTAAATGCTTATTTCTTGGGGAACGGGCATAAGTACTACGACTGCCAGGTTGATGGCTGCGTATTGTGCGCGATGAGCAGGGCATTTGCCGAGTTTAATGGATGTGATAAGAAGGATGGGTTTACAGCGGAGCAACTTTTATATTCGACGTGGAAGAACCACCCTGTAGGTGTCTTGCCTCTTTTCTATTTCAGAGGGCATTATCAAACTGACTGTTACAGCCTCTCGCGGGTAATCACCAACAAGATGCGCACGAATTCTATCAGTTTCTTGCGGGTGGCCTACACACGGCATCGTCGGATGAAAATGATCAATTGAAGTGCAATTGTTTTTTCTGCAAGGCCTTATTCGGCAAGTTTCAAAGCACATTGACTTGCCCGATTTGCAATCACACCAGTCCGACTGAGCAGCCACTACTGGAGCTCAGTCTGGACGTGCAGCTACATTCGAAGAAACGGCAGATGAACGGCAAAGTACACGGGTCAACGTTGGTGACGCCAACGTTGGCAGGATGTCTGCAATCGTGGGTGATGCCCGAGGAACTCATTATGGAGGGATATCAATGCCAGGGCTGTCTCAGCTATCCGGACAAGCTCACTAAACAGCTGAGGATAAAGCAGTTGCCAGCCATGTTGTGCATGCAAATGAAGGTTTGTTATGTTGTTGTCTTCTCACGAAGAGAGAGGGGAGAGGCTAAAATAAAGTCTAGCGCTTCGAACAAACCGACTCCGAAACGCGAAAGATGCAAGGCAAAATCGATTTCCCGCTCGAAATCAACATGCAGCCGTACACGGTAGCATCGAAATCGCGAAAAGCACGGGGCGACACGTTCATCTACGATCTTGCATCGGCGGTGGTGCATGACGGCGCGGGCTTGAACGAGGGCCATTACATTGCGTATATACGACAGGGGGATCGGTGGTGTCTGTTCAACGACGACAAGGTCACGCTGGTGTCTGAGGGAGATGTGCTGAATGCGGATGCGTATTTGCTGTTTTATACGTTGCGATCGCTGGGTGGGAAGTGACTTAGCAATTACAGGGCTCTTGGTGTTTTCTATAGTTACTTAATCGTACTTGGCAAATGTAACGATTTATTGCGTATACTTACGTACCTACGTAGTCCTGCGCAACTGCCGATCCGATTGGCCAACTCCAAGCGAGCTGTTTGAGCAATTTAAGTAGCTAACTATAGGCTATAGCTATACGATTCCTATATCCGCTCCGATCCGAGGATTCCATATGGATATATCATCGTGTCCGAATGTCCGTACTAATAATACTGTATAGTGTATACACCGAAACTATTCAGTATATATTTACCGAGTTGCCATTTTTACAAATCAAAATTGTGTGTAAGCTAATTGGCAAAATCACGAAAGAAAAAAATTTTTTCCCTCTCGTGAACAAAAGCCGTTAATTAATCAGCTTCCCAAAAGGGAAAGTGAGAAGATATTCCTTCCGTACACACAAACTTTCGCGATCGGAACGCGTCTAGACTGAGTGGGTCAGCCTTGATCTCTTATATAATTTGCTAGTGAGAGATAAAAAAAAAAGACGAAAAGAAGGAAAAAAAAAACCCCCCCCCCCCATTTTTTTTTGGGCTCAGATGGATGAGTCAGTGAACAATTTTTAATGACTGCGGGGACCTGGATAGGAATGGCTGGCATTGTCCGAAAAGTCCGGACACATGACTCAAACCACGGTCACTATTAGTAATCGGCAGCTTGTTGGATTTTAAAGCTGCCTAACTATGCATGGTTCAGGGTATATACTCCGTACCTAGGATAGCTATGCGACAAACAAAGGCACGGCGGTGAAGTCGGGGTGCTCGATTGGTCCAAGGATGCAGGCGCCTGCAGAGGCGATCAGGCGATATCACATTGTATATGGACAAATTGTCATGCGGTGGTTTCTGACTGGCGTGTCGCCCAAATAAGGTATTGGCCGAATTAAGGTGTGAATGATGTCACGGCTGCTACTTCCACGCGCGCTGCATAAATGGCATAATCTCCTCCCGTTTTCAGCCTTCTTTTTTTGCTGGTAATTTATCGCGTATGCTTGGCAGTGGGCCACGAACTATCCGATAACTCCGCGAGCTTGCCCTTACTCTATTCGGCAGTCCGTAGCTGCGATATCAGATAACTAACGACTCCGTGACAGTTAGTTATAATGGGATAGAGCAGTCAGTGCTTGTTTCATTCTATCCACGTAGGTTGCACTGACAGCACAACAATATTTATGCAGATGGCATGGCAGTGCATAAGCTCGTGCAATTGTACAATTGTATAATTGTATGAATGGCTAATGCTGAATGTATATAATTATGCGTTGCAGCGCACAACTCGTCGTCTAATTAGTCCGCTGCCGGCTGCGCAAGGAATCGATCTGATTGGCCGGGAGCGCGCTGTCAGTCTTGGCGCACGGAACGCGGTGCCGACTTGCCGAGGGCTTCCGACTGTGTATATACAATAAACTCTACGATGAGCGTAAGCGGATACATATACGTACTTCCATATATATATATATTCATATATATATATATTTATTACTTATTTATTTATACGAGCCACATATACACACCTATATATCGCACGGTGTGCCATGCACTATGTAGTGCTATGAATACGATGTAGTGTCAGGCAGAGGATCCTCTTCAGGCGATCGACGCTGCAGTCAACTGAGCTAGCAAATGCCACTAGAATAGTCCCGTTAGCGTGCTGGCCCTAGGCCTAGTGCGCGGGTCCGGATCATTGCTTATGCCGAGTCTGGCTGTAATTGTATGTATGTATGCCTTCGCTTTGCTGAGCGCTCAGTTCAGCGGATGGCTCGGCCCCCATCTGCTGTGTTCTCCATATGACTTCAAGCGTCGAGTCTTCTCTTCCCAGTGTCGCATGTTGCATCATGCCATCCATGGCCGTCTGTTTCAGGGTCAATGGGCAGGTTATATACTATAGAACGAGGGTAAGTTGCACAGCGTTACCTTGTATAGAGAGCATACAATCACCTGATTTCTGCCTGGAACGGGAAGAGGCTCGGCTGACACGGCCCGTAATTACGCCCCCATACAACGCTTACCGCCACGCACTGATCACCCGTACCTCCACGCCGTCGATGAGCTTCTTTCTGTTCCTGGACTGCTTCTTATTAATAATGCTCGTCCCCCCAAAATGCTGTCGTCTCACTGACATCACCCTTTTGCCCTTCACTGACTGCACGCAAGAGCTTCCCAGCTTCGTTGGAGAAGAATCTGTCACCGAGCTTGCGCCTGCAGGAAGCTAGCTCTCTTCTACTTTGATACTCACCTCCATAAAACGAAAATAAAAAGGTGCTGAAGGGAACAGCAGCTAGCTCTCAAAGGAACTCTTATTAGACGCTGGAAAAGCTGCCCAGGTCACACCTCATCCTGTTCAGTTACAGCTAGCCAGCTCAGCTGGTCGTACAACTATTACAGATATCGTCTCATATCTCACTTCCGCGACAATGCGACACCAATCAACCTCGCTGCGCCTCCTGGCTGCCGCCTTTCTTCTACTGTCGCTCGCTACGGCTCGACCAAATGGCGGCCATGAATCCATGGACGGAGGTATGGATATGAGCTCCAAGGATACCATGTCAAAACCAGAGGATGAATGGGAGCTCAGCTACTGGGCCTATGGTCAACATAGCGGGTCAATTACTGCTCACATTGTTCTCGAGGTGCTCGCCTGGTGCTTTATTCTGCCAGTCGGTTAGTATGCCCCTGTTTTTCTGCTTTGCTGCGCATTCATACATCATGATGCGCAGCGCGAGAGCGCCATTGCTAATATTGCTCAACAGCCGTAATGCTCAGTGTCGCGCATTCGCGATTTACCATTCCCACTCAATTCGTCTTCCTAGCTGTAAATGGACTCGGTATCTTCTTCGGTCTGATCTATAACACGTCCACGCCCGATCTGTACGTGAACAATGCGCATCATAAGATTGGTTGGATCGCCAGCTCCGTGGTGGTCGCGCAATTCGTCATCGGAATCATCTACGCCTACTCCGGACGCCGCACCAAGAGTATCACTAACCAGTATCAGCGCGCCACTTTCTTGCCGGTTTCCTCGCAGAATATGATGGAACACCAGCAGCTGTACTCGCCCATGCACGAGCACGAGCACGAGTACCGGTGGTCCGGTGACAGTGGTCAGGGCACTAGCTCTCCAGCATCCTCTACCGAGGACCACCCTCACATGGAGAAGCCCGAGGATGACGAAGACGATGTTGAAGTGCCAACTCCTCTTGCTCGTGGCTGGCTGCGCAGTTCGCGCCTGGACCAATTCTTCTCGAGTCGCGTGCCTGGCTTGGTGTCGAACCAGGTCTTGCGCGCGTTGCGCGTTGTTTATAATGTCATCGATCGCATCATTTTGCCTTTTGGTTTCGTTGCACTTACCACTGGTGGTGTTACTTACGGCGGTATCTTTGTACGTGCTGACTTCTGACCCTGGAACTGTATTTGATAGGGGCTGACCTTCCGAAACAGAAAGATAGTGGTGTCTTCAGCGGTCTCGCTCACTTTATCAAGGGCGGTATCTTCTTCTGGTACGGACTTGTCGTGTTGGGTCGGTTCATGGGATGCTGGGCCAACTTGGGATGGTCCTGGAACCTTAAGCCGGTGTCGTCGCGCGCTCCAAGTGGAGAATTTGTCGAGTCCTCTCTCATCTTCACGTATGGCACAACGAATGTCTTCCTGGAACACCTCGGCGGATGGGGCCGGGAATGGACTCCTCAGGATCTTGAGCACGTTTCTATCTCTGTGATGTTCTTTGGTGCTGGATTGGTGGGTGCCTTCTCTTCGTGTTCTTCCCTGTGTCTCCCGTTGCTAACTGAGCATAGTGCGGCATGCTCCTCGAATCAAAACGAGTCAAGAAGTGGTTGAAGCAAAGCATTTCGGGCGTTTCGGGTCGCAGCCAAACCGTCGAGGACGATGAAGAGAAAACCAACGTGTCCTTCAACCCGATGCCGGCATTAATCATCTTCCTTTTGGGTATAATGATGGGCGGTCACGAACAGCATCAAATGGTCTCGACCATGGTTCACAAGCAGTGGGGTTCTCTTCTGTCGGGCGCTGCCATGGCGCGTGGCGTAACCTATGTGCTTACCTACATCAAACCGCCCACTTCATATTTGCCCGCCCGTCCGCCGTCGGAGTTGATTGGTTCATTCTGCCTGATTTCCGGCGGTCTGATCTTCATGCTGAGTGTAAGTGCCAAGAGCTCTGATAGAAAGTTCATTGGGCGTTGTTGAGCTAACGACTGTTATAGGCCTCGGATATCATGGACGTCATGGTCTGGTATGATCTCGATGCCATGTTCGCATTCAACGTTGCCATTGGCCTCAGCTGCTTCATCATGGCGTGGGAAATCGTTGTCATTGCCATCAAAGCCTGGGCAAGCAAGAAAGAAGTCTCTCAATCGCACAATCGGTCGTGGTCTTCTGCCTAAATCAAAAATCCCCAACCTGAAACGTACAAGTTCAGCGGTGGTGATAAAATGGATACCCAAACCAGGTAAAAAATGGGGAAAAAAAAAAAGAAAAAACGCGAAATCTCCATAAATCTTCGCTTCTTATTCGGAGATGAATATTTTATTTTAATTCTCTTCAGCCTTATACCCCTATACAGTTTTATTCTTTGATTTTGTTTGGAGATCGCGGCAGCATGTACGAGTGTCGGTATATGGATGATATATAGGTCTCTCGAGGCCAGGCTTGAGGCATGTGAATAGGTTTTATGATTTATGTCGATAACGGGAGGAATCAACGGGAACGAGGAATGCAATTATGATATATCGTTAATAATCTCGCTGGCGAATAGTGTTCGTAAGAAACTCTTGTAGTAGTTGAAGCCCTCAGCCCACTGGAGCTTCCGATCTCCGCGGACTAATCCGCATCGAGACTGGAGGCGCAACCCCTGCGACTTCCTTCGGTCCCGGATTGTCATCATCTTTTTCGTTTCACAGTTAATTCATTAGAACAAGACAAAGCACGCGGTCGGGTCCCTGGCTGGTCAGCAGTGCTTCACTCGAGTCTATTCGAGTCAATCCTTTGCTTCGAATTCTCTGTCTGTCTTACTCCAATCGATGCGTTCTGTCTTCTTCCCGTCAAGAGTTATAGACCTCGCGTGCCATCCATTTTTTTTTTTCTTTGTCGATTGTCATCTGCGCGATTAAAAGTCCAATCGTGCCACCCAAGCCTCGAAAATGTCCTCGTCCTCGCAACCTAGCGCTCTCCCCGCGCTTTCGTTGAATATCACGCCTCTCCGCTCCTATCTTCTACGCCTCCCTCTCTTCACGCGCGCCGTTCTCCTGTTCATCGTCGCATTCTGGCTTCTCGAGCTACAGACTGTTTGGGACGTGATCAATTGGGGTGCTTTGATTCCTGATGAGACGAATATTACTACTTGTACGACTCAACTGTGCCCTTTGGAAAATGAAAACCTGGAGAAGAAGGGAAAAAAAGAGGGCTAATCAGTCTTCTATAGTGTACCGATTGAATACGTATCCCGTTATACACACCGGCCTTTTGCATGCTTTATTGAATGTGTTAGCCCTAACTCCGTTACTGGAGCGATTTGAAGCTGAGCATGGCACCTTGACGGCTCTTTTACTCTTTGTTGGGCGTATGTTTCAGCCTGAATAATGAAAAAATTTCCATCCAGCATACTGACTTCTAGCTTGGTTTAGCTCTGTCCACGTTCCCCGGCGCGTTATATATACTCGTCGAGAAATACATCTTATCCAGAAACACTGCCGTTGTCGGTGCAAGGTCAGATAAGAAAATTTTAATGATTTGATTAGAAAGCGAGTTGCGAGCATCTTATGCTAATAGACGTAAATAGTGTTTGGGCATTTTTACTCCTCGCTTCGGAATCCATCAGAACGTTCCGTGCCAATCCCTATTTTCAGATAGGCACTTTGCGAATCCCGACGTGGACTTCACCTCTCTTTGTTTCCTTCGTGGTCGCCGTCTTGCTCTCAAATACGAGCTTTCTAGGGCATATCTGCGGCATTCTCTTTGGATATTTACGTATGCACCCCCCCTTCTTCCTTTTCACACACATCCTCTGTCGTTTGGTATTTGAATGCGATCAGCTGACTGATAGTTATATGTAGTCGGATTAGGCTACCTCAAGATCTTCGTCCCCCCGGAGAAAATCCTTCGATGGATTGAAGGAAAGCTTAACCTTCTAGGACGACTACCTCATTACGTGTCGGTGGACCAGAAGACGCACGGTCGGTACGGTGTCCTGCCAACGACGTCTACAGAACCAGGTGTGGCTATGAGCAGTTATATTGGAACATCGCAGCGCCTAGGGCCGTAGATGTGATCCTGAGGGAGGAGAAGTGGCGCTAAGAGGAGCATGAAAATTTTATTTATTGTAATAAAGACTCATTCTTGTATATACTCATTTGCGTGTATTACCTATCTATAATGTGGTTAGATATTATGAGGAACGAGAATTGACGATGGCATGTCGATTAGAAGGCCCATCTCATACAGCACGCAGCCAATCCGGTTAGGATGCTATCTGTAAAGGAGCCATATTGGCGTAAGTTGAAATAAACAACAATTATCACTGAGATTCAACGCGATGTTTGGTTTAAGTGACTTGAATAGGTGGGTGACTAAGTAGAAAGCACATGATTGGCTAACTAACTATAGCTCTCCTCTCCGCGGATATTTGGACTGCCACCAGTTGCAACAACAACAACAACAACAACAACAACTATCCGAATCAGCAAATCCATGGCCATTGGGGACAACCTACCCCAAGGTTTACATGCCAATGGGTTTACTATGTAAGTCCTAACTGCCTGCATAAAGAGCAATAGCTACCTGAGTCGCTAGCAAGTGAGCACCTATTAACAACTCGATCAATAGCGTCAGGGCTCCTCCGCAAACAGCGCAATGATCCCTCTACCCTCCTCAGACACCTCCCGCCTTATATCTCCCTTCTTTGCATCCTTGTGGGCGTAGCTTCGCTGCTCATCCTGCCGCTTGAGGACTACTCGCGGGAAACGTACATCTCTGAAAATGCGCTTTTGCCGGGCCAGGTGCATACCTACTTCGCCGGGTCGGAGCAGAATATTTTTAGGGGTTATAAGCGTGAGCTTGAGGGTGTGATAGCTCAGGGTAACAATAATAACAATAATAATATTGTTGGCGATGGAAAGAATATTTCTGAGAGTTGGCGGCCTGAGTGAGTTGGCCCTTGTTTGATAGCCGTTATATTGGTTTATACTGACTACCTCGCAGTAACAGCGTGTCCGATAAAGTTCAAGAGATATTCCGTGCAGCGGGATTGAAGGTCGCTACTCAGAACTACGAGTATCGATCGGCTGGCGACGTGCACAAGGGACAGAATGTGTATTCGATCATACATGCGCCACGGGGAGATGCTACGGAGGCTATCGTCTTGGTGGCTGCATGGAAGACTATCGACGACGAGCTCAATTTGAATGGAGTTACACTGGCTCTGACGTTGGCTAGATATTTCAAGAGTGCGTCTTACGTGATCTGCCTCTATATCATCTCTAGACCTGCCATTCTTTGACAAGACTGACAAATGAAATCTCACAGGATGGTCTCTCTGGTCGAAAGATATTATCTTCGTGATTACTCCAGATAGCAAGGCTGGAACTCAAGCTTGGATTGATGCCTACCATGATATGCATTCGGCTTCCGCACAACCTTTGCCGTTGAAAAGCGGTGCGCTGCAAGGCGCTTTGGTCATCGAGTATCCATTCGACCATCGCTTCGAGTCTCTCCATATCGTGTACGACGGCGTTAACGGACAGCTCCCTAACCTTGATCTGTTCAACACCGCCGTCAGCATTGCCGGTGGACAGATGGGCATCGGCACAAGTCTCCAAGAGATGTGGAATCATGACGATAGCTATGAAAAGCGTCTTGAAACCATGCTTCGCGGCATGGCTAAACAGGGCCTGGGGTTCGCTGCTGGCGCTCACAGCAGCTTTATTCCGTACCATATCGACGCGATCACGCTGCAAACAAAGGGTACCGGCTGGCAAGACGAGATGGCTCTTGGTCGAACTGTCGAGGGATTGTTCCGAAGCTTGAATAACCTCCTCGAACATTTGCACCAGAGCTTCTTCTTCTACTTGCTCATGCATAATAAGCGCTTCGTGAGCATTGGCACATATCTACCGAGTGCGATGCTTGTTGCGGCCAATTTTACTATTATGGCTGTCGCATTGTGGCTGAGGACTGGGTATGATGATCCTTCTACCGTTTCGACTAGAACAGAGCAACATGAAAAGACAGCCAAATCGCCACTTTCAAAGAATACCAACGTATCTATAACACCAGACCCAAAGACGAGGGTGAACGGCATCTCGGAACGCAAACTGTCTGTACCGTTGACAGTTGTGACAGTACTACATTTTCTAGGAATTATACCTTTATTCATTCTGAACAATGTCTCTTCTCAGGTGAGTCTTGTTTTTCTCCTAAAAAATACGTCTACTTCTAGATGTAAAAATCAATTCTTACTAACCTACTTAATCAGTTTTTCCCCCAACTAACCTACGGAATACTCCTCCTCACGATCCTACTACCATTCCTGATCAGCTTAACAGTCTGCAAACTGTTCGCACCTCAGACACAGACTTTCCATTTGATCAAGTCCTTCTCTCTGCTACTTCTCGGTCTATTCCTCAGTGCGCTCGCAACACTCAACTTCTCTCTCTCCTTCCTAATCGGTTTACTCTGCGCGCCTCTGAGTTTTGTAGGAAATCCTCCTCCTGCTGTGCTCAACAGAACAGAAAAACAAAAACATGGAATGGACAACAACAACACCAAAGAAAGGAAGAAACCACAATCCCGCGCACTATCCTCTCTCGTTTCATTAACCCTTCTTAATCTCCTGTCCCCGCCTGCAGTTCTATTATCTACATGCTGGTACACCGAAATCCCAGTCCAGCAAGTCCTTACCCAAGCCGCTTTTGGCTGGAATGTATGGGGCCTCTGGACCCCCGTTGTGCTGTGGTGCGTTTGGTGGCCGGCTTGGTTAACGGGTGCGTTTTTGGTTGCTAGTTCTTTTTTTATTTAGTTTTCTTTCTTGTTTAAAAAAAGGGGGGGGAGGCACTTCTCCTTGACTTGGAGTATTTTATATATATACAAATGTCGTGGCTTTTTGGGAATTGATGGAATCGATGGTGGTGCGATATTATCCAAATGCATACGTATGTATACCTAATATACGGGCAGCGTGTAGCAACTGTTATTTTATTGTTCCCTATATAGATAGGAGGAAATGCAATGAATCTGGAAAAGTAGGTTCAAGCTGTGTGTATAGATCATTCAGTTTTCAAAGTCTACCATCTCGTTTGATATACAGATACCAACTTTTCCAGAGCTGAGAGGTCATGTCATCTCGGTTTTCTGGTCGACAATGAGTACTAATTAGGCTGCCCATACGTCCCTCCCAACACCTTCAATCCAATGACCAAGCTGGTTCACTCCCGTGTCCCACTCCTTCAGGCGATTCCTCATGCCTTCAATCTGCTTCATATCTAGCACCTTGGGCTGAACCCAGTTGATGCGCGCGATTTGTGCAACTTGATCGATTGATCCTTTGATTAGTCCCAGCGAAAGCGCCTTCATAATCAGATGTTCAATCTCATCCGGCTGCACTTTCGTTTCTGCAGAGATTGTCGAGAATGTCATCGTGCGGTCGTGCGGGGGACGGCGGAATACTGCCTCAGTCAAGGCGGAAAGAGAGATCTTAATATACAGGAATTGACGGTGCGATTCGAGGAGCTTGTTTTTGGTGATGTTCCCCGCTAACACGTCGTAGGCAGTCAAGTCGCCGCGGTTAAAGGCGAAGAGAAGGTCACGCAGCCATGCATGAGGTGTCTCGGTGAGTGAATCCAGGATGGGATGCAATAGGAGTTCACCAAAGTTGTAGATCGCATCGGATACTAGGGCAGCCACACTCAAGTCGTAGGCCCGTGAGACTCGTTCTTCCTGTGAGAGGTCTTCGAGGCTCACACAGGCCAGGTAGAGAAGAGCATTCTTATAATAGGATGCAAATTCTTGTTTGGCCTATTTTGTCGCGGAGATTAGCAATCTATCAGCCTCTGTGTGTGTGTGTGTGCGCGTAGCAAAAGACATGACCTACATGATAGTAGTCTGCATTGACCTTGTAGAATGACGCATGCACAACCGTCTCCACTGAATCAAAGGTGTCCAAGATCTTCTGGCTCTTATCTAAATCCTTCCGTGACCCTTCATAGTCCTGTAGTCGCAATTTCACGCCCGCAACGTCAGCGACGGCATACACGTAGGCGTCCTGCGAGTCTGGTTTATCCACTCGGTCGGCTAGCGATGTGAGAAACGCAAGTCTCTCTTGGTCATCTTCAAAGAAGTCAGCTATACGTCTTCCACCATGATGCCAGCAAAGCAAGATACGCACCGCTGCATTGTGTAGATGCCAACAGGCCCAAGGACACAAAATTCAGTTGATTGATTCGGTCCGCAAAGCTGAGTATGAATGATTTGAATATAGGTAATCGCTGGGGGGCGCTCCCGGGGGATCGAAAGAAGTCGACTAGTGCATTGGTAAGCTGGTGCCAAAGCTTCCTCTCCCAGTAATCTTCGAAGTCGAGAAACAAAGCTTGAGCCTCGCTGGGAGCTTGGTCTCGCTGATCCGCCAGGAAGTCGGGAATCTTGTCGGCCTCCATGGTGGGCAGCGATTAATGCTTCCGGTCGAATGAAACGGTCTCGTGTGTGGATATGCAAGTTTCGGGAACGGGAGTCCGCGATGTTGAAGGGAAACGACGGTGTCTTGATGGAATGAAGGTGGCGTAATTCGTGATGAAACAAGTTGAATGATGAAGCTGTTGAGAGATGCACTTGCTTAGCTCCAACTGGTCGCTCTGCCCGCCCGTAGCGCATATTGGCAGCCTTACCAGTCAGGTGTCCATGTCATATGTGAGATATGACAATCGTCTGCGGCTTCCTTGTTGCTTGACAGTATTACCTCGAGTAGTCATTTACCTTTTCCGGTCAGAAATTGTATGATTCGTGTGGCCTTGGCCCTTGAAGCTGTTTGTTACCCATCTTACCTGCCAAACTATCTATCTACAGCATCCAAGGGGCCTGGCCCATGTACATACATGCATTGATCTTATGCCAACACCATTCCACCACGAATGTCATACTTTCGTCGTGACCATGACTGTCTCTCCATAAGTGGCTTCACGAGCTAATGACTCACTGTGATTAATTTACGAGTCCCACGTCAATCGCACACTTTCGCAGACTTTTTGAAGAGAAAGTCTCCGAGACCACAAGTTCAACACGAGTACCCCGCTAGACATCTACGAATTTCTGCTCTGCAGTGACTTAGCTGTGGCTATAAATACAGGTTGATCCCCCCTCCCCCGGTAGATTCTCTGATTCACATCCCAGAGTACTATGCAACATTATTTTTATTGGATCACCAGTATACTTGTACTTTTTCTTTGTGTCACGATTCCACATTTAAGCACCATGGCAAACTTGACTGAAATCAACCGCAAACACTTTGAGTGAGTTGTATAGTCAATACATATCCATCGACTTCAGGACTGACGGCCCTTAGTCAACTTGCCCACGACTATGACACCGGGTTTGAAAAGGGCATCAGGACAATACGCGAAGAGACGCAAAGTCGCCGCCTGTGGATCAGCTCCAAATGGACAGATACTCCAGAGGGCAACGGAAAGGAGATCAAACTCTTGGAATATGCCTGTGGGCCAGGATACATCTCCCGGGTATGCTGTGGCAAGTTTGGCTGTAGGGCTTGGCTCGATCTAACATAAGAATACAGACACTGGAGCCCTTCGTGACTAAATGCCTCGGCCTTGACGTGTCAGAAGGCATGGTAGCCGCATACAACCAGCGAGTCCAAGAAGCCGGTATCTCCCCCGAAAAAATGTCTGCAAGGGTCGGTGATCTGCTCGCGGACAGCGTAGCAGAAGATCTACAGGGACCAGAGTATCACGACTTCGACATTGTCATCGTCGGTATGGCCTTGCACCATTTCCCGGATCCGCAGCTGGCAATCAAACGATTGGCTACCAGATTGAAGAAGGGAGGTGTGCTTTGGATTATTGAAATGCTTGAAGATGAGCACTCGGAGCATGAACACAAACTCATCAGTCCGGAGACTGCTGTGACGGTCCACAAGCATGGATTTGGTATTGACGAGATGAAGGGTTTGTTCACAAACGCCGGCTTTGGCTCTGATACAGAAGTCAAGGTGCTGGACAGACCGTTTGAGCTGACGATGAAAGGCCATGATTTGGCGAAGACGATCATGTTTGCTAGAGGATGGAAGCTCTGATTCGAGTAGACTTTGCATGTACTTAGGAATTGAACTACCGCAATCTAAAGATAATTCATCCATCAGCGTGCAATTTGTATATGCAGTAGAAGGCCGTCGTCTATTGGAGTGTTGAGGCTCAAGGAAGACGTTATGTCCGAATCGGGCTTAGCGCGAACTGTGTCGTGCGAAGTTGCGAGCCGGAACAACCTCAGACCAACCTCGGACCTCAACCAATCCACCACCATCTCCCCTCCACACACGCGACAAACGTACCGTGGAGGTCTGGTACCGAGTCAATTGGCTAGTCTCGTTGTTCGACAATCTTCTGAAGCGAGCCGACCGACAATGCAAAAGTGCCGGGCCTTCAATGGCGCTCTGGGCCGGAAAGCCCTGGCTCCCACCCCTTCCAACCTACGAGTGCAGTTCCAGGCGCAGCGAAGGAATCTACAGGACGTCCATATCACTCGGACCGGAAAGCCTATTTTGAAGATTCAGGGAGGACGGTAGGGCTTGTTCGCGCACCTAGGATCTAGGCCAATGCTAACGTCGATTACCTGCAGTTCGTCCTTGGGAGGTTCGTTAATGTCTGGTTTGAATATTTGACCTTCGCTCATTGTCTTTATTATAGGCCACACTGCCACCGTTTTCGGAGCTACCGGATTCCTGGGTCGTTATATCGTGAACCGACTCGGTAAGTGCATAACCGCACACTCTGGCAATCATGGTCTAATATCGTCTAGCCCGTGCCGGATGTACTGTCGTGGTTCCCTTCCGTGAGGAGATGACCAAGCGTCACCTCAAGGTTTCTGGAGACCTGGGTCGAGTTGTTTTCACGGTGCGCATTGCAGAAATCGGTACATAGCTCCTGGCGCTTGGCTAACTGGGCGTAGGAATACGACCTTCGTAACACTCAATCAATCGAAGAGAGCGTGCGCCATTCCGACGTCGTCTACAATCTCGTCGGCCGCGATTACCCTACAAAGTACGGTCTTTTTCCCCGGCATGGAACTATTCGACAGTTACTAACATACATGTAGGAACTTTACCTACGAAGATGTCCACGTCGACGGTGCGGAGCGCATTGCCGAGGCGGTTGCCAAGTACGACATCGACAGATTCATCCACGTATCTTCCTATAACGCTGCTGAAGATTCTCCGTCGGAATTCTTCAGGACCAAGGGTTGGGGCGAGCGTGTTGTTCGCGAGATCTTCCCCGAAACTACGATTGTGCGCCCTGCCCCAATGTTCGGATTTGAGGACAACCTGCTTCACAAACTTGCTGGAGTAACCAATCTCTTTACCTCCAACCACATGCAGGAGAAATACTGGCCAGTCCACGTAGGTGACGCACCTTCACATTTAAGAAAAATCTATTTATTTATATTTTATAGGCCATTGATGTTGGAACTGCCCTGGAGCGAATGCTGTACGACGACAACACCGCCTCCCAAACATTCGAACTCTACGGCCCAACGCAGTACTCGACTGCTGAAATTGCCGAGATTGTCGACAAGGAAATTGTCAAGCACCGTCGCCACATCAACGTTCCCAAGGTCTTGCTTAAGCCCGCTGCTCACTACCTCAACAAGTTCCTCTGGTGGCCCACTCTTTCTCCTGACCAGGTTGAGCGTGAGTTCATTGATCAGAAGATTGATCGCACCGCGAAGACCTTTAAGGACTTGGACATTGAGCCCGCTGAGATTAGCAGCCTCACTTACCTCTACCTTGTAAGATTCATTTTTTCCCGATCCCGATTGCTGACTAAACCAGAAACTAATCATCATAACAGATGGGCTACCGAAGCTCCCAATACTACGACTTACCACCGGCGACAGAGCGCGAGCGGAGAGAGGAAAAGAAATACCTGCATGTCCTGGATGATCAATAGTCGATTGCTTTGTGCTTTTGTAAGTGTAAATAAAATGATTTTTACCTGACTAGATTGATTTCCTTTGTCGACTCGAATAAACATTGTATCAGTGATTACCAATTGAACTTTGTAGAGTCTAGCCTTGCCTGGTAGCAAATATATGTAGAGTACCAATCAACTAGACACGTTGGAAGTCAAAACGCCGATAATTGTGTTTACAGTCTTTCCATGTCTAGTTTTAATGAGCGATGTGGTTAAAACCTGGATGGATGATGGCACTGAATATTGCGGGGCACTTCGCCTCGCGCAAGTTTTTATATAGACGCCTCGAGCCAGAGATGCTTCTCGCAAATATGCAGGAGAAACAATAATAAAGACGAGCGAGGCACCTACGCACTACTCAAGACTTTTTTTGTCAGTCAAGCAAAAATAAGCATAATCCTATCCACGGTTGGACTCGTTTCACATGCCCTTCTTACCTCATCAGTTGATATCGGCACCGTCATCTTCAGACTGTGGGCAGAATTTCCCTAAACCAATACAAGATCAAAGAAGACTCTACCAAAATGGCACAGTTCGAAGAAAAGGCTCTATTCGGAGGTGCCATCACCGGCGCTGCGCCGCAAGGATGGATTGATGGGAGGTTTGTTCCGAGATTCCCTCTTACTGGTTCAATATATATTTATATATATGCATACATACATGCCTTATTGACATATGTCGCAGCACCGTTCGCGAAATCCCAGATCATCAGGAGCTCTTCCTATCCTCCACGACTCTGTCAAATCTCATCTTTGAAGTCAACGAATACGTCACCAAACAACAGGCCCTGAGCACATTGAGCGCCGTGGCATCACCAGATCTCGCGCCGCGCACTGGAGGCATCCATGCCGATGCCGATGCAGAGGGTATAGCTGCTGCGACTTACCATCTTCGAGACCTCTGCGACGAAGAGGATGCGATAGATGTGATCAACGCGCCACGGAGAGTTCAACTCAAGAAACTCACCTCCCCAGCAGCAAAGGATAATCACCATCCGTCGGCATTCTCGGGTCTGGTGAAGTTCACGACTCCGCGGAAACAGCGGAGAGGGTCGGCACAGCTGCAGCGACAGAATGTCTCTTTTATTTCGGTTGATGCTTCGGGGGGATCGTCGTCGTCAATTTCACCATCTGCTGCTACTGATAGTAACAATTCAACACAGAGTTGTCACTTTTTATTGGTGAGACTGCCGGAGAAGGAGACTGATTTGCTTGTTTTTGTGAATGTGCCGCATGACGAGTTTGATTTGCAAGGTGATCCGCGAGCGTTGGCCAAAGAGGAGGATTTGGCATGTGGACTGATACAAAAGTTCGTCGAGGTACTCGATATCAAAGACTGGAGTTTGTTTGGCTAATGTTTAACGACCCGGGTGGATATATTATCGTTTGTTCTGTTAGATTTGAGAAGATGATAGGGATAATGAAAGTCTGCTTTGGCATCGTATCGTCACATGCAGCAAATATATCTGGCTGGCATTGTGCCAGATTTGCATCACAAGAACATAGGCTATTACTACCTTGATAACAGATGGCACATGAATGAAGACAAAGAAAAAGTAACTGGCTTCAAATGCAACAAACCAACAACGCCCCGGCTCAAATGCAGACGACACGTAACCAAGCTAAAATAAAAAAAAACGTAAAAGTCTAAGACATTTGGCTATGCAGATCAAATGCAAGCAAGGCAAAAAAAAAAAAAAGAAATCAAACCTAACACCTCAAGATGCTTTCGAATAAAAAAAAAAAAAAGAGGCTTGCTCAAACCAAAACTCCACTTCTCATGTTTTGTACGGTCTTCAAACCAACGCCCTTCAGACGCCCTAGCTCAGCAAGACTTTGTACTCGGACATGGTCGACACTTGATTCGTTTGAAATATCCATCTCGCATAGACAATCAACGATGGCCTCGGCTTTCTTTGCCCCAACGCCCTTGAGCAGCTTGATCTGGCCCACATCCCTTGAGTTGATGACGGACAGCAGATGCCTTGTACGCGGGGACTGAATCTGCAATTCACCGTCATCGAGACTGCCGGTCAAACTTCTGCTCTCATTGTCAATGAGCCCCGACGAGCTTGCAGGTGCGCTTGGAATGGCTCGCTTTCGCTTGAGCCCAGTAACAGATTTGACATAGTGTTCGTCATTGTCATCACTATCAAATCCATCATTCTCAGAATCTCTATATTCATCATCACTCGTATCCCCTAGACGATGTGTTCGGGCTATTTTCGCTGGCCTGCCGATGGAGAGCATGCTACCCCTTCCAGGCAACGTTACAGTCATTTCGGGTTCCGGGTTAGGCTTGGGCTTCAGCTTGTCTTCAAGATTGGCTATCTTGATTGCAAGTTTCTGGTTCCGTGGGAAGAAAGGCAAAGCAAGCTTGTACATCCGCAACGCAGAGGAGAATTCTTTCCTCCCATGATGTTGTTTTGCCATCAAAAGATAGGACAGTCCTTCTGCACGGGCATCCTCAGTCCCTTCAATTCTTCGCTCCAGGCTCTCTAGGCGACGTTGCACTTGCTCGTTGATCTGGTCTAGTTGGGCTTGATGTTGAAAGGAATCCCCGAGTGCCCTCGCTGCTAGCAGCTGTTCTACCTTCTTTTCAACCATTTCTTCAATCTTATCCGGTGAAACTCCCTTAAGGCAGCCTTCTGTTGACCTTTCTGGTTCTTTGTTTGGCCTTTTGTGAACTTGGCGGTCCAGACTAGGTGTGTTCTGTTTCAAAGGAGAAGACCGCCTAGGCCCTTCTCGCTTGAGGGAAGTCGTATGAGGTTTGATAAATTGTCTGTCAGAATAGACGGAAAATGCCTTGGCTGGTTTCTTTTCATCTCCCTTTGAAGTATCAGCTATCGGAATATTCACATTGACAGACGAAGTTAAAGGGCGCAATGGCTGACGCAGAGCTGATGCAGAGGCCAAAGCCCGCGTTGTCGATCTTGGCGGTCCCTTAAATATCGGTTCATTCTCAACTTCGCGCACTTCAATTTTTTTCGTTCGATTGGCGAAGTTTAAGGAGCTGATTGTGTCTAGGTGATAAGATCGCACGGGAGCTAGATTGAGTATCATGAGCGTCAGGCCATTATTCTGGCCTAGGGACAAGATGCGAGTCATCTTTGATTCCCGGTACGGTATACGGGATTGCTTCTTGCTGATGGCTTCTACGCACTGTGCCAGTACAAAAAGACTCTTATTGATGCTCGCTGACTCTACCATGCGCTCCTTGCCGTTCTCAGTCCGTCGGTTATCTTCTGATCCTGCCAAATCAATAGCAGATGCCATGCTGACTCGTGTTTTTCCACCACTAGTGATGACAATTTTGACGCAAAGAATAGCATGTGACCGTGAAGAATGTGCGTTAAGCTACCGAAATCAGCAATCTGATCTCAAGCAAGGGAATTAATCATCCATACCTTCGTCGCGGACGTCGATCGGTTGGTATTCGCCTGATCATAAAGAGTTTCAAAGTCTCTCAGGCTGAGACACGGCCGTTCCGTCAAGCCAACGACTACGGTCTTTCCATTATTATCTCTCAGAGGTAGGCCGGCCATGGTCCTCTTTTCCGGAGGCTCAAAGAGATCGTAAACTTTGTCGTTGTAAATCTCATAGTAGCTCATCAGCACCTCAACCTTGCTCGCCCCTTCCGAATCCTTCTCGATCTTCCGACTGCGTCGATAGATGCCGCTGAGAAGTCTGGGAATAACACCACGATCTTGAAGACTTTTGCCGCCTCGCATAGTATGTGTCTTTCCGGTTCCAGTGACGCCGTATGCGAATATAGTGACATCGAACCCATTAAAGAGATGCTTCACCGTAGGTGCGACTAGAACGCAAAGCTATTTAGTGGCTCTCCGCCGGGCTCGGGACAGTTCAAACTAACCTTCTGCTTCGAAGAGCTCCTGTTGTGTGGTTTCGCCTCCGTAGACAGCGTTGAATTGGAAGGTGTATTGTTCGCTCTCATTTTTGGGATTGGGAATCCTGACGAGCGTATCCCGGTCTTTGACGCAGGCCTTGCCGGGAGATGCACCCTTCCTTAGCTTGACAGCATCTGTTGACAGCGAACCAGGGCGGACAATCACATCCAGCTCACGCTCCGACTTCCACAGAGGTCTCACACGGGCAACAACGCGAACACTCATGACTCCAGTGTAATCGAGGGGGGCGTCAACGAAGTAAAGCCAAGAATCGAGAAACGCAACAACAAAGGAGCGAAGGCATAAAAACAAAAGCCTAGGACGAATTGAAGAAGGAAATTCTATCTACCCCGAAACATACATGCAGTAGAACAGAAGCCAAATAAAAGCAATCAAAGGACCGAAACGACCGCGGCGCTTGAAGAGTTGGTTGTTGGCGAGGAAGAAGAGAAGCAATTCCGGAGGTGGAAGTGTGCGACTGGCCCAAGGCGGAAGGCGGTTGCCGCAGCAACAGCAGGCATGATACGATGCCGCGAGGGAAGGAGCAGAAGATTTTGTTCAATATCAATCCATAATGCATGCATGAATGTATGAATGCGCCTTGGAATGGCGACTTGGAGATCCTTATTTCGTTCTTGCTTGCTCGCGGTGGCTGACTGTGTGTTTGGCTGGCTGATAATCTAGGCCCTGACGGGGTTGAAGAACACATAACACATAGGTGTCAGCTGGAGACGTACTTGATTATACAGCACGATAGTTAGCAAAGGGCAGTAGTAGTATTTAGTATATCTACCTAGGCAGGATTTCCATAGGTCTTTCGGCGTACGATGTGCACGTGCGATATAGAAGAGCACTCGTAGCCCAGAATGCTCGCCCGCTATGCATGCATGCCATATAGGCCGACTGTGCATCGAGTGAGGTTCTTCATGAGCATGCATATACCCGTACGCATCTCCAAATGGTGCAGAACGTAGTTCTCGAGTGTCAGTGAAGCATCGCCAGCGGGCGGCAGAATGGCCGGAGCGGCGGGCGCTGATTGGCTCTCCGTGCTCTGCCGCCTGTTGCAAAGGCCACCGTGCAACAACTGCACGTCAAGGCAAGGCCAGCTTGGAAACACCCCTCGCCGTTCTTTGCTCGCTTTCCCATCTCTACGGACAGGGCGGCCTTTTGCATTGTCGCCGCCTGTCGTCGCACTTGTCAGTTCTGCCCAGGTAATTCACTGCTGTGTTTACACAATCTCCCTTGCATTTCGAGTCCTCTGGCTCTCTCCCCCGCACAAACTTGTGTGGGATCGCTCATCGGTTACTGACGTCCAGCAACAGGGACACTGTAGGAGCTACGCTATTATACAGTGTGACGAGCCGAAACCACTGCATCTGAATCGATACCGTCTCCAGCGTATTACCAGTGCTCTACCTATCAATGGCGTCACCACAGGGAGGGTATCCTCCTCAGGAGGGTTACGGGCAAGCACCAGTGCAACCTCCGGCGCCTGGACCAGCTCCCGCCGGTCAACCTGCAGGAAAGAAGAAGCGCGCATACGCCGGGGAAGCCTTTGATTTTGGATCAGGAGCAAATGCCGCTCTCGGGGGGCAGCCGAAAGCTGGTGGCGATTATGGAGCATACGCTGCCCAGGCCGCATCAGCAGGCTATCCGCCAGCTGGATATGGGATGGATCCTGCGGCGGGCTACACAGCACCACAACCCCCAGCTGTTGGAGGATATCAACCACCTGTAGCGGGATACCCCGGTCCTGGTGGTGCTGGTGGTGTTGCTCAAGTGACCCAGCAGTTTGGCCAAATGGGAGTTGCTGATCCGCAGCAGCCTGTTCCTCCACAGCAAGCTCCAAGGGCTGTTCCCCTGAACCAGTTGTATCCTACCGATCTGCTCACGCAACCGTTTAATGTTGCCGAGCTTGACTATCCACCTCCGCCGATCATTCTACCACCAAACGTAAGTGTCACCTTTTGTTGCTCACGGTGATTTGTATTGCTAACACCCCCCCCCTCTCTTGACCACAGACAAGTACCTATCCTTCACCGTACGCGAACTGTCCACCCAAGTATGTGCGTTCTACTCTGAACGCAGTTCCGACAAACTATTCGCTTCTCAAGAAATCCAAGCTCCCGTTTGCCCTTGTCATTCAACCATACGCAGCACTTCATGATGCCGAAGATAACATTCCCGTGGTCCCGGACCAGGTCATCTCTCGATGCAGACGATGCAGATCATATATCAACCCCTTCGTATCGTTCTTGGATCAAGGCCATCGCTGGCGCTGCAATATGTGCAACCTGACAAATGACGTTCCTCAGGCATTTGATTGGGATACCGCCTTACAAAAAGCAGCAGACCGCTCCCAGCGACCAGAGTTGAATCATGGCGTGGTCGAATTTGTTGCCCCCCAGGAATACATGGTCCGGCCGCCGCAGCCACTTATATACTTGTTTTTGATCGATGTTAGCTATGCCTCGGTTACGAATGGCCTTCTTGCCACGGCTGCTCGATGCATCAAAGAAAGCTTAGATCGGATTCCCAACGCAGACCGAAGGACACGACTTGGCTTCTTGGCTGTCGACTCCAGCCTCCACTACTTCACTATCCCTAGAGATGGATCCGAGAATTCCGCTCCGAAGATGCTTGTTGTCAGCGATCTTGACGAGCCTTTCCTGCCCATCCCAGGGGATTTGCTGGTCACGCTATCTGAGTGCCGCGAGAACATTGAGAATTTCCTGGATAAGCTGCAAGACATGTTCCAGAACACACAAAATGGCGCGTGTGCTCTGGGTTCTGGTCTTCGGGCAGCCTATAAGCTGATTGCCCATGTCGGCGGAAAGATCACTGTGCTGTCTTCGTCACTTCCCAACATCGGGCATGGTTCGCTTACGGTGCGAGAGGACAAGAAGGTCCTGGGTACTAGCAAGGAGAGCAGTCTTCTGCAGACCGGCAGCAGCTTCTACAAGAGTTTTGCTGTGGAGTGCTCCAAAGCTCAGGTCTCAATTGATATGTTCCTATTTTCCTCGCAATATCAGGATGTTGCTTCTCTTAGCAACCTTCCACGCTATACGGGAGGACAGACGTACTTCTACCCGGGATGGAACGCCGCTCGCACGGAAGACGCCATCAAGTTTGCTCGCGAATTCTCGGACTACCTCTCATCTGAAATCGGACTGGAAGCTGTCTTGCGTGTACGTGCTACGACGGGTCTGCGTATGAGCACCTTCTACGGAAACTTCTTCAACCGCAGCTCGGATCTTTGCGCATTCCCGGCATTCCCTCGTGATCAAGCTTATGTAGTCGAAGTCTCTATCGACGAGACGGTCACCAAGCCCGTTGTTTACCTACAAACCGCCGTTCTACACACCACATGCAATGGCGAGCGAAGGATTCGTGTGCTGACATTGGCACTGCCGACTACGCAGACATTGGCCGATTTGTATGCCTCGGCTGATCAGCAGGCGATCACCACTTTTTTCAGCCACAAGGCTGTGGAGCGCGTCCTGTCCAATGGGCTGGAGCCTGCTCGTGAGGCTATCCAGTCGAAGATTACTGAGCTTTTGTCGACATACCGTAAGGAGCTTGCAGGGGGCAGTGTCGGCGGGGGCGGCCTACAGTTCCCTGCCAACATGCGAGCATTGCCTGTTTTATTCCTCGCATTGATCAAGAACGTAAGTCTAGCGTTATCTTCTTCATCTTTCATTGGCTTCCCAATGCTAACAAAATAACTCAACAGCTTGGCCTCCGTAAGTCGGCACAGATTCCCACCGACATGCGGTCGGCTGCAATCTGCCTGCTTTCAACATTGCCCTTGCCACTTTTGATCCAATACATCTATCCGAAAATGTACTCGCTGCATGATATGCCAGACGATGCTGGTCTGCCAAACGATCAGAGCGGAGAAATTGTTCTCCCGCCTCCGGTTAACCTGTCTTCGGAGCGGTTGGTGCCGTACGGCCTTTATCTGATTGACGACGGACAGACGCAATTCCTCTGGGTTGGACGAGACACTGTCCCACAGCTCCTGATTGACGTGTTCGGAGTGGCGGACAGGAACCAACTACGGGTGGGCAAGCAGTTCCTTCCTGAGCTGGACAACGATTTCAACGAACGGGTGCGCGCTGTGGTGCAGAAGAGTAAGGACTTCAAGGCCAAGGGCGCGGGTAGCATTATTTCTCCGCAGCTGTATGTTGTCAAGGAGGATGGTGAGCCAGGATTGCGACTTTGGGCACAGACCATGCTGGTGGAGGACCGGGCAGACCAGAGCGTCAGCCTGCAACAGTGGATAGGCTCATTGCGAGAGAAGGTATGATTTCTTTTTCTGTGGCCCTTGTCCGATTTGGCTCGGGGACTAACCGCCTGCCAGGTTGTGCAGTGATAGTGGTGAATAAATACAACCGATTGGTTTAGAATCATGTAGCGTCAAGCACCCTTGTTTAACTCTATACCTGGTACCTACTCTTACTACTTACTTATTTATTTAGCATTAATTTTCTATTTCATCCCATCCTGTAACTTGTGGTGTGTATTGCCTGGCTCAGCCCGATACGGTAAATTTCTACTAGTGTTTCTCTGGCGGCGCCAAGTGGGGCCGAGCTGGCACATCCGCGCTCTGTTCTGGGCGCTGATTGGCTGCAATATTGTGACAGAGGCAGAGCTCATCACGATTAGACGCCCGTAAGGAACAAAGTATATTTTTCGTCTTACTATTTGTAGTAGCTGGTAATTACCGTACGCGTTATTACGGGCTCATTGCCGCTGCGATGGCTGGTTCTGCACGCTGACTGGCCGAACTACAAGACCCAGACGGAGAGCCAAGCTTCTTGGATCGACGAGATGACCCAAGCATTTATTTCGTCCAGTGTATTTTTTTTTTTTTTTCCTTTTTGTTTAACCCGGTTTCCCGCCGTGATCTGGTGTACGGCTGTTCCACTGTTTACGGAGTACGGAGCAGTGTTTACTCCTTCCTGTTCCTGGCGGCTGATATGTAGTTGTTGACAAGTGGGCATCTGCCACAGGATAACATATAAACGTCTTCTTTGTCTCAACAGATCGCGGGCTGCAGCGTGCATGCCCCGTATATAATATAGAATATACAACATCACATATATGCATGTATAGATTATGTATCATGTATCATGTATTCTGTATGTATGTATGTATCGATCAATACGCTTCCCCTCCTCTACGGCTACCCGCCCGTGTGATTGCCCCACCTTATACCTCCTGCTCGTTTCGCAAGTCTCACTCAGTCCAAGACATGCCTCGACGTGCTCATCGCTTGCTTCTATCTTTCAAACAACCGCAGACGTCCTCTCCTTTGCCCTGCCTTCCTCTGAAGCGCTGCTGTCTGCGTTAACCCCCCCGGGCAGTCTTGCCTGCTGCTGCTGCTGCCAACTTCGCCCCTCTGCGTTCGTCTGTTTACGTCGATTCATTAGTCCGGTAAGTGCTCGGTTCTGTTTCGAGTCAGACTCTGCATGTCATTCACGATGACTCTGGTCAAGCCTACATAACCTCGAGTCGCTGCTATTTATATATAACGCCCACAGACATGCTGACTCCTCCTCAATCGCACTCAGCGCGCATAGTCCGTTAACCGCCTTACGTCTCCTTACGAAGCGCATAACACAAAGACCGCATTTACACCGTCCAATATCTGCTGCAACTTTCCATAGCCCTTCGGATTGCGGCCACTTTCTCGTGTCCGGCATAAGGAACCTAGCGTGATAAGAATAGAAAAGAGGTATGCAGGCTCCCACTTCTTTTAGTACACACTGTCTCTTGGGCTGTGTTGGATGGACATCTGCATTGACGGAGGCCACAACCCCGGTTTCATTCATTCCGCCATATTGTGACCTTTATTCATTGGAAATATCAAAGAATTTATCCCATTGCGGCTTCATGTTCATTACCCCCTGCTCTTGCCAAATCTTTTATTCTTGCAATTTCTGGTCTTATGTCTTCAAGCACCTACCTTCCCATACGTCCATCTCATACACCAACCAACTCATACTCATAGATTCTATAGAGGGCCGCAATGGCTCAAGGTCAGATTCCTCCCCACGGAGGGTCGCGAAAGATCTCTTTCAATGTCTCAGACCAGTACGACATTCAGGATGTCATCGGAGAAGGAGCCTATGGAGTTGTTTGGTAAAGATGAACCTGCGAATTTCCTTGCCGAGCTGTCACTGATGCCTTCCAGCTCTGCTCTGCACAAGCCTTCTGGCCAGAAGGTAGCCATTAAAAAAATTACCCCGTTTGATCACTCCATGTTCTGCCTCCGAACTCTTCGAGAGATGAAATTGTTGAGATATTTCAATCACGAAAACATCATTTCAATCCTCGACATTCAAAGACCCCGTAACTACGAGAGCTTTACGGAGGTTTACCTTATTCAGGTGTGCATCACGATTTCTCAAGATTGTTGTATTTTTCAGATGACTGACTCATGCAGGAACTCATGGAAACTGATATGCACCGAGTAATCCGCACTCAGGATCTGTCTGACGACCACTGCCAGTATTTTATCTACCAGACTTTGCGCGCGTTGAAAGCCATGCACTCAGCCAATGTCTTGCACCGGGACCTAAAACCCTCGAACCTGTTATTAAACGCCAACTGTGACTTAAAAGTCTGTGATTTTGGCCTGGCTCGCTCTGCAGCCTCCACTGACGATAATTCTGGGTTCATGACTGAATATGTTGCTACTCGTTGGTACCGAGCCCCTGAAATTATGTTGACCTTCAAGGAGTACACCAAGGCGATCGATGTGTGGAGTGTGGGATGTATCCTGGCGGAGATGCTAAGCGGAAAACCACTGTTTCCTGGCAAAGACTGTAAGTTCCTCCCGGAATCATTTAAACGATCTTTTCAACATTTTTAACAATTCATAGATCATCACCAACTTACCCTGATTCTGGATGTACTCGGCACGCCCACGATGGAGGATTACTACGGCATCAAATCACGTCGTGCTCGTGAATACATCCGGTCTTTGCCATTTAAGAAGAAAATCCCTTTCAAGCACCTCTTCCCGAAAACCAACGACCTCGCACTTGATCTCCTAGAGAAGCTGCTAGCGTTCAACCCAGCCAAACGTATCACAGTCGAAGAGGCTCTGCGGCACCCATACCTCGAGCCATACCACGATCCTGAGGATGAGCCAACTGCGGACCCGATCCCAGAAGAGTTTTTTGATTTCGACAAGAACAAGGATGCCCTAAGCAAGGAGCAACTGAAACGTAAGTCTTCCCTTTTATGTGTGGATAAGCACAGTATACTAATCAGGAATTTGTTTAGTCCTGATCTACGAGGAAATCATGCGGTAGATATATTTACTCCTTTCTTTTGTCTTTTATCCCTTTCTGTATGTAGTTGAGAATTTAGTTATTCAGATGGGTGATATTATGAAAATCATGTTTGTTTCGAAAGGATCCATCACAAGAATCTAGTAGCAGGGTTTATTTCAATCTAGATGACTACGTAAACTCGAATCCTGTTGCGTGTGATATACTTGTCTATCTACATAATCTATGTATATATATCATTCATTATTAAGAAGATATTCCAGAATCCCTTCGCCAATTCCCTCCGGACTCGGTTTTCGGGCCACCACGTCGGGCTCAAAGCCGTAGTTTTTCACCAGATAGTCTCTCGTCGTCGGGCCGATAGTTGCTATTAGACACTTTCTTTTGCTTCCCGTAGTACTTCCATCATCACCAGAAGCTTCATTGACTGTCCTGAGAACAGCATCGCAGCCCGTCGGCGAGAAAATAACCGTCCACATTCGTTGCCGCTGTCGATCCTGCAGCTGCTTCTCAACAACAGCTTCTCGAAACGCACCCTCAAACCCCTCCCTTTCAGCCGTTTCATAAACAACCAGTTCGTCAACATGTATCTGCCGTTTCTCGTCTAGGTGGTCTTCTCCCTCGCCCATGAGTGTTTTCGGGATAATGTCTCGTCGCTGTTCGCCGACTAAGAAAAGTAATCCTGGTTTCGGACGGACTGTCGTTGTGGCGTTATTATAACGCTCGTTATAGTGTTTTAATATAAAGTGCGCTAGCGTCTCGCCATTGCCGGATTCGTCACCGCAAATCGTTGCAAAAGGCAGATATTTGTCGCGGATGGGGGTTAGTGTGCGTGTTGTCGCTGGTCCGACGGTGTAGAGAATCATGTCTTTGGAGGTTGAGGTCGTTATGTCCGCTGTAAAGGACGTTGTCAGTTCTAATTTGATGAGCAGCAAGAAAGTTTGAAGCATGCCATACTGAATATGCTATCTGCTTGTTCCAGAATATGTCCAAATGCTTCCACGGCTCGTTGGCTGGTGAATATCATGCCGCCGTATTTCTTTGCTTGTCCACTGAATGCATTGCTATAGTTTTCAGTGTTGTTATTGTTTTCTCCTCTCGTATCGCTTGTCATTGAGATTGATGTTAAAAAATAGGATTTCAGGACCCCCAGATTCTGCGCATGGAATCGATGCGATAGTACAGGCACGAAGATGGGGTCATATTTGTGATTTGCTGCACAATCACCATCGGGCCGCCTCGAAGGGAAGGATTGAGTGCGAAAGTATTCCTCGTACACGTCCTTGGGCGTTGAGGGTGTTTTTAGGAGGAAGACTGGCGGCGGCGTAGTACCTTGTTTCTCTTCGCAGGACGACATTTTCGGCTCGGCCTTTTCCTCAATTCTTTAATCTTATTGTACCGAGGTATATGCCGAGTATGGGAAGTTGTCTCCTGTCGTAATATTAATAGATGATTTCAGTCGCTGGTTCAGTCGCTGAGGTTTAAAAACCGTCGCTGCGGGGTGCGGAGAACGTCCACTTCCTTCGGACCACTATCTACAGCGCTCAAAGCTTCACCAAAGAAAAGTTATACACTACGTCTGGAATGCTTGGCTTAAGTGGATAATGCTGAATGTATAATTAATCTACATATCGAGCATCTCTTCGACATACTCCTCCAAGTTAATCATTCGGAATCGCGCCCCCCACTTTGCCCGGAATTCCTTCCGTTTGTAAGCAAAACTTGTGTTCATCGCGAAGCTGACCAGCTCAATACTCCAACCTTTCTGCAATGCACGCTCAACCATCCTCAAAAACCCACCGGAGAACTCGGCTTCCGCCGCGTCTCCAGTGGCCAGCACAATCGTCGCGGGCTTATCGGTGTCAACCAGACTCTCCAGCATTTTCAAGTGTAGAATTTCGTCTACACACTGTTCAACCCATCTTTCGGAAGAGGAGCCCATTTCTGAGCCTCCTCCTCCTGGAACAAGGGTATTGCGGAATTTCAACTGTCGTGGCGTCCATTCCTTCGCTTTGTGAACTCGACTGAGGATATTAACCTCATAACCGAGCGTCTCGGCTTCGTTGATAGCGGCGAACCGATCTGATCCTGCAAGCACTCGCTTGGCTACAGGGCGGCCGCGTTCGAGGATAAGGGAAAAATTGTGAAATGACAAGGGCAGACGTTTGATGTGCGTGCTGACTGGGATGCCGTGCTGGGTCTTGTAACTGTCATGAAGACCGATGGATATATTGGATAGATCGACAAAGACGTGAACTTTAGATGGGGCCTTGGAATATTTGGACGTGGGGGGTGGCGTATATATACTGAAATCAGGAAATTGTTTGCTGAGTTTGAACACAAGTCCTGCTTTGCGTTCTACTGCCGATTTGTAGCCAGGTCGACCCGTATGTTTGGTCGTGGTGGTGATGATTTTCTTGGGAATCAAGGAGGGTAATGTACTGTCTTCTTCGTAGGACGAAGGCGGTGTCAACACTGTGTGAACTCTACCCTTTCCACCATGATTTACTTGGGATGGGATGAATGACAAGGTCGAGTTATTCGACACAACGGAGTCAAACACACTGAGATCGCCATCGGACTCAACCGCAGTCGAGTCAGACAGGACATCGGCCGAGTTACCGGAGACGTCGGTCTCTGTAGGACGTTTCAATATCGACAATGGCCTTGATGGAAGCCCACTCGAAGGCTCGTCCCGCACCTTGGTTGTCGAAACATTGCCACCAGGTAACTCGGGAAGCATTGTAGATGGGTGCAAAAAGTCCCATAGCCGGGTAAAGTCACCGAGACATTGACCTCCGAGGGTATCCTGCGGTGTCCGCGAAGGTTCTTTATTATGTTCGGATGAAGTGGCGTTGATCGGCCGTGTTGGGGTGTGGAGGAGGTCAATCACCGCGGTGAAGTTCCAGTCTGAAGAAGCATTAGATGATTGCATGGAAATAACGGGTTCTATTATGTGCGTAAGGTGCTGTTAGGATATCGCTTGGTCGCAGATATTCATGTTGTATGGATATTCAGTGCCTGCAAGTCTCGAGATGTCGAAGCCTTGCAGGACTTGAATTGGGCCGCATTCTGCGGTTCGGCCGGCAGTCACGTGATCAAACCCCGCGAAGTCGACAGGAAGTATTTTAGCATTCTCTATGCATCTTTTAAAGAGATGAACATTTTTAACGTTTAATTTTCAAGCAGTAAACGAGCGCAGAAAACGCAGGAAAGAACCAATGACAAAGCAGTGCAAACAGGCCAAACATGTCAGACAGCAGACGGGCCCCGAGATGCTCACCAGCCACATCGATCTGCATTATGTCATCAACGCGATGAGGAGCAAGCCACACCCCGTGACTGCTGGCTACTGTAGGTCATCTCGACGTCATGTATCTCCGGCCTCAAGCTTTGTGGAGAGATCCAAATGCGGCGCGCTTGGCTCTCTCTCGTCATTGGCAATGCCAACTTCCACTGCCCTTTGCACGCCTTGAGAAATGACGCCAACGACGACGACGAGTGGTATCGCTACGTCACATCCACATGAATGAATGCAGACGGACGGGCTATATAAGGCCTTTGGAACTCCTGCTTGTCGTTACTTCTCCTCAGGACAGCATCAAACATTCCAATCAATCCACAAAGCTGCAATCAAAACTTCTGAGCAATCTCTCATAAACCCTCTAATCAATCAATCAACCGTTCAAGATGTCTGACGCAGGTCGCAAGGATTTCTCTACCAGTATGTCTCTTTTGTGTTCCATCCAGTCTTGTCAAGAGCTCAAATCACTAACCACTGGCTCTGAATACAGAGGCCAAGGAGGAAATAACTCCTGACTCCTCGAAGTCAACCCAGCAAAAGGTTAAGGAAACCTTCACCGACACTACTGATCGCCTCGCTCGTGGTACTCAGCCAGATGATGACAAGTCTACCGCCCAGTCTGCTTTTGACAAGTCTCAGCGCACCAGCGACAATGAGGCTCACGGTGGCGCTACTTCTTCCATGTGAGTTTTTCCATCCCACTTCGTTCCCATCATGCTGTTCCATGCTAATCATACTCCTTTCAACAGTGGTGACAAGATCAAGGACACCTTGGGCTGGAACAACAAGTAAAGTTGTCTACACCCCATCTGCTGCTATGATCGTTTCGACGGACTTTTGTGGGGATTCTTTTCACGACATGTTATGATCTGGCTTGATATCTTTTCGATTCGTTGATGCAATATCATGAACGATACCAACAAGTTAGTTAGCTTAATGAAATAATAACACGGCATCTAAGCAATTTCAGTGTCTCCCAAAGCATCCAATAAAGTAAGTTCATAGAGCGATGATGCTATTTCCTGCGTGTAATGGCATTGTCAAACAATTCATCTCGTTCGCGTGTGAGACGATTGAGCTCTTTTTCCAATCGCTTATACTCATTTTTGGCATCTTCCAAGTCGGGCGGTAGATCGCGAAAGCTCTTGATCCTGCTCTCGAGTTCCCTCACAATTTCCTTCAGACGAAGCAGATTCTCCTCCTCCTGCGCTACTTCCTCAATGGTCGGTCCATCGATGCTGACACTTCTTCGTAGCGAAGTGATTTTGTCGCGGTATTCGTTGACTTTGGCACCGAGGATTTTTGCGCTGCGTGTCCATTCCGCCGTTTTTGATGTAAGATCAGGTGGTGTTTTGTATGCCGGGTGCGACTTGAATGTTTCAATCTCTGTCTGTACAAGCGAGATCTCCTTGTTCAGATACGCCTGCAGTGCTTCCACTTTTTGAACTTGATTTGCGAGCTCAAACTCGTCTCGAGTGAGCTCTATAATTGCATGCGCTAGTTCTGTGATGCCCGTAGACGAATCTCCCAGTAGGACTATCGTTTCTGCCAAGTCATGAAAGGCTTCCTCGCCCTCCGAATCCAGTCGTGCTTCTATATCCTCTAGCAAATCCTGCTTCCGTGGGTCTCCAACCTCTTCTCTCTGCTTCAAAGCTCGAACTACCTCTTCGCGAGCTCGGTGTACTAGAGAGGCTTCTTCGTCTGCCGCATCATTTGCTGCAGCGATGGCTATGAGAGTTCTTAGCGTCTCGTCGTTGCGCTCAAATGGAGGCACATTCTGAGGAGAGTATTTGCGACTGAGCCATGAATTCACGTATGCCCAGTCCTTGGCTTGGATGGCCGCTTGACGAGCTTTCGTGGGAGATATCAGGGGCGAGTCCATGGTTGAATAGCGAGTTGTGTGTACAGAGAGGAAGGGGCCACCAATGGCGGGACGCGAAATCTAGCAGGCAAACAAACATTGCGGGGACGGGACAGACATGCTTCTCCTTCTCCGCACATAACGCTCTGCTCTCTCTCCATCGCATGCCAGCACAGAGACATTTTGCAATGGCAAGCTATTTTCCCAATTCTACAGAACTTCCCACAGAAGCCTCACATGCAATCTCTCCTCCCGGCGGCGCCAATGTCGCTCCGCGATCCACCGCGCTCTCCAACAGACTGACAAGTGTACTTTCCGCGTCGTACACCGATTCAGACATCCGAGATGCCTTGGGCACTCTCGACAAACGAGGCATACAGAATACTGCCGAAAGGAGGCGACAGCTTAGACTTGACGTGCAAAAAGAAGTTCTGGACTGTAACGGAGAGATTGTGGCGGATTTCGGAAAGGTCGCAGAGGTGAGAGAGACAAAAGAGGCCAGATCAGCAATCGCTCGAGGCTTACACACACACATCGGTTGATATAGCAATTGAAAAGAATTGGTACAGTAATATCCAACCTACAGCAAACATGTACGGAAATGCGAAAACATATTACACTGGCAAAACAAGAGACAGCCCCCGTACTCGATGAAGCGTCGTCGCTTATGGAACAGAAAAAGGACGCAGAGACGAAACAGCAATTGCTTGATGCATTTACAGCACACTTCATTGTTCCAGAGGAGGACATAAATGCTGTCACGTTATCGGAAGAACCGGTCGACGATCGCTTCTTCCTTGTCTTGTCTCGACTTAAACAGGTGCACAATGATTGCCAGGTTTTGCTCGGCGGAGAGAATCAGAGACTAGGACTAGAGATCATGGAACAAAGCTCGAAACAACTCAATCTAGCATATCAGAAACTGTACAAGTGGATCCAAAAGGAATTCAAATCACTGAATCTGGAAGATCCACAGATCAATGGCTCTATTAGGCAGGCGCTGCGAGTTCTATCCGAGCGGCCAAGTTTGTTCCATAGCTGCCTGGATTTCTTCGCTGAGGCCCGGGAGTATATCCTCTCAGACGCATTCCATTATGCATTGACCGATGCAGCTTCAGGAGCTGTCGGTGAGCGCAACGTCAAGCCAATTGAATTCTCTGCGCACGATCCCCTACGCTATGTGGGCGACATGTTGGCTTGGGTGCACTCTGCTGCTGTTTCAGAAAGAGAAGCTCTCGAGGCACTTTTTGTATATGAAGGAGAGGAGCTGGCACGGGGTTTTCAGGCTGGTATGAGCAGCGAGCCCTGGTCCCGCGTCGACGGCGAAGAGACAACTGTATTTGATGGCCAGAAAGCGCTCAATGACCTGGTGAACCGCGATCTTAATGGAGTATCACGATCTCTCCGCCAGAGAGTTGAGCTAGTAATCCAAGGCCACGACGACGCTGTGACTACCTACCGAGTCGTCAATTTGCTATCATTCTACAAGACCACTTTCTCCAAATTAGTTGGCTCTGCTTCCAATCTTGTGGAAGTTGTCGCTGGACTGGTCGAGTTTACATTTAAACATTTCGAGACTTTGATGAAAGACCAGGTCATCGAGGCAGATGCGCATACGTCGTCTCCACCGGATGATCTTTCTGTTCCTCAGTTCCTGGCCGATCAACTGGAGATACTAACGTCTCTGATGAAAGAATACAATGCCTCTGTTGGAGCAGCAAGTGATGTCGAAGACGAGGAAGAAAATGCATTCACCCCTGTTCTTCGAGTTGCACTCGATCCTTTCCTTGATATTGCCAAAACATCTGCACAAGAAGTGGATGATCCTAAAGCATCAACTATCTACAAGACGAACATCCTCTTGGCTGTTCGCGGAACCATATCATCTTTCAAATTCGCCTCAGCCACTCATGTAGGGCCTATGTCCAGTGTTTTAGCCAATCTGCGAATAGAGCTCCTTGATATACAGCGACAGTACCTACTTGAGGCTTCGGGAATACAGAAATTGCTAACTGCACTGGAACCATTTTCCCATCAGCATGCTCCTCCATCTTCGGAGCAAGCTGAAGCATCGGCAGAGACATACAAAAATCGCAGTCTGGCAGAAATTGCCGATCTTCCAGCTTTCCAGCCCGCCGCTCTATCCACCATTAGCCAACAGCTTGATGACTTCCTGCCCTCGGCACTGATGGATGCAACAGATAATCTGAAACAGGTGCGCAGTCCTCCACTAGTGAAGAGCGTAACAGAGGAAGCCATTGAAGAATTCTGTCGTGATTTTGAATTTGTCGAGGGTATGATCATTGGCGCCGATGAGGCTAGGGGTACAAAAGTGGATTTGTCACGTATTGAGATGGAAAGTGATATTGTGTCGGTTAGTGTGCGAGGTACCCAGGTGGGAGGGGATGATGAAGGGCGTTTGGAGACTGAAGGGAAGCATAGCCTCAGAGCGCTTTTCCCTAGGACTGTGGGAGAGATTCGTGTTCTTTTGAGTTGATGTGCTGTAGCTAGCCTGAATTCTAGAATACTGCCGCCGTCCTGTAAAAAAAAATTGTATTGGCCATATCCTAAAGCTATATACCATAAAGCCATGAGTGACTGCAATGTCGTAGCCAATGACCTCAGCCTTGTACTCGGTCACCCAACACCACGACACCGTATGGATCACGGTCAGCTTGACTAACTGCTACCAAGCTCTCGGCGGGGACACGACAGCTGTCACCCAGTTCCTCCACAATAACATCAGCCAGTTTCTTTGACAAAACATTCTGCAAATAGCCGCGTTCAGTGTTGGAGTGGAACAACGTGATCACTGCAGAACCGCGCTCGATGGCCGCCAAAGCTTCATGGTGACTCAATTCACCAGTGAACAAGAGATCTGGCAGTTCGCCTGAACTTTTCATGATTACGCTACCGCCAGAACCGGGGCATACGCCAACAGTGCGGATCTTCATGGATTGTATCGTGGCACCTTGTGGAATAGCAACGGAAATCGCGCCGGGCCAGCCAGTCGCCTCGCCAATGCGCTCAATAAGCACCGATAGATCCTGAGCAGTACCAAAGGTGACTATACGGCCAGCACCAGCGCCTTCGAATCCGGCGGGCACAGGAGCTGGAGATGGATGGATGGCTTCTCGGGTATGCGGAAATTCCGACTCTTTCCCGACTGAGCCAAGCGACGGTTGAGGGTATTTCACATCTAGAGAATAAAATTTCGATAGAGACGATGATTCTTTGATGCCTAACAATTGCGGCTTTTCCTTCGATCCAATGAAACCGCACACGATGTCGCAAAGCCAATCTGCCATTCCGCCGGGGACGGCATCAACTGCCGTGTGCGGCGAATATACGCTGATGCCCGCTTGAGCTAGACGCAGTAGGGACGTTTGTTGAGGGTCCTGGAGTGTGATGGACTTCAGGCCGCGGAAAATAATGGGATCTTTGTAGCTGTCAGCATGGCAATCCACATTCCCCCAAGGGGCAGATCGAACAGCAACTCACGGTAAGTAACGATAATCGAGTCTCTCCGGGCAATAGCTTCGTCGGCAACCGCTTTAGTGAGATCCGTGGTGATAAGGACTGAGTCGTTGAGGTTTTGATTGGGATCATAAGGAGCTTCGAGGAGTACTAAATGATTCTGTCAGGTTGAAAGCATAGCTACGATGAAAGAAATAAGACTTACGGCCAGTATTATCGAAGCTTTTGTCCGCTAGGGACTCTGGATAGCTTATGACAGAGTACGTTAGAGAAAGCTATTGTATTGTATGCCATAGGGAGGAAATGCCGTACATACAGCTTTCGCATAGCATTCACCACGGCCTTTGAAAAGGGCGATATTGACGTGGATGGGGACATTGTTGAATACCACCGAGGCCGAGTTGAATTTGATAGAATTGGACGAAGGGCGCGCTGCATCAATTCAATAGACTCGTAGAAGATCCACCGAGGTGCTGGAGAAGACTGAAATATCGCGGGTTGAAGCACATTTTCGTCCCTCCGCGTTAGCGCCGCATGACGTTGTGTGTATAGGTATTGGCCTGAGGCTACAAACATGTCGTGACTTCCTTCAACACAACCACACAAAAAGAATTGTCCTCAAAAACTTTGTCTCCTATAAAATCAGAAAATATTTTTAACTTCGGACTTCTCTTCTTTATCACTTCGCACCACAATGACAGCGTTTGGATCTTATCGTTCTCTTACCAAGCTACATATATCTTTTTCTTCTTTTATATATTGCCTGAAGTAAACATTCCTCTGATTCCATGACAGCGACAGGAAGCAAGTCTTCTACAACACTCCCCCGAGGAGTTTTCGTTCTACCACCATATTGGCATTGCTTGGAGATTCGGCGCAAAGAGAATGGCAACGCCATCTCAATCACATCAGGGGAGACGCTGTGCTGGCCATAATGTGTCATTCCACAGCCATCTCATGTTCATGGCGGCGGAAATTTCGTCAGATACTGGGAGTAAGTAATATATGGGCATTTCATTAGATGGGTACTGATGATATAAGAAGCAATTCCAGTAATTTCTCCAGGACATGCCTCCCGAGGATGCGCAGGCAGTGAATATTGCGATGCTCCTGTTACTCCAGCACATCTCAGACTCCGTAAAAGGAAAGATCGAGTAAGTAGCCAATCAGCACCATTTGCAACCAATTTTATAGGAGGAAGAATTGACAACGGCATACTTCGTCCGGAATACGAAAAGCCCCATTAAGGGCACTTATATCGTTAGTATTCCACATTCACATATATATCATGATTCAGAACATCACTTTTTCTGACTTCACTATATAACTGTTCTATAGTTTCCTTCTGCTCCTCTTAGGTATAGCTTGGATTTGATTAGTAGTTCACAACAAATACGTCTTGCGATTTCCTGGAGTGAGGTCCGGTTCTGGGATATATCGGCTTGCTGCTTGGGTGAATGAATGCATGGATGCCCGATAAGCCCAAAGGCTAGTCTCTTCCAGTCTAGCCCTGAAATCAATGAGAATATGATAGGACAATTGCAGTACTGATCGAAGCAAAGTTGTCCATCCATAAAAGGTAGAATACGGAACCACCTTGCCATTGCGAAGATATATCCTAGAGCAACACATGCACGGAACACACACAGTGCTCACTCTAATTGTTAGCCCCGTTACTGCATAGCGGACGGCATGTTGGAACTACTTGGTACCATAGGCACCTGGCTTTCCGCCGGCTTAGCACTCATTGCACTTGTGGGCGTTCTACCAGTGCTTCTGCTCTATCGTGAGGCCCGCACTGATCGTTACCGTGCAATCACCAATGTGCATGACCCGCATAATTGCTTCATATCTCCTGGTATTGCGTTGCTGCCGGGGAAGCGCTTCTTCCAGAAACTCCGTGTACCGAATTTGGCAGAGCCACCCAAGATAACATATCTCAAGATTGAACGCCAATGCCGGCAAGTATTCAAGGGTGATCAAGATCGTTCTTCAACCGGTTGGGTCAACTTTGCAAATATACTCCGAGCCTACTGCATATCTTCTGAGTCTGGGGGCGAACTTGCAGTCCACCGTTCCGAATCTTTCCTCCCAGTCCACAGAACTTGGATACTTCTCTTGGGAATCATTGACCGGTACGCTAATCGACCTGACTACGGCCTATTTCGAAACGAAGGCAAGGAAGAAGAGATGGACGATTTCGGCCGCAAACCTCTGTGCGGGTTGAGTGGCTTCATGGCCTATAACCCTCCGACCTCGCATGAAGATATACAACGACTTAATGGCAGTATTTGCTTCCGAATGCACTCCACTCCACACATGAATTACATGGAGGAGTTCACAGGCATTGACGTCATGCCATTTCGAACTCTGTTGTTACTTTATTTAGGCTACATTCCACGCGGGGACCATGATGTGTACTTCATTGGGCTCGAGGAGCAAACCCCTCATGAGCAAGACCCTCGTGTTCGAGAATATTATGGGCGCAATGACCACTTCAGCACTGACGACTTCTATCGGCGCAATGACTCCAATGTGACCTCTGCATGGCAAATCGTACTTGATAAAGAAAACCTCATCGCTTATAATCATGAAAGGATCTTCAGAGAGATGGGTATAGTCCCTCCGAAGGTTTACCGATTGGAACGAGTTGGTTATGCATCGGGAAGAAGCTTTGACGACAGAGAGTATTACGCCCTGGAGCAAGATGAGTACATTAATCGGACTGATATATACTGTATCCTGCGGTCAATACTGAACTTGGGCAGCAGCTCCCAGTCGTTCCTCTATAACAAGCATGCTCGCAACGAAAAAGCTCTAGTCGAAAGGATTTTTGTCCCTCAGGATCCGGCCGATTTTAGTATCAGGTTAAAGAATCTGCTTCACCTGTCAACACAGATAATGGACCATCTCAACATCGGAAATAAGCCTGTTCTGTTAGAGGCCATCATTGCTTTGACGGAGATTTGCCAAAAACCCCTTGTGCCCTGGAGCAGGGAGTTATTGAAAAGATGTTATGAACTTGATTTACTACTACGTCAGTATTGCAAGGCAAATTGCTTTGCCATGCAGGCCATTAGCATTTTATACATGCTGGACAAAGACTTCCGCTCTCTGTATGTGTGCCCCGAGGAGCAAATTACGCATAAGGGTGCTTTAGTCCTGAATCCTACCACCAAAACTGTCGAAATAGCTCCTCCAGATTTGGAAATTTCGCACGCGAACCAGGAGCTGATCTCACGGTTCCTGTTCGACTTCGGTATCGTATTTCCTGATTGGCCAGGCCAGATGAGCACGGAGCTGGAAGAAGTCCATTCTCAGGCAAATATTTTGGAGGTTCGATATCCAGAGGCAGTGATGGCATGTCTCCACGGGCACGTAGTAATGGCGATGTGGAACATGGTTCTTCCAGCAAATGACTTTTCGACTTTCTATACGAAACTGGACCGGTTGGTACACATTAGCGCCCAGACTGAACCGCGCAACGTGACAAACCTTGAAGAAATATTAGCTGCTCGATATTACGGGCGAAGGGATTCTTCTGCATGAGGCTAATAATACGATATCCTCAAGTGCCGCACTAAGGATAGCACGCATTGTGAAGTGGCCATTGGAGACTGATAAAGATCACCTTGAGCCATAGGAGTCTGCACAAATAGAAAAGGAGCACGATGACATTGTTGCGTTCAGTAGGAGGCAGATATGCTGGGTAAGAAATGATAGACTTAACGTTCCAACGGGCGAGTGACATGATACTTGCTGCCTTAGGCAGGCATTGATGCCCCACAGTTTGTTAACTTTCAATGCTCCTTTTTTTAACCTTATTTTGACCACCTAATCAGCTCTACCTGTCTTGGTGTTGCATCTACCTAAAGTTTACCTATTATTGTTCTTCTTTTCGTTTCGGATTGGTCTCATCTGATGCATGGCTAACCGCTGGCACACCATGGCATCTTTCGTCCTTCTCTCCTTTCGCAGCTATCGATGCTGCCCACTGACCTAAGTCGAGCTTTGATTTCGTGATGCGTTGCCCTGGGTGTCACTTCTATATCTCGATATCCCAGTTCCATGGCCAACCGTATTGGTCTCCCACAGCACATGTAGAATCATTTAGATATATCAATGAAACCCGGCTTGGAGTTATGCAAGTCATGATAGCCTAGGTTGGCATTTGCTCCATGATCGAGTAACAACTGCACAAGGTCCACGTCACCCAAAAGGATAGCCCTAACGAGTAGTGGGATGTACTCGTCCGGCTCGGATGCGTCATCCATTGTTGCATTCAGATGCCAATACCAATCAGGCACGCAATCAGTAGGGCCTAGCGGTCGATCTGAGTCTTCGCAGGCAAGGTATTGATAACCGGGACATCATTTTTGCTCACGACATGCGCCAACGTCCTGGTCCAAGACACGTGGTCTGTTCATTAAACAAGGATTTCCGTGAGCTCTTGGTTTCCTTTAATGTAGCCAGTAAAGTTCGACCGCCCAAACCAGATGAATAATCCAGATTAGCGTCGGCGCCCATTCTCGAGGAATAGTCGTACAGTCTCAACGTCTCCTAACTTTGTGACATAATGTATTGGTGTTGTATGGGTAAAGTTGAGTTCAATGTCAAGATTGATGCTGTAATCTTTCAGCAGTTTGGGCAACAGGTGCATATATTTGATCTGCCAGCACTGCTTCTATTGCCTCCTGGCATTGCGCCGCATCTGGTAAAGAAGTATCGACGTCATTAGCGTTAGAATTGGCAGCTATGCACTAGTGCCTTTTAGATCTAGCTTTGGAGGATCGATTTTGAGATTGATTATCTCGATCTGAGGATATGGGCTTTTCGGCCTTTGTAGAGCGATTATAGAAATCAAATGTTTAGTCCTCGCGTTGCAAGTCATCTTTCTGTTCAGTCGAACCTTCATGGGATCCAACCACAGTCAGCCCTTTGATGCTTGGAGGCGCGTTCCAACTTGAAGGTTTGTTATAGGTCGAACCTGCGGAAATATCTCGCCAATTTCCATCTATTTGAGGTTTTTTTTTTCTCTTTTTGATTTTATACACAGATTCGAAGCGACTGTGTCCAATACGGTTTCCCTCCCGAATCTTGATCTGCAGACTCTCGTTCTTGCTATATTCGCTCTCAAGAAGCAATTTTTCGGTGCCATTCTCGATTGTCAGCCATTCCACTTGATGAGAGTTGTCGTCTCTACAAGCAAGGTCTATGTTCGCAGAACCAATGAATACGTCCCGACTTCTTTCATTGTAGCGACTGCTCGGGTTTCTCGCATATAGACGTATTGTCAAGTGAGAGAAAAGTAAAAGAAAGAAAGTATCTATCAATGCAGAACTATTCAAATCAATGCTTTTTCTTCGTATTAGCCGCCTCCTTTGGTTTCTTCTCTCGTCTTTGGATGATATCCTCCGTGTTTATATCCCCAAAAATAAGTAATACACCGATTCATTGGACATGATTTACCGTCACGGCAATAAGCAGTAACGAAGAGAACTTTGATAGAGTATAGTAGTATATAAATATCTGGCCAATGGTGGGGTTGGAAGCTTAAATGCAACGGCGTCATCGGCCGGAAAATCATCAACCGCCATTAATAATCCTTCCCCATCAATCCCTTATATTCAGCGAGACAACAACAACAACTGCAATCTCAGGAGCCTGCGCGTGCAAAACAATTCAGCAGGCCAGACTTCCGCCTCCGAGAACTCTTCATGTTTGTTCGCCGCGCCGTGATCCTGAGCAGTGGCTATCACTCTCTCATCCGCCCGACGAACAGACTCTTTCTCTCCTACTACCGCGCCGCCCCGACGAGATCGACAGCATCTCACTTCTCGTCGCTGTCTTCGAAACAATTCTCCGTCTCGAATATAGCCATGGCAGATTCCGCAAGCACATCTGGAGTTACGGCTGATGGTTTGAAGGAGAAGCTTTCAGTGCAACTGGAGGCGCAATTTGTTGAGATTGAGGATATGTCTGGTATAGTCCTTTTTTTTCCTATTCGCCCGACGGGATCAAGATACAAGTGAACTTTGCTAATTCTGTCATTGGAAAAACAGGTGGCTGTGGCCAGGCTTTCCAAGCCATCATCGTTTCTCCCCAATTCGATAAAAAGACCATGCTCGCCCGTCACCGACTAGTCAACACTGTGTTGAAGGAAGAGATCGCCGCAATTCACGCTTGGACACCGAAATGTTATACCCCGGAGCAGTGGCAGAAGCTGCAGGAAGAGCGAGCTTGATTCCATAAATAGGCGGGGAACAGCCGGGCTGTCACCGCTGTGTATTTTACTCTACATAAGATAAAAAAAATAATGCAAAACATTGGATTGGTCCATGATACAGTATCTATTCGCACGTACATGTTTGAACTAGGTCAAAACGTAATTATCACATTGTCGGATCAGCGCATGGAAATCAATCAACTCTAAGCGAGGACCTTTTCCGCGACAGAAACTGTTTCAAAAAGTCAGCTAGCCTGTTCGCAAGTAGAAGGAGTGCACAAGAACATACCGTTGACACCGGTGTTGTCAGGCTCGACATGGGCCTCTTTGACCTTGCCATCTTCAATCACTAATGCATAGCGCTTGCTGCGCTGGTTTCCAAAGATTGTAGTGCTGTCGAATCCTAGCTCTAGAGCATCTGTGAAGGTGCCGGCGGGATCGGCCAAGAAGCGAATCTATATACGCGTCGTCAGTCTGCGGTTTCTTTTTCTTTTCCGTTCCGTTTCGTGAATTTGACGTACGCCGCTCTTGCCAGTAGGATCGAGGCTTGCGCCCCACGCTTTCATCACGAAAGCATCGTTTACCGAGACAACAAACACGTTACCGGCGTTCTTGAGGTTGGGATGACTGATATATCCTGGGACGTGTGTGCTCGAGCAAGCGGGGCCTAAATTTTGGGAGATTCGAATCAGCCATTGTTCGCAAGTATTTGGTCTAGTCGAGTGTTAAAAAATCACGTACTGAAAGCGGCCGGAACGCCGATAATCACACCCTTCCCCTTCAGCTCCTTGGAGAGATTGACCTTGTTGCCGGGCGAGTCTTCGACCAGGTCGACATTGGGAATGGCGTCTCCGACTTTGACAAAGGCAGGACGGGTCATGTGGAAAAGCGCCGATTGGGCACCGAGCTTTGCCGGCACGGTGGCTGCGAAGCGGCGGGTGGCGAACATTTTCAGTGATGGTGTTGGTTAATGTCCAAAGTAAGTCTGGCAATTGATGTTGTTGTTGTCGTCGTTGCGGTTTGGGATCGGAGGGAATCTCGGAGTGGAGTAACTTGGCTGCCGCATTTCGTCATTCTCCTCCTTGCTCACCGAAATGCAACCAACCAACTACTCATTGACATGTTGAATGGCATGCTGAAGCAACAATTCCAACCACTTGCTTTACTATAGAGAATAAAGCCGTACGGTAAAAGTACCTGACGTACCTGACGATTAGGTCCATTGTATGCCCTCTCTCGCATACCTAATGTGACCTCCATCCCTAAATTAACATCAGCTAACATAGATTACAAATTTGGCAGACACATTAATTCCCACTCTGACTCTAGTACTAGCAGAATCACTCGAAAATACGAAAAGAAAGCTGAAAAGCGAAGAGGAAGAATCCCGCGTTCTTAGTCATGCACATTACTAATCATGCCCGCTGGAATCTTAACTTACTTAATCATTATGAGTCATGCTCGTCCCGAATTGACCAACCATATAACGATCGCCTACTTCCAAGGTTGTTTTAAGAGTTGGGAGTGCCGGAATTCATCCGTCTGTTCAGCAGGGATAAAAACACCACGGCTTCACCTCCTTGACTGGAATATCAATCCACGCACAGCACCTCCAACAATCCAGCCTACATCATGGAATCGCAGTTCATCGAAATATCGCCGGACACGGTGATCCATCTCCGCCTCGTCAAAGAGGCCTCTGTCTCCGACAAGTCCCCTCTCCTAGTCTTCCTGCACTACTGGGGCGGCTCCAGCTCTACATGGTACAAACTCACCTCGCCAGCATCGCAATGGTCCCTGAGCAGCCAATACGCCAGTGTCGCCCTCGACTTCCGAGGATGGGGCCAATCTACAGGGCCTGAACAAGCTGCCGCTGCCACCGCAAAGGACTATTCAGTCACGCCGAACGCGTCAGACCTTGTCACCGTGCTGGAGCGCCTCAAATCCAACCCGGCAACAGCGGGCCTAGTCCGAAACGGGATCGTGCTTATTGGCCACTCTATGGGTGGGAAAGTCGCTCTTGCAGCGCTGGGGAAAGCTTCAGATGATATCCTGAGACTTATCAAGGGTCTGGTTCTAGTAGCACCGGCACCACCAACGCCCCTTGTCCTACCACCGGAAATGAGCGAGCAGCAAAAACGGGCCTACGATACAGCAGAGTCGGTGCAATGGACGGTGCAAAACGTGCTTTCTACACCTCTAGCAAAAGATGATGTATCCCTGATCGTCAGGGATAGTCGAGCGGGGAGTCAACTCGCGACGGAAGGGTGGATTTTGCATGGAATGCAGGAGAATATCGTTGCGGCATTGGATAACGTCTCTTCTCGTGAAATTAAAGTCAGTGTGCTTGCTGGCGAGCTGGATGTGGTGGAGCAGAAAGATCGAGTGAAGAGCGAGGTTGTCGAGACACTGTCTGCAAAGGGGTTTCTGGTGACATTTGCCGTGGTGGAAGGCGTGAAGCATTTGATTCCGTTGGAAAAGCCCGAGGCGGTTCGGCGTGCTGTTGAGGAGTTGCTGGTTAATTAGTACTTGCTCAATACAATATTCTTAGTTACCTACGCAAGGTACGGTAGTCTGCAGTATGTTTTGATGTCCAAAACATGTTCTCAGTCTAGCATCATAGAAACTGCGATTGTGTCTCGAGAACAGCATGCAGAGACGGACATTCGCCAAGCCGACTGCTAAGCAAGAGAAGAGCAGTGATATGGGATGGCCCCGACATTCCTTCAGCATGGCATCTTCCTCAGGGGGGTAGCACATGGCAAGCGATCCCATCACGTGCGGCAGCCCTTATATGCCTCCAAGGAGTCTTCGAATGACCGATGGGCCATCGGCAGATAAGCAAACAAATTACTTACAAACTTTCCATGCCAAGAAAGTTGCAGCGAAGAATACCGCATGTTGTTTGAGCCTTGGAATATTGATGCATGTAATCTGGGAGGCGTCGTTCATCCCAGAAGGCACCTCGAGATGCAAATCTTGTCTGTGTTTCTGCATCTGTCAGATCTACTTCGTGTTGGTCCTTTGACATGGGACTGAAGAACATGTCTGGTACACAAGTGGGCTGCTGGTCGAGTTCGAGAGGATAGCATTTGATCCCGATATCATGAAGGACGTCTGCCTCGAAAGAAGTTCCGCCGCCATTATACATGAGTTTGAGGGCGCTGATCATGAGTTCATGTTCATTTCGTCTTCCAAGGGTGAGCACGGATTGCATACGTCTAACTGTGCCCTTCACAGGACCGGTGGTGCTTTGACGGTCCATTTTGCGAGGAGAAGGCATCAGCAGGCGTAAGAGAGAGAGGGAGAGAGAGGGAGAGAGAGGGGGGAAGCAGTAATGGTTGGGCGGAACTAGGCAGGCTTCCATGGTTATGGAGTGTTCCCTCTGATACAGTGATACAATTCAGATCGTTAGAAGCCAATTCTCCAATTCGGAGCAAAGCTCTCTGGATGTGTCACATATCTTGGCAGCGTTTGCCATGGTCTACGAATGCATATGTGCGTGCAGTGCATTGGTATGTGCCATGCTCACCAGCAAATATCAAGGGATTGATTGCAGCGGGCCCTGAGGAGGGAGAACCGCTGGTGGAGTCGTGGAAGACCGCGTCTCCACTGCTCAAAAACAAGTGAAACATAGTGAGTTAACTGCTCCGTAGTTGACTTAGTTATACATTGTATTATTCCATAATAATAGAAAATAAGAGATATTCCATAGCATTAAATAATAAATGGCCAGGCAGCGAGGCAACAACGCTTTAGCCTGCTCGTGCTCTCGGCAAATTCCCCTCCTTGCTGGCCTCGACTCGTGGCTGACTGTGTTAATCGATAGCGGAGTGTACTTGTCCCCCCTTGGACCATTCACGACTTATTTCTATCATTGATTTATGTTATTTTGTTCCCTCTTGTCTTATTTGCTCGGTATCCTATTTCTACTGGATCGCTCGCAAGAAAGACTGCCCAGAGAAGGGGAAAAAAAAATCGTTCGTTTATCGTTCTGGGTTTGCCGGGCCCGCGCCGCCTCTCCAGTTCCTCTCTCTGTGTCTCTCTCTCTCTCTCGCTCGCGCTCGCTCTTTCTCTTTACTCTCCCTCCCTCTTTCTTCCGACACGCAACCCCCTCCCCCAAAGCATGGACGGCCAGACAACAGGGACCAGCTCTGCTGGTAATTCCAGCGACTTTGTAAGTGGAAAGAAAAAAGAAAATGAAGAAAGAACAAGAGGAAAAAAAAAAAAGAAAGAAAAAGAAAGGCAAATAACATGCAGCGCTGAAGAACCGTGGCTAATGCATGTCCCTTGCAAATGCAATACAGGTCCGCAAATTATACAAGTAGGTGCCACCTTTCACTCTCTCTTTCGCGTGGCTTTCGCTGCCAATGCGACGGTTTGGCTGATCTGCTCTCGGCCGTAGGATGTTGGAGGATCCGTCGTACTCGGACATTGTTCGCTGGGGAGATGAGAACGACAGCTTTGTCGTGCTAGAGGTATGCTTCTCGACGACGATGAATATATATGATCCGGCTGACCGCCTATAACAGTGTGAAAAATTTACCAAAACCATCCTTCCCAAGCATTTCAAGCACAGCAACTTCGCCAGCTTTGTGCGCCAACTCAACAAATATGATTTCCACAAAGTGCGCCAGAACAATGAGGAGACAGGGCAATCGCCATATGGCCCGAACGTACGTGAAGAAATTCCCCCCACCGCGCGGTCGCCAGAGATGCTAATCGGTGATAACAGGCCTGGGAATTCAAGCACCCCGAGTTCAAGGCTAATAACAAGGACTCGCTGGACAACATTCGAAGGAAGGCGCCCGCGCCTCGCAAGCCCGCCCAGATGAGCGAAGACTCCGTTCCGACGCAGCAGATTGACTTGATGAACTCCCAAATCCTCGCCCAACAGCAACAAATCCAGCAACTGAGCGACCGCAACGCCCAGCTCTCAGTGGACTCCCAAATGATCATGCAGGAAGTCATGCGCTTGCAAAAGACCATTCTCCAGCACGAAAACGTCATCCACAACTTCATGAACTACTTGTTCACCGTCGATGCTCGACACCGCCGCGACAGTCGTGCCAGCGGCGCTTTTGCCGCCCAGGATGGTTCGGCCGTCAACCCGAATCCAGCCGACGACCTCCCCGCCTCGCCCTTACAGCAAGCCTCCAAGATCCTGAGCGATATGAACTCGCAAATACAACCAAATTTGGCGCAGTTTGAAAATTTGAACGACCCCTCAAAGGCACAGATGATTGCGACCCCTCCATTAGCTTCTGCTGTGCGTAACGGCATCTCTCGCGCGCCAAATTCAGCTGGGTCGACTGCTTCGATGGCCTATACCAAGATGAACGGGGAGCTGGAGACGGTGGTTTACCCTGTGGGCACAACAAATGGCATCGATCCGATGTATAGCGAACATGTGAACAATATTCCATACTCGATCCCGCCGAAAGAGCTGGCTGCGGAACCTATTGATCCACGACGTTCCTTTACCGATAATCGGAAGAAGAACGCCCTGGTCAATCCGGGCTGGATTAAACAACCCAACATTTTACTTGTTGAAGACGATGATACATGTCGCCAGATCGGCGGTAAATTCTTGGGGTCCTTCAAGTGTCAGATTGAGAATGCTGTATGTTCCTTCTCTTGTCATTGTTTTTTTGATACACGGAGGGGGGGGTTTTTTTCTTTTTACTAACATCGACCAGTACGACGGCTTGCAGGCTGTTAGCAAGATGCAGTCAGGCAAGAGATATGACTTGATTTTAATGGACATTATAATGCCTAATTTAGACGGGGTATCTGCATGCCATCTCATCCGCCAGTTTGATCGCACGCCAATCATCGCTATGACATCGAATATTCGCAAGGATGACATTGAACTATACTTCCAACACGGTATGTCCTTATTAAACCAATGAGTTATGGAAACGCTTTGCTGATGACTGTGTTCTCACAGGTATGGACGACGTCTTGCCAAAACCATTTACAAGGAAGAGTCTTCTCGACATGCTCGAAAAACACTTGATGCACCTGAAGACGATTCCCACGAGCACAATAGACCCTGTCTCAGCAACGCCCATGACGACGCATAACTCGGCGGCGCAATCCATCAAGGAGGACAGTTCGCCTGGACAGTCACCCGCCGCATCCATGAACAACTGGCAATCTCCGGGACAGCTCCAGGGAATGTCACCCGTTCATCTCAACGTTCAACAGGTGCCACAATACATGCAACCAATGACTCCTTCGGGGACGGCATTTGCAATTGACCCAAACGGGGTCCAATATGCGACGGCTGCCCCAACGGCGCTCAGCCAACCCCCGATTCGTGCGCAACACCGGCGACAGGTCTCTGATATGTCGAGTGCGCCCGAAGCGAGCTATGCTAAACGACAGCGCATGTACCAGAATCCGCAAATGATGCCACAAATAGCTGGACAACAGAACGGTTAGCTGTTCTGGGTCTTGTTTTTATTTTCCATGTTTTAGTGGAATGTACGGCCGTGATTGTTTTCTTTTTTGCTTTTGTTCCTCTTGCGCCTGCCTTGGACTAATGTTTATCCTGGACGGACAAGATGGATAGCCGCATACGACAGACATACATTACATGGGCGCATAAGGAGTTGTTGTCGGTCTCTTCTTTATCTCTCAGGCTCTTTCATTTTACTATTTCTTTTGTTTAAAGAAAGGAGGCGGTTCAGTTCATATACCTGGGCAGTATTTTTCTTATTTCTTGATTGACCGAATTTTGGAAACTTGTCTCGCATTAATTTTTCATACCAATTATTAATCTTCACTTGATCGAGTTCGAGAATAATTGATAAAACGGAAGAATGTAACATTTCTCCTTCATTCATTCATATCTCTCTCAACCAGACTGTGTGCATGCCGATGACTACGTATTAAGCAAGTTCGTAGAAATAAAATAACAGAAAGCTTAGACCACAACCATATTCCAACGAACGCAGTCTAAGCTTAATTTTGCTATGACAGTTACACAGCTTGGCCAGGGGGCGCGGTCTAGCCCCTTGAGTTTGAGGTCTCTGACATTCTAGATTACGATCTAGAACCAGCTTAATTATAGAAATTAGACAGATCTATGGGCGGAAGATAGAAAATATATAAATAACTCGCGGAACGGGCCAGGCTGGACCCTTGGGATGTGGACGTTCTGGCCAGATCTTTTTTTTGTCCCTCTGCGTGCGTGTTTTTCTGTACATTCAGTGTGGCTGTGATGGGTGCCTGAGGGATTAGGCTCAAAATTTGTTGTGTTTGTTTCGGATACCTCAGGCATCGAATTCCACCACACACCGCCTTGTGCTGGTTTTCTGCCGCAAAATTAAACAAATTATTGGCCCTTTTTTTTATGGTTATTTGGTCCATTGGTTTTACGTTGTTCTTTCTTTGTTTGCTAACTGACATAGATTGGGTGGTTGGGTATCTGTGTCTCTCTGTTGACATTTGTCTCTTTTTGTGCCCTCTACAGAGACCATTTACGTGCCTGGATTTCACGATTTTCTTGAGTCATCGTCACATCGACCCCGCACCGAAGAAGCTCTACCAACACGATACGCAGGACCGCGCCAAAACACCGTGTATGCTTTCTGCTCCGTAAAGAACTTAGCGAAATTCCTGATTAGCTAGCCACCTAAAACAAAAGCGAAAGCGCAATGGGTCCAAAACAAAAAGGCGGCAGCGGCGGAGGAGGAGGAGGGGCATCTAAACATAAAGGAAACACGGCGGAAGAAGTCGAGGAGACCCTTCAGGCTGTTGTGTTTGCAGATACTTTTGAGACGAGATTCGAGCCTTTCACCTTGGAAAAGCCTAGGGTGGGTAATAAACAATGATTTTTTGCGAGGCAATAGCTGACTGAATGTTGTCTAGTGTTTGCTGCCGCTGGCTAATACGCCCTTGATCGAGTACACGCTAGAGTTCCTCGCCAATGCGGGCGTGCAGGATGTCTTCCTCTATGGCGGAGCGCACTCTAACATACTGGAGAAACATATCAGGTCTGGTTGATATGATATGATACAGATTTCGGTTTCTAGGCTATAGACTAACGGTCTATTGAACAATTATAGTACCTCAAGATGGAAGGCACCGTCATCACCATTCAAGAAACTCACATTTCTCAAATCCACATCAACTTCTGTTGGAGACGTCATGCGCGACCTAGACGGCAAACACCTCATAACAGGCGACTTTATCGCAGTCAGTGGAGACGTCATCAGCAATTTCCCTATCGACGAGGTACTCGCGAAACACAAGGCGCGGCGCCAAACAGACCGAAACGCCATCATGACAATGGTCCTTCGCGAAGCCGGTGCGCAGCATCGGACTAAATCATCTTCCATCTCGCCGGTGTTTGTGGTTGATCCCACTAAAGACCGCTGTCTGCACTACGAGGAGATTGACCATCATCATCATGACACGTCGTTGTCGCCGCCGGCCCGGCTGACTATTGATACTGAGATCCTTACGTCGCAGGCTGAGCTTGATATTCGCCAAGATTTGATAGATTGTAATATTGATATTTGTACGCCAGATGTGCTTAGTCTGTGGTCGGATAGTTTCGATTACCAAGCTCCGCGCAAACACTTTCTGTACGGTGTCTTGAAGGACTACGAATTGAACGGCAAGACGATTCATACGCACATTATCAAGGAGCACTATGCCGCTCGGGTGAGGAACTTGAAAGCTTACGATGCTGTCACAAAGGATATTATATCGCGGTGGACATACCCCCTGTGTCCAGACACGAATTTACTTCCTGGCCATACATACGAGCTGAGACGAGGCAGTATATATCAAGAACAGGGTGTTATACTCGCTCGGTCGTGCATAGTTGGACGGCGAACAGTGATTGGTCAGGGGACCAGTATTGGAGACAGAACGACAGTTACGAACTCGGTGTTGGGAAGGAATTGCAAAATAGGCAAGAATGTGGTCCTTGACGGGGCATATATCTGGGATGGAGCCGTTATTGGCGACAATACCGAGGTTCGCCAGGCGATTGTGGCGGAGGGAGTTGTCGTGGGCGACAACTGTAAGGTTGAGCCTAATGTCTTGCTGTCTTTTGGCGTGAAGATTTCCAACGGAGTTACCGTGGGCGAGGGTACGAGGGTTACGGTTGCAGCGCGCGAGGATGGCTCTGTGCCTGCGAATGAAGAGAAAATTGTTGGTGCGCAGGGCCGGGGATATGAGTATGTCCTTGAAGAAGAGGATGAGGAGGACGAGGAGGATGACCGCAGTGAGGCCTCTGGTTTGGGTAGGTTATTTTTTTTTTTTTTTTTTTTTTTTTGAACTTCCCTTTTTCTTCTACAAAAAGTGGAAAATTGGCTGACAATTCAAAGTCTACAACATGGCTAAACTGTCTCTTTCTACCGATTCCATCTCCACACTGTCTAGCGAGATATCAGCCGACGACGACTACTCCCATGGACAACGAAGTGACAGCTTTGGGACATTGGTTTCCGAAGACGAGGACCATGACCACTTCCAACACGACGCATCGAATAACCTGTATGACAGCATACGCGACGGGGTCTCGGCCGACGTGGTGGCACTCGAGCTGGTCAGTCTCCGTATGAGCGCCAACGCATCAGATTACCAAGTACGGCGCGCGGTAGCGTCGTCGTTTATGAAACGCATCTCGCAATTAGTGACGGAGGCAGGAAAGGGGGCAGGAGACGCCGTGCACGAGGTGTTCAGTCGGTACAAGGACGTCGTTGAGCGCAGTCTGTTTGACAAGAACAAGGAGCAGAAAACAGACCAAATCGATCTGTTACTGCAGATTCAGCAGGACCTGGTCCATCGGGCCAAGGGGGATACGATCCTGCTTTTCACGGCAAAGGAACTGTATGACCTCGATATCATTGAAGAGGAGGCGTTTGAGGGGTGGTGGGCGGATGAGCGCTCGAGTAGCACGGAGGAGATGAAGAAGGTGCGTGCTCAAACGCAGCAGTTTGTGGACTGGTTGGCAAATGCGTCAGAGGAGGATGACGATGACGATGACGACGACGACGACGATGAGGATGGCAGTGAAGACGAGGACGAGGAGAGTGAGGATGAGGACGACGATGAAGATGAAGAGAGCGATGAGTGATGGATGTTCTATTGTAGATATATATTATAGGTCGCATCTTGTCTGTCATGATCACAAGACTTTCTCTGAATATTACCCGTACTCGTAATACACACCCCATATCATACTCTGTCTAAGACAAACAAAAGCTGGATGGAAGACGGTGGCGATGCTGTAAAAATACCGCGCGTACTGTAACTATTTCCGTTTCTGTATTTCACGGGTTCCATGCCATGTTTTGCAGGCACTCGCTGCAGGACTGACTAATAACCCCACCCCTTCTTTCTGCCGCCGGCGTCACTCTTGATTCAGGCAGTCAGCCATTCTGATATAAGAAGCCTCCCTGCCCGTAACTATTCACTCGATTAATCATCTCGTCGTCTTTCATTGGTCGTCTGTCCCTTCCCTCCCCCCCCTTTTGCCGCCTCGTCTCCGACCAACTAAACTCCCTTCGCCGTTTCTTCGGTTGTTCAGCGTTCGTTCTCCTCCCAGAAGAGTTGATGCCAGTTCGTTACTGCCGATAACTCTTCTGCCTGGCTCGTGATATATATCTCCCGATACCCCCCCTCAATACCTTCACCACGCCTCCCATCACGAGAAAGAGGAAGGCAGTCGAGGAGGCGGCGACGACTACTTCTCCTGGAGACAACGACGACGACGACAACAACAACAACTACAACCACAGATCGGCAAGCGCCGCAAAACATCACAAGGCGCTGCCGCTGGAACGGAGCGTCCAAGGAAAACGCCAGCCATCGCCAGCACCCGGGACACGGAAGGCTGAAGTAGATAAAGACCTTGCCCCCCTCTCGCTCAGTAAACAGGGGGCAAGCATCGTGACTCCTACAACTACCACGCGAAGCATGGATTCCGACGACGATTTCATGACGGATGTCTCCAGTCGAGAGGAGGACTTTCTCGACACGCAGGATAGCGATGACGAGAGTTTAGGCGAAGGTAGGAGATTATCTTCTTCAATACAGTGGAAGTATCATTTGAGTGAGTGAGCTAACTGGCCTATTTTCATGGGACAACAGACTTTGGCGACGAGTTCGACAACGGGTTCTCCTACGACAAAGATCTTGTGCAAAAGACAAAGAAGCCGTACGAGGTGGATTTCACAGTACTCAGCCCGGCCGATATCGACCGCGAACAAAACTATCAGATAACAGAAGTCTCGTCGGTCCTTGGATTGCCCCCAGAGTCGTCTGGAATTTTACTACGGTTTGCTCGATGGAATAGGGAAAAGTTAATAGAGTCATACATGGACCGGTCGGAAGAACTATTAGAAGAGGCCGGGCTGGGACACAGCTTTGACGTGAATCCTCGGACAGACACGGTTCCTGGATTCATGTGCTCGATTTGCTGCGAGGACGACGAAGATTTAGAGACATATGCGATGCGATGCGGCCACCGGTTCTGCGTTGATTGTTTTAGACATTATCTTGAACAGAAAATCAAGGAAGAGGGTGAAGCGGCGAGGATTCAGTGTCCTCAGGATCATTGCCATCGGATTGTGGATTCAAAGTCGTTGAATTTATTGGTGTCTGACGACCTCAAATATAGGTAAGACATTGATTTGTTCCTTTGTCGTGGTGTCCTTTGTCTGAAATGAAACTGACCCTTTTTTTTTCGTACAGATATAAAACGTTACTAACTCGAACATATGTCGACGATAAAGACAACCTTAAATGGTGTCCCGCGCCGAACTGCGAGTTCGCGATAGATTGCGGAGTCAAAGCTAGGGATCTAAACAAGATTGTGCCTACAGTGCATTGTTCATGCAAGCATAGTTTCTGTTTCGGATGCGGCCTCAATGATCACCAGCCGCCGCCTTGTTCGTTAGTCAAGATGTGGCTGAAGAAATGCGAGGACGACTCCGAGACGGCAAATTGGATTTCGGCTAATACGAAAGAATGCCCCAAATGCCTGTCGACAATTGAAAAAAACGGTGGCTGCAATCATATGACCTGCCGCAAATGCAAATACGAGTTCTGCTGGATGTGCATGGGACTCTGGTCTGAGCATGGAACCAGCTGGTATAACTGCAATCGATACACGGAAAAGTCGGGATCGGAGGCTCGCGATGCGCAGGCAAGATCGCGGGCGTCTCTAGAACGGTATCTGCATTATTACAACCGCTACGCCAACCACGAGCAGTCGGCCAAACTCGACAAGGACCTGTACCTCAAGACGGAAAAGAAGATGACCAGCCTTCAGTCGCAGTCAGGCATGTCGTGGATTGAAGTGCAGTTCCTGGACACAGCGTCGCAGGCGCTGCAGCAATGCCGCCAGACGCTCAAATGGACGTACGCGTTTGCGTACTACCTGGCGCGGAACAATCTCACGGAGATTTTTGAGGACAACCAGAAGGATCTGGAGATGGCGGTTGAGAGTCTGAGCGAGATGTTCGAGAAGCCGATTGCAGAGCTTGCGGAGCTCAAAGTCGACATTCTCGATAAGACGGCGTACTGCAATAAACGACGGGTGATTCTGCTGAGCGATACAGCGGAGAACCTGAAGCAACGTAAGTCGTACCTTTTCAGTTGCACTTGGTTGGACTATATACTAACATCGATATTTGCAGGGGAATGGAAATTCAATGTCGAATTATAATGGTTCATTTAATTAGGATGGCATTTGATTACTAGCATTATTTCATAGCATATCTCTCTACTAACTATATCAGCCCACGATTCAAGCCAGTTTGTGTTTGTTCCTGTCTGCTCCAGCAATCATGTGTGATAATGATTGACTCGGCGTACAATCTGAAATACTACCTTTTTTTCTTTTTTCTTCTTTCTTTTTGATGTGCAATACATATATGTTTGATCCAAGAGAGTAACTATGAAAGCGTAGCATAGACTGCTTTGGCTCCGGAATCGGAACATACCACAGTATTACTATTTACCGTCACTATGGAACTAATGAAGACTTGAGTCTAGCAGAGTAGCGACCCGCCCCGAATCCTGTTCAAGGCTAGAATAAAAAGTTGGATATATAGTCAGTCACTGCGTCTCGCCGTGAGCAATAATAATAATCAGTAGGACGGAGTTGCCTGCTTGGGCATTCTGGGCCGGTGTCTGTCGGACTCGGCTTCGGCGAGAAACTGCCTCGGCGTATGCGACGGTCGCTTGGGGGAGCAGAATAATCACAATAATAAAAAAATCTAGGCAGCCAGATAGCGAGACGGAGGCATCCATGGGATACTGACATACATACGTATTGGATGATAAGCAGAGTGTGCTGTGTAGTGACGCCGGAGAAGCCGTGGACGTCGTCGGCCGTGCTTAGCCCAGAAAATAAAATAAATCATCTCTTCATGTTCTTAATTCATTCTCCCGCCACGACCACACCTCAACTCCCCCCCGGCTTGCACCTCCTGTCCGCCATCTGCTTATATTTCTTCCGCTTATTCTTTTTTTAAACCTTTCTGTCCATTCTATCCAATCCGGCTTTTATTTTGGATACTACTCCTCTTCTTCCTCCACGTCAACAGTCAGCTTGAGCTTGAGCTTGCGGCTCCGGCTGCGCCTTCAGAGCTATTCGCAGCTCGGATGGCGGAACACATCCCAGGACAGGAATATGAGTATGTCAATTGTTTCGTTTCATGTTTCTTTTGTGTGTGCGACCTGGCCATGTCTGGAGGACGACATGCTGGGAACCTCTGCCGATCAGAAAAGGAAGGGGAAAGAAAAAAGTCTGCTGCTGACCGACCCGCGAAATAACACAGGTATGAAGCTCTTCCTTCGAATTATGGCTTGGGTCAAAATATGCTAGCCGGTGCTTTCGCGGGGATTGCGGTATGTTTTTCTTTGCTGCTCGTTTTTGAATGCTGGCTTGGAGATGGAGAGGTCTGATTTTTGTGCTCTACACAGGAACACTCGGTTATGTATCCGGTTGATCTGCTCAAGGTACGCAACATCAACATCAACATCAGACCAGAAAGGTAGATAGGCACAGTCAGCTCACAGTATGCGCCTTTTTGGGGGGGCTTTTTTCAGACTCGAATGCAAGTTTTACATCCGACATCGGGCGGGCTTTATACCGGTATCACAAATGCGGTGTCTACCATTTACCGAATTGAAGGCTGGAGGACGTTGTGGAAGGGTGTGTCGAGCGTGATCGTGGGCGCTGGTCCTGCCCATGCTGTCTATTTCGGAACATATGAAGCCGTGAAGGAGCTCGCTGGTGGAAACGCCGAAGGACATCACCCCTTTGCTGCTGGTAAGCAAGCGTGCCTTCTCAGGTGTTGTGAATTGCAAAGGACGTTGAAATTGACTTGAATGGCGGAAAAAAAATAGCCCTAAGCGGAGCAAGCGCAACAATTGCTAGCGACGCCCTCATGAACCCATTTGATGGTATGAAGCATGAATCTCTTTTGAAATTACAATAATTCATGACTGCTAACCGTTAATAGTGATCAAACAGCGCATGCAGGTCCATGGCTCCGTTCACAAGACACTCGCGCAGTGTGCAAGGACGGTTTATCGAACCGAAGGTCTCCAGGCTTTCTACGTCTCGTACCCGACGACTCTCAGCATGACCGTTCCTTTTACAGCCACGCAGTTTGTGGCCTACGAGTCGATATCCAAGATGATGAATCCCAAGAACGAGTACGATCCGTTCACCCATTGTATTGCGGGTGGCCTCGCTGGCGCCGTGGCCGCTGCAATCACCACGCCGCTCGACGTGATAAAGACGCTGTTGCAGACCCGGGGTTTGGCTACAGACCAGGAGATTCGCTCGGCGCGAGGCTTGTTCAATGCTGCTGCCATTATCAAGCGCCAGTTCGGATGGGCCGGTTTTCTGCGCGGACTGCGTCCTCGCATTATCTCGACCATGCCCAGCACTGCGATTTGCTGGTGAGTTTTTTTTTTTTTTTTTTTTTTTTTTTTTTTTTTTTTTTTTTTCTTTCCCTCCCTCTTCATTTGGATTCGTTCTTGGTTGGGGACGCGGCGGACATGCTGACCAAATTATTTAAAGGACCTCTTATGAAATGGCAAAAGCCTATTTCAAAAACCAAATGACCGAGCAATAAATCCACCGAACATGGACTTGGTCGTCTCGTTCTCCCTACCCTACCGATCTCGCGCGTATACATGGTATCGTCCTTGCGAATCGGACAGTCTTCTTATCCTCTCGCTCTTCGTCTCCTCCCGCCTTTATCCTCCCAAGAGACATGATCATGCAACCCAACGTCTACACGCGGAAGAAAGGGAAAACAAAAAAAAGAACAAGAACATCATCTCAACTGTAACTGTCCGAACTTCCTCATACCATTTTCCTACCTCTGGGAGACCAACGGCTACGATCTATCTCGCATCATTATCAACATTCCATTCCAGCGATGTATATTGTTCCCATCTTTTCTAATAAAATACGTGAAGGGGGTGGTTCTGACGCATTTGTTTTCTCGAATTTCCAACATTCAACCATCTTGTTTGGCGCCGTGTCTTCACATTCGCATGAAGTCTACCTTTTTTCTTCTGCCTTTCTTTTTGGTTCTTTCTTGGGGGATTTGCCGTTGCAGCACTTGATGCAACTTGTATTTTCCGGCGTTGAAGGGGTCGAAGGGTCGAAGAACGATTTAAAAAAAGATAACGTTTTATAATTGAGAGAACCTGGGATAAAGGCGGTTTTTCATATTTTCCCTCTTTGTCTCTATTAATCACAGGGAATGGTGTCATGTGTGTGTCTTCTTACATGTAATCATAGAAATGTGGCAGTCTTATTTTTTTTTATACCTCTTTCCAGATTTTGTTTTAAAGAAGGGATCAATTATATACTTAGGTGATGCAGGAAATATACTTATCCTCTATTTCTTGTATATCATTATCGTCGGTCAAAAGCGAGTTACGTAGGTTTGGATCGCAGTTAAAATTTCAAGATACAGTAATTACCGTGTCACGTACGGCGCTTTCACTACGTCATCCCCAGATTCTGCCTGCGGTCCGTATTGTATTTACATGTATACTACCTACGTTACGCTTTGGGGACATTCTCGTCCGTAAATCAGAATGGCCGTGCATTAATATTGAATGGCTATTAACATTCATGACAAATCTGCGACGTATAGAATGACAACATTGTGCTATAATACCAACTGTGGTATTCTAAGTTTCTTGCTAGTTGATAATACGACTGCCGTATTGGGGCGTATTCTTGGTTGGCCAACGACGTCACGCGAGAACCAAAAGACCCATCGTCAACCTCTGTCTTGTAATTAGCCCAAGCCTGAACCATCTCGCTGAGCCACGCTCTTGTGCATCGTGAAGAGTAATATTCTCCAGCCAATCCTTCTATTCCGGCGTTTCCTCTCCTGTCCGCATCGAAATCTCCTGCTGGAAATCGTCTCCCCTCACACCAACACCCCTCCTCGTCCCTGCTTTACCGCTACCGCTACCGCCCGCAATCAATCAATCAATCGATCAATTCATTGGCACGTCTTATGGCGAGCTCGTGTCCGCAGTTCCTTTCTAGATGATGCGCTCAAAGCCCTCGTCTTCCATGCAGAAGACGTACGATGAATGCTACTTGATGTGCTCTACGGCCGTGTATTTCGAAGGACAGGTGCGTTCGTTACCTCTATCCCGGCGCAAATTCTAGAAGGCATATAGACATACTGATTCCTCTCTCTCTCTCTCTGTAAAATAGAATAATGAGTCTGAGGCCCTTCGCTCATGGCGCTCCGCTCTCGAAACTATATACTATCACAACGCATACCGCGTGCCTCCGAATTACGCTCCCAGATCCGAAACAGAAAAGGCTCTCCAGGAGTCTCTCCGACAGTTGGAATTGCAATGCAAGGAACGAGTGGATTTACTAGAGGCCCTGCAAGAAAGCAGAAAAGAAGCCTCTACAACGGAGGAGGGCAATGTCCTGAGTAATGACGAGAAAGAGCCTTCGAAGCAGACTTCACGACCACTCAAGTTGGAAAAGGGCAAGCGCCCGTCAAACAGCCATAGCGCCAACAGTAATAATAACCCGCCCGGTTGGATTGGCGATGGTACCATACCGGCAGTCGACTACATGGACTTGTCGAAACCCCCATCTCTCCCCGTGAGACCATCCGCCGCAGTGTCGCCGGGCGTGGCAGTCACCCCGCCGCCTATGTCTCTCGAGCGAAAGCACAGTTATCGAGAGGCCGCCGCACCTTCAGCATCTCCGCACAAACTTTCGCCTTCCCCGGTTCCAGCTGCATCTACACCCGGCGGTACACCTCTTACTCAATCGTCTTCTCGTGGGTCGAGCCCCGAGAGAAGAAAAATCATGCTTACGACACTCCGCCAGAAGGACTCCAAAAAGCCTAAATACAAGACTTCTTCCAGCAGAACTCGTCCAGCAGCATCAAAAGCAGCCGGCCTAGCCTGGGGGATCAGACCAAAACAACAACAACAACAACAACAACAACAACAAGCAGCAGCACCTACGGAGGGAAGCTCCGCAAGCCACCCTGCCTACAATAATCTTTCTAGTGATTCTGACGTACGCAAGGACAGCGAAACGAAATATGGACGGTCTAGCGAGGAATCAACACGGAAGACCGGTCAGCAGAGGTCTATTCCGTCGTCTTCCGATTACATTCCGAGTTCAAGCTGGCGAGAACCTCAATTTCCTGATTATCAGTACCAGCCAAATTCCTCACAATTAGATACAGCTGCGGCGGCGGCGGCTTCCAAAAAATTGCTAGCAGCCAGCGATCAATTGCCCAGAAAACCAGTCAAGCCCCTGCCTCCCCCGAAATATCCAGTTTACCGTAAAGAATATCTTTCAAATCCCGTCTCCGTTGCTGAGAGGAGTCTCAGAACGCCGCCACTCAACAGATCGTCGTCGGCGACGCAAACGCCCATAAAATCATCATCTCCAGTAGCAGGAGAAAGTTCAAATCAACCTGTGAAGAGAACAATTCCCAAGTCACACTCAACGCCGCGCACGCTGAGCGCTGCAGGAGCAAACAGAGCTTCAGTCTCGTCCATAAGCGGGGATGAGCCCACACGCCCACGCAAGCCCGATGCAGGTTTTGACGGTGCGTCTAACAACACTACTGGTAGTGCTACTTCTGCTGGACGGAAGAGTAGGCCTCCCGTACCGAAACGCAAGCCTAGAATCACGCCTCCATCGAGTGATCAAGATTCCGGCGAAGAGAGTTCATCGGGGCCGGAGGAAGACCGGGATTTGCGAGATATCATGAAAAAGCTGCCAAGGGGTATTGATGTCAACGCGGCTCGACAGATCCTGAATGATATAGTTGTCAGAGGCGACGAGGTTCATTGGGATGATGTTGCAGGGCTCGAAACGGCTAAGAAGGCGCTGAAAGAGGCTGTAGTATATCCATTTTTGCGACCGGACCTTTTCATGGGTCTTCGAGAGCCTGCCAGGGGCATGTTGCTGTTTGGACCACCAGGTACGGGGAAGACGATGCTGGCTCGCGCGGTAGCAACGGAGTCTAAATCGACATTCTTCTCCGTGTCAGCCTCGACGCTGACGTCGAAATGGCACGGAGAGAGCGAGAAGCTTGTCCGAGCTTTGTTCGGACTTGCAAAGGCATTGGCGCCTTCGATCATCTTTGTAGACGAGATTGATTCCTTATTGTCGACACGATCGTCAGGATCGGAACACGAGGCGTCGCGCCGGTCGAAAACGGAGTTTCTGATACAGTGGTCTGATCTGCAGCGGGCAGCCGCTGGACGAGATCAGAACGAGAAGAAAGATGGCAGTGGTGATGCTAGCCGTGTGCTAGTTCTAGCAGCGACTAATCTGCCGTGGGATATAGACGAGGCAGCGCGACGGCGGTTTGTGCGTCGACAGTACATCCCACTGCCAGAGGATCACGTTCGGGCGCAGCAATTGCGCCGACTACTCAGCCATCAAACACATGAAATGTCGAATGAGGATATTGAAGTCCTCGTCAAAGTTACCGAGGGTGAGACAGGCACCCTTTCTCTTTCTCTCTCTCTCTCTCTCTCTCTACTTTCTTAACTGACATAACGAATGCAGGCTTCTCAGGCTCCGATATCACCGCGCTGGCTAAAGACGCGGCAATGGGCCCACTGCGCAATCTGGGTGAGGCATTGCTGCATACGCCGATGGACCAGATTCGGCCGATTCGCTTCGAGGATTTTGAGGCCAGTCTGTATACTATCCGGCCGAGTGTGGGCAAGGATGGACTGAAACGATACGAGGATTGGGCGAAGGAGTATGGTGAAAGGGGTGGATGATGTATGTATACTTATTATTGTATGTACATGTTTATGTACAGGCAAGGCTAGGTAAAGACCTACCTAAGAGCAGTATAGTTATAGTCGATCCAGTCTTCAGAAAGTATCGCATCCAAACCAAAAATATAGACCGGGACGATGCAAATGGAAATCAGTGGAAATCTTTTGCATGTCTAGAAATAAGGTAATGTACATAGTAGATGACTTGTTCTTAAACATTGATATGGGATACAAGACGTAATACAGTTGAGCAAGCACATCCCCTTCAACCAGCAAAAACAAAGCAAAGGGGGAATAAAAAAGAGCAACATCCTCAAGACGAAGCCGCAGTTCTCTCCCGAACCAACGAACGAATCCTGCCCATATGATCTTTGCTCTGCAAAAACCGTGCAGTGACAGCTTCAGCATTCTGGCCAGCAGCAGCCTGCTGTTCAGCGACCCGACTAGCCTTCCTAGCCAATTTCTCGGCCCTCTTGAGCATCTTCTCCGCCTCTCTTTCCTGCCTAGTCATAACAGCCGGCCGAGCGCTAATCTCCTCTCCAAAGGGCGCAATGATTCGCTCAACGACGTGGCGAACATGTCGGGACCGAGGCGCCCCGGACGAGAATTCAATCACGTCCCCCTCGCGCAGCGAGTCGCGCGGGTCGGCCACTAGGTAGGTGGTTGTCTTGGGGTAGGGTTTGCGGATGTGTCGGTCCCATTCGGTGTGGCGGTAGGCGACGCGCACAGTCTTGTTCATGAGGCCGACGGAGGTTACGGTGCCGATTTTGAGGGTGTAAGGGTATGTGCGGAGGGAGGGAGGGTTGGCGTTGGCCGTTTGAGTTGAGGGTACTGTTATTTCATTCTCTTCTTGGAGAGCTTTGCTGTCTGTAACTGAAGAGTTGGTCGTTTCTCTTATTGTTGACGATGGTGTAGACTGGTTCTGGTCCTGGCTGGCAAGATATGATCGTGTGCTCGAAATTGTGCGTCGAGAGAGGGGAGCTGATCTTGCTGTGAGTGTCCGCTTCGTCGCAGCTCTGGCTGTGGACGACAGCAGCATGCTCCTAAATAATGTAGGGCCCATTTTATTGCTCTGCTCGGTTCCTGAACAGGCACTTGAAGCGGAATAGACAAGAGTCGTGAATGCGGTAAAATTTATTCTGTTGGCGGAATGGTATTATTCCCAGACAATACAATTGCGCGAGAACTCGTATAACCGGATACGCAGTGAAGCAGAATAACCCGCTCTTCAATTGTATCTCTCTTTCTTTCGACGGACCTTGGAGTGCTGCAATTGAGGCAGTTCTGAGAAAAGTCGAAAGTATCCTTCCTGCTCGAGTTGCGGCAACACGGATCTGTTTGCATTGTTTGTCTTCGCCAGCAGCAACTGCCCCCTGTCAGTTACTACCTAGACATTTACCGTAAAGTCCATAGACAATCCTATGAAATGAATATGTTAAGAGGAATTAATATCTTCTAGAGCCTGTCTGCTAGGCTTTTTATATAATTGATGTGTTGGCTATCTTCTACTTCGGCGCCGTGACCTCTTCCGTCGCCGCCGCCGTCTCTTCTTTGGTCTCTACGTTTCTGCCGTGTCCAGTAAACACTTCATCCATTTCCTCCAGTTCAAGATTCTTTGTTTCCGGCACGAAGAATATACTAAAGACCAGAGACAGAAATGCCACAGAGCCGTAAATGAATCCGAGCTTCCCGCCCAGATTAGCCTTGTCGGCGTCCTCGAGGTAGGGGTAGGTAAACGACACAACAAACTCCATGACCAACTTGACCGTGTAACCCACGTTCAGCGTGTACTCGCGCAGATATGGAGACGGAATCTCGGCGGCCACGACATATGCCAAGGGCGCATATCCAAAGGACCAACCGAAGGAAAAGAGGAGGAGCATGGCGACAATACCGGCCTTGATGGAGACCGAGTCCGAAGACGTCGAGGGGTCTGCCGTGCCGAGACCACCCATGGTGAATAACGCGACAGTCTGAACGAAGGCCGAAGTAATGAGCACGGGTCTCCGGCCAAGACGGTCTGCGAGAAGGATGCAGAAGAGAATGCCCCCGATATCGACAGCATTAGTGCCGAGGGTCACGCTGAAAGGGTTGATAGTATTCAACGCTTCGACGAAGAGAGTGCCATATTGCGAGGCAAAGGATTGCCCTGTGGACTGCTGGAAGAAGAGGAGAAAGACTACGATCAAGGTGCGGCGCAGGTTGTCGCGATTGAAGATCGAGAGGAATTGGCGAATACGTGATCCCTCGCGCTGGCGTCGGGCAGACTTGATATCTTCGACCGCTTCAGAGAGGTCAGAAAACTCAGCTAAAATCTCCTCCGACGCAGGGGCTTTGTTCCGTTTTTCTTCACGAGTCTGGCGGAGTCGGGTGAGCGCCACCAGAGCTTTGTCGTGGCGGCCGGTTAGTAGTAGCCAGCGAGGGGACTAGAAGGCCGCGTTAATACACACACACAAAAGGTAATAACGATGCGCAGAGAAACATACCTCAGGGATAAGCCACACCAGAGCTATCACGATAGCTGGGAAGATCATGATCAATCCAATTGGAAGCTGCCAGGCAATATCGCCTTTGTCTCTCGAGGTAGCCCTGACGATACCTGTGACGAGGAGTCCACCGCACTGGAATAATTAGCCTGGTTATTCCTTACAAGAATTGCACAAAGCTGTGTATCTACCTTGATACTAAGCCAGTACAGAGCTCCAGTTCCACCACGGAGATGTGCAGGAGCAATCTCCGCTAGGAAGGTCGGGATGACGGCCAGCTGCATCCCCAGGTAGACATCTATGTGAGCCAGTCAGCTATGTTATTACCAAGCCTGAGCTGGTCAGACATACAGTGAAGAGTCCTCCCCGCAAGAATCTGCGGACGATTGTACGCAGAAATAATGACCGACGTGCTTCCCAACGCATAGATGCTCATCACGAAGATACACCATCGTCGGCCATAGTGCTTGCTGATCCAGTTCCCAACAATGACGCCTATGGCTGTTAGCCGTGTGTGCCGGTACTAGATGCGATGCCATGCCATGCCATGCAAGGCACAGGAGAAGTCAGCATACCGATAAGCTGGGTAGCAGCCTTCAAGCTGTTCAGCAGACTCAGGAACAGGGCCGGGAGCACATATTTCTCCTTCTTGGGCTTGTAGTCGCCGAACTGCTCCTTAAAGGCAGCCGTGGCCTGTGTCGACGCAAACGACTGGTCACTGAACCCATAGCTAAAGGCGGAGAAGAACAGTAGGGCCACGGAGCACACCAGCGTGGCATTAAAGTCGCGCAGATGGATTTTTTGCCGAGCCACGGTCTTGTCATCTGGCGCTGCAAATGCCATGTTCGGAAGTCAGGAGGATCTACGACAGGCTTCAGCATTGGGCTTGGCAGGGAGTAGGATAGTTCGGGGGAGATGCAGTGGTTTTATTCTATTATTTATCTGATCAGATTAAGTTGATCAGATATGTGTCGTACGTCGTCCTCGTTTATTGTTTAATCTCGTGCCGCGCGGGCATCCGAGACAGCCGTGATCCGAGCCATTCAAATCGCACCACGATAGGGACCTTGGTGGTCTTTTTGCGTGGTTTTTTTCCCCCTCTCCGCGGTTTGATTTGTCTGTCCCCGGCCGATATCCACCGCGGGCTGCGCACTATAATCTGACGGGAAAATAAATATAACCAGAGTTCGTTGGATTGAGAGGATATTCAAAATACTACATACATACTAGTACTCATTCTAACCACGTGTCTACAGCAGTCCTCAGCGCTTCGGCCAGCCACTCTTCGTGCAACGGTGTGCTAACGTCAAACCCATGCCCGCCAGGCCGTAGAGCCAGAATGACCTTGTCGGCACCCTGTCTCCCTTGCAGGGTCTCTCTGGCTTTATGCACAAACCGCCCACTTGCCTCCGGCAGCACCGCTTCATCCTCGGTGCCGTGGAGAATCACTAACCCGCCGCAGGGTAGCTTTGCATGTGGTGTATTTAGCCGGGCCAACTGGTACAAGCGCTCTGGATGACGCTCCGGAGGTAATTCGGATGCCCCGCGAAAGAAAAGCCCACACCCTCTTTGGTGTGCGGTAATGGTCATGGACAGCCGGACACGCTGGAGAGCCAAGTCGGAGGACTCGACCTGCCCCGGGTTGATCTTGGCAATATACTCGTCAATCAATGATTCGGGGGCCGCGTTCTCGGTCTTCTTGGCTGGCAACAGGGGAGGGTTATCCCAAGAAAGCGATGGGTATGCCGCGGTTCCGGCGCGGATCTTATCTGGCTGGGAGAGAGTGAGATAGACACTGAGCAATCCACCGGCCGAGTCGCCCGCAGTGATGATTCGGTCCAAGTCAAGCTCAAAGGTCGTTGCTTCTTCTTGTTGCTGTTGCTTTAATAGACTTGCTAGGCTCTCCGAATGGATCCAGTCCCAAAAGTCATCGACATCATCTAGAATATCGATGCCAGTGACCTCGGGGAGGAAACGATAGTTTGCCGAAATGATGACTGCGCCGTATGTTTCAGCCATGTCAAGGAGCCATTGCGGAAACCAGTCGGCGTAGATCGAGTCGCCCCGGACCTGTAATGGTTTGTATCAGTATGATTGCAGGACGGAGGGGCGACGGGACGACTCACCATTCCTCCGCCATGGAATCGCGCAATGACTGGCGCTTTCCTGCCTGCTGGAAGGGACTTTGGGATAATCAGGTCGGCGCGGATCTCATGTCCATCAACGACTTTGTAGGGGGCTTGCAAGATGTTGAACTTGGTGAACTTCGGTGCAAAGGTTGCACCTGGTCGAATTGAGGCCATTGTGTAGAAGACTCTTGTATTTTATTTCTGTAGAAACCACAACTAACTGTGCCAGCGAAGACATGGCCGGTATATATACTATCGCAGGCATATATGTATATCTACACACATAGTTATTATAACAAACGAATCAAGTTTGTCAACTGAAGCTGTAGGCAGGAAGCAAACATGTTTGTCTAGGGTGTAAACTCCAGCCAGCCAATCGCCGCGCAGCATCCCGTGTTTGTCGCAGAAGCAAACACTGCAACATCTCTGCAAACATTTCTCTCGACTCTCCATCATGCAAACCTCTTATGATTCAAACTTTCATGGTTGCAAACCAGATGGCACAGATTCCCTAATTAGGATTCTGCAGCAGCTACGGCTTTCTCAGCCGCCGCCGCAATTCTTCCCACCCACATCCCCGTGACTCAGCATCGCCAAGTGTCCTGCGCTGCACCGTTGCACTTCGGACTTGGCCATAGTCGCAAACATCTCCTGGAACTGGGGCGGCACTGCCTGGTCATTCTCACAGGTCAGATACGTAGACGGGATGTACTCGTACGCCGTGCCGGTGATGGGCGTGGTCTGCACTCTGTAGGACTGTGGCACCAGTCGAGATTCCCACAGTTTGGCTTCTGCGTCTGAGAGGTCATTGAAGAGTTTGCTCGCTCCGTCTTTGATGGCGAAGCCGCCGTCGGGCTGCAGGATATGTCTATCTTAGCATGAAGCGCTCTCGAGATCAACGTGGCAAACCTTGATCTAAATCAAACTAAAATCTTACTCCGATATCGTTGTTGGGTGACTCCCCAAACGCACTCAAAACCGTCTGGCCCTTCTGAAGCAGGAACGCGGTGCAGAGGAATAGGTGAAGCACGCCGCCCTGCTCACCTTGGGCGCGACGACTGCTGTAGCTGAGGCGTTGCGGGATAGCCTCGTTCCCGACGAGGCCGCCATACGAATGCATAAAGACAACCACCGTCCTCCCTTGGTCAATAAGATGCTCAACTTCTTTGCCGATACTGAGTGCGTCGTCGGTCAAGGTGCGAGCTGTGAAGTCATCAGAACCAGAGCAGCTCGGTAAAGTTGGGTGAACCACAGGGTAGCCTGCGTCCTGAGGGCATCGTAGAACGACGGCGTCATGAATGAACCTTGGGTAATGGCAATTGTAGGTTTTATGGAAGCCATATTGACTGCTGAGTTGAATGCAAATGCTTCTCTAGTTGATGATGGTGGGCTGAAGTGTTAAAATATTTATTCCACAATTCAGCCCCCGACTGTCCTTTTAAACACACAGCCCTGACCATAATAAGCAACTCTTTTAAGACTATAAGATCGTCTCTATTCACATATGCTTTCCAAAGACCAAGTCTTATCATGATCTTTCTACGTATCCGATGCTTGTGGTGAGTTATTCTACTCGCGCTCTTCAATTGCGATATTAGTATACTCCGACTTGACATTATGGGACCCTCGAGTATTTTGGATTGTAATGTACATGTAGATTTACATATATCCGAGAGATGAATATAAATACGGAGATTATGGTACTCTAAAAAAAAAGTCATGTAACTAATATGTGGTGGTACTTTCGTATTTCAAAAAGAGAAAGAAAAAGAAAACCAACGAACACGCCATCCCGTACGCCATATCCCTCTGCATTATTATTTTGCTACCGTGTATGTCCCCTCTTTTTGGATCCGGCCTACTCCTCCGACACAACAATTGCATCGTCAGGAACAGTCTGCTCATTTCCGTCAAGCACAGGTGCAGATGTACCCGGAATCAGAAGCGACGCTTTCCTCAGCGAAACTTTCTGTTTCGACTGCGCTGAAATGCGTCTTAATTCGCTGACAAATGATTGTCCCCAAAACGCGCTCGTGTATTTGGAAACATATTTGTCGAGCTTGGAGAAGTTAAGCGCCTTCTGTTCCTCGCTCATGGTCACGGCCTCCTGGTAGGCGCCGGCCAGTTCTTCTGTGTTCCAGGGATTGACGATGATACTGCCATTGAGCGACTGAGCTGCTCCAGCAAATTCAGATAAAACGAGAACGCCGTGGCGCTTGTGCTGTGTAGCAATATATTCGTACGCCACTAGGTTCATACCGTCTCGGGTAGAAGACACAATGCATGCGTCCGAGACAGCATACAAGGCGATGAGCTCATCGAAGTTTACTGATTTATGTAGAAAGTGAATGGGCATGAACTCAACAGTGCCTGTTAATTATTAGCCAGTGAGAACAGGTATTGTCGCAACCGGGGAAAAAAAAACCAAACCCGTTCGAACATACCGAATTTACCATTGATCCGACCAACGAGTTCATTGACTACTGCCCGCAGGTTCTGATATTCTTCCACATCCTGCCTGCTGGGCACCGCGACCTGCACGAGAACCACCTTTCCTACCCACTCTGGGTGGTCGCTGAGGAACACCTCTAGAGCATGGAGCTTCTGCGGGACACCCTTGATGTAATCTAATCGGTCCACTCCCACCATCAGCTTCACACCCTGAAACTTCTGCTCAAGCATCTCAATTCGTTTTTGGACTTTCTCTTTCTGGAGTCCTTCCTTGAACTTGTCCGGGTCAATACCAATAGGGAAAGCCCCAGTAGAAACAACCTTGCCTTGAAACTCGATTCCATTCGGAGTTGTCTTCAAGCTACTAGAAAGAAGCATGTTAGAACATGTTATTCTTCAATTTAGGCAATGTGACGAGCTTACAGAAGCCGTGAGCAGCTACTCAAGAAGTGTCGCGTGTAGTCGTAGGTATGAAACCCAATCAAGTCGCAATGTAGAACACCCAGAAGGAGTTCATTTCGCACTGGCAAGATTCGATAAATTTCACTGCTAGGAAATGGCGTGTGAAGAAAGAAGCCTATTTTAACATTCTTCTTCGAGTCGCCAATCTCCTCTCGCAACATTTCCGGTAGCAACATCAAATGATAATCGTGGACCCAGACGAGGTCGCCATCTTGAATATCTTTGGCAACGGCTTGCGCAAACAGACGGTTTGCCTTTTTGTATGCTTCCCATGCGAATTCATCAAAGGTAATTTCGCCAGGATGATAATGGAACAGCGGCCAGAGAATGGAATCTATGAAGAACATCGGATATTAGAGACTAAAAGAAAAGTCAAAAGCTCAAATAAAGAAACTCACTTGAGAAACCATTGTAATGTCGATCGGCAAGCTCGTCATCGATCATGACTGGAATAGCTCCGTATTCGTCCTTGAGCCGCTTCTGTACCACTGGAATCTCCTCCTCTGGGACTTCCAATCCAGGCCATCCATACCAGCGAAACGTAGTCGATTTTGTCAATCCACTCAAGCCACTAACCAGACCTCCAGATGACATGGAAAAATCATACTTTCCGTCATCAGAGCGTTTGATCGTGATAGGCAATCGATTAGAAACGAGGAGTAACCTCGACTCCTCGCTTTGGGGACGTTCAACCGAACTCATTTTCTCCTCTTCACTGCGGGTGGTGGTTATGCTTAAAACCGGCCAATCTGCAGGAATTCGGGCTAATGTAACCTGCGGAATGGATCAAGGGAGAAATAATTGGACTCGCTTCGCAATGAAATCGCTGTTGACAATGTTCGTTAGTGACCAAGCTAACCTTACGCAAGAAGTATCCGCATATCGTCAGAGAGAAAGCTGACTTGGGCACAGCTGAAACAAGGACTGATGCGTCGGGTAAAACTGGGGCAGAGCTGAAAGGCAGGAAGGAAATGCAGATAAATTTATTGACATGAAACCGATAGAACAGCGACGGAATCCAAGGTCTCGAAAAGCAAGGAGCACCAAGAAATTATCAGGGAAGCGTACCAGCCAGGAAATGGATGACGTCTATCTTTGTTCACCGTCTCAGTCTCTCGATGCGAGGGGACCACGCGAGGGCAGCACCAGAATTGCCTGGTAATGGCGATGGCGAGGCCAGATGAAGCAATGCAGATATCCTCAATAGCAACTTCATTGAAGGGGAATGGAAGAAGCAGCAGAAGAAGAACGAAGCTGAGAGAAGTTGGAGAGGAGGGGCAAAGAATGAGGTAACTCCCGGCGGGGGCCTTCCCTATTCCATCAACCTCAAAGTTACACCCGCGCTTACGACATATGGAATTTCCATTCAACATCAACAGCGTACAGGACGAGATGTGTGAATATCAACCGCCGTAACTATAGCTATTGCATAGGATGTCTACAAAACAGGCCTCTGTGCGCTCAGCCGCCATTCTCCCGACGCGCCGTCATGCTCAACCTTGCCCTCCGCTTCCAGCTTATTCAACACCAGCACTACTCCATGCGACGCCGGCACATGGAGACTCTCAGGAACATCTCGATAGATTATTTTTACTATCTGGATGGGCGTCCAACTAGACAGAGATAACGGGCTTTCTTGCTGCGACGATTCCACATCCAATCGTCCAAACCTGAGAACACGGAGAATCTCATCTTCTCTCTGTTGGCGATGTTTGATATATTCCGTTATCTTCCCAGTGGCGTCCGCAATCACAGTTCCATGGCCTGGATATGCTCGCCCGGAAACAGCTCTCTCCATCTTCTTCAAGCTAGCGATATACGCGCCCAGGTCTTCGAAGACCGCCGTGCCATGCCCCAGAACATCTTCAAACAAACACTGTTAGCAGAGCCCATTCACCTGTAGAACAGATCACAGATCACAGAATCTTATAGACATACTATCGCCAGTGAATATGGCATCCTCTTCCCTGAAAATGAAGCTCATATGATCAATAGCATGCCCCGGCGTATAAAACGCCTCCAGCGTTGCACCTTCGACTTTGAAAACCTGCCCATCCTTGATATCCGTCTGCCCTTCTACTTTTTCACTCGGCTGGTGTTTGTAGACAGTAGCCTGTGGGCATATCTTTAGTAGATCCGGAATACCTTTGACGTGATCATGGTGCCAATGGGTCAGAAGCACCTCGTGAACCACGGCATTTTCATCTTTCAGCACTGATTGAAGTAATGTAGGCCAGCGGGGGAGGCCTTCCCCGGTATCGATCAAGAGTCGCCGGGTTCCACGGCCAACTAAATAGGTATTTGTTCCTGATAATGCAGTCTAGTCAGTAATTGATCAACGACAACTTCGTCTCGTTTACTACTTACCTTGTAATGTGAACTGAACATGAGTCATCAGCAAGCAGCTATAAGCAATCCTGAATTTCAGGGGAAGAACCAACTTTGCCTGGATTTCCAGCCAGAATCCTAATGACTGATGTACTCAAACGCTCAACCTCAGGCAGCGGCACAAGTTGAGTAGCCATGGTAGATGAACTCGTAAACCCTTCCGCGGATTTAGACAGTGAATCAGAATATTAGGATTACTGCGGCAAATAAATAATTAGACTCGCCGTGCTCTCAGTAGAGAATTGATAATAGAGAAGTACGTACTAAGTAGACAACTTACACTATATGGCTGCACACCGAACCTCGGCAAGGCGCCATCTTATCGGATGATTATGTCATCCAGACATGAATTTTACAAGTCTCAACTACGATTTTGAATGTTACTCAAGAATCATAGAGAACAAAATAAAATCATCGTTATACAGTTATAGTACCTAATGTCGACAAGAAAAAGAAAATAGATGACATATAAAACATGACGGGCTATCTCCATGCAGAACACCAATTGAATGAGCCAACCATCCAAAGACGAGAAAAAAATAAAAAAAAATAAAGAGCTCTTGAAGAGTGTTGACATTTTTTGTGCATTGATTCCAGTTATCCTGAAAACTCGTTGAACCAGGGCATGAATTACGGAGCCATGCGATCGAGATCTGGCAAACCGCACATTTTCTCGGTAGTGCGATGACTTCGTTTGATCTAGAATGAGCCTCACTGTTTTATCTCTTTCTGAGACTCTCCCGATCTTTCGTTATGTATATTTGAATTAGGCGCTCGCAGACTTGCGGGCCATGGTGTTCAGGGCAGAACCGTCACGGAACCACTCGAGTTGAGACTCGTTGAAAGTGTGACTGAGCTTGACATCGAAAGAGCTGCCATCCTTGGGGTGAACACGGAGGGTAATGGGCTGGCCAACAGCAAGCTCAGTGCAGAGCAGGTCAACCTTGGCATCGGTAGGAATACGGTCGTAATCAGCTGGGTCGGAGAAGGTAAGAGGAAGCATACCCTGCTTCTTCAAGTTGGTTTCGTGCTAGAAACGAGTAAGTCAGTATTAGAATTCCTTGGAATGTATACTATATGATAGAATACTCACAATACGAGCAAAGGAACGGGTAATGATAGCAAGACCGCCAAGGTGACGGGGCTCGAGAGCAGCGTGTTCACGAGAGCTTCCCTCACCGTAGTTCCAGTCACCTATGACAACCCACTTGATTCCGCGGGCCTTGTAGTCACGAGCGGTAGCAGGAACAGCACCATACTCGCCAGTAACAGCGTTCTTGACCTTGTTGGCCTCACCGTTCTCAGCGTTGACGGCACCAATCAGCATGTTGTTGGAGATGTTGTCAAGGTGACCACGGTACTTCAACCATGGACCAGCCATAGAGATGTGATCGGTGGTGGTCTTGCCCTGAGTCTTGATCAAGATGGGGATGCCTTCAGCATCCTTTCCATCCCAAGGAGCGAAGCTAGAAAGAACCTGAAGACGGTCACTGGTAGGAGCGACGGCAACCTGGATAGATTCGCGATCAGCGGGAGGAGCCTGGTAGGTATCACGGCCGGGATCGTATCCGTTGGCTGGGAGACCATCACCAGTTGGGGGAGCAAGCTTGAACTCCTTGCCATCCTTGTCCTTGAGGGTATCGGTGAGAGGGTTGAACTTGAGGGTACCGGCAATGGTCATGGCAACAACAAGGTCGGGAGAAGTGACGAAAGCGTGAGTAGCAGGGTTGGCATCGTTGCGGCCAGTGAAGTTACGGTTGTAGGAAGAGACAATGGAGTTTGGCTCGCCCTTCTTGACATCCTTACGATCCCACTGTCCAATGCAAGGACCGCAGGCGTTGGCAAGAACAACACCGCCAAATTCCTCAAGGGTCTGAAGCTGACCGTCACGGGCGATGGTAGCACGGATCTGCTCGGAACCAGGAGTGACAGTGAAGAGAGACTTAGCCTTGATACCGTGGTTCAGAGCATCACGGGCAATCGAGGCAGCGCGAGACATGTCTTCGTAAGAAGAGTTGGTGCAAGAACCAATCAGACCAACCTTCATCTCCTCGGGCCAGCCATTGGTCTCAACAGCTTCCTTGAACTTGGAGATAGGGGTAGCAAGATCAGGAGTGAAAGGACCGTTGATGTGAGGCTCAAGCTCAGAGAGGTTGATCTCAATCAACTGATCGTATTCGGCACCCTCGTCTTCGCGGAGATCCTTAGCGTACTCGCGAGCAAAGTCACCAATGTGCTTACGCTTGGTGGCATTGAGGTAGTCGTACATGCGGTCGTTGAAGGGGAAGAGAGAAGTGGTAGCACCGATCTCAGCACCCATGTTACAAATAGTGCCCATACCGGTGCAGGAAAGAGACTCGGTTCCAGGACCGTGGTATTCGATGATAGCACCAGTACCACCCTTGACGGTGAGCAGACCGGCAACCTTGAGAATGATATCCTTAGGAGCAGTCCAGCCAGACATCTGACCAGTGAGCTTAACACCAATGACTTTGGGGGCCTTCAATTCCCAAGGAAGACCAGCCATGACATCGACGGCATCAGCACCACCAACACCAATGGCAGCAATACCGAGACCACCAGCGTTAGGAGTGTGAGAGTCAGTACCGATCATCAGACCACCGGGGAAAGCGTAGTTCTCCAGAACAATCTGGTGGATAATACCGGAGCCGGGCTTCCAGAAACCGATGTTGTACTTGGCACAGGCAGAAGAAAGGAAGTTGTAGACTTCCTTGTTAATCTCATTGGCACGAGCCAAATCCTTATCACCACCAAGCTGAGCCTCAATCAAGTGGTCACAGTGGACGGTAGTGGGGGTCTGCACAGATGGCATGCCAGCCGACATGAATTGGAGAATGGCCATTTGAGCAGTAGCATCCTGGCAAGCAACACGGTCAGGGCGCAGCTTCAAGTATGACTTGCCACGCTCAATCTCCTGTCCGTGGGGATCATCCAAATGGGAGTAGACGATCTTCTCGGCGTAAGTAAGTGGTCGGTTAAGACGGCTACGAACAATGGCCAAGTTCTCTGAGTATTTCCTACAGAAATAAAACAATCAGTATGTACTTCTTCTGTTTCGCTTGGCTTTTTCTTCCTAGCCTCAGCAGAGTCAGGCATATCATACTTGTAGTTGATGTAGTTTCCCTGTATCGACCGAAATTACGTCAGCACTGACTTCATTGACTGCCTGGTATAGTAGTTATCTTCGGCTTACCTTTTCCCAGTTGGTCATCTCAACCTTCTTGTCGAGGGGAGAGTCAGACACGGTGGCCATGCCACGAGAACCGAGGAGCTACGTTTGTTATGTTAGTATGCAGTGGACAGACTGCAGAGTGGTGGCGCAGAAGCTTGTCACTTACAACTCGGGACTTGGTGCCCTGTCGAGATACAATCAATTAGTCCATGCACCAACAAGGAAGCAAAAGAGCGAGCAATCGCACGCCAATTGCTCTCAGGACAGCGCGCTCTTCGCACAACCGATCAAAGCGGCCAGAGAGCAGGGAGGACGACTTACCACCGCACCCAGGCGGGTGAGCCTAGTGGAGATCATTTTGATATCTCTAGGCAGAGCAGCAACTCATTCAGTTGAATAAAGCACACGATGTCCCAGGAGGAGGCGTGAGGGAAGAAAGTTTATAAGAGGAGAGAAAAGACAGGTGAAAAAAGGGCCTGTTGCTATGAGGGAAAAGAGCGCAAGTGACGCTGGCGGCGGTTACTAAAACCGGAGCCTGACCCGGCTATGTTACGGCGTGTACGGAACCCGTATTGAAATTCGCGGGATTTGAGCGCAGTTCAGGCCTGCGATTCCGGCAGCTGGCGTAAGCAGCCAATCATGTTGGAGGTAATTGAATTGGCAACGGCAAAAAAATACGGGAAAAATACACATCCCTTTCTCCCCGTAAATTACTGTGGACCCGGGTGGTTCGCAGCTGTTGCCAATGGTATGCAGCCCATTACCAACTGTATTTTTAATATCAAGTCCTTACAAGTTAGCACATGCTCGGATGAACGCGCGCAGATAGCCGGATAACCAGCGAGGGGCACGATGGAAGACGACGCTGACAGCCGGTTGACGCCCCCTTCTGAGATTCCTTGACTCTCCGTCCACAGTTGCAATATTCTCCTGCTCCTTGAATTCATGCTACGTACATAGGTTCAATAACATACTAAAACAGTAGCATAATGCTACGTTGCTCGTACCGTAAATAGTAAGTTAGTGCGAAAAAAAACGTCATAAATTACGGTAAAAACTTGCCGTTTGTCGCGTCCGCATCCGACCTTAGCCGGAAGCGCCGTCTAGCTAGCCCTTCAGCCGCTGTCCAATCAGCGCCCGAGAATTACTGCCCAGTGCCGAGAGCTTGAAAATTTTTGGCGGTGAACCACCAGCTCGATATCGCGATAGAACATACCCATGGTGTCCATACAGCCAATATAGACACACTTAGACGTTGGAACATTGTCCTGCAGAAGATCAAATGGGCGCTACCAGGAGGATCAAGACCAAGCGGCGGACGAGGTACGCCGTGATCAAACCCGATGTAGTTACCAGTCAGCTGATCGTATCTTGCAGGGACTACGATCAGATTCGCTCGGATCTCGCCTCAAAGAAACACCTACAGGACTACAAGGCTACAAAAGATGCCGAAGATCTTCCTGGTCTCGGTCAACACTACTGCGTCGAATGCGCAAAATGGTTCGAAGACGAACACAATCTAGTGGCGCATCGCAAGGGGAAAAACCATAAGAGGAGGTAGGCAAGATCTTCTGGCAATTTATCATCCATCGGTTGCTTATGTTTGATGTCGCCGTCACAGGCTGCGAATTCTCAAAGAAGATCCGCACACACACAAGACCGCAGAGGCGGCTGTCGGATTAGGCGTTGATAACGGCCAACGGGAGCAGACGGTGATGGATACCGATGAACCTGAAGACTAAGATGGTGGCCAGTACACTCAACAGAAACCATTCGAGGCAGCTCAAAGAAAAAGAAATAGAAGCCAGCTGTCATGCGCACCATGCTCAACTGCTGCTAACAAGGAGCCTTTTGTTCGGAGACGCTCACCATGATCATCTTCGTTTCGTATCGTCATCATCAGTATCCAAGCGAAGGCGCAGTACAAAAATCCGCACATGCTCGGTTGGGCATTGTCCGATGTTCGCCAGAAGGCTTCCCGAATAGCCGGTCTCCCAACTTCCGATTCACGGCACACTTGATGGATTACGGGGCCGCCCGCACCAAGGTAATTTTACATTACCAGCCGAGGTAACATTGGTACCGTTTGTTGTGTGGATAAACATTAAACACAGTCGCTTTGTTTTTTCTTGAGACAAAATTATCTAGGAGCGCTTGGACTGGATTTGTTGTCAAATGCATTGTTGATCTGGGACCAGTGTGTGTTGTGCATCTCTTCAGTAGCTATGAACAGGATACGCGATCATAGAATTATACACACTCACGCTATGCGCCTGGATGAGTTGCGATAGCTGCCCCAAATTCTCTCATTAACCATTCATACACGGCCCACTAGATTCAATTAGCAGCAGGTAAAGATTTGCAAGACTTGTAGTTCCACACATACCTGGGCCGCATTGACCACAAACGCTCGTACACTACAAATGCCTAACCCGCGGAAGAACACACGAAGCCCTTCGTTATGGTATGCCTCCCGAGCAATGCCTAACGAGCCCAGCGTTCTGAAGTGTGACAGCGGGGTCGATACAGAAGGCCTTCGTCGTTGCACCTCCGTACTATTGTTTGAAACAACTAGAGGTTGAGCTTGCAACCTAGTCTTGACCACATCCAGTGGAAAAATGGAAGCCCATGTAATGATACCGGCAACACCACCGCAGAGAAGCACTTTCAGAGCCTCTTGGTGACTACTCTCGTGGGGGGAGGATAGACTGCGCTTGGATAACTCATAAGACCAGAAACTATTGATCGTTTACATTAGACCCAAGTCCAGAGCACCAGAAAGAGACGTGCTCACTAGAAACCATAGCCTACAGCATCCCTGATGCTTGTGATAAGGCCACCAAAGTACAGTCCTCTGGGTCCATGTACTCGGACAGTATCACGGAACACAGACCAAGAGGAGATGCTTTTATCTCTACTCAGCTGCGTCCGGCATTTGATGAGTTCTGTCGGTGACGAAACAACCCAACTGGCCATGCCGCCTGCAGCACCAGCCAGCCAGACATTGGTTAACGATACTTTGCCGTCAAGGTTAGTTGGATCAATAACTGAAGGGTCAAGGAATTTGAGAGATCGGTTATAAGCGACAAAAAGTAGAGCATTCAAAGCACCGTATCCCAGGATGGGAGCAGCAGCGCCTAGTTCTGTTAATATTTGCGACTGAAGAGGAGTAGTTCTTAATCCTCTGGGCCATACACACCTTTGATCAACGATGTTCTTGTTTCAAAATAGCCATGGCCTTGAGCTTGGGCTCGAAAGAAACCTGGTTCCTTTCTAGCTTGTAAACGAACTTTGACGAGGTCGAGAGGGTTGCCAATCAGTATTCCCACAGCACCACTGATGTACCCAGCCAAAAAGTCAGAGGACATTGACGCTACATGGGACCATCAATATATGCATGCATCAGCAGCGTCGGTTTGATGGCGGGGTTCTTCATTTGGCAACCCTATATCACGTGATACCGCGTTATTGACAGCTACCCCAACGCGGTTCCACGCGTCTTCGACTTTCGAAGAGAGAACGGATTGGAAGGAGCTGTGTTCCCGAGGAAACTTGCAGTGACACGATTTTTGGAAGCAGTTGGAGGTGTTGGAATACCTTATTTTGGGGGTTCGTCGACGCTTGGTAGAAGAAAATGTACAAGCTGGTTCAATGACCAATGCTTACAACGTACTTGTTGATGCTAACAATGGAGCAGGCAACGCCCACGACTGACAGCAACTGTTGGTAAGCATACGCCTCAGAAGGCTGCACGACTTCACGGTCCGTCCGATCAGTCTGCCGAACGCCTGTCCAAGCCTTTCAAATGTCCCGGCTCAGCGACAGCTACAATCACCTCTAACCGACCGAGCAGAAAGCGGCGCAAGGTAGACTATACAGGTGCCGATGGCACCGCCGACGATGATTATAACAGACCATGGACTAGCGAAGAACGCCTTGCACTTGCGAATCGCGACGTTAACAGGTTTGGTGTATTCAAAGTCAAGGACAAGGATATGGCGTTCAAGCAGCGATTTTCGGTGCCTTTGATCAATAAAACCGCCGGTGGATATGATCCTGCGAGACCTGCGCCGACTCTTGGGATGAGACAGGGCGCTACGTTTATTGTGAAGCCGCTGCACGATCCCAGTGGAGAATTCGCCATAGTGTTATATGATCCTACTGTTGATGACAAGCCTACCAAGAAGACGGAACAGACAGAAAACCCAGAGGAGCAGCTACCACGGTTGGATGAGCCACTGGTCCATAAGAGTTTAGTAGATATTCTTGGTCTCAAGAAGAAAGTTGAAGATCGTCCGAAAGTCCCTGTCGTCATTGATCCGCGACTTGCAAAAATCTTACGACCTCACCAAGTTGAAGGTGTCAAGGTAAACACAATCCTAATACTACGCCACTCCAGGCTTCAGAACTAAGAAATACCGGTGACTAGTTTCTTTATCGCTGTACAACGGGAATGATTGACGAAAATGCAAATGGATGTATCATGGCAGACGAAATGGGACTGGGGAAGACGGTAACTTATATCTTTCAAAATCTTACAAACGATCTACTAATATTTTTTAGTTACAATGCATCACTTTGATGTGGAGCCTGCTTAAACAGTCACCGGAGGCTGGAAAAACTACTGTGCAAAAATGTGTCATCGCTTGTCCCTCCACTTTGGTTCGTAATTGGGCCAACGAGTTAGGTAGGACCTTTTTATCTAATGTTCCTTTCAAACATGGTCGCTAAGAATTTAGTCAAATGGCTGGGTCCCGATGCTGTGACCCCATTCGTAATCGATGGCAAAGCTACTAAGGCCGAGTTATCAAGTCAGCTTAAACAGTGGTGCATTGCTTCAGGTCGTTCAATTGTGCGCCCTGTACTAATCGTATCATATGAGACGCTCAGGTTGAATGTCGGGGATCTCAAGGATACACCCATAGGCTTGTTACTCTGTGATGAAGGACACAGATTGAAGAATAAAGAAAGCTTGACATGGAAAGAACTCAACAGTCTCAATGTCAGTCGCCGCGTTATTTTATCCGGTACTCCAATCCAGAATGATCTCTCAGAGTACTTCGCTCTTGTTCATTTCGCAAACCCGAACTTGTTGGGAACGCAGAATGAATTCCGAAAGAAGTTTGAGATCCCAATCCTGAGAGGCCGGGATGCTGCAGCAACCGATGAAGACCGAAAGAAGGGAGACGAACGCTTAGCAGAGCTATCTGCTATCGTGAACAAATTCATTATTCGACGGACGAACGACATTCTTTCAAAATACCTGCCAATCAAATACGAGCATGTGGTATTCTGCAACCTTAGTGAATTTCAAATGAATCTGTATAATCATTTCTTGCAGAGCCCAGAAATTCGGAGTCTTCTCAGGGGAAAAGGAAGCCAGCCACTCAAAGCAATTGGACTTTTGAAAAAACTGTGCAACCATCCAGACCTTCTCAATCTATCTGCAGATTTACCTGGATGCGAGCAATTTTTCCCAGAGGATTATGTTCCTCCAGATGGCAGAGGCCGTGACCGGGATATTAAATCTTGGTACTCCGGCAAAATGATGGTACTTGATCGTATGTTGGCAAGAATACGCCAAGATACCAACGATAAGATCGTTTTGATCAGCAACTATACACAAACTCTGGATCTTTTTGAGAAACTGTGTCGCGCCCGAGGATACGGTTCTCTGCGATTGGATGGAACAATGAATGTGAATAAAAGACAAAAATTGGTGGATAGGTTCAATGACCCAAACGGTGAAGAGTTCATATTCTTACTGAGCAGTAAGGCTGGCGGCTGTGGTATCAACTTGATTGGAGCGAATAGATTGGTCCTTTTTGATCCAGATTGGAACCCTGCAGCAGACCAACAGGCTCTGGCCCGTGTTTGGCGTGATGGCCAGAAGAAGGATTGTTTTGTCTACAGATTTATTGCGACCGGCTCTATTGAAGAGAAGATCTTCCAGAGACAGTCACATAAACAATCATTGTCTTCCTGTGTTGTCGATTCTGCCGAAGACGTCGAACGGCATTTCTCTCTAGATTCACTTCGAGAATTGTTCCAGTTCAAACCAGGTACACGCAGTGATACTCACGACACATTTAAATGTAAACGGTGCAAACCGGACGGAACTCAACATATGAAAGCACCAGCTATACTATATGGCGATACGAGCACCTGGAACCACTTTGTCAATGATGGCGAGAAGGGAGCGCTGGGCAAGATACAGGATTTGTTACTGAGGCAAGAGGCGACAGAAAGAGATGTATCGGCAGTGTTTCAATTTATCAGCAGCTAGGTTAGTGGTGTAATCTGCTTTTCACTTGGTGACTTAATTTGTATATAGAGAATCAGGCAGCGACGAGTAATTTATATATTCCCCGTTACAAAATTACCGTACCAGCGGGTAAAATACGTACGTCACCGCAAGGTCGATAGCGTCCCCGCACATGCTTAAGTCCAGGCTATCAGATTAATCTCTGGTGTCAAGACAACATCGATACGATGTTGAGCACGCACTCGCGTGGCTTTTCAACGCTTCTTTTCACTGCTGCAGCCTGAGGAAACAACAATTATGGATACCTAGATATTCTGCCGAGCTTGAACACTGGACCATTGTCGCCCGAGGTTCGAAAATGGATCAGTCGGTTCAGCGCTTGTTGAATGACAAGCTCTACGACAAGAGGAAACAAGGTGCTCTGGAGTAGGTTGATCCTTTTCTATTGCAAAGAAACAGATATAGAGAAGAAAAATATTTCCTGACTCTGAAAAATAATTGTAGGCTCGAAAAGATCGTCCGCGACGCAACAATAAAAGGAGAACATGACACGATCCAGGAGATCGTAGATCAGCTATGCCATGACTACGCTTACGCTGTTCACCAGCCCCATGCTCGCAATGGAGGACTCATCGGTTTAGCTGCGGCCTCAATTGCGTTAGGATCGGTGGGTGATAAATGAAGCATCTGACTATGTTTCAGCGCGGCTGATGGTTGACTACTCACAGGAAGGCGTGGCTCCTTACTTACAAGAAATCGTTCCTCCAGTCCTCGCATGTTTTTCCGATCAGGATGCAAGAGTGAGATACTATGCCTGCGAGAGCATGTACAATATTGCCAAAGTCGCTAAGGGAGAGATTTTACCTTTTTTCAACGATATCTTTGATGCGCTTTGCAAGGTACGAGCACCGCTTGTGACCCGATTGATACATCTTGAAATGCTAACACTTCTCAGCTTGCCTCTGACTCCGAACTGTCGGTCAAAAATGGTGCGGAACTTCTCGATCGCTTAGTCAAAGATATCGTTGCCGAATCAGCTGCGTCGTACGTTTCCGTGTTGCAACTTGGGGAAAAGCCTTTGCAAGACCTGGACCATGGGAGAGATATAGAGGAAGCATCTATGGATCTTCCCACTGCATTCTCGCTTTCTATGTTTATACCGCTACTGCAAGAACGTATACATGTTCTCAACCCATTTACTCGAACATTCCTCGTCTCGTGGTTGACTCTACTCGATACGGTTCCTGACTTGGAACTAGTTTGCTATCTGCCAGCATTTTTAGGAGGCCTGATAAAGTTCTTGGGCGATCCCAACAAGGATGTGAATGTTGCTACCCAGGGTCTTTTGGAAAGATTTCTATCAGAAATCAAGAGAATCGCGCGCATCAAGAAAGGCATTGCTGAAAGCAAGAAGAGTAAGGATGAGATTGTCGTACCAGCCACTAGTGAACATACCAGCACTACTACTGGTCACAGCGAGGAAGTAGAGGAGAGCGACAATGCTGTGGCGGATTCAGTGTCTGTTGATGCCGACGATGATGACCACAGCATCGCTGCTGACGGCGATTGGGTCCCTGGGCAAGACGCAAATGTAGATTATCCAAAGATACTTGAAATACTCGTGGGGTTTGTGGATACAACATATGGTAAGTGCCTGGAAACCCTTTCAACATTTAGCCTTCTCGCTAACGCATCATCAGAGGAGGAAATGCAACTGACTGCACTGCGATGGATTGACGCTTTCTTTGAAATTAGCCCAGAGGATATACTTCAGTTCGTTCCGGCGCTTTTAATTCAGGTTCTTCCGGCAATATCAAGTGGGTCGGATCAAGTACGGCAGGCGGCGACGAGAGTGAATACCTCACTCATGGAATACATTGTCTCTCTTTCAGATGATACACCTGAAAGCTATCAAGCAACTACGTCAAAGGGTGCACCGACGTCGACAAAAGAAGGAGAAGAGAGAAGAGCTTCTGTGCAAAGTGGAAAGCCCTCTCTTGAAAATCACAACAGTGATGGCCCTTCTTCTAGTCCACCATCAGACCTGGATTATGCAGCTGCGGTCAATTCTCTGACCCTCCAATTCCTAAATGAAAATGAGGGCACAAGAGTTGCTGCTCTCTCATGGCTAATCATGCTTCATCGGAAAGCACCTCGCAAGGTTCTAGCCTTTAACGATGGCACGTTTCCTGCGCTCCTCAAGACATTGTCAGACCCAGCCGAGGTGGTGGTTACCAAGGATCTCCAGCTTCTTTCTCAAATATCGCGAAACAGCGAAGATGGATACTTCACGTCTTTCATGATCAATCTCTTACAGCTCTTTTCTACCGATAGGAAACTTCTCGAAGTCCGTGGTAATCTGATCATTCGGCAACTTTGCATGAACTTGAGTCCAGAACGTATCTATCGCACATTAGCAGACTGCTTAGAGAAAGAAGAGGTTCGTTCCATTTTCAGTTCACATAACGACTAAGGTATCTAATATTGACTCGACATCAATAGGACATAGAATTTGCTAGTATAATGGTGCAAAATCTCAACAATAACTTAATTACAGCTCCAGAACTCTCCGATCTGAGAAAGCGACTTCGGAGCCTGGATAGCAGAGTATGATCTTGACCGATTCATAAGCCACTTAATGCTGACCTAGAATTTCAGGAAGGGCAGACATTGTTCGTTGCACTTTTCCGGTCATGGTGCCACAACGCTGTTTCCACTTTCTCTCTCTGCTTGCTAGCACAGGCTTACGAGCAGGCTTATAATCTTCTTCAAATCTTGTGAGCATGCACGTGTTTTTTAAAATCCGAACAATGATTGTCTGATACTGTTCATAACCAGCGCGGAATTAGAGATGACAGTAAATATGTTGATCCAGATCGATAAGCTGGTGCAGCTTCTGGAGTCCCCTGTTTTCACATGTCAGTGTTACATACGACATTTGTGATTTTTTATGCGCGCTCACCTTTCTTAGATCTCCGATTGCAGCTTTTGGAACCTGACAGATATCCATACTTGTATAAATGCTTGTATGGTGTCCTGATGCTTCTCCCCCAAAGCTCAGCTTTTGCCGCTTTGAAGAACCGTCTCAATAGTGTCAGCAATATTGGCCTACTACAAGGCCCACGTCCGTAAGCATTGCCTATGATTTTTATTCGTCTCAATTGACCCAGCTAATGAAGCCATATCCAATACCCAGGCCTGCTGCTGGCTCTTACGAACGGTCTACAGCAGGAAGTCGCTTGAAAACCCGCGAAGACAGCTCCGTAAGGTGGGTGGAGCTTCTCGACAAGTTCAAGAACGTCCAAGAGAAGGCGAAACGGCACCAACGAGCCTCACAGCGGCAGTTTGAACAGGATTCAACCGGGACTATACAGAAACATCCTTCACTGATCGGTGCGTTATCTCTAGCTGCTGCTACTGATCAACAAGGCGGCAGAGAAAAAGTTTTTCCCGATGTGCCTAAGAGTGGCTTTGGCAACACAGGACTAGGGATATCTGGTCGTGGGCCAGAGGGTCGAGATGGTCGGTCTACTCCGACGTCTGCCAACAAAAGCAGGTCTAGTTTAAGTCATCTAGGCCGACTGGGTATTGGGGGTAAGAAGAAGCATTGACAGTATTTTTCGGACAGAAGAGACATCGTCTTGATTTCATAATGTATTTATTTCCATTCACGGTTTATATGTTACAATTTCTTCAGAGTGATGCCAATGATGGTGCTGGGCGCTCTCTGAGCAAGGAGATATACGAATGTAATTATCGGCGACGACATTAAATTACTAACCCGAGGACAATTCTATCCAAAGTACGATATAGACTACTCAACCAATAAATAGTTAACTAGTCCGTTAGCAAATGCAGGCGATGACTTCATATGCCCTTATCGTCACGTGATCCGTATCTGTTGAATGCTTCCTTGCTTTTTCCGGGGGCCAAACAAAGCTGAGACAACTTTCAAGGTTGTCGTCTGCTTGACAACTTTTTCATTTCATAGTCACAACAGCTCCCCAAAGCTGCAATATCAACCATCATGTGTTATTCCTGCTCATGTCGATGAGGATCAGTCTTGAATTGCTTGGTTTTTCCCTCTTCAAGTCGACACCCGGGGCAACACCGGATGGAGGAAGCCGGTCACACAAACTGGCGAAAAGCGTCTGGTAATTTGCTATCGAAGTTCAATCCTGAATGATGCCTACTCGAAACCCTCAACCTCTTATACTGTGCGACGAGAAGGATGCGAATAGATATGTGTCGCGAGTTATTCCATGGGTTTTGTTAGCAATAGTTGTTTATGCTAGCTATGCTGTGACAAAACCGTTATGCAGTAGGAAACTTCCATACGGAGCTGACATAAAGCCTATTTGTTCTATTCTTTGCTAATTCTGAGTCTTGACAGTTGACTATTTAATTCATCCTCAATCCCATTACAACCGGGAACCACGGATAGGCGCTGGCGTTGCTATCATCGTGGTTTTCTACGTCTTGCTATTTCCTGCATTCACCACATACCTCCGCCTCTATTTTGTTGTGGCATATAGTCCAGATTACTTACCGAGAGGAGCAAATTGGGTACCACCCGAACCAGATAATAGAACTTGGGTTTCGAGAAGAAGAAACAGAAGGAAAAGAAAGGCAGCGTCGAATGAAAGCGCAAACGGACATGTTGAGAATAATCAAGAAAAAGAGCAGCGATCAGCTGCTGAATCCGCCGATATTGAACACCAGACTGGCGGAGTCGCGTTTCCGCTTGGCGAAGCCTCCCTAGAAAGTTTCTGGGTGAAGGATATCTTCGTTTGTCAAGATGACGGGCGGCCGGCCTACTGTTCCAAGTGTTGCCAGTTCAAGACGGATAGATCGCATCATAATCGCGACGTTGATCGTTGTGTGCGAAAACTGGATCATTTCTGTCCATGGGTTGGCGGAGTAGTCTCGGAGAGCTCGTACAAGTTTTTTCTTCAATTTGTCGTTTATACTGCGATCTTCACCTGCTTTTGTTTAATCGTGTTTGCTTACTTTATTGCTGAGCATCGTTCTGATGTAAGGATCTTCTTTTCTGCCCGATTTCTACTGCGCGAATATTGACGTATCTTCACACAGACCGGCAGAGTAAATGCTCAATGGGCTGTCGCTCTGGGATTGTGAGTAACTTCTACTCCATTTCAATAAGCTAAAATACTAACCTGTGTCTTAGAGCGGCTTTGTTTTTCCTGTTTTCTGCAGGCATGAGCGGGTCATCGCTGCATTCAGCTTCGATAAATACTACAACAATTGAGAATCTAAGCAGACATTCGAAGGTGTGGACGCTGGCGATATATATTAGTCCAGATCAATTTCGGCGCCTTATGAATGCCAGCAGAGATGGCCAGTGGGCTCTGACTTTTCCTACAGTCACATTTCCAGTTCAACCGTCGACCACCATCAATACCGCCACACCTGTCACCCAACAGCCATTTCGAGATTCTGCTCATGAGCTTCAACCCACAATACCAAAGCCCAACACTAACACGAATGATAGTCAGAGCACAACGACCAACATGCGCACATTCGCAATTTTGCGCACGCAGCCTGGCGAGAATCCATTCGATCTAGACGATCCAATCAAGAATCTCCAGCAAATAATGGGACATACCCTCTGGGACTGGCTGCTACCGTTGAAAGTAGCCCCGTGTGTAGATCATAGTAGCACTGTGAGTGCATACCCGATGGGGCCCGTTGTGGATCGTTTAAAGCGAGAGGCCGGTATACATGATGATGGACAAGAAGGAGAAAGAGAAGAAGCACCCAATAACAACAATGATCATAATGATAATAATAATCCTCGTCATCATCGAAGTTCCATTTCGCACCAGAAAAGCGATGAGGGCCAAGATGGGACAGGCCAAGCAGTCATACAACATCGATAGACAAATTGATAATGATTTTCTATGTTCTTCGAGTTTTGCTCAGTTTTTACTACATATTTGTTTTTACCTGGCATTATTAGCATTCAATGCCAAGTTGAAGATACCTACTTCCGATGCCATAGTACCCATCTATCTTGTGAATTATACAAGCTGAACTAACTCACTATTTCGACCTGGCCAGGCAGCAAATGTTAATAGAGAAATTGACGGAATATTGCATTGATCAAACAAAAAGACTGGATTGAAGTTTGTTAATCACAGGCATCAACACTAGATTGATGGGAACAATGTAAGACATGCAAAAACTAAATAGATAGGCATTCTCAGGACATGGATGTTAATATCATTTGAAATTTGTAATATATAGTGAAAAACCAGCTGTGGACAAGGGATGGGGAAAGAGAAATATGGAATATAAAATGAGTAGCTAGATCCCGAAATTTGAGTGACAACTGTTCTGTCTTTCTGTCGGCTTATAGAGAATAGCTTTGGTCTGTGTTGTCGATTGAGTGATTAATTGAATGGGTGATTGAGTCAAGCCCAGCTCAACATGTCGAAGTGCGCAAAGTTGAAGCAGCCGAGGGAAAGACAAGGTAGCGAATGGATAGATAGATATGCAGCTCGGCCATGATGCTTGGATGGCATAAACTATGGCCCAATCGATAGAGTCTATCGATAGATAACCTGACAATAAGGGCATCGTTTGTGTCCGCATTCCAAACAGCTATCATAGAGCTGCGTGTTCCAGTATCCTCTGCATTGATGGCATATCCACAGCTCCGCCGGTGCTGATAGGTCTTGGAAAGCGAAACATTCCATTTTGCAGTGCATATCTGAACTGGAAGACGCGAGATTTGATGGTGCTTCTTTTATTTTCTCAAGGCAATTGGTAGGGTAGCGGTCTGTTTAGCTAATTGAAAGCAATTGTTGTTTTTTTCAATTGAAATGATATGAATAAATGATATTCTGAAATCCTCTGAGTGATTGTGGTCGGCGATCCCGATGTCTAAAGAGATTTGAGCTGTTGCTTTTTCGAGTTGACTGATATTTAGAAAATATAGGTATACTTCCCATCAGGATACTGCTTCTTATATATGGTATTTCCTCAAATCCACACAAAATAAAGAGAAACCTCAAACCCGCAGCAAGAATGTACCCGGTCACATTGTTTCTTTCTCGGTCCTGAGATGAGATGGACCAGACAGATCTTTCACCCATTGGTAGTGCACTACTCTAGCATCAGATCCCTTGCGGCATCACCTAGATGTTGCAACGGTAAAGAATGATGGCAGTGAGACCTCATGGTGATACAGAGCCGGCGTTGGAAACAGATGTTTCCCCATTTCGAAGTCGGACGCAGTCATCTGCGCAGAGGAATCTTGTCGTTCCATGGTGTTAGGTCTTCCGGACTCACCACCAGCGGTTATGCCGATAATCCAGGCATCAGTCCCGCGCTGGTCTGCAGCGTTCTTTTTTCTATAATGGACCCATCTTCATCTTTGGTACCGCTTTCTCGCAGGTGTCCGGCTCTTTTCAGGAAATCAAGGAGCAAATTCAGCTCACAAATGGTGTTGATGCCTAGCCGGACCAGACTTTTATGGACAGAATGGAATGAAAAAATAACTTTTCCGTAGCTGCAAGCCCATAATCTTAAAGATTCCAGCTAGCTAATGACGTTGTGGGTGAGCATCGCGTTCAATAGGCACCGCAATCTTTCCGGTTGAAGTAAATATCGAACATAACCACGGGCCCAATGCTTCTTCTTAGATACAGCGGGTCTTCTGTAGATCAACTGCAGAGATGTGCTCAGGAGAAGCAAGCCCTGCTTCATTTGTCCTTGATCGTCTGGACCCAGGAAATAGAATGCCGCATTAGCTTAGATCCGAATACCTGGGAACAGGCAACTAGGTGCTGCGATATGCTCCCTGCAAAATGCAAGGCAACTAGTTCTTCACATCTTAAGACTTATCGCAGCATTCCCTTGGTGGCCCTACCATGCAGCCCGGTTACCACCGGATCTTTATCCAAGATCCCGGGTAACACAATGAGTGCCGCCTAATGAATTCCGGTTTGGGAATCAGTAAATAATATCCCATTTCCAGTGCATGCTCGAGTAATAGTAACGATGGTACGAGGTCTTTTCCGATGCAGTGTAGTGGAGCATGGAGACACTCAAGGTGGGATTAGGCACGGCAATGACGCCAAAATTCGGTCGTATTGATTATCTACTATTATCTACGGAGTTGAAATTGCTCGGTCATGCCTTATTCAGCTGCTTGTACCCGGGGTGATGCCCGACGATAAACCAAGCAAGTCAAGTTTTGTTTGGGCGCTCCCTGACTATGCAACGATCGTAAACATACCAACCCAGAACCTTGGTGGGCGAATCAATGGCCTATCACCCATCCATTTCAAGGCTTGTAGTGGGTAAAGCGACTCGAAGCTTGGAAGGAAGTATGGTTATGGCGCAGTCAGGCTGTTGGGCACCATCTCATAGGATCCAAGAGCACGTATATATAGAGATAGGCGGAGGTTGGTCCTGTCTGTCGTTTCACATAACAAGCATCCCCTTAGCTAACTTGGGTCACTTGCTTGATTCCTTAATCAGGTTTATTAGGTACCATGTGGACTGATTGGGCGAGTATTCCGTACCCGGCGTACCGTGACAGGAAATCATTTGCTGGGGTTGTTGATGGTTAGTATTGACGGCAGGCGGTTTTCAGGCTTCAGCAACGATCAATCACTTCAATTAGCTGGGTTTGACCCACCGGACCATCGGATGTCGCCGTCGGGGTCCATATCAACCCATGGAATCATCCTCACTTTTTGAAGAGTTGACCCGCGGAAAGGTACAAACATGATAAACATTCCATCCTTGCTGAGTTGTTTGACGGTTCGAAACATGTCCACCAAGGCAATCACCTGACTGTGATGTTGCAGTCCACGGAATTCCCATATTGACTAGATAGTACCGATCGATTCGCTGGCATAATCGGAGCCGACGGTTTCCGACAGCAAGCGGCTTCGTTGCCAAGTCAATTGGATTGCTGCCTCCTTCGTTTTGAACCGAAAGTGTACCGCATCATCATATTGAACCGTTCCCGTACGACACACAATAAGACTTATTTTACGACGCGGCGGCCTCATCGACAGGGATGACCGTGTCAAACCAGCACTACCCCGGGACCGTTGGCACGCTAGACTACCGCGATGACGCAGTGAAGAAGCCGAGGTCCACTTCAGCAAAGCCATGTCCAATTGTCCACGATAACGATAAATATAACGATAGCCACAAGCAATCCGAATTCAAACCAAAACGGCCCCTGGACATCGGCGCATTTTGCCGGCAAGATACCCAACGGCCGTCGAGGGGGAAGCCAATTCAATCACCAACTCGACACGTTATTGCCGCCTCGAATACGTACAGAATACGGAACGGAGTGCGTCCGCCTTCTGTGAGACACAGAAGCAGACGCCACCGGTTTCTAGTGGAGTTCCGCCGAGAGAGTGAAACCTTGAGGCTCTGTATTTTCTAAGTACGCCGTCTCACATACGACGCGCACTCCATCCATTTCAGTTCCCTCAGGCTAATCGGCAAGAGAGAGGGTCGCCCGGAGGCTGCTGGCTGCGTCATAACCTCGATCGTCAGCCATTCAAGTGCCAGAATGCAGTAGCCGCCCCGCTAACAGTTAGTCAATATCAGCTGAAAACCGCCGACTTGAAGAATTATTTCGGGCGGACGTGTAGCCGTTCTGACGAAGGCTTGAAAGTGAAGTGAATAACAAGAGGTCGCTCGGCGTGACGATTTGCAATCAGCAACGAAAGTGCGCTTGGCAAGTCCCGTGCCTCTCAGACTCGGTCGCGCCTGCCCGAATCTCCATCCCGCACTTGCCTGCTTGCCTAACACACACGTGCACGACTTCCTTCCTGTCTTTCTTCTTGGTCTTCTTCTTCTTCTCCGTCTTCCTCTTCTCTGTCATCTTCCTGCGACACGACACTATAAGAGACATCTCTCCCACCTTGCCTGAGCTTCGTTGTCGGAGTCTTAGTTTTGTTCGTCCCTACTATTTATTTGTTGGCGGGGTAGTATCATCCCATCGTCCATCATCCAGAGAACCTTCCTGCCAGAATTCAGATTATGAGCCACGCATCTCGATTCCGCTCGAACTCCCCCGGGAGCAGGCGGCTCGTTGATCCTATGCGTGCATCGACGGGAACTGTTTCTGGCGATCTGTATAGTTCTCCGACGAGCTACCATGCCTTTGACGGTTATCTGTCTCCGAAAACCACGGAAAGGCGAGGTGGTTTCTTCAGCGTCGATAATGGAGATCGCCTCGAAGCTCTTCCTATATCGACCACGACTTACCGAGACGCTAATCACTCTACGAAAATGAAGACCGCCTACGCCATCCGTCCGAGAAGCCATACGGCTAGCGACTCTAGCCGGCGCCAACTAAGTTTGAATATTCCCCCATCATCAACATCAACATCATCGGCCAGCCGACAGGGGCCCGTCGTGATGTCTGCGTACGATAGACCAACGAGCCCCTTGCCGCCACGTACATCATATACTCGCGACGAGCCAGAACGCTATGTCTCGCCAGCCACCTCGGCTAGCCGATCACATAAACGCATGCACAGCACGGACTATACAAGTGACAGCGGCTATGGGCCACCGGTTGAGAGACATAAAGCTCATGACCACCGCTACCGTATCTACCGACCAGCAGGGGTGTCACGCTACCATGCCTATGGGGATCCCAGACAGTGGGACGATTCTAGGTATTACGATGCTTATTCATATACAAATGCTCGAGAAACATTTGAGAAGGAATCAGCAGCAAGAAGCTCTCAACGGAATCGCAGCCGAGTAGGACGCCCTGCAAGTATGGTGGTCACTGATAATGCTCTAAGTCGGCCTATGTATGAGAAGGATCCTAGAAGATTACCACCACAGCGAGGAATCGACCGTCATCCTGACGAGGAGAGGCTACGCATCACCAGCGGTCGAACCTATACAGATAACGAATCTCACTGGGATCAACAGAGACATCCACGTCAGCAGCGTCCTTTGTTACATCAAGATCGAGAGGACGGCTATCTCTCAGTCACAGATGACCAGAAGCATTCCAGCCGTCATCGTCATCGCTCTCGTCCACGCTCTCGTAAGCATGCAGAGGACTTTCTCGCACCCGTGCTCAGTGGACTAGCTACTCTTGGTTTGGCAAGCGGCTACTCGGATGACGGTAGGGACACTGACCGTGCCAGCCGATCAGGCAGAAACCGTTCTCGAGACGTTGAGCACAGCGATCATGATCGTGATTACTACAGGCTGCGAGAGAGGGAGAAAGCCGTATCTGGAGATGAGAGGAATACCCACCGACATCGGCGCCATCATAGGGACCGGTCTCAGCGGCATGAATCCTCTTCAGACTCGCCTAGTTCTGGAGAACACTCGCGGCTGCAGCGACGTGGAAAGTCATCATCACGAAGGCACTACGACTCGAGCGGTTCCGATAATGGGCGTGATCGGCGCAGAAAAGAAGATGATAACAAGCTCTTGACTGCACGTAAAGACGATATCTCTGAGGTATCTGGAAAACGTTCAGTAGATACTGAGAGCGAAGAACGTCCTCGAAAGCCGGTGGCTGTCGAACCCCCGGCGGTGAAGGAGCCAGAAGCACCACCAAAAGGAATCCTCAAGGCTCCTCGAGAGAAGTTCCCTGAAGATACGAACCATATTCGAGAGGGGGTTGCACCGCTCAAGGATGCACAGAAGAAAGGCATCCCTCCAGGAGCTAGGTGGACAAAGATTGACCGAAGACTTGTCAATCCGGCTGCACTAGAAATGTTTCACGAGCGATTTGAGGAGCGGGCGGAATATGTGATTGTTCTCCGGGTTTTGACAAAGGAGGAGATCCAAGCATTTGCAGTCAAGACGCAAGAAATTCGGGGTGAGCATTTTTTTTTTTTTATTGTTTTGTTTTCCTGAAAATTAAACACGACTTGATTCTAATGAGGTTAGATGCACGCGCCAAAGCTGCGCAGGAGGAGCGTCGCAGGCTCCGAGAGGAACGACGTCGCAACGGGCAAGTTGACAGCTTGTCTAGCGACGATGAAGAGGATGACGATGATGGAGACGAGAGAGAGCCATTGGCCATCGAAGCAGCGCCGGCGAGAGATGAATTTCCAGTGATGCGAGGCAAGGACCGTGTCGGCAATGAGACAGTATCTGAGGCAGTGAAGAGTTAATATGAAAGGCTACATGTATTGAATGCTTGCTTGTTTGATATGTCGTTATGCGTATATGTATTCCTATTGGTTCCTTCTCGTGTCAACAATTTACATGCTTTTTACATATAGAAGAGCAAATGGGCTGGCCCGTCCGTGTGCGGTATCAGCGTGGTAAAAAAGCTTCTATGATGCTGTCTTTTGGCCCCATGTTTTTTTATTCGCCTCCATGCTCATTCGGAATCTTGTGACCACGGACCACGTGAGGGTAAATTTCATCAGACCATAGATCAAACAATCCTAACAATAATCAAGTCTTACGGAAGGGTATGCTGAATCGCCTGATACAGGAAGAGAATAGGCTTCAGTTGCATGGCATTTCAACAATCTATGATGCGGGAGTTTATGGTAATTCCCGCGTTGCATTATATATACATTTGAAAAGTTTAGCAGTACCTAGGTTCTGCTAGTCACCAGATACTTACCCATTGCCGTATGGTAGTAATGAAAGCTCGAGACTTAGAAATGTCAGTAAATAATAGGACGAAAAGAACGCATCCTTCCAAGCTACGCGTAACATGCCAGTCCTGCGAGAGTCTCCTCAGGACAACCGTCCTTGTCGATTCAAACGATGCGGAAGAAGAGTGGTTCTATGATTCTCTAGCTTCTGCTTGAGGGCGTTCCATTCTAATGGGACCATGGAGGGAAATTCTTTACCAAAACATCAATTGACGAGTTGTTTGCAGAAGGGATCTGAGGATGACTACTACTCTTGCTACTAACTAGAACTCGCGCCTCAATCAGAGATACGGTAATGTCTTCGCGCGAATAGTTCCAAAGTCCAGCACTGAAAGGCGAGGATAGCACTGAGAATTAGGTCCTCCTCAAAATGGACACTCTGTTCTAGGAAACACTACCATACCACCGACAGAAGACAACCCATCCAGGTCGCAGCCAGTTCATCCGGATGCAGGCTTTGCGCACCCTGCTTATGCTTTTGCATATGTGATTAATGTTCCCCTTGATTACCATGACGCCTGGAAATGATTCCTCGGAAATGCGGCTGGGAACCCATGTGGACACCGACCGGGCTTGATGTGCAAGACGGCAGGCATAGTGAACGAGCAAGCGGGCGGATCACGGTGGAAGAAGTCGAAAAGCGCCAGACAATCAGGGCTTCCTGCCCTTGTACCAAAGGGTTCATTGTCAGGGAATCAGACTGAGATGCCACGAGTAAGCTCATTCTATATTGACATGAAAGACGACGCTGATATGTGTGTGACGCAGGTGGGCAGTTCATTTCGCCCCGAGGTATCGGAATCCTATGAAGCTGGAATTGGCGGATGATCTGAAGCCAACGATTCAAGAGCAAAGGGATCTCGAAGTTCCGCTATTTGAGTCGTGGTTTCGGCAACGCATACGATTTCAAACGAAGCCCTTGAAATGAAGTCTTGTGCAGAGTATCAAGACACATATATCCTGTCCTCGATATCTACCAACGCCTACAGATAGGAAAGTTAAGCTACTATAGGGTCTACCATGAAGTCTGAAAGTACAAAATCCAGAGCCAAATTGTCGGTCTGGATATCGTGGAATAAATGCTGTCGATTGACCGTTTCACTAAAGAATTACCTAGGTCTTATAGGGACAAAGATGAGGCTACGGGGATGGCAAGGATAGACATAATACATATACTACCAGGTAACTATGCACTGAGTATGTATGTCACAACCTGGGTGGTGTACTAGGTGCGATCCGTTCCGTAACCTTGTTAGCTATATAGCTATATAAACTTAAATACTAAACCTTAGTTTCCATGGATATATATTGATGTTGGGAACCGAGTCTATCTGTATGTAGTTACTTACTAGGGACTGACTGACTATTGAAATTGTTTGAATTATTCAGCAAGACGCTATCCCACTGGCTCAACTACGTAATTATAGGAAGGTAGATAAAGGAGCTCGCTTAAGAGTTCTTAGTTGGTTGAGTATTTTACAATACACTGCCCAACCATGTGTACGTGCAGTAGTATGAGGATGTAGTATCCCGTTCGCACATTGATAGCGCAGTCCAAGCGATCACATGTAATACGTACATACTTCACATGCGCTCTTGAAGCTTGAGCTTGGTACAGTACAGCGCCACTGTTATTAGCGACTATTACGTATTAATCTTGGTGGTAGATAAGTACATACTCCGTAGTCGCTATTATACATATTACATACATACAAGTCATGACTAGAACAATAGCGCTCGCTGACCGCGCAGGAACGCGGCGCCGATCGTGCGGAGGGTGGAAAGTCAAGGATTGGATATGCTTGGTCTTGGGCTTGGGGCAAGTCTGGGAGAGGGGGTGGAGAGGGGTTTTCTCGCATGACTCTACGTGGTTACAATATGTTTCCGTTCGGTTCGGTTTAGTCTCGAGTACGGAGTACAAAGACAAAGGGGGGAGGGGAACTTTTCTTATTTCCACGGTACTACTAGTAAATTGCGATGGTGTGACGAATGAAACAGTGCCACCCTAGCTAGCATGCACTAGATAGCTGTCCAATGACAGCTGATCGATTCCGTAGTTGGTACCAAGGAAGACTCGTACTACATACAGCTGTAGGTTGCCGTCGATGCATTGGAATCACGGATGAGTGCTTCCTTGGTGTCTTTCAAGACTTGGAGAGATGACAAATAACATACTAGTCGAGAGGGCTGGCTGCTTGATTGACTTCTGGATGCAGTAATGGATTAATTGGAATGCATGATTCATCGGTTCACCCAGATTTAGTCAACGGCAGACCTATTCATTCCTTAATGCTAACTAACTAATGCGAATGCGAATATTAATTAGAATTACATCTACTCCGCATATCATCGTTGCATATGGCAGCTCTGGACCTGGATCCATAACGGACCGTGGCGCACACTAAATCGCCGAGCGGGTAAAAAGCCACGGCCATCGTGAAGTCGCACGGCTGACGGCTCTAGAACATCGTATTTTTTTGCTACGTTCTCCGGAGTAAAAAGCCGCGTGGGTCGGAAGTGGTGCTTAGCTGCCGGACCTATCTCATAACTGCCTGAGACATCTCAGCTACCGATCGTCCCGCAACCCTTGTTAACTAACGCGTGAGAGGTTTTTATTTGTCTCTAATTTTTTTTTAAAGTCAACGTAAGACTAGGCTGATGGGTTTAGCCGAGAGTCGCCTGAAACTGGACAGAGTGGATTGCACAGCTTTAGCGCAGCCACCCCGTCAGTACTTAGAAAATCCGCTCACAATCTTGAATCGTCTTGTACGATTCTTTGTCTGCCTGCCCCACCTGCGCACCCTGTGTCCTAAACTCCACCAGTCTCCGCGCTGATTGGCGGCATGCGGCATTGTGGGGAACGGCTGGACGGGGAGTGGGCCCTGGGTGCTAGATTAGGTTAACCCCGTGCGTACCATGTCCCCATTGGTCCTAGTGCCGCTTTGTGGCGGTCCTGTGCCAGCTAACGTTGGTAAGATTACCGTGCCATACGCAATACTAATAATACAACGGCCCGCTGTCAACAACGTTTTTTCTGCCTTGTCAACGTACATAATTTCTGTACGACTAGCCACAACTCTCCCACTGGTCCGAGTGGCCGGCCGTGCTGTGGTAGTCTCTGTATTCGTTACCATACCTGTCGATCAAGATCAAAGGGAAATCTTTTCCAGTCTCCTTCCCAACAGCTCTTGTTTCTTTCTTCACAACGTCCTCGTATTCCGCCATTATTAATGTTCCTTTGGTTGGGCCATTTTCCCATTTCCCCTTTTCCCTTATCTCTAGCACTGCTGAGTACCATCGGGGACTAAGCCCTTGAATTCATGCAGGGTCTGCGCTCGAACTTTTTTTTTTTCTTTCCACGCACCCTACTACTGTACATCATCCCACCTCTTCCCACCCACCCAGGAGCTCCATGCTAGATGCCTAGACCCTTTCTTTCCCTTTTGCGCACACACACACACACACACACACACACACATACTCTCTCTCTATCTCTCTTCTCCCCGCGCCCCTTCTCTCTCTCCACGCATTGGTGGATGGATGGCTTACCGAGCAATTGCCGATTCCGGCGACTTTTCCTGTGGTAGAGAGCTCACTCGGTGCATCTTTCGTTTTAAATGGCGCTTCCGTCGCCCGTCGTGCAGCTTGCAGGTTGCATGGGTTCTGGCCAGTCAGGCCGCACAAGTGTCTGCAACTAGCTGGCTAGTCGGCCTGGACATTAATTAATAATACATGCACAGTGCTGCATAGGAATACATACCGTCCATCCATCCTTCTCTCTCGCAAGTAATCTGCTGCATCTCCACCGCGGTCATTGAGGCGATGAAAGAATAATATTGTGATATTATTGTCGTTGCTGGATAGCTCCTGCGTAGACTAGACGCTCATCATCACCATCATCTACTGATTCCATCTGATGGGATGCATCCGTAGTATCCTCATAGCAAAGACTAAGCCTGCTAGCGCGGTCTCGGCCAATGGTAAAGCGCAGCGAAATCTGGCTCCTGTTTCATCTAATGAATATATAAGATATCGTCTTTTCTGTGCGAATTGCTGATTAGCTTTTTTCTAAATTTGTTGATCCCTCCCCCTGGAACGGTAAAACTGAACCCTCCCGTCAGCCCTTGTTTTTTTTTTTTTTGGACTTTCTTTTCTTTTTTTCTTTTTTCTTTTTTTATCTTTTTTTAAACCGTTATCAAGTCTTATTTATTACTTTACTACGTACCTTTATTTCCCTCCCCTCCTAGTCTAGACTGCCTATCCTGTTCAATTGCGGGTTTGAGCCTACCGTGCAGGGTGCCGCTTCCCTGCCCGTTGCAAAAGGCCCGGACAAAACCCAACCACATCTCTCTGTTTCTCTTCTCTCTCTTCCTCTCACGTCTTTCTGCCTCGTTTCTCTCCCGCCACGGCCCGTCTTCTTCTTGCCACAGCATTGTCTGTGTAATGAATGTCTAGTCCGAGTGGGCTCACCTCTGCTCGTATTAATGCCGACTAGCGCACAGCTGCTGCTGTGATCCCTCCTTGCTACCCAAGACGCAGCCAGAAACCTTATCCTGGGATCCTGCTCTTGACGTGTGCTATTTATCTCTGTGTCTATGCGCATGCAATTGTATCTGTTATTTGTCCCCTTGAGATATACTACAAGAAAAGGTCTCCTCCGGACGCGGTCCAACCATGACGGCTGTGGTCCAACCCGATCTTGGTCCTCCACCCGCCCACAAGTATAAGGATGATCCTACAGATGACCCGGTGAGTCGGTTTTGCAATCCATTCTTTCATTTTTTTTTTTTTTTTTTTTCGTTGATACCCTATTGTTATTGTCGGTTCTTTTTTGTTTGTCTTTGTTTGAGCGAGAGAAACAGAGGTACACATAGTGCCGCGTGGCTTGATACGCGCACACAACCTTGTTTTGTTTTGGAATCGCCGGCCTTTTGTCGTCCCTGTGCTAGATCGAGAGGATGATATCAACAGAGCAGAGACCGGGGATACCGCTGTTTGGCGCCTCCAGTTCTGGTGCCCTCGAAAATACAGTTCAGGGGCCCACGTACACGGTGCGTCCTTTCCCTGCCATCTGGTCATCCCATGGCGATCACTACTAGGCGACTGGACTATGCGCCCTCGTCTCGTGGATGACTCCATTGCGCATTGGACATGATGTGTACGGCCGCTCGGAGTGAGAATCTTGGGTAGTCTCCTCGATTTATTCCGTCGGGACAGGACAATTCCTGATTTCGGACGAGCATGCCGGTATGGACTGGTCCATGTCCTCGATTGGGATGGCCACTTGAGCATACACCGTCGTCTCTTTAGCACACAGCACAAAAGAAGTGGACTGTCTTGAGTCCACATTTGGCTATCTCTTCTTTTCTGCGTGAGGCGAGTGATGCGTTCTCTCCCCAATTCGCACACCCGAACGAAATGCTGCTTTCTTAGCAATCAAGACGCAACCGGGCCAGAAAAGATCCAAAGGAACAGGAAGCAGCGCCATCTACATCGACATCTACACCATGAATCAAATTGCACAGCTCACGCAAGGGGTGTCGGCACGTTGCTAGTCACATGCAGATCCACTCCACGTGGATCGATCGTCTATCTCCGTGATGTTTTTGACAGCCAGCATCCTCGACTCTCTGCTCCGTCTCTCTTTCCGCTGTTGTTGTTTCCTTCTCTCAATCTTGACTTGACTTGTCTTGACGTTCAGTTTTTGGAAAAGCTCGCCCATCTCTCCCCATGCGCTAGCTAATATGTCAACCAACCCTCTCTTATTTGTATCTTACGTACTGCATTGGCATTGCCCTTGACTGACAGTGTTTCCTATTAGCTTCGCCATCTAGGAAGCAATCATAGCCAGCACACCCAGAGCCTCCAACAGCATTCCCGACCGGGAGGACTTCTGCATCAACATCACCAGCGACCAGAGTCCCCTCACCAACACTCAACAGCACCTCTTCCCCCAGGACCATACTCTGCAGCCCCTGGATTGAACGGCGTGCCTTTGCAGCACCCACCTGCCCCTTCTTATCCGGCGCCGGCTCAGGATCCTGGTTATTACGCGTCGGCCTCCAACCCATACCCGGCAACAACCACCCCTGCACAGTATCCTTCCAGTGGTGAGTGGGAACGAGTCTCCTTTCATACCCTTTATTTAGTACAGGAGTGGGAAATTGTTGCCTTTACTGAGTGGAGAGAAGGTGGGGGAGTGGGTTGAAAGAAGAAGAAAAAGCAATGTTTCCAATGAAGGAAGGCAATGTGCTTGCTCTGGTCACCAACCCCACCATTGGCTGCACAACCGAGCATAATATCTTCTTCAACCACCAACAGACAAACACAAGACAGGATGGATGTCCCATGGCTCGTCACAATTTGGGAAAGAAATTGATTGTACGCGGCTAACATCTTGAGAAGCACCCCCAGATCTTATGGCCGCAACATCCCAGATGCCAAGGCCGTATCCTCCAATTTACCACCATACACCGCAGTCGAACTCTCCTGCTTCGGTGGCATCGTCACAGACACATGATCAACATGGGCGAAACATCTATGCACAATCCCCTCAGATTCCCTCGCAGATGTACGGTTACCAGCCGTACTCTCCGATTAATCCTGTGCACCCGGCTTATAATCCACAGCCACCTGTGCCACAGCATTCATTAACAACGCAGTCTTTGATGATGCCTCCGCAGACAGCTCCTATTCAGCATCCTAGCTCATCGACGCATCAGCCACCCATAGCTAACGCCCCAATCAGTAACAGCAGCCCTCGAGCAAAAGTGGAGTCTATCCCTCCACAGCACACGCCAGTCCAGACGCAGCGGCCGCCCATGCCCCCGCCAACTCTCACATCTCCAAGTACAACAATACCACCCCTCTCCGCAAACAATGTGCATGTCAGCCAGTCCACTAGCGCCAATCCGACCAGTGCTGCACCTGGGCCAATTCCAGCTACAACCCCGCAACTCGTACGTCAAGACAGCAACGGTGTCCAGTGGATTGCATTCGAATATTCACGAGACCGTGTCAAAATGGAGTACACGATCCGCTGCGATGTTGAATCCGTGAACGTAGAAGCTTTGCCGCAAGATTTCAAAACGGAGAACTGTGTCTATCCTCGCGCATGCTGTAGCAAAGACCAATACCGCGGGAACAGGTTGACATACGAGACCGAATGCAACGCTGTTGGCTGGGCACTAGCTCAACTGAACCCCCCCCTACGAGGAAAAAGGGGACTAATACAGCGCGCCGTGGATAGTTGGCGCAACAGTAACCAGGATCCCCGATTGCGTAGTCGTCGCGTTCGACGCATGGCAAAGATGACTCGCCGACAAGCTAGCCATCCACCCAGTCATCAGCTCGGAACAAGCGCTCCTGTGCCCCATCTCCTTACTCAAAGCCCTGCGGCACTGGTACCAGGTACTCGTCCAAATGCTCCTTTGCCACTTGCGGCGCCTCTACAGCATCATTCCCAACACCGAGATGGTCAAGCTGGAAATGAAGAAATTAGCGGTATGTTTCACCAACGGTATTAAAACGATTTCTTAAAATCATTGAACAAGCCTTTTTTTTGGTTCTTTTGTGTCATCTGCACTTGGTGATAGATTGTATCTTGTCCGTGTACTGTGTTCATGGGGAGTAGAGATGAACGTCATGGTATGAAGGGTTAACAGTGTACGATGTTGGATGTACTATTTTATTATTCTTGTTTGGATTTGGATAAGACTGGATCTTGTCCACGGCGTTACCTTTTTTTTTTTTTTTTGCTTTTTTCTCTTTTCTTTTCTTTCTATCTCTCTCTTTTTTTTTTGCTTTTTTTTTTCGAGGCATGTCCACTTGGATTTGCCTTTCTTATTATCATACCTTTTTTCTCACATACCCTTTTTGATTCTTTTCTGCTTTTGTTTGCCGTCCCTGATGTTATCGTCTGCCTTTTGGGTCTACAGCGTAGGCTAATCCCAACGCACAACGTTCCAAACTATAGGCAGCACCGATTATTCGAACGGTGCTCATCGTCCTCCATACGTCAATCCCAGTGCAAAACCTCCGATTAGTGGCGGCCATGAAACTGCCCCAGATTTTCGTCCTGGAAGCGTTTTCCACGGCGGGCTCCCATATCCTGTCGCAGCCCAAACTTCCGGTGGTTTAGGAGCGCCATCTATGCCTCCACCACTGCAAGGAAGCGGGTTTGACTCTTTAGGGCGACACACTGTGGCTACCACATCGGACAACAGACACGAGGCAGACGACTCGTACGAGACGGAGGGCGCTACACGAAACCCCGGTGACAAGCTTCTTTTCGGCGGACTACCTGTGGGGAAACGACGCAAGTTTATCCTCATCGACGATAACCAACGTGGCGGCCGTGCGCGTGTCAAAGTGACGCTGGATAGAGTCAATATGAACGAGATCCCTGACTCTTATCGTCTGTCTAATGCAGTATTTCCTCGTGCTTATTATCCCGTGCAGATGAAAGGTTCTCCCGGTCATACCGTGCCCAGCAATCGGTATCTCGAGAACGTGAATGAGGATGATGATGATGATGACGAGGATGATGAAGAAGACATTGACGACGTCGACGACTATGATAACGGCCAAGATCCGATTACTATCGGCCGAACTGTTGTTCCGTTCACGACTGATGGTATACCAGCTCCAGTGCCGCAGTTATCGCGAAGGCGGCACCGCAAAGACAAGGTGATGAACGATATCGGATATCGTATGAGCTGGAGCCAGAGTAGGGTATTCGCTGCCCGGCCTTTGTTCTTGCAGCGATCATGTAAGTCGTTTCTTCTCCTAGAACTGATACCTATATAGACCTAGAACTGACGTTCATAGTGGATGCATACCGGAACAAAATGCGCGGTTCAATGTTGACAATCGGTCAGGAAGCATTGTCAATCGCGTCACATTTCGAGACGCGTATTGGAAAACGCAAGTTCAACGCACGCAAGCGACGCAAGAAGAACGATAGCAATAAATCGGCATTTCTTCGCGAGGTTGAAGAGGTTGAAGCTTAGTTTCTTCTTTTTCCTTGCCACAATTCCCCTCTCATATTTGTATAAATTACACTTCTCCTGCCTATCCTTGCTGTAAGATATGGCACTTTATTTCTTTCCATTCTATACAACATCTTTATGTAACATACTGTCCTTATCGATTTGGATATACCCCTTTTTATTTATTTATTTTTTTTTTGACCTTTTTTGACTGCTGTTTATTTCTATTCTGTTCTTCTCCGTTTTTCTTCTTCTTTTGTTTTTTTTTTTTTTTTGGGCCATCGTTATATGCTGAAGCTTGAAGTATAACTGAGGGATTTGACTTGGACACGTGATATGCGATGGTATATGGTATATGGTATATGATGATACCCCATTTATGCTGGGGTCGGATTGCGCTATTTTGCTGTTGGGTATATTGGTTGGTAGCTGGTAATCTCTGGCTAAAAGGAGGAGGAATTTTGGGCTCTTCTAAACTTGAGACAAGGATGGATGGATAAATATACATTATATACCCTGTGCATAGTTTTAGGGAACGAACCAGGAATCGATTGGTGTATATGGGATGGAAATGGAATGGAAAAAGGGGTGTCTAATGAATAAAATCTTATGACTTCTGTCTGTTCAATGGATTGAGTTTGATGGATGGATGCGTGTCCTGTTATTAGGTAGAAGACAATCGCTCGTACAATACGGCGTAGTAAGGAGTGTTGAAAAATTACCGGATTAGGCAAGTGCTGGTCAGTCGCGGCCAGCCGATGCCCGATTTCCATGAGATCTCCGACGTTGGAGGTGTGATTCAGTTAAATCTGATACCTATCTTCTCTTTTACAAGACCAGCCTTTATACCTGGGTAGGTTGAGGACTTGCCAGAGGCCCAAGGCTACCAACGGGTTATAGATAGCCCCTCCAGCCAATCAATTGACATTGGTGGTTTTTAGGGTTTGCTCCTTGGACAAGCGTCTCAGGCTCTGTTAGGCCTTTTCGCATTCGCTGATTAGTTACATCTCTGCCCTCTGCTCGTTTGTCTTCCTGGGATTATGTCTAGCCTTGGATATTGCCAGGTGCGAAAGAAAGTTGCTGCGTTCATCCGCATCTGCAACCGGATTAATGTACCGAGGTACACAAACGGCCACGTTTTCTGTGCATGCCAACGATCGATCAGATTTGAACGATGTACAAAAAGGCATGCTCTACGGAGTATTCTGCGGTGCAAACGATAAATTTATAGGTATATCTATTAGGGGCGGTGTGTGATACAGACAGCCTGCTAGTTACCTAGGTCGAACTAGCGTAGTAGATAAATTGATCGCCCTGAAGCGGGGGCGATGTTGATCTGTTGTTTACTCCGTGGATACATATAGTGAGTTACAAGTCCACGGACAGAGCAGACAGACTGCTATGGCCAATGCTCGGGCTGCTGCATTTGTATATGAGAAAACGAGTAAGTGAATAAACAAACAGTTACACATTTGCATGAATTATGTATCCAAGTATAAATAGCTGCTCCGCCCCGCTGCGGCTCACGCTGGCCGCTTTCAGCTGGCCACGCTAGCCGTGTACAGCCATCCTTGCTTACTCCAATCGACCCGGCAACCTTTCTCTGCTCTCTTTCCTGCACTCTTCCACTGCATTGCCCACTCTGCTATATACTCTACTCGCTGGCCGTGCTCTTCATTTATCACATAATCCACTTACTATCCGCCATCGTCGCCGATTCCTCGACTTATCCATCGGGCCTTCCTTTGTTTACATGCGCCACTACCAGTACTACTACTAAATGGGCGCTCCTACATTCCTAGGCTGCACTTGACACATCGTGACAAACCCGGGGTGCGCAGACCACGCATTCCACAATCTATTTTCGGCCCTTCCAACGTCATCGCCAGCTGAGAAGAGGATAAGAAAGAAGAGAGGAAGAGAGAGAGAGAGGCACTCATAATCTTTCCACACGGCACTCGCCGTGTTTTCAACTTCGCAACTGCTCATTCAGAAATGTCTCGCCAACCCGGAGCTTCTTACTCGCGCGGCGATGTCTCGCCCATCAATACCGATGTTCAAAGCACCATGAGCCAGATCTCACCTGTGTCGGATCTACGTAGCTTTCACAACCACCCGTCCGTCCGCCGCGGAAGCAGAGATTATAACCCTCAGCGGCACAGTGGTATTGAACCCACGGATGTTCCACCTGAGCCGCCCCAGCATGGCATCGTCAATTCGCCGCAACAATCGCAGCTCGCTCGAGCAACTTCCTTGCGCACCAATGTCAGCGCAACGCCAGGCGCTGATAATCTAAGTGCCGCTGCTATTGGGGGCGGAATCAGCGGCATTGCATTTGGTGTCGCCAATCGTAGCGAAAGAGAAAGCGGTCTAGAGGCTATCCGATCTATAGGAGAGCGGGGGCCTGGTTACTACGATGGACCTTCAGAGGCAAACTATACGGATGTCCCACACAGAGTAACAACATCTTCTAAGTCAAACGAACAGGCAGACCCATCAAGCAACTTGCCTCTAGGCGGGGCCGCTCTTACCGCAGGCGCATCGCCTCAACAAGGGACGCCCAGTTTGACGCCCTCGAATCCATCGCAATTGAGTGTCGGAGATCCATATCCACGCTATCCTGGTGGTGGTCTGTATGATGGCCCGTACAGCTCATATAATGGCCACGACCCGACTTCGATCAACCCCAACGACATTGCTGACGACGGCGACGACGGTTTGATGGTTGTGCCGCAGCAACAAACCCAGCGGCGGTCGTGGCTATTTGGCAAGAAGGCTAACCAGGGGGCTACAGCTGGGGGCATACTGGGCGCTGTAAGCAGCCTTCGCGGAAGATCCTCGGCATATGGACCTGTTCCAGGGGGTGCTAGTGCTGGCGGAGCAGCTCAAGGAACTCTCGATAAAGATGCTCTCCTCGCCCAGCAAGCTGCCATAGCTGCAGCTAAAAGGAGAAAAAAATGGCTACTCACCCTGTTAGTGGCATTTCTTATAGTAGGAGTTATTGTCGGGGCAATCGTCGGAGGAATAGTTGGCAGTCAACATAGCAGTGACTCTGCGAGCGTATCGAATAAAGATAGCAGCGCTGACCCGGGTACCAACATTGAAACAGCCGCTGGGGATTTGGCAACTAATGGGGATCTGGGCAGGAACTCACCTGAGATTAAGAAACTCATGAATAACACAAATCTGCATCGGGTGTTTTACGGCATGGACTACACGTCATGGGGCGTCCAGTATCCGCTATGCTTGAAATACCCCCCTAGCCAGAACAATGTGACGCGTGATATGGCTGTACTCTCGCAATTGACAAATACTGTGCGAGTCTATGGAACAGACTGTAACCAAACGCAAATGGTTCTACACGCGCTCGACCGATTGGAACTTACTGATATGAAACTGTGGCTCGGCGTATGGATCAACTCCAACGAGACGACTAGCGAACGACAGATTCAGACTTTGTATGATGTGATTGACAGCATGAATGATACATCTATTATTGACGGTGTGATTGTGGGGAATGAAGTCCTCTATTCCGGGGGATTCTCGGATAAACAGACTGCCGAGAAAGCCCTGACCACGTACTTGCAAGATGTGCGATCTAACCTGACCTCAAAGGGCCTTAACGTGCCTGTTGCTACATCAGACCTTGGCGATGACTGGACGGCTGATCTATTAGAGGCTTCAGATCTGGTGATGGCCAACGTCCACCCATTTTTTGGCGGAGTACAAGTTGATCAAGCAGCGGCTTGGACCGTTGAGTTCTTTGACGAGCATGATGTCTCGTTGACGAGTGGAACAAATAAATCAGCAATTATCTCCGAGGTTGGCTGGCCCAGTGGTGGCGGCAATGATTGCGGTAACAACAATTGCCAGGATAGCACATCGGGCTCTGTTGCTGGAATCGATGAGATGAACAAATTTCTGTCAGACTGGGTTTGTCAGGCTTTGAATAATGGGACCAAATATTTCTGGTACTTCTCTCTCCTTCCTATTTCTTTTCATACTTGATATCCAAAGCTAATTCTCTGATGAACAGGTTCGAAGCATTTGACGAGCCTTGGAAAGTCATATATAACACTCCCGGCAAAGACTGGGAGGATCAATGGGGTCTTATGGACGCCGCACGCAATCTGAAGCCAGGCTTGACAATACCCGATTGCGATGGAAAGACAGTATAGTCTTTCCCATCCTTCACTCTTTTTTATTTTTTCTTTGGATTTAATAGCCAATGGCGTTATGGGGACTGATCATGGATCATGACTGGAGTTTTCTAAAAATTCTTATTGATGCGTATATATATATATATATATATCATTCAGCGTGTTGGTTTGTATAAAAGCAGGCGTTGCTCTCCTTTCTGGCTCTTTGACTATCTTTGGTAGTCGCCTGGGCTACACCACAAACAAAACCCGCTGATGCTTAGATGTCTTGTTGATGATGAACGAAATGCACTGTTATTTTTAACATGTACCTTATTAGTACCTAGATACTGCCAATGATATACTTCGAAAGTCTGGCATTCAATAAATTGATACACCAGTTGTTCTCGTTTTCTTAGTGTAAGAATAATTCGTCATCCAAGAAAATGGAGAGAAATGACCCCCCCCCCCCCCCAAAAAAAAAAAAAAAAAAAAAA